CACTAGACTCCCAGCCTCCAAAGCTGATGCCAAGTCATGGTATCAGATACTTCTAGACATGTATTGTTCATTCATTACAGTTTGGCGAAGCTAGGCTGTTTGCATTAACACCTGTAATGGTAACCTGGTTACTGGTAGAATCCCACACCTGCTTTCTATTGTAAGGCTCAGTCCACATGCCACAATCTGGGGAAAGTTAAGCTCACTACAGCACACTCTTATGTAACAGCATAAGCCTATGTATATTTGCCTGGAAGTAAGTGCCAATCTAATTCAATGGAGCTTACTCCTAGCACAAGATTGTACTGTAAGGCTGCATTCCTAAATCCACTCACAAGAATGTAAACATAACTGAACCAAGAGGGGCTTAATTTCAAGCAAACTTAATTCAGATTACTCTGCTTGGCTGCAGTCCTATGCATACTTACCTGGCAAGTAGAATTAATCGTGGGATTTAGCAGTAAACAAGCATAGGATGGCGTCCTAAAAAGAACATCTCTCGCTAGCTTTGGACACACGTAAGAAAACTGTAGAGGTAAGTATTCAACATTTCAACAATGAACATTTCAATCAGAATGTTGTGGTTTAGAATACTGTTAGGAGTTGGTGGGTGCTAGACCATAGCTGTCAACCGTCCCTTATTTGGTGGGAAAGTCACTTATCACAGCGCCGTGTCCCGCTGCTGTCCCTTATTGATGATATCCCTTAAATTTCCCAGGTTTCAAAGGAAGCAGCTCCTCTCCCTCCCTCCCTGCCTGCCAGGGAGGAGGGAGGCTCCAACTGTGTTGCTTGGCTGCCTGGCCCGCCCCCCTCCGGCCTCCTCTCACCAGCCTCGGCCCCCGGGAGCCCCTTCCCGCCGGGACTGGCGGGAGCCTCGGGCCCTTCTGCCGTCATCCTCCTCGCAGCCGCCGAATTGAGCTTCTCTGCCTGGGCCCTCCCCTCTGCCCGTCACCGCCGCCGCTAGGCCATACTGCGGCTGCGCCGCCGAAGGACCCGGGTGAGATGGGCAGCCTGGCACAGCCTATGAATTGCTGAGGAGCCTTGAGAGGAGAGCGAGGGAAACCATAGAGAAAGCAGTTCAGAGAGAGGAGCAGGAGGCGGAGGCGGAGGCAGAGGCGCAGGCAGGTGTTCCAAGGGCTAACCATTGAGGGGGAAAGCGGAGGAAGGACCGCAAGCACTTCTCCCATAGATTTGTAGTGGTAGACTAGCATAGATGGTCTGATCTGTGGGTTTACTTCGGGCGCTATTTCCCCCCCCCTCCTCCCACCCCACCTGATGGAACTGAGAGCTGCAGATGGAGCACGAGAGAAAAGATACAGAACTGCAGCAGCATCTTCATAGCTTGGACTTCGTTTTGCGTGAAAAGTGGTTGCTCCTTGTAGTTATTTAATTGCAGTGTTTCATCAGCTAGTTTCTTGAGCAGCAACCTCTGGAAACGAAGGGCTAAAAACCAGCGTTGCTCTCCCAAATTATCTGGTCCCTTTTAACTTCGTATTTCAGCTGACTAAAATCCCTTATTTTGGCTGCTGATCCCTTATTTTCGAGGCTGCTGGTCCCTTATTTTCAAATCTGTAAGTTGGCAGCTATGTGCTAGACACCCTAAATTCCTGGGTCTAATAGGTCTTAGAACTTAATCAATGTTTGGAGTATTACAACTGGGAAATAACCCAGAACCCGTGTAATAGACTCATGAGCATTAGGCCAGAGCTGCATTAACCTGTGTGCTGGACAATGCTAATCCTGTGGAATCAGCATGTTTTAAGGGCCAATTCAGCCAAGCTGGCTTCTGTGTAAGGTGACAACTTTAGGCTGAGCCATTAGGAGGATACAAAGCATCAAAGGGAACACTGTGTGAGATGGCAAAATGAGCGGGGCCTTTCAAAATGAGTGCAGTGATGTGAGTTAGAAGCTTGGGGAGGAGTTATGTGACAGGGGAGCAGAAAGGAGGCCGGGCACAATGACTCATGTCTGTTTGGATCCTAGGTTGCATCTATGGGAGAAGAAAGACCCTCTTGGGAGTGTAATGCTGGAAACCCTTTTATCGTAGGCTCAGGTTGCCTCACCTGGCCTTGTGGGTGGGCCAGCCCTGGTTATGGCCAGTAATCTGGCCACTGCTTTTTGAACCAGCTGAAGTTTCCAAATTGTCTGCAAGGGCACCCCATGTAGAACACCTTGAAATATCCCAATCTGTAAGTTACCAAAGCATGGAGTACCATGGCCAAGTTATCCCTGTTCGAAAGGGGCTGTAGGTGGTGAACCAGCTGTAGCTGGATATAGGCATTCCTAGCCAATGGACTTGCTCTAACTGTAATTCAACTCTGTCCAAATCTGAGCCATTTTGTCCCTAAAGTGCCTCGCAAATTGCTACAGCAGGGTGCTGTTGCAGACAGGCTGAGAACAAGAAACCACTTATAAATTGTGTTCTTGTCACTATGACTACGGACAAGTCTACCTCTACATGAGCCTTCCTAATCTGATGCCTTCCAGATTTTGTTGGACCACATCATTGAGGCCAAGAGTGGGATTTTGTCATCTGAGCAGCCCAGGAGCTCCATACACACTGCAGCCGTTTGACTTCACCCCCAGAGGCGCACTCCGTTGTCTCTCAAGACAGATGGATGCCAACAACAAAAACAATTCCCTTCATCCCTGACTATTAGCCATGCATGCTGGGGCTGGGGCTGCAGTCCAAAACATCTCAAGGGCACTAGGTTGGGGAAGGCTGTTCTATGCTTTGCTTCTGCACTAAGTAGCTTCTATCCTGCTCAAAGCTCCGGCTTGAGACCTCAGTGCACCATGATGATTTCTGGTTCCCATCTTTGCAATTGCACTTTGGAGTAATTAAAACAAACCCCCTCCAGACTGCTTTCCATTTCAAAAATTCATCTTCTGAATATCTTCATGAATAATGCGGTTCTGATCAAGCTCCCCTAGTCTCTTTGCTCATCTTTATGCCAGTTTCACAGGCTGGGTCCCCCACCCTCTCTTCCCTAGCGATAGGAATGAGACAACACGACAGTTCTTTCTCCATATCACTCTCAGGCTAAGAAAAAAGGAGCTCACAGAACTTCTCCTGCTCATCCCCTGCAGGCCACAATATAGCAAAGCTACTCTCAAATGTGATTGCATAACAAGCAGCAGAAAGGCTTGTTGAGGTTAACAATATTTTACATAAATGATAAGGGCTGCAAATGGACCGTTTTCCTCTTGCCATCAAGCTAAAGGGGAAACCAGTGGGGCAGCAATAATGACCTCAAAGGATCTGAGCCATGCAAGAACATTGCCATTAAAAAAAACCAGGCCATGTTAAGACTTTCCTTTGCACTGAATGGAGTGTGAACCTAAATGTCTCCTAATGCCCTGGCAGCTGTTGTTGTTGTTTAGTCGTTTAGTCGTGTCCGACTCTTCGTGACCCCATGGACCAGAACACGCCAGGCACTCCTATCTTCCACTGCCTCCCGCAGTTTGGTCAGACTCATGTTTGTAGCTTCGAGAACGCTGTCTAACCATCTTGTCCTCTGTCGTCCCCTTCTTCTTGTGCCCTCAATCTTTCCCAACATCAGGGTCTTTTCCAGGAGTCTTCTCTTCTCATGAGGTGGCCAAAGTATTGGAGCCTCAGCTTCACGATCTGTCCTTCCAGTGAGCACTCAGGGCTGATTTCCTTAAGAATGGATACGTTTGATCTTCTTGCAGTCCATGGGACTCTCAAGAGTCTCCTCCAGCACCACAGTTCAAAAGCATCAATTCTTCGGCGATCAGCCTTCTTTATGGGCCAGCTCTCACTTCCATACATCACTACTGGGAAAACCATGGCTTTTACTATATGGACCTTTGTTGGCAAGGTGATGTCTCTGCTTTTTAAGATGTTGTCTAGGTTTGCCATCGCCTTTCTCCCAAGGAGCAGGCATCTTTTAATTTCGTGACTGCTGTCACCATCTGCAGTGATCACGGAGCCCAAGAAAGTAAAATCTCTCACTGCCTCCATTTCTTCCCCTTCTGCCCTGGCAGCTAGGGACTACTTTACAAAATGAAAGTCAAAAGGGCAGCACTGCATGACTCAGCCAAGGGAATCAAATGAAGAACTCTATGGGTTTCATTCCAGGCATCAGTAGGACGGACCTACATGAAACCATTTGTCCGGTACCCAAACACTTTGCATATTTCAACCATTTCATTACTTACCTTCATTCTATTTGATTTAAAGACCCTGTTCATCAGCTATGTACAGTGGTGCCTCGCAAGACGAAATTAATTCATTCCGCGAGTTTTGTCGTCTTGCGATTTTTTTCGTCTTGCGAAGCACGGTGTCGGGAAAGTTTTGGAAAAGCTTCAAAAATCACCAAAGTCTTTAAAAACCTCAAAAAAGGCTACCACACCGCGTGCTATGAGTTGCTCCTCGAAGTCAAGTCGCAACTGTATTAACAGTGTTCAGAAAAGGAAACAAACTTGCAAGACGTTTCCATCTTGCGAAGCAAGCCCATAGGGAAAATTGTCTTGCGAAGCAGCTCAAAAAACAAAAAACCCTTTCGTCTAGCGAGTTTTTTGTCTTGCGAGGCATTCGTCTTGCGAGATACCACTGTAAGAAGAAAATGCAGTCAGCAGAGCAGACTTTAATTTTCCTGATGCTGTAACATCTCTGACCAAAGTGTGCCTTAGGTATCTTATACCTTGAAACTGATATACACTGGGCACAATCCGGCCAGTGTTAAGCGCATTAACATCCCATTGATTTCAATGGAAAAAATCAAAGGTTCCTTAATATGCTTAGCTTTAATAAGAAACCTTTAGAGTAGCCAAGGCATAGGCAAACTCGGCCCTCCAGATGTTTTGGGACTACAACTCCCATGATCTCTAGCTAACAGGACCAGTGGTCAGGGATGATGGGAACTGTAGTCCCAAAACATCTGGAAGGCCGAGTCTGCCTATGCCTGGTGTAGCCTGTGGTTTTTTCAAGAGGAGGAAAAGACCGAACTGTGTTGGCCCAGGAAGGCCTTAACAGCTCAATTCCTGTAGCAGAAAGGAACAAAAATGGGATGGACGCTCCTTGCCATTTGGTATCTGAAGACCATTCTTGTCTTTCTTCCGGGTACTGCTGTGAATTCCTGTCTGGTAAGGAAAAACAAAAATGGATCAATTTTTTTGCCAGTGGCTAACTTCTGATGAGAGACAGCGGGAGCACAACCCTGTTGACCCTCCTTGATCTCTTCACAGCTTTTGATAGCTTCAGCCCTGACATCCTTCCGCACCAGCTCTGTGAGTTGGGAATGGAAGGCTCAGCAGTTCCCTTCCTACTGCAAATGGGGCTCTGGGAAGTGGCATTGGGATGGTTCTTCTCAACCCCTTGTGCAAAGGGATCCCATAGTGTTCCCGCCTATCCCCGCGTTTGAATGACTATATGAAACTACTGGGTGAGCTTATTCCAGGATGTAAGAGTTAAGTTCAGCCAGTATGCCAATGACACGCAGCTGTATGTCTCTATTTTAGCAAAGTCCAATAATGCTGTAAAAATGATGGTTGCCTGCTACCATGGAGTCCCTTTTATCAGCTACTGCTGGTTTGCCAGCTGCAACCACTCTTAGACACAGAGTCTCGTGTAATCATGTATCCATTTCCTTAATGAATTACATACAGCTGTCCTTGAGGACGGTTCAGAAGTTTCAGTTAGTACAGAACACAGCTACCAAAATTGTGTCTGCCCACCCAAACCTGGTCCACCCAAACTACACCGATTTAGAAAGTTTAATTGGCAGCCTGTTCACTTCCAGGCTTAATTCAAGGGGCTGGTTCTTACCTTTAAAGCTCTAAATGGCTTGGAACCCAAGTACCTGAAGGAGCATCTACTCCCATATCAACCTGCCTGGTATTAAATAGCATCTGCCAAAGTCCATCTCCATATACGTCCTCCAAGAGGTGCAAAAACAAAGGCTCTCACAGTAGTAGGACCCCCAAATAAGTTTGCCTGGCTTCAATGATGCTGTCATTTAGCTCCAAGCAAACACATTTTTTTTTTTATTAGTTAGGCATACTGACATATTTTATAAATTTAATCAAGCAAGTGTTAGTATGCACTAATGTTTAGTCTCCTCTTTTTGTTTTTCCCCTCTGGATCTGCTCTATGCTGTTCACTGTCCTGAAATCCAATATGAAGGGATGCATAAAAAGGTCTTAAACAAATAAACTAGCTAGCTAGCTCCAAGTCAGATGCTATTGCCTGCCTTCTATTGGCTTGCACTAGACATTTCTACGCCTTCAGCTTACTCCAACTCATCATTGTAGCATAATGAACATCTTTATATTACAGTGGTGCCTCGCAAGACGAAATTAATCCGTTCCGCGAGTCTCTTCGTCTTGCGGTTTTTTTATCTTGCGAAGCACGGCTATTAGCGGCTTAGCGGCTTTAAGAAAAAGGAAACAAACTCGCAAGAACTCGCAAGGCGAAGCAAGCCCATAGGGAAATTCGTCTTGCGGAACGACTCAAAAAACGGAAAACTCTTTCGTCTTGCGCGTTTTTCGTCTTGCGAGGCATTCGTCTTGCGAGGTACCACTGTATTCCTTTCCATCTCACCTGAATTCCTCCACCAACTCAACAAGAGGTAGAGGGAAACGAGAGGAAAAGCATTCAGCACCTTGCTAAATTGACACTATTGGCATCCTTGTGGAAAATGTCAAACAAGAGAGCTGATTACTTCCAACTTCCTGTGGTCTTTGGATATGCTCATTCAGAATTTGGATGAATCTTGATTTATTTCACACAAACCATTAGATTCTAAAAGCCATTCAAGCTTTAGAAGATGGCTATTTAACAAACCAGCTGGTTAAGGTAACATTAGCGGCACTGTTTCTGAATTGCTAGCCTATAAGCATATATTCACTGGCACTGAAAAGCAGATTTTCTAGGCAATCATACCAGTGGTTTTACCATTAACAAAAAGGGCAAGTGTGGGGGGGTAGAACAAATTAGAGCCATCACTGAGTTTGCCAATATACAATGTATTTTTTAAAATGATCCTATCACTTTCCCTCTGGAGTGAGTAATTAAATAATTTATAATGAAGTTTCTCACTATAAGCCTATATTGCAATAGCCCTCTTTATTGCTCTGACATATGGAATATTACTCTGCCAACTATTCCAAGCTCTCAGCTTGGTTCCTCAGCTGGATGCACAACAGTCAGATTACCTCATTATATCAGTGTTATTCTTGTTTTGAACTTGCTGTTCTACAGCAAGGGTCTCAATTTGCACGCACCTGCATTTTATAATATGTGCAACACCCTTTTGATTTTGAGAATCCATTTGATGCTGTAATAAGGGCAATAAGCAACAGAAAAAGAGTTCAACAAACAGACTACTGTCTTCCCAAATGGATCAAGACCTGTATTTTCATAGCAACTAAGTGCCAACAATGGGATCATGAGAAACTCCACTGTAGATCAAAAAGGCTACTGTTGACCTTCGGTATCAAACTTTGGCCAGTGAACACCAGTAAGAAGTGGCAGGAATCAAAGAGACTCCACCAAAGCATGGCAAACCACTGCCACAGGATCTGTGTGTACAAACATATTTCCCCACTCCTCAACTCTTCATCCTATATGTGTACATTCTTTAATCCAAAGAGTGGAGAGGTAAATTCCTGCTGGTGGAACTCAGGAAAAGCAAGCATGGCCATGAGCTGTGGCATTAGTGTTTTCTGCACTAATCTAGTCCGTATCGCTTCAGGCTGATCCTAACGGCTGAAGTAGGAAAAATAATAACAATCAGCAATCAACAAGACACTGGAAAGAAAGGCTATTTATTACAAAAGTATGATGGAAATTCTATCCCATTTACAGTCAATCCCTTTACAAAAGCCAGTGCCAGTCCAAAGGCAAGTTATCCTTCCATTTAGTACCATTACATGGCAGTGCACTGAAGTAGGTTCAGTTTGAAATGCGTAGATGGTGATAATGTACAAAAGACACATACAACACACAAACACACACTTCAACATCAGCAGCATTAGTAAGACAAATTCGTAATGCAGGAAGCTGCCCAGGAGCAGTAGATAACTACATCAGACACTACAGACACACAGATGCCCAGGGCAGAGACCAAATCACTCCTTCAAAGCAATCGCATTAAGAGATGAACTACAGATTCAGGAGCACTATGTGGCGCGGTCCTCACTTCAGGGCAGAGGTGATGGGTGGCACAAATGCTCTTCCACTCCAGGAACTTCCTGCCTGCAAAAAGCTCCCATGTCATATAGAAGGGTTCTAGCCAGGCCTACCTGATATGCTAGCTGTATATGTGAAAGGTTGCTTGTTTTTAAGTAAAGAAACATTTAAACATGTGATTGATCCTCCATTTTCAGTTTGAAGTGGTACAATTCAAGATGGGCTGGCCAGTGTTTCTGAATGAGTAGTTCAGTTCTACTTACCTACCACTTAGGACTCTATGTAAATAAAATTTGCAGTTTCTGACAAACGTTATATCCCGCACTCTGGACATGGGGTTCTTGACCATAATACACAGAACGAGAAACCAATACAGAACACAGTACTTGCCGAGGAATGAGCTATCATAGTGTCATTCCACAAGAAGAACATCAGAAATTTTTTATTGCTGATTTTTATTCCTTCCTTCCTAGAAGGAATACTGTAGAATAATACTTGTTAGTCCTACACTAATATGGAAGGAAAAAAACTGTCCAAGACACAAGTTTTATTTAGGCACATATTCCATCACAACAGAATTATCTGGGTGCCAGTAAGACCACTGGAGGAGGGGGAAGGGGAGGCAGTTCTGATTACTGGATCTGGAGTCTAGGCCATGTAGATGCAGCCATTGGTAGAGAAGTCAATGATCCTATAAATGCACACTTGATCCTATAAATGTTATTACCCTTCAAACATAATGAATGATATCTGTAGAGCCACTGAGGTCTGCCTTCTACAGGGATATTTTGCACTCAAGAAAACACATAATCTGATCAATACCCTGTTTTGAGTCAAATACTTTGGAGTTTTTAAAGAAGAAAAAATGGGGGTCGTTCATTAGAACTGTGATGGAATAGGTGAGTTGCTAAGCTACGAAAGCCCTTTTACAAGCCATGAACTAATTTGTGAAAAGACACTAATGGGTTAGAGACATCAACACCTATCAACACCATTGATCAAATGGAAGGCCACTTGTCCACAGTGAAGTCATAACTGCTGCCCAGCTAAGGCACATTCACTGAAAACAACTCCAGACCACAGATCTTGCCCACAGAACCTACTTATTTGCTTACTTATATTGGTGCTACTCTTCCAACGCTAGAAAGCTCTATGTCATAGAGTGACATAGAGCTAGATAGTATTGGAAGACCAGTACCATAGAGTGACAGCTAATAGGAATGGCAAGCCTGACACTTGTTGACCTTTTTAAAGATTCTGATTCTATATGTTTAGTATCTATGATCCCCTTCTACTGTGGAAAGCAGTCCTGTCAGAAAAACTTCAAAAGAATTAGCTGCTCAAGACAGCAGCATCTTTCAGCTAGGGACAGCACTCGTAGTGTAGGTATACAGGTGTATGTTGGGATGTGAGATTTCTCAGAATGCAAGGGAAGGCGACAATAAACAGTCACCCACTGGAGTACTGCAGAATCCAAGGATGAAATGTATAGACAGCCTTGCTGAATAATTGAATTAAGTAGTAGAAATATTATCTTGATCAATATCTCTTGATCTCAGGGGGTGGGGAAAGAAATGGGTTTCCCTCCTCTGAAAAGCAACAGCGGTTGCTAATATTTAACTGCTGTAGAAAAGTACTATAACATGGAATCCACTAATAAAGGCAAAATTGAATAGTTCAGTGACTACATGATGGGACCTAACCTCAGGGAAATCTAGTCAAGAGTAACACTCAAGTGCTTCGTGAAATACAAGACAGCCAAGTCCTCTTAGTAACAGCTGGCTATCTTATTGCTTTTCTATGATTATCAACTGTATTGTTACTCCTTATATTCTATTGTACTTACAATCTACTGTTTCTCCCAGCAACAAAGATGCAGAATAATGGGAAGTTTTCGTGACTTCCCTTCTTTTCTATATATAATATCTGAGGAGTCAGGTCAGCCACATGAGAGTATTTCCTGCCACAGGAAACGGTAATAATATCAAAACCAGTAACTCATTTCAGCAATTTCCACCAGTTGTCAACAAGTGAGTTAAAATCAAAGGCTGGAACCCATCATCATCTCTGCTAACGAAAAGGCTGGTCACGACAGTCTTAAACTAGTTAAGCCAGACCAGCTAAATCAGTCTTGTGTTTCCCTTCTTAATGGACCTGGCAGCCTGACATGCCTCATCCAGCCTCTCCTGGGAATGTTGGCATATCGTCTCCATGCCAACAGAGATAGCCCTTTGATGATGGCACAGAGGGATAGGAAGTGGCAGGCTTCAAGCTTTAACACAGACACTAAAATGAATTACTGGGTGGCCTCAATTTCTGTGTCATGTACAAAAGAAGGCTTCAGGGGACCAATTTAACAGAAGCCAAGGCCGAATTTGCTCCAGAGAACAAGAGATGGAATTAAAAGAACGTTTTGCAGGGGAACGCCTTGCTCAACCTTTTTGTCAAACTTTGCTCACATTGCTGCAGAAGTGGATTCCCACTAAGCAACTGAAGAGCTCTATTCTGCTTATCAAGCTACATCCCTCCCTTTTTTGATAGCATATGACACAGAGGTTAATTCCTCCTTAAAAAAAACACCACATGCATTTATATAAAAAAAAATCAACATTCCTGTACCACAGCAGTTAGAAGCATGTTCTGCACACTCTACATTCATTAAAGAGATACAAGCTTCCCCACAGGAAGAAGTGTTAGTAGGCAACTGAATTAGTAGAATGAGTGACATCACAGCTCTCAGCACAAGCTTTAACATTATGTATTCAACTTCTAGCACGCATGCATGCACATGCACACACACACTCACTCAAAGGCACCATTCCTCACTGTCAGAGGAATTTAGGGCAGGAAACCTAAATAATAATAATAAAAACATCTTTCTCTGCTTTGGAGCTTCTTAAACAAAAGGATAATCCGATGAATGGAATGCTGCAGCTTCATTTCTGCATGAGATCTTCCAGGTAACGGTTAAAGGCTATTCTGAATGGGTGTCTGTGCTCAGACAGCAAAGGCTTTATGCAAAAACAACTCATTGCCTTTTGTGTGACGGGCAGACAGAGCACTGGATCGCAGAAAGCTTTATGCTTTATGTCCAAGTTCCTGAACTTAGAAAAGCAGTCACAAGACTCTCCCAGGAACACGTACCATATGTACACAAATACTTTTAAGTTCATGAAAAAAGAAGTTATTGGATATTAACTATCGTGGTCTCAGAAGACTGTTTCCTCTGTTACACGCACTTGATCTTTCCTGAGCTCTGTTAAATCCCTTATGAGCAGAGACAGGCAGACATGAGAGATACCCTTGCAAAACACACACGTCCTCCAACTCACACAAAATGACACCACTGTGGAGCCAATGGCTGTGGGACAGTTAACATATTGCTTGGATGGTTCAAACTTTTAAGTAGCAGCAGGTTCAAGTAAATGGGGCTCTAGGACCCACAGAGAGGTTCTCCTTCATAGTTGCCGCCTCCTCTTCTCAGACCTCAAGGTTGACAGTCCACTGCTTCAGCGCCGAAATGCTGTTGGGGAAACAATCCTTCACAGCTCTTGTGCAGTGGGTTTCACCACTTGTCTTCTTGTTTATTCCCTTTCCCCCCCAGGCTGTATCTAGAACTCCCATGTTTCCAGCCACCTAAGCCCTGCCATTGGGCTGTTGAGATCAGAAGCCAGAGGTCCTATCATTCCATAGGAGAGAGGGTGGAAGAGGTAGAAGCTGTGGAAAAAATCTAAACATGAATCAAATTCGTGGAGACCCAACGTCACAACAGTAGAGCACATAATTGGGTGAAGTAGTTATAAGGTGTAGAGCTACTTAATATACCACTGAGAAACCCTGAAATATTCAATTGTTTTGGCGGTGGCAAACTTGCAAGGCAGATCAAAGTTCTTTGACACATATTAGAGGGTCGAACCAAATGGAGGACATAAGATAAGCTCATAACACTAAGCTCTGCAGTCAAAGGGGACAGGAAATTGTGAAAGAAAAGCTTGCTTCATCTTTGCCCTGGGACGTTGCAATGAGAGATGCACCTGAGCCAGTATGAAGCTGCTAACTAAGATTGCTGCTGCTTCAGGAGAGGCAGTTTCTGAAGAGGGCAATGGCTGAATGTTAGCATTAGTCAATATCAAGAACCGTTAAGGTGACAACAAAATGGGCCACACAAGGAAACAGTCTTGTAGGAGCTTCCCTACATGGTTTCCTGCTTACTTGTCAGCATTTTTCAGGGTTTGGTAATGATGCAAGGCCTTTCCCCTCAAAAATAACCTTCAATGTGTGTTAACTATTCAGGAACCAATTCTCACCTGTAGATACTAAGCAGAATCAGCACCATTATCCCATAATTGTAAACCTTCCTAGACTGGATGCTGGCTGACAGAGCACCAGCACAAAATTTCAGAAATACATCCCATGTAATCCCTGAGGGAGAAAGAGAAAAAGGAAGATTGGGCCAGGTTAACTGAAACTAGAAAGCACAGTGGTACCTTGGTTTTAGAACGTAATCCGTTCCAGAAGACCATTCGAGTTCTGAAACGTTCGAAAACCGAAAACTCAATAGCCGAAAGCTAGGCCCCGGGATCTTGCACTCAGTGGAAGCTGCATGGTATGTTTGACTTCTAAGGCGTGTTTGAAAACTGAAGCATTTACTTCCAGGTTTACAGCATTCAAAAACTGAAATGTTCGTCAACGGAGACATTCAAAAACCAAGGTACCATTGTATCAGTAATCACATCAATATGTATAGTCACTGCCCAGGATCAACCCATCTCCCCAAGATAAATCAATTCTATTTCAATCAGATGGAGTTTTCCAGTGGCAGAAAGCTAATATTCTTTATTTTACCAGGCAAGTTAATCATGCAAGTTAGTCCCTATTGAAAAAAAGCATAAGATAAAAAATCACTCATCTTGAATTTCTCATGGCTATATTGATTCTAATATCCGTAACTTAATTTTCCTTTCTTTCAGAAAAGAATCTTCAAGCTAATATAGAAACATTGATGATTATGCTAGACAGTGGCCAGCAGGCGTGTATTTCTGGATGAAATTACTTTTTTCCCACTAGCTGATACCTTTAACATAAGAAGCAAAACAAAGAATGCTATAAAATACAGGTGATTTCTACAGCACTTGTGGCAGTAGAATGTAATCTTTACCACACAGATTGTCATAAAAACCCTCTGGGTAGGTCATTCTTATGTTCATATCGAAAGGGACAGAACTGACAAGAATTGGAGAATAAGCTGCCCAAGGCTACCCCATAAGAACTGACTTTTGAACCCAAGTCTCCCAGATCAAAGGGCAGGCCAAACTGATCTTGCTGCTGATCAAGATACAGTGCACTGAAGAAACTTTCAAAACATCAACCCTAAACCAACTATGTGACAATGATCTTTTACATTTGTGTCCTTTCAGAATTCTTAATCGGTCACAACATTTCGATTCTGTTGAAACTTGATTAAACTTACCTGTCAACATAGAGGAGAAAAGCATGGCAGGAAAGTAATGATGAAAATAGAGCACTCTGCCCATCATGAAGAAGGGAAAGTAATGGAGGACCCATCCTAGCATAATCCTTCCTCCGCTATGTAGCAGGACTCGAGAAAGCTCTGCAACAGAACACATTTCTTGAATTCTTTTTATCCTAAGCTGTATAAACATGTGTTCACAAAGCTTCCAGCAGAAATCTAGTTTTATGGAGTTTATCAAAGTGTTTGGTTTCTACCCAAAAAAGTTGTTCCAGTTGTACAAGGACTTCTGATTGTGCAACGAAACTTCCCCTCCTTCTCCCTGTGTCCTCCCACCTCCCAAAAATCTGCTCCAGAGGGTTGCGGGGGGAACCCAGAACAGATTGCAGGGCAGGCAGCGGGGAGGAGTTCAGTTGGAAATCCTTGCATGAATGCGATAACTTGGTTGGATACAATTCTGTGTGTTTTTACTCCACCAGTTTAGAGTCTAGGAGAAAATATTACTACTGCTGCATGCCCAGTGCAATGTGTTCCCGACAAGCCAACCCGGCTACACTGTAAATAACCAGATCTAATTCCAGCATGTATGTTAGCAATTGCTGTAGCTCCAAACCAGCAGAGATTAAGAAAACGAGGTAAGAGAGCTGTTTCCTCATCTGATATCACAATTCCATGCAGAAACAAAGAAGGTGTTATGGACAGTCACCTTGCCAAGAAGCTCCAAACAGTTTAAAGAGAGCATTCTGATTAAGACCCTCAGAATGTGGCTTTCCATAACTTTTGTCACTACTAGACAATGAAACATTAACAATATCACTGTGCAACAGAGAAGCCAATAAATGAAATAAGCAGCAGCTGACAACTCTCAAAGACCCAGTAGATGACTATCCTTCAGCTGTCAGGAAGACAGTAAAACCCAAAAAGAATAGTCCCAATCAGGAATTTTCAAGAATTTCCAAGAATATGAAGTCTGAGAAGGAATTGCTCTCTCAGGCTATTTTCCTTGTCATGAGAACCTTAGAGCAGTAACAGTAGCTTTTCAACTTCAAGTTCCTTGGATTTTCTTTGCTTGATCAACACTAATCATCTCCCTGCTCCACATGCACAAATAAAAAACTTTTACTGAAGGGAATGTGGTCTAGCATTTACTACATGGACTTTCTCCTTTTAAGTTGCCTCCTGCAATTAGAAAGGACCAGAACGTCTCTTTAAAAACTAGGCCGAAATCCAGCAAATTCACCTTTGTGAGCTGTTACCAGAGGCAGATTTAGGGGTGCATGGTGGTTCGTCTGCACTGGGTGCCAAGCTGAGAGGGCACCACAGGGAGCATCGCAACAAGGACTAAAATGGAAAGTAAGAGGTAGGGGAGCTGCTGCTGAAATCTGAAAGCCCGAAGTCTTCCATTCCTGTTGCACTCCACCCATTGCTATCATGATTCCTTTGATACTGCACTCAGTGTCCTCTCATGGATAGTGGAAGTAGATATGCAGCAGGAAGCCATAGTGATTATAAAACAGAAGAGAAGGTTATAGACCCAGAAAGTAGGAAATTTACTTTACCTTTGTGCTCAGCTTTTAGCCGAACTCCCCTCTTCATGGCCACAGAAACGAATATTGCCATTGTGATATACAATCCAAGAGTAATTAGGTTCAGCCACCAGATCACCTGTGAGGGAAAGCCTTGCAAGTAGACAAAGATGCACAAAAGGCACCATAAAACTACAGGGAGGGGAATGAGAGGACCTATCTGGAGGGAAGGGAGGGAAGCCAAATTCCCTCATCCCACCTAGGGGAATGAAAACCATATTCTCCTTACCGGATTTCCCAGCAAATAAACCCTGTAGTCTGTTTCATTGACTCCAGAAAAACGAAGGCCCTGTGGAGAAATTGATGGCCACCATCAGTATGTGATCAACACAGGTTTTTTCAGTCTACATTTTGCCTTAAGCTTGAGGTTTCCATAACAATAAACATCTGTGTAAGAAACAAACCGGAACAATGTATCGTATGTGGTGGGAGTGTGGACTTATCAAACAATTTTGGAATAATATATATGAGGAAATTTTAAAAAACGTTTAAAATAGCCTTTATTAAAAAGCCAGAAGCATTTTTTCTAGGCTTAATTACAAATGATATTCCTGGTGATAAAAAGAAAGTATTCCTATATAGCTGCAAATTGGAAAGGGGGGGGGGGATTCCATCAGTAAGAGAGTGGCAAATCAAACCATGTGCATACATACTTTGCAAGATTAATGGCAGTCTTAAGAGGACAATCAGACCAAAAATTAATAAAAGAATGGGACTGTGTTAAAGAGTATATGAAAAAACATTGTTCTGGAATAAATATATTGATCTGTGACAAATGAAGTTTGCAGGCGTAAGGAAAAGAAAAAAATAAGTTATGAAAGGTAAAAAACCAGAAGTAATAAATGTACATATGCATACAATAGAACGAAAAAGAAAAATTGAAAATGTGAAGTCGCTAAAGGATGGAAGGAAGTCAAAATGTATGTATGTATGTTTGGTTATGTTTTGTTATAGTCATTGTTTTTCTTGTTTGTTTTTCTTTCTTTTTTCTTTTCTCCCCCCCCCCCTTTGTTTTAGTTTTCTAATTAATGTTTTGTTTTATTTTTATCTTATGTTGTAACTTGGCATGGGAAAAAACAAGCAATAAAAATCCATTAAGATCAAAGATTTCCATAGGCATCCTCCATTAAAAGACAGAGAAGTGTCTCCGATGCAATAGCGTTTAAAGCCCTACATTTAAAACCCACAATAGTGTTTAAAGCCCTGAATGTCCCAGGCCCAAAAAATTTGAAAGACGCCTCCCGACAGATCCTCTTGGGTGCTAAGATTGGCAGAGGAGACCCTTTTGGGAGTTCCGCCACCCTCAAAAGCTTTGGGGGAGAGGTGGCCCAGGCAAGGGCATTATCTGTGGCACTCCCCTATCCTGCTGAACTCCCTCTCCATAGAGGTGAGTCTGACAACTTCATTATGCAGTTTTCTGCAAATGCTGAAGACACACCTCTTTACCCTGGCCTTTGACATTTGAGATGTGATTTTTAAAGTTGTACTAATACTGTTTTAAACTGTGTTTTAATTGTTGCAACCTGCAAAGAGTGGGCAATAAATTGGAATAAACAGAGTAGCAATAGTGTAGCGTCTATAATCAAACCTCATAATTATATGAGGAACTATTTCTGTCTTTGCTGTTCCGATAGTCGCACAGCAGCAGCCCCTGTTGTCTGGGAGCCAATGGTTATTTAACATGTCGTTCCTTAGCAGCAAAAACCACGGGAGGGCAAATCAGAATTGGTCTTCTGCAAAAGCCATTTAAAGCAAGCCTTCCAAAAAATTCCCAGATACAATTGAAGATCAGCTCTTCACAATGTCACCTTGAAAACAATGAGATACAACATAAAGTTAAACAAGTTACAGTGCCTCAGAATTTGTTTTGCCCACATACTTGGTAATTGATAGGCCAGTGCCAGGGTTTGGATGTGACTTCATTCTCCTTTGGTTTGAGGCCACTGTTCCCCTACAAGGAAAAACAACAACTATATTCAGTTAACAGCTATGCTGCAATAAATATTCTCCCTCAATATATATTGATATACAAGCTTTTACTTGTAAAATGAAAACTAAAAAGACCCTTGTTGTATCAGACAAAGTGCTCCAGAATCCTGTTTCACAAAGTAGGACATGAGAGCCATAGCTCTCCTCCATCAACTGATAATACGAGACATACTGCCTTTGAATCAAGATAGCTATCAAAACTTGTAGCCGCTGATACTTATCCTCCAGATTTGCATGTGTGTGCAAGTTACAGACCCCTCTTTTTGCAAAAAGTCAAGATGCCTTTTTGCATGTCTAGATGAACGGCATATAGATCTTTCCTTGGGAAGTTCTCTCCCGTTACTGTAGTCTAGAAGTGAACGAATTTCCCGAGGAAATATCTAAATGCCGTTCACATAGGCATGCTAGGCTTCCCCAGATAGTAGTGGAACAGATTACACCCAGGTGCCTATGCTAAGGCTACCATGTCTCTCAAAGACCTGCTTCTTATTAGAAAAATGTCTGAGGAAATAGCTTGTTCTAAGGTTAAGCAGCAGAAGTTCCATAGCTCAAACATTCAAAACCCTGAAATAACAATGCTGAATCAAATCAGAGGTTCTTTGCAGCAAAATCAGAGAAACACAAGCATTAGGTTCTGTGTTCACATGGCAGGGCAAGGGACTGGGTCTATAGCTCCATAATAATGAAAGCTAAACATGTTGCAAAACTTGATTTTATTCAGTATCTACAGGAAGGGCTAAGGCAGGAGACTAAAAAGGGTATATACTAATTATTTATCACAGTTCACAGTTAACCACCTATATTCTAGCCAGATTGTACATTGAGGGCCTTTGCCATTTAATTTAAACTGGCTAAAAACCATTATGTATATCTGGCTGCTGGAGCTGGAGCACACAGCCTGAGACAGACACTCATGTTTACAAGAACAATTCTCTTTCCCATGCAAAATATTTTCTTCAAATGTATGTTCTCTCTAGGCAGTCTCTGTCTCAGAGGGGAGGAACAACAAGAGATGGTTATCATAACCCTGTGTGTGTGAGCTTTGCAGGGACATCAGGCAGAGCACCACTGGAGACAGAATGCTGGAACTGATGGACCTTTGGCAATCCTTATGACATTAACAAGCATTTGCTCAAAAGCTAGTCTGTGTTCATGCATGCACACATGTACTTCTATTTCTTGTCAAATATATTCACACTGCCCTCTAGTGGAGGCAGCCTAAAAACTTTCACACAACAGAATTTAATGAGATCACTATCCAAAGGGGAAGGGTTCAGAAGCCTCCCTGAAGAGAAGATCTCTACAGTCCTTTATTGTGAAATCTCCCACAAGATCCCACCGGGTTTGCTTTCACTCTGGAAAGAAACTATCTTTAGTTTAGATAAATTGAATTATTCTTACAATCTCAGTGTGCGAAGCTTTGAGGGTTCTGAGTTGTTGTTTTTGGTAACTGCTTTTTAGAAAAATCAACAAATATAAATAATGTCGCTTCCTTGTCGAGAGGAACGTATTAATAGCATTGCTATGAAAGAGAGTTAATACTAGTTTTTTATTTCTTCAGCTGTTACGTTTGACAGCTTCAGATAAATTTTACGCCTACACAAGGACGTTTCTTAACATCTCAGAATAATCCGACTCTCAGTCAGAATCAGGATGACAAAAATCTTGGACACAATGATAACTGGTGGTCTCAAATAGCGAGGAGCTGTCTGGACACAATACTCCAGGGGCCCAGCTCTTCCCTTCATCCATAACATAGCTGTCAACTTTTCCCTTTTCTTGTGAGGAATCCTATTCGGAATACGGGAATTTCCCTTAAAAAAAAGGGAAAAGTTGACAGCTATGATCCATAAGCATTCTCACGCACACATGAAAAATGCAGAAGAGCTGCACATACCTTTTAAAAATGTGTGGCTTTATTACTTATATCAGCATACTATCAATAGCACACACAATATGTCTCTTCCTTCATTTATTGGCACAGTCTTCCCCATATTTGATGGATGCCAGAGATTTGTGAAGTACCCTCACTGATCACACAAGATGTCTTGAGAACTGCACTATTAAACATAAACCTGCTGAACCCCATAATGCTTCTTCTATTCCAGATAGTACCCAAGTTGGCACAGTTAACGCAGAAATAAAAGGAGTGTTTTTCTACAAAGGAAAGAAAGTTACAAACAAAATGGAACCCAAGCCAGTCTACCTACTCGGATCATAACCATGTGAGACTCGAGCAGAATCTCTGGAAAGGAAGGTTTCAGAACATCCAAACTGATATTGGGCACTATGGAAAAGAAGACAGTTTAAAGTGGGATCTCATATGTTGATTAAGTACATACATTAATGATACATAGACATTCCCTCTGCATTAAATTAGGTCCCAGGTGCGGGCAAAGGTCAGAAGGTGGTTGTTGGTGTGTTTTTTTAAAAAAAGGACAATAAACCCATGAAACACGATACCTTGAAAAGCCATCTTTCCCCCACTTTTTCCTGCTGTGCACTAAAATGTCAAACTAGAATCTCAAGAAGCTTCCTTGTATATATAACAAAGACATGCTTAAATCCAGTCATTGGGGAAATTATTCAGGAATTCTAATTCTTAATATTTTGCTTCAATTGCTTTATGGAGCTTTCCCTCTTCAAAATCGACAAGCAATAGGAAGGGGAGGGGAAATCTTAATATTTTGATGACAAAAAGGTACATTCAATCACATACACCTGGGATTAATGTGATCTTCAACATTCCAGAGAGAATTAGGAGACTCCTTCTGATATGGAGTGCAGGTGACTTCTACCTGCTCCCAGCCCCTGTGAAACAAGAACCATCAGTAAGTCATCAATAAAACTTCTGAACTTGTCTATCCCAACTTGCATTCATATTCCATAACATCTCTTTGTGTCAGAGACCCTTTTCTTACAGAAACATTGGCCTTTCAGAATTCACACTGAACCAAAAGACAATCTAAGGGAATCAAAAGTCATATTGAATTGCTGTTGTAACTGTTTTAATTGTAGTGCTGTTTTAATGGGCTTATTCTCTGATATATTTTAATTGTGGATGTTTATTTTAATGCTTTGATGAAATTGTTTGTGTGTTTAATTAGGTGTGTTTTACACTTGTAAATCATTGAGATGCCACCTTGGCAATTAAGCAGTATATAAAATTAATAAATCATCACCACCATCCTCTAAGATAGATACACATACATATAAATACATATATTTATGTTCTAGTTGCATAACTTAAACCAGTGCTTTTTTTTCTAAAAATAAAATAAAATTAGTGGAACTCTCATTTTCCAACTCATATTGAAATACTGCCCCTCAATGAGGCCAAATTTAGATTCACAAAATGTTTAGGGGTATGTGTACCCCTGCATCCCCCCAGAAACAAAAGCACTGACTTAAACATTTAAGTTCAAACAGTGGCCTTGTTTACACAAGCACTGGACACGGCCTTTTTAAAAAAATAGAAGAAACAAGTTATATGATTAGAATTGGCAATATGCATCTAGCTCACACTTTTTAAAGAAAAGCTTTAGAAACTGTACCTTGGTGATTTACATATTTGGCAGGGTGCCATAAATGTATACCCCCCATTTCAAAGGAAGACTCACGCATCCTTTCAAAGGCATGGGAATAATTTTACATCTGTAAAGTGTGAGAAACAGACCTAGGATAGCCCACATCTATGGTGACCCTACTAAGAGGAACAATCTGCTGTCAAGTGAGGAAATAGTAAACTGTATATGCAGTAACAGCCAGGCTCTTGCTACATGAGGAATACTCTGGAAACCAAACCACACTCCCTGCTCCTCACACTCATTTAATCTTTACTAGGCAACAGTTCCCGTTTCTTGTGTTTATATGTCTTGTTAAACTATTTTAAAATTGGTTTTATCTAAGTACATTGTTCTCTTGCTAGTTTGCTGGTTCCTGAAGTAGAATGACCTGGAATGAAAGAGTGCATTTTCTAATGCTCAATTATCACAATGGTTTCAGGTTAACTGCTTTTCTAGCTAAAAGATGTCCGGGCTTGACAGCTTTACGAGTTCAGCCTTGACAAGCAGATCCACTTACATAGAGACCGAAGCACACATATACACCATTGTGCAGGCAGAGGACAGCCAAAGCATTCAGAAGAGCTTTTTGTTCCCCGCACCTGCTCTTCCCTAGCAACTTCCACAACAAAAAAGTCCATTGATCCTTTTTGTTAGAGAGCAATTATATTGACTGTTCAAAACATGTGAACTGGCAAGTAAATAAGCCAAACATTTTCAGAGGAGAATTTTCTGCTATTACAAAGCTTTTAGTACAGACAATTGCATGGCAACTAAAACTCGTAAGAAGGATAGCTGAGAAACACTATGTATAAAAGAGAAATAAATGACTGCTAGAAGTTAACTGATGCTTTCTCTCACACAGCATATAAAAGGCAAGTTCATTTAAGGAACTTCACTTAAGATTCCTGCCTTCTCCTCCTGCTATATCACATGCCTGATTCTACATTGCTCAGGAGGTCCCCCTCCCAACCTCTGGAAAGGTGTTTTGGAGGCTGCAGGTGGCTACAGGGAAAAGGACGGGGCAAAAATCCTTCCATCTGTGAACTTCCTTAAATTAACTTATCTTAGGATCCAAATTAATAGTGAGGACTTTTACAGTAAACAAACACCTACAAGGCAGCACAATTGAGGGACAGAAGATAAGCGACATTTGGGCTTTGGCCCTAATATTCAATTACTTTGTCCTATTTCTTAATAAAGAAACAAGACTGTGCTCAAAAAGGAACAGGCAGACAGATATGGGGCTATGCTGAACAATACAGTGGACATTCTGCCTCGCCCCACTGAGCCAGAGAGGTCCCAAGAGGGCACTTAGAAGCCACGGGTCTGCAGGCACTGTGCACTGCCTTAGGTAAATGTGGTTGCTGTGTCCTGCTAAAGACTTTGGCAGGGGTCTGGGTTGAAGCCTGAGAGTGTTCAGAGCATGATGGCCAAGAAAAAGGTTTCTGGCTCTTCGTTTAAATGGGGCAGGAGAGGAGGAAATGGTTCTCCCAGTGGTATCTTTTTAAAGTGGCAGTAACATAGTAACCTGGAAGAATGGACAGTTATTTTAAAGTAACAGTAGCCAAGGTAAGTTCATTATATAGTAACCTTTCAAACTAAGCATAACCCTTCATTTTTATTATTTGTTAATCAAAGCTAAAACGCATATTACATTGTTGTTCTGCTTTTAAGTGGTGCCTCACACCTTTTTGCCACAGCTACTGGTGAGTGATCTGAGGTTTATTATTAACCAGTCATTTAAATATATACGGTGGCAGAAGGGGAAATAGGTTTGAACAAATAAGTAAATGAGTGTAAGAGTTGAAGTGAAGTGGGAAAAGAGTAGCTAATCCTTTGACAGTTTGGTGACCACAAGGTGGGTGTATAATAATAGCTATAATAATCCCTAACAAGTGATGGCAGCTGTGTGAGATAGATAAATAAAGGAATACTTTGCAGGCAAAATGAATAGTGCAATCAGGAAAAGAACACTGGATGTCATGGAAATGCTCTCAAACACATTTTGAAAAGATTTTATGGATGTGTTTTCCTCATACTCAGGGATATGACAGACAACCATATTTGGAACTAGAAAAGAACTCATTACCATGCTGGAGTGACAGTGAGCTGGTTGCAATGGGGCTTGTCTTATTACTATTATGATTGTTATTATTTCCTGCATAGCTTGCCGTATAGTGGTTAGTACTCTGTGTTGTGGCCACAGCAACCTCGGTTCGAATCCAAGTCATAGCAGGAAGGAATGCGCATGTTTTGAGCCAGCGTGGTGTAGTGGTTAAGAGCGGTGGACTCATAATCTGGTGAACCAGGTTCGTGTCCCCGCTCCTCCACATGCAGCTGCTGGGTGACCTTGGGCCAGTCACACTTCTTTGAAGTCTCTCAGCCTCACTCACCTCACAGAGTGTTTGTTGTGGGGGAGGAAGGGAAAGGAGATGGTTAGCCGCTTTCAGACTCCTTAAGGGGAGTGAAAGGCGGGGTATCAAGTCCAAATTCTTCTTTTTCTTCTTCTTCTTACCTGTCCTTCGCTATAAGGTCCCAGAACAGGTTACAGCAATTTCAAAACACATTATTAAAAACAGTTTAAAACAAATTTCCATCACAAGAACAGCATGGATCCTGAAAACAGATATTTCAAGTGACAAAAGCCAAAGAGTAAAGACAATGTTGCCGTTCCTGCTGCACGTGACACTGGTCACTCACTTTAAATCATCCCAAGCTCAAGCGTCAGAAGAGCCTTCAGCAATGCATCTGTTTTCTACAATGCAGCCCCAAATGCACTGAATCACATATTAAAAAGGAGGAAATCAAGAAGGATATGTGCTGTCTTGCTCTGGAGGTCCCTTCAGGCTCAAGAATTCCATGAAAAATGACTCCTGGATATTTACCATTTTGGCAACGTCTTCCCAGTTGAACCCAAGAGGCAACCTGTAGCCACGTGAATCAGCCTGATCCGACTACGTAGCACTTTGATACGCTTCCCAGTCTTTCTTCCCACAACCTCAATTCGCCAGAAATCATTGCAGTCTCCAGTTCCATTCTAGGAAATGTGCATACCAAGAAAAAAGGGGGGGACACACACAGAGACAAAGAAGAGCTATTATGAATGAGAGAGGAATTCGGTTTCTGAAGCTTCAAGGCAGTAGCAGTACTTGTGAGGAGCTAATGAGGCCCTTCAGCATTGCCCTATCCAAACAGCAGCAGTAAGTAGCCATTCCTCATAGGGGAGTTGCTCCAGCCACTTTGATCATCTTGGTTTATTAACAAAGGCTTGTTTTATGGTTGCAGATTATAATTAAGGAGGAGACACCTTAACCACGATCTGGGGTAACATGCTATGTCAAAACTTGTGTTACCTGCCATACTGCACTGTGTTAAAAGCAGTAGCACAGTGAGTGCGAGTGAGCCAGCACTGTCCCAGTAGACCACAGTTTGGTTTACTGTGGTGTGCAAAACATTGCAATGTTTCTGCTGTTCTTTTTGCCTCCACTTTTTAGGGCCAATAAATAAACTGCACTGCTGCTCCCCCACTCCCACCCCACATTTGGATTAAAAAGTTACACAGAACTGTTAGTCGACTGCTGAAAAGGTTTACCACAATACACTTTTTCACCTCACAAGAATGAAAGAAAAAAATCTTTTCATAAAGGTTAATGGTTGTACATCCTTCAACCTAGACACCAATAGGTCATAACAAGTGCAGAAGACAATAAAACTCAGTCATGCTGTTTAAAGAGCCGTAACTCCTTGAAGTCAAGCGCTGGCACAGGTTGGCTTTTGTATTTCATGTTACATCACTGTAGTTTATATGAGGGTGAGGCACTCTCAGTATTCTCCAATAATCTCAAGCATTTCATACAGGGGTTTTTTTTTTAATATGAGCTAAAAATTCACACTGCAGCTTCCTGTTTTTTTATGAAAGAATCATGGATTTTGAGCAGCTTAAAAGAAAGAAAACCCCAAAAGGAGAAATAATCCTTTGTTCTGGGACTATATTCCAGGGCGGGCAGAATCAAGTTTTTTCTTTGTTCACTTACTATGCCATACCCAGTGACCTGAAGATGCTTTCTCGTCAAGGGGGCTTCATGAGGGTGACTGTGCAGGTTTCTAGAAGTCCTAAAGTTAAAATAAAATCACATTGTTTGATTTTATCCCTAGAACAGTTTGAGCACTGAAAGTTGATTTCAATTAAAGAAAACTTGGTTCAAACATTTTCTGTCATCTTCAACACAATTAAATATGGTGACACTATAGAGATGTTATGCCAAGTATACAGGCGGTGACCATTTTAGGCATGTCCAAATGACACACGATCGCCGATGTGTGGGTCCTTCTGGGCCCAGAAGAGGGCAGGATGGGGGCGGAGAAGAATGGGGGTTGGGTGGGGCGGAACGAGATGGGGCCAACTTATGTGTGCTCCGCTGACATGCACAGGGGCCGGGAACAGAACCCCCTTTCAAAATGGTTGCCACCTGCTTCTGTCAAAATTTGCACGTCAAGATTACTATTTACAGTGAGGTCCACATTCTCTCTCACGGTAGCAGATTCCAGGAATACTAGTGAAGTTAATTTCTTAGCGCAAGTAAAGAGTATCTAATGGCACTTCAAAGACTATCAGGGGATAGCACACAGAAGAGAGAGTCATCAACAAGGTCTGTTCTAACCATGGTGTAGTTACTGGCAGACCAGATATCTATTACCATACTCAACCAGAATTGCTACTTCAGGCAATTAGCAATCCTCACATTTCCTAAACAGCTTACTCTTTGTGTTCCAAACGGATAACGTCTCCATGCCTTACAAACTCCACAGGGAGGGAAGCATCTGAATGATCTGGTGAAACAGAAGAGGTCACAGCATGAAATCTGAGGCTGATGGAAAAGATGTAAGAATGCCAATATCAAATAAACTAGGAAAGCATCATAAAAATATCATCTTTCCAACATCTCTAGTTCAAATACAAAAAACAACAACCCTGAAATATTTCCAATGACTTTCCAACATTATCATTATGATAAAAAGCTTCTCTAACAGCAAACAAAATGTATCGCTAGTAAGACAGCACTCTTCCTAGGATGCCACAGCATGCAAGTGTTAGAAAAACATTAAAATTCCTGAACATTCAAACTGTGGCCACAACCAGCAAGATGAACAAGGAGCTATGTTCAGCACTAAAGACAAGTTTCCTTTTGAAATATTTCATTCTGATCTGACCAGACTTTAATTCAGCTAGATTACACAACTACTAACTTGGATCTGAGTCTCTTGTGTTTATACTTTTATACAAAAGGGGTAACTACGATTTAATTTTGCACTAATATATTTCAATTTGAAAGTATATAAACCATCTGTTAAACTGATGAAACAGCAGGCAGCAGAGATAAATCTGGGCATCTCTCAGGGGAGTATTATGCTGTAGATGCACCGCAGGATTAGATCAGGAGGCACATTTTATTTTATACTTTGAAATGGGCCAGCTTTGCCACTGCCCAAAAACACAACCTCAAATGCTTATCCAATTCATCTATGTTGCCGTCCCTAGCCCATGCCACCAAGAGGCAGGCGCTCCAAAACTTGCCTTCCAGCGCTACTGGACTATTTAAAAAGCTTGCAAAAACCTTGTATAATGACCTCCCCACAATAAGGAACCGAGTTTATTATATATCAGATCTAATCTGCCACTAGACATGGCACAAGACAGTTCACTGGAGTGGTTGGACTAGGACCTGGGAAACAAGAGTTCAAATTTCTTCTCAGCCATGAAGCTCACTCGGGTGACCTTTGGCCAGCTATAGTATCTCAGCCTAACCTACTTCATAGGGCTGTTGTGAGGATAAAATGGGGAGGAAGAGAAAGCATGAATTGTTGGGATAGCTCAGTCGGTACAGTATATGACTCTTAATCCCAGTCTCGTGGGTTCGAGTCCCACGTTAGGCAAAAGATTGCTTTATTGCAGGTGGTTGGTCCATTCCAACTCTACAATTCTATATCCTATGTACGCCACCTTGACCTTCTCAGAAGAAAGGTGGATATGAATGTAAAAAATGAATTATAAAAATAAACAGAAGTGGCAAGTGTGCCCCTCCAAGGCAGTCTTGAGAAGACTCACAAAGAAGCACTAGGAGACAGATCTTGAAGTTCTGTGTTTTGGCACCCATTCAGGACAGGCAAGTCCACAGGACCTGAGAACAAGTAGATGCTGCCCTTACTTCCATAGTCACAGACAAGACCACAGACATGAAAGGGCAGAGACTGGCATCCACACTCCCCTTTACCCAGAACCCAGTAGACCATGCACCATCAGCAAGGAAGAGATGTACCACTGAATATGCTGCCTCAGAGGGGTATCAAACACAGCCCAGTTTATACAATAAGTGAAGGAAAATGATGCATACTACTTGGAATGCCTTAAAGGAGGAGAGGCAGAATATAAATGTAACAAACAAACAAGCAAGCAAGCAAACAAACAAACAAACCAATAAAGTAATCCCTCAGATTTAGAAAAGAAACTAAAACTCCTAAGGAAAAGGGAGATCAATTATCTTGAAGAAGGAAAAAACCAGTTACATATTTCACCGTTTTATTCTCAAGTTACCTGCTTTCAAGTTGTGTTTCTTTATAATCCACAGGTTATTCAAGTCCTTATGCAAATATGCAGTGACCTAGAAGCACAGAGAAGTCATTGCATTCCATCCCTTCAAAAATACAAGCAGTCTAGTCTTTGTGCATTCACTACAAAGGCAATGCTATGCATTTCTGAATGACCCAAGTTTGTACCCAATGCGTGCGCGCATGCACACACGCGCGCGCACGCACACACACACGCGCGCGCGCACACACACACACACACACACACACAGCAATTGCAGTTTGTTGTGAATAGCAGAATAGTTACTGCTTTTATGATTTATTGTATTTTTAAATGCATTTTTAAAATGCATTTTCCAAAGAAGCCAAATCTATGTATGACCCAAGATGCATATTTGACTTTGGGGGTGTTATTTCCACCCTGTGACACTTCACCCCCCAAATGACCAGTTATTTCTGTGCTGGACATAGGCTTTTACATCAATGTGTTGTGCACACAACTGTGATACAATATAATATTTGAAGTCAACTCTATTTGAATTAAGAAATGCATGGAACCAGAAATCTATACTGCCAAAGTCTAGAGCAATGCTCCCTGCCTTATTCTCACCCCTGTCCTGTGTTAGTCTTCCTAAGAATTCACCCTGGACTCCTTGGGTTCAATATCACTGCCATAAGATGGAAGTGCTTTTGGAGAACACTTGTATTCTAATGATTGTGTGAACTACTCCAGTCCTGCAAGCGAGTGGTACAAGACCTGCGGGAACAGGGAAAAAGCCTAGATAATCCATAACCCAGCCTCCTGTTCACCACACTGGCGAACCAGATGCCTCTGGGAAGGTTACAAGCAGGGCATAAGTCCAATAGCCCTTTCCTGCTGTTGTTCCCTAGTGAGGGGTATACAAAGGGATACTGCCATCAAGACTAGTAGCTACCGATAATACTAACAGATCTCCTCAAGCACTACATGAGACTTTCAGCCTGCAAAGATGCTGGAAAAAATCCATAGCAAGAGAGGAACATGAAACAACCATTATTTGTACTAAGAGGACATGAAGCAGCTGAAACAGCACAGGTCTCAGACAGATTTTGACTTCTAAGCCATCTAGAAGTATTTCTGCAAGGCACTCCCATGTCTGAAAACAACACAGGAAGGGCTTATACACCTGCCAACTTCAAAAGCAAACGTGCACAGACACCTTTCCAGTGTTTTAGTCACATGAATGGCTTACGGCAACACCAGCAAAATGTGACATTCCAACAATTCACTGACCTGCTGTTGCCGTGCTCCCACACCCTCAGGATACAGGTGCCAGTGTGAGTGAAGGTATCCGCCTGCCATACGAAGGTTTTTCATTGTTATCACAGAGCCATATGCCAAGTCTAAAGGAAGAGAGCAATGGTTTAAGGTGGTTCACCTATGAACTTCCGGGTTAGCGCCATCGGAACCCGCTCCGTGAAAATCGGGTCTTGCTGCCGCGGCGAAGGCGAATACCCTTCAAAAATCCCAGGTGGAGGAAGCCTGGGAACGTGGGATTCGGCTGACACCAAGAGCGCCTCCCCTACTCGCAGGGAAACCCTTTTTCGGGGATCCGAAGCGACGTGGGGTGAGCGGCGCGGTGTTTTGAATCGACCGCTACTTTTACGGAGTGAAGCCGCACAGCCGTTGCCGGAGAGCGCTGACTTTTTCCTGTGGACAATTGGACTCTAAACAAGTACCCGTGAGTAGAATGGAAAATTGGACTACGAAACATTTTAATTTGGCACCGAAGCGGGAAGGTTCTAAACAGGAAGTCCGCCTTCCGCTTTTGTAAGTAGACTGAAGCAAAAATTTTGCAAGCTAAAGTCTGGAAAGTCGTATATAAAGGACTAAATTTCCATCAGTTATAACCACCAAAACCCCTCTTGGAAGCAGGAGAAGAGGGGGGGAATCTTAGATTGTTCAAGCCTGCAGGAGAGAGAGTAAAGAAAGATAAATTTCCACCGTCTCAAACCTGGGAACGGGGTGTCAGAGACAGAAATTTTTGGGGAAGTTCATTGACTGTGAATGGAACGTCTTTTGACAGATAGTTAAAAAAGAGAGACATATTGATTCCAATGTTGCCTTTTGAATTCAAAAGACAAGCGCTTTGTTGGAGCAGCTGCATGAGAAGATGGATTTGATGACTGTTGCAGTCAAAAACTTTGGACAAACAGTGAATACTCATAGAGAAACCATTCAGGAACCAACCCAGGAATCTGTTTTGACAGGGCAAGTGCAAGTGCAGAAGATAATGGAGGAGGTTGCTGTTGAACCTCAAGTAACACAAATGGAGAGACCTGAGGCCCTGCAGGAGCATAAGCTGCTGTTTTTGAAGACTGAACCTGGAGAAAGTCAGATATGGAGAGAGGGAGTATCGTTTGGTTGGGAGATGGGAAGTGGGATGGATCCCCCTAGGCAGGGACGTTTTGGTTTTCGGGATTTGATTTTGGGCCGGGGGGGTCTCGAGTTGTGGGGGCTCTTAACTTTGGAGGGACTTTGAAACATGCTTTTAAATACTTTCTGGACTACAGTGCTGACTGTGCAGAATGGGCTGATCTGTTGAGGGGAGACGGAGATATTGTTGGGTTGGAGTCCCCCCAAGACCTACTCCTCAATGAGAAAGGAAAGAAATTAAGAAAAAGATCAACAAAAGACAAGGTAAAGTGCAGGTATAAACAAGAAGATCTGCAGAAGGGACATGGAAAAGACTTAAGAGCCTCGGACACAAGATCGCCAGGTTGATGGACTAGATGGAACGGACAGTAAGGACTGACATAACCCGAGACCAGGAAGAAGAGACATTGGATGAAGATCGGAAGAAAGTTTTTAAAAATTTATTTTGAGAATTAGTGTAAAATTAATGAGTATTAGGAAAAATGTTGGAATGAAACTATTTGGCTTTAGTAGAAATGATATAAGGAGTCGTGTATAAATAAGTATTAAGTTTTAAGGTACTTTATGGTAAGATAAGGCTAAAATAAATTAAGGTAAATTGAATGACAGAATATAGTGAAAGATGGAAAGGATTTGCTGAGTTAATTAATAGGTTAGACCGTTAAGATAAATTATTCAACAAAAATTGAGAAAGATGGAAAGAATTTGCTGAAACAATTAATTAAACTAGAATACAAAAAGGGAGGTGTGAGGAGGTCGATGAAACAAGTAAATGAAAGATAAAGATATGGAATATTGGATGTGTGTTTTAATGTTATTGGTTTTTTTGCTGTATTGTAGTATTGGTTTTTATGTTTTTTTTATGCATTGTAATGTATGTCTTGTTAAATTTTTTGTTGTTTTCTTTTCTTCTTTTTTCTGTAATTTTTAAACTTCTATTAAATATCATTAAAAAAATAATAATAAGGTGGTTCACCTATGACGGTATTGCAAATGGAACACAAATAAGTTGTGTTGTTAGTTGTCCTCTGTGTTACAGAGGTGCAAACAGCCTTCACTTGGAGTTGAGCATTTAGTGTTACTGGTCCCATGCTGTGGAACGCTCTTGCAGCAAACATTTGACAGACATCCTTCCACCCCCCCCCCCATTCTTCTTCCTTTCAGACACCTCTTGGAGCCTCTCTTATGGCAACAGGCCTATGGGGTTATCCAAAATGTCCCAAGTAGCCAGTCATTTTAATGATTGCTTTGTATTGCTTTTAAATGTGTTTATGTTGTTATATACTACCGTGATGTTTTGGAAGAGGGCGGTGTATAATTTTGTGAGTAAGTAAAACATATTGGCACCTGTGTACTGGAAATGCTTGCAGAAAACCAGCCACAAGGGTGCGGGATACACAGTCATTAATCATGACCAAGATTCCACTGTGCTGTGAAACTGCTGCCACCACAGAATCATCATGTGGCGGCCATCATGGTCTGATGTGACTGCAGCTGCTATTTCAAGACAAGCTGAACTTTCACTAGTCCACATTGACTTGCATTAAAAAAAACCAAAAAACTTGCAGTGTCATTTACCATCATTTACAAAATCCATTGGGAAATCAAATTCTCATAGATATAGAAGCAGATATTTTAAGATGTGGAATTTGAGCAATGAGGGAGGCATTCAAAGACGTTATTTCAGAATACTGCAACCAATCTTTTAGGTTTAAGAAGATAACAGTATTTTAAAAATATATGTGACTTCATTAATTAGGTGAAATAATTCCAGAATTTGTTTTTGCAGATACAGCCAACTTTTCTTGGAAAAACATCAGAAACCCACACACTCCACCTGCCCCCAAATATTCCTGTTGATTTCTGCAGATTTTAAATCACATGTTTCTTATTCTTTCTAGATGTTTTGCTTTTTCTTCCTGTTGTGCAGGGAACGGGGAATCAAATAACCACAGAAGAAACACTCTGACAGCACATCCTTAGCTCATAGGCTGAAGTGAAGGAGGTGCAGTGACAACAATTTATCCCCCCAATTATCACTGCCTCTCTGCACTCCCACCACTGCTGCTTGGGTACAATAGGGGTCCACATTTCCCCAAAACTCTGTTAACTGTACTGGTAACCAAGTGCCACTTATTTAATGTAACCAGAGGGTATAGAATGGTTCAGGTAGCACAACAGCTGTTAGGCAACAGTCTCACCCTACAAAGAAAATATGCCCGTTGGGAGATCACTAGCATGAGACTACTGAATCAAGATGACACACATTTACACTGGCTTCAGACACAGTCTGCCAATTTAGTTTAGCAGATCAGGATTTCTCCAAGGTGGTGCCAAGAACTACAACTCGTTTTATTCCAATACGGAAATATATAATTAAAAGTTATTGTTCCATTCGTTTGTTTTTTGCATCTTTTGAGGTTCCATCAACTCTCTCATTATGCATTTTATATGCTTCCGCCACACTTGTGCTCAGTTCTAAACTTTCCACTCCGAACCCACAAGTGACAAAGATCAAAATGTTCAGAAATAATTCCAAGGTGGTTCAGATCACCATTCCAAACACACTAAAGAGCAAAAAAAATGTGACAAATACTTTGCGTTTGCTTTAGCATCCACCCTGTGTTCTCTTAAAAACACAGGAGAGTTTTTTGTTTGCTTGGATACAGAGTGTTCATTAGAGCATTGGTTCCCTCAAGTATCTAGATACTCACACTCTGGAACAGACATGTTATGAAGGTTGTTTCCAATCAGCCGAGACTGAAATCCAGAGCTGAAAAAACCATCACCAGGTCCACTGGGGAAAAACCAAGTGTATGTAAATTATGCGTGCGTGGAGACAAATGGAAAGAGTTTTAAGCATATAATTTAATAAGCAGGAAACATAACAGCACTGGCCTGTCAGCGCACAGGATGTTCCCAATTCCTTTGATATCTACAAAAATCTGGGTCATTTGGCTGACACACAAGCAACCTTCAGCTACCTTCAGATTTACATCAATTAAGTGATCAATTGTGCCCAAGTACAATGCAAGTAAACAATCCTGAGGAAAGCCTAATTTAAGTGAGATATTTGGTTGAGTATTTCCTAAAACACCCCCCAGACAAGTTTGTGTACCTCAAACTTACATGCTGACCTGCAGGATTAGAACTTTACTGGCCCATCACTTTTCTTCCCTAGTGGGGTTAACGGCTTATTCTTAAGCATGACAAACAGGCCTAGGCAGTAAAATGGGAGTAAATACTGTGGTCAGAAGCTTGGTGAATATTGTCATTTTAGAAGGTCAGTGGTATTTGACAGAGACCAATATCCAGCAAAGTCATACACAGCATAAACCACTGAATTCAACATGCCTATCACCCAGAAAACTGACTGGTGAATCGCAAAGCCAACATTGGCTCAAGTACTTTGGCTAATACCACTTGTTGAAAAGTGTGACAGATTTTTTTTTAAAAAATAAAACAATCACTTTTCAGTCTTCTTTCCATTATTTATTAGTAAAGGACAATATAACATAAGAGGTAGACAAGTGTCCACAACAAAATCATGAAACAACCATGCCTGATCCAGTCACTCAAATGCTAACTGGTCAGTGATGATAAAGCCACCATGTCTGAAGACACAGGTCTACACTCAAGACTCCACAGAAATTAATGTATACATGGATCAGGTTAAATATTGAGGCATAACTAAACAGAGCTGGAACACCATGTAGAATTCCTAAAACAGCTATTACCATGACTTGCCTGCCTTGCATAAAAATACAACTTCATTAGAATTATGGCTCAATTCAAACATTGCACCAAACAACACCATAGTTTAGAATACAGAGCTTGTCTGCTTTCATGTTTGTCAATTCAAACATTGTGCCAAAAGTCTGAAAAATATCTAGCGATACCCTCAAGCTTCAAACCCACTGGCTAGCCAATTGTCAATTATGGTTTATCAGTTAAGCTTCCTTAAGCATGGTTTGGCACAATGCCTGAATTGAGCTAATGTTGTCATATGTGTGTTTCTTTCTGACAGAAAAGTGATGAGAAATACCTTCTATTTAGCACTGCAAAATGAACAGCAAACATAGCAGTATAGAGAGCAAGTGGCAGCATAATGAGGCAGAGCACACGAGCCAGGAAGTGCCTCCCCAGAGTGACCTGCAACAAAGAATTCAGAACAGTTGCAGCACCATTTAGGCAGGTTTCGTTATACACATCTCTTGAGTACACCTAACCAAGCAAGCTATAAGGACTGCACCAATTGGCTACTCCATCAATTCCTCTTGTGGAGTTAGTACATTTATTTGCATATTGTTAAGACTCATAGAGTTTTGCTGGCAATGGCACAACTCTAATTACCCTGCAGCCATCTGCAGGCAGGAGACTTAAGGAAGATGAATTTGTCCTATTTCAAATGTAATTAACTGACCTGACATTAGAAGCAGACCTTTTCAGAAGCTGATACTCTATGTCTTTGGACTACACTTATTTAAACCAGGAGAGGCAAACCTCTTGGCAGAAAGAATGTTTACCCTATATAGAAAGGATAGTAGGTGGAATAAATTGGATTTTGTAACTTCAAACAATCTGAGAAGCTGACCCCAGAAGAATAATAGCACCTCTAAGATAGGCTTGAATAAACAGCATTATGGATGGCAAAAAGCCAATTTCCTTGCTGCTAATGAGACACAGATTTAATAGCATTTATCACCAAGGTCAGCCTGTGTCATAATTGATGACTTCTAAATGCAGGCTAAAAATAATTTAAGCCCACTGCAGAATTCAGCTGCTACCTTGACAAGTTATTTAAGTCTGGAAAAAATCCTCTTTGTGAAAAATGAACTGACTGAAGTTTCATCTTCAGAAAAGTAGCTCAACTTGCAGAGCTTGCAAAACCCATAAGGACAGCTATAAACCGGTAACTAGGAATAATGCATTGTGTATGCCAAAATCTAATCTGCAGACTATGAACTGTATCGTCGTATTGAAGGTCAAAACAACTTCAGGTTTCCCATTACAGCACATTAGATACAGCAAATCAAAGGCCTCTATCTAGCAGCATTTTCTCATAAAAAACTATTTGCAGAACTCTATAGTGTATGCTTAACCTTAGGCTACTCAGTGCAAAGTCGAAATGAAAACAAGAACAACTCAGGGGACAACAGTCTCCTTGAATGAACAACAGCAATATTTTAATGTGTAATGCAGAAGGATGCTTTATATAGATTGTCAGACAGTTTTTAAATATGTTCTGTCATGGTCATCACTTGGCTCCAATACAGTAACCACTGGCTGACTGAAGCAACTACAGCATGGGTTCTAATTGGCTGCAGGAAGCTCCTGCACTTGATGTCCAACTTCCGAAAATTGTTCGAAAACCTGAACACTCACTTCTGGGTTTCAATTGTTTGGGAGCCAATTTGTTCGGGAGCCAAGGCATTTGAGATCCAAGGTACGACTGTACAATGTTTTCATGATGCATTTCCCCACAAACACTGAAAGCTAGTAAAAATTCTAGACACTCACCAGTGAGAGACTGAGGTCTCCCAGCAGCTCCCAGAGATCACAAACAGTGTTCAGTCCAACCAGGAGTACTACAAAAAGGCCAACAAATTTCACGCCTATTGCACCAGCAAGGTTTATCCCAGTCAAACAGAGCCAGAACCACCAGGAAGCAGAAAAGGGTCTGAAAAACACATTTTAAAAACTTCCTGTTGGAATAATAAACTTTTTAATAGAGATCCCTGAAGTAAATCTAAGGCAGGATATGCTTTATACCTAGGTATCTCCAATGGAGAAACAGAACACATTTACCTTCCTTGTTCCAAACACTTTTGCCCCCATGTTTGGAAGGGCATGTTGCCTTCCGGCTGAAAATGGTTCCTCACCTATTCTTGAAGCGCTCTCCCTAAAAATGAGGCAGTGCTAAAATCTGATCTAAAGCAATTCAACTGATCACACAGAAAGAAAACTATCCTGGCAACCTCCTGCTGTTAAGAAAGTCAATACAATAGCCCAGAAGGCTCAGAATAACCACACCAGGCAGCAGACAGGGCCCTAGCCTTTTGGAGCCATCACTATCACACATGTACTTGCATGTTATTTGTGAATGCAACACTAGAGGGGAGGGCAATCATCTGTACCTTAATGCCAATCACTGCTACCATACTGACTATGGCTCTGCTCCTGAATACAGGAATCTACTGCCAAGTCCACTGAACTACTATCCCTGTACATTATGGTATTATTAAATGATGCTTCTTGGGAGAGACCTTCTTTGTTCAATTGTCTGCCATATATATTATATATTATGTGCTTTTATTTCTTAATAATGGATTTTATTGCTGTTTTGAGTTGTTTTATGATATACTGAATACACTGAGGACTCTTTGGAGCCAAGTTGGCAGGATAAGAATCACAACATAATGCAAAACAAACATATAATTAAATCTTCTGACACAAGTGTGAAGGGCCACATACTTGAAAAACTGCTGCCACCTTACCTGTTTGCACAGGAATTATGCTTGACCATGCTGAGCACAGCTCCCATGAGGAAGAACATCAGAATGGGGTCTAGCAGAATGTATTGAGAGAGAGTAATGAAACCTGTATCTGGAAAAATAAGACAAAACCATATCAACTGTTGTTCTAAAAACAATCTAAAAGTTGTTGTTTTTTCCAATGCTTAGTCAAGCTTAATCTTATTGCAATAAGAACACATCAGAATGTACAAAATCAGCTATGCTGCTTTCACTCATTACCTGCAAAGTGTCTCGTCCTCATCTACACATTTATTTCTCTGTCAGAGATACTATTCACCATCAGAGATATCGGCTTCAAAGCATATAGCTTGGGGTCATCAGTTAATTGTTGTTATTATTATGCATTTCCTTCTCATGCCACTTTATACAGTGGAACCTCTACTCACGTACGGAATCCATTCCAGAGGTCCATTCGTGAGTCGATCCAAGTTGCTGGGAGAAGCGCCGTTCTGCGCATGTGCAGTCGGCGGCAGCCGCTTCTGCGCATGTGCAGTCGGCAGAAGCCGCTTCTGCACGTATCGCGGCAAACCCGGTCTTCCGGGTTTGCCGCGGTCACGAGTCGGATTGTTCAAGGGTAGGGGCAGTGGTAAGTCGAGGTTCTACTGTATTTTTAGGAAAACAATCTCAAAGCGCTTTACATTTTAAAGCAGTAAATAAAACAATCCAGAATAAAGCATTACTGAAGAAAGTAAAATATAAGATGCACATTTAAAATAGCATAATTAACAAGAGAACAAAATATTATCATAAGCATAAAATCATACCTGCTGCTGTTGCTGCCAATTCTGTCCATGATGGTTCATGGTGGGAGGCAGCCGTGGAAGCTCAAGCTCAATGGCCTGGGTTTGCATTAAGAGACAGCCAAGATAGTTCTCTTCCCTGTCCTCCTCCACCTCTCATTACCTAGGCCAATGCCATTTCCTATCACGACTTTCCACTTATTCAAGATCTGCCCCTTCTCTTCTTCAGCTAAAATTGTCCCCTCTTGAGAAATGCTCCTATAGCTCATCTTTGTTCCTGCATTCTCTCCTTTCCAAATAATGTGGACCAAAAAGAGAGAAAACTTTTCACCCTTTTGATTGTACCCAGGGCATATGTATATTCAAAACATTTGTTTGTTTTTATGCAGACTCTTAAAACATTTTTGCATGTATAAAGCACTCGAAGTATTTTACACCCTAATCATATTTATCTCACAATAATCCTCTGTGTTTATTACTAGGCCTTTTCTCAAGACAGAAAACTGAAGGCAAGAAGCTTGTTCAGGTACTCCCCACAAGTCTGTGACTAAATAAGGATGTTGACACATAGGGTCTTCTGCGACAGGAGACCATGAGCACCTAAAGTTTCTGAGGAGCAATTCCTTCACTAAGCATCGTTTTCCAACAGGAGAAACTAATGAAACAAACCCTGCAACATGAAGAGGATGCTTACCAAAAATCAGAATGGCAGCTGTAAGCATTGCTGCAGGCAGAGATTTGGACAACTCCAGCACCGTGAGGTAAGAGAAGGGGACCAGGCATGAACCAAGGAACGCACAGAACTAAATAAAGAGAGGAGAAACACTCTTCACATGGTGATGACAAAGCATGTCCTTAGCTCTGCTGCTACCCAACCTTAAAAACACACAGTATTAGCCAAGTATACTCAAGTCAGTCTGCTAAGTATTCTCCACCCTCATAGAAACATAGCTTTGGAAGAGACCAACGGTCATCTAGTCCAACACCCTACAATGCAGGAATCTCAATTAAAGCACCTATAACAAATGACCATCCAATCTCTGCTTTAAAACCTCCAGTGAAGGAGAGCCCACAACCTCTCGAGGGGGTCTGTTCCACTGTCAAACAGCTCTTACTGTCCAAAAGTTCTTCCTGATGTTTAGTCAGGATTTCATGATAGAAATATTCCTCTAAAGATAAAACAGATGAAAAGTTCCAAATCTGATCCTCCACCACCCTACCTTCATTCATCCTCACTTCTGCCCAAATACAGTGGTACCTCGGGTTAAGAACTTAATTCGTTCTGGAGGTCTGTTCTTAACCTGAAACTGTTCTTCACCTGAAGCACCACTTTAGTTAATGGGGCCTCCTGCTGCTGCCGCTGCGCCGCCGCCGCACGATTTCTGTTCTCATCCTGAAGCAAAATTCTTAACCCAGGTAATATTTCTCAGTTAGCAGGGTCTGTAACCTGAAGCGTATGTAACCCGAGGTACCACTAATTCTAAAGCTTCCATTAACCCATACGATGAGGAAATATAACCATCCCACAGCTTAACCTACATTATCTCCCTTTTCCCTATATTTGCAACACTCCCACCTTTCTCAAACAAGTTCAAGGTGATGTAGATGGTTTCCCCCCATATTCATTTAATCCCGCCCCAGCAAAAAAACCCTGTGATATAGGTTAGACTGAGAGGCAGTGACTGGCCCAAAGTCACCCAGTGAGCTTCATGGCTGAGTTGCCATTTGAACCCTGGTCTGACAACTCTAACCACAACACCAAATGTCATATTGTTTGAGAGTCAAAACTGCTGACAGTGATACCTCCATGGGCATGAGGAAAACACAACCCTGCACTAAAAATAACTGACAGAAAATTCTGCTAGAGAGGGAGACAGGCAGACAGACAGACAGACAGACAAAGACTGGTTCCCTCCTCCCTGCAGTTAACTGAAGTTACTAGTTTCATAAACTATGAGACAACTAAAAGAACATTGCACATAGCTTTTTTATTCCTCTTCTCTACTCATTCCGAATCCTACCAAATGTTAGATTACTGTACAACCAACAGATGTAGTACAGCTTTAGAAATGGAGATTACAGTATTACCTGGAATCAAAACCCATTCTTGAAACATAAACATATGTTTATTGGAAGCAGAGAGTGAGAAGAGGGAAACTCTAGGTCTTCTCCATATATGACCTCTGGTTATTTAAGAAGCCCCACAGTCTTACCCCTCTCATTCCTATGTAGTTATGTTGTTCATATTTGTCCCCTGGCTTCTGGAAAGGGAATGTGCCATCATAACCACTCAGGTAACCGGCAAGTCCTATCAGCATCTAGAGAGAGAAGAGGACTGACCTTATTCAAGCAGAAGTAGATGAAGTAGTTTATAACTTTTTAGAGCACTAACTTGATCTAATAAAAAGACATAATTTAGACACAAAGATGATGTAACTGAACCAGGATGAGAATGTTCTGCAGTCAAGGAAATGTTCTTAGATCTCAAAAGTTTGCAAGAATTGGTGTTCGCTATTTACCTTCCCGAGAGGTGGATGGACATCAAAGAAAAAGGTTCGGTTAATGTAATAGCTTCCCATCTTTCCAAAATGTGTTTCATCCCAGCTATGAAAGGGAAAAGAGTAAAAAGATGACTGTTAGCCTCTGGCTCACATCAGTATTTGCCACTCCTAGTTGTTCAGTGTGATGATGAAACAAAACACTAAGCAGATCTGCACTTGGGGACGTTGGACCACTTAAGCTCTCTCGTAAGGTTGTTGCAATGTAAAAATGGTGAAGGGGACTTACATTTGGCACCCTGAGTTTTTTTGGAGGAAGGGCCACAAATAGATATGTTGTATTTAATACAATTTAAACCTCACCTTAATTTTTTTTAAAGTAAAATTACAATATCAAGGCAGTTTTTAAAAAACAAGCGTATTTGTGTAACTATCAACGGAAGGTAACATTTAACGCATTTGATGAAGTGGGTTCATGGAAACTCATTTCCCACAAGCCCCGCCTCCGAATCTAAGCCCCGCCCTCGTAACCATGGCACCCCACAGCCCCTCACCAGATGTGTGGCGGCTCCCGTAGGCGATAGAAGCGGGTTGCGAAGCTTAGGAAAACGACGAGGCCAAGCGGGCTCCAGAACCAGCCGGGACTCCGGGCTGCGGAGGGCGTCGGCGCAGGGCCGCTTGCCAGTCGGAGGCTTTTTCGCTGCCGCAGGCCGGCCGGTACGGCCTGGCCGTTGTCGTTCGCCGCCAGCGGCATTCGCGGCCAGACAGGAGGCGCCTCCTGCCGGCCCCCCTACCTTGCCTGCGCCCGATGCACCACGGGAAGGAGAGTCCGCGCTCGAATTGCATGATGGGCAAAAGAGTTTGCCGTTCCGCCCCACGTGAGCGAGGGGCGGGGTTGGTGGGGAACTACAGAGGCTTCCACTGCATTGTGGGAAGCGTAGTCCTTGAAGCAAGGCTGTCCGCGCCAGAATGGATTGGCGGAGTTTTGCGACGTTCAATAAAACCTAGCATCCGCTGCATGTCTCTGTAAGCACTGTGGCATCAAGAAGGGCAGCAAGCAGCACCTTTTGTATATTTGTTGCAAAGGGGCTGCCTTGTTTAGTCTCCTGCCTCTACTGCAGACTGAGGGATGATCCAGATACAATCATACTGTCAATTGTACTCTATGCTGACATCAAAAGTGACTTCATAATTCTGCATTATGACTGACAAGCTGCTATCTCTGAAATACTCTGAAATACTGTATCCTAGGGTTACCTGTCAGAGAAGGGCTAGACATGTTTAAAGGACATATGTACATATAAAAGTTCCTGCTAAAACATGGGCTAGCAGAACTGTTTGAAGACAATAAATACACTAATTTAAAACTCCCACTTCCTGCTCTTTCATTTTGTCCACTGGTATTTGGAAAGCAAGGATGAGAATCGGGAAAATTGTAACTAGGAGCTAGGGTAGATATTGCTTACAATTCACTTTCCGGGAACATTGGTTTGTTTGTTTTTTAGCCTTTTCGGAGATTTCTTTACTGCTCTGGGTTAAATAAAGAAGCCTTCAGTTTAACCCGACGTTTTCTTAATGCTATATGTATTGCAGTTGTCAAGGCAAATACAACCGTTTTTTACCTTTTTGTAAAATAAGTTGTCTCATTTGCCAAACTGGGTCCTGGGCGGCCCAAGCTTTGTCCCGCTTTTGCTGCAAAAGATTGACACAGCTGCCTCTCTGAAATGTGCATTTTCTGAGGTGTTCTCTTTTAAATTCGTGCTTGCCGCCTTAAATCCTAAGGAATAAAGAGGGCCAGTTTTAAGACTTTTGGAATGAGCTGAAACTACAACTCCCAGAATCCCACCGACTCACGGGAAAAGCGTCTACTCTCGAACAAAGTCTCCATTCAAGGCAGGCAGTAAAACGCCAGCGCGGAACAGGAGGGGCGGCTACTCCTAACATAGCCAATGCCCTGTTGAGCAAAAAAACATAGCTTCGTTCTTCGGCTAGAAAAAGACGAAGGACTGCACAGGATGTGCGCCGCATTAGCGAAGGTAGTTGCTATTACAACAATGAGAAGGGGAAAAAGATACATTTGTGTTTGCAAAGCCAGCTGCCTGGGGCTGATGGGAGTTGCAGTCCAAAACATCCGGACGACAACACGTTGGTGAAGGGTGCTTGGAAGAACACTCTGTTTGTATTTCTTTTTCTTGTTTTTCCTGAATATTCTTTACTTGTACCCAGGCTTCCATTTGAGTTAAATATTCTGCTCAGACGAAAGCTTAATGCCCATTTTAATTCTTTTTGCTGTGACAATTTCCCCGTGTAACTGAGCTACCCTGTACCCGTCTACAAGAACAGAAGGATATCCTGTGAAGGGCAGTGAGGATTACTCTGAAGTATAGGATTTCAGATTGATAAACAACAAAATGGATCAGGAGACAAAGTCAGGATGGAGTTTTGCCTTCTGGGCAACCAGGGATACACCATAAATCTTTGTTCTGTGATTTATTAAACTGGAATAATCCTGGTCCCATATCCCCATACCCTTTGGGAGAGACTGTGGCTCATGCAAAAGGTCCCAGGTTTAATACCCCACATCTCCCAAGAAAAGACCTCTGCCTGAAACCCTGGACAGCTGCTGTCAGTCAATGCAGGCAATAGAGTTAGATGGGCCAATGGTCTGTCTTAGTGTAAGGCAGTTTCCTGTGGCACTGGTTAGTCAGGATTCTAAGCTTTCTACCTATCTTGTTTGTACCCATTATTTCAAAAAGGACCTCAGGGTTGTTTACAGTTCTTTTACCAGCTTGATTGTAAAACACAATAAAGTTGAAGGTCAGTTGCTGAAGGGTAATTATGCAATTGCTCGACTATGCATTTTCTCCACACACACACCCCCAATTTATTTTGCCACAATCCTTTAAGCTAAAGGTAAAGGGACCCCGACCATTAGGTCCAGTCGGGACTGACTCTGGGGTTGTGGCGCTCATCTCGCTTTACTGGCCGAGCGAGCCGGCATACAGCTTCCGGGTCATGTGGCCAGCATGACTAAGCCGCTTCTGGCGAACCAGAGCAGCGCACGGAAATGCCGTTTACCTTCCCGCCGGAGCGGTACCTATTTATCTACTTGCACTTTGATGTGCTTTCGAACTGCTAGGTTGGCAGGAGCAGGGACTGAGCAACGAGAGCTCACCCCGTCACTGGGATTCGAACCGCCGACCTTCTGATTAGCAAGTCTTAGGGTCTTTCTAATAGATTCTTTTTCGGGCAGAGACTATCCAGATAGGATGGTTGCAGGAGATGAAGTCTAGCAACATCTGGAGGACCACAGTTTTTCTGTCCCTGCAGTAAATAACTACAGGCCCAGCTTGCCTATTTTACAAAAAAAAGTCACACAGCTCTAGTCCCCCACCCCCCACCCCGGTATCTGACTAAAAGTGCTAAGCAATGAGATCTTTGTCTTGCTCTGTTTTGCCATCTGATAGCTAAAAGGGTGGGATTATGAAATTTCTCCAATTGGCTGCAAGGGAAATATTCCTCCCTCTCACCCTCCCTGCAAGTTTTAGACAGTGTGAGCTGGCTTTCATTCTGAGAATCCTGCACCACATGCAGCATGGAGGCTTCTAAAAAGGTGAGATAAACGTGGGTTCCTGGTAGGTGAGGCTCTGTCTTGATATCATAGCATTGTTGTGTCACTTTTCCCACACACTTTGCTATAATATTCCTCTGGAGTAGAAGCTGTAGGTCTTCAGGCAGTCCTTCACTGAAAGTTTAGAAAGTGAGCTTCCATCTTATAGCTGTTCGGGATTTGCAGGGTGGGGGTGGGGGATGAGGAGGGGTCAACAGTGGAAAATGCCAGTATTTCAGAAGAAGAAATAGGAATCTGTGAGGCCCCTCTTGTGTAAACATGCTGTTTGCAAAGTGAGTCAATTTCATTTTCAGGAGAATCACAAGACAAATGGCAAGACTGTCTTGTGCTAAAAGAAAAAAAACCAAAACAAATTATCTGTTTTCTATGGACTTGGTAACTTTTATTTCAATATTCGTGAGTCTGCTTCAATTGTAACTTACTTTTTTTCCTTGTCCCACCCCCATCCCCACTGCAGCCAGTCCTCTATACTTATTTCAGAAGTTCCTGCACCTGGAGAGTGAGAATTGGTAAGCACAGCGTGGAATCCTATTCTATAGGATGCTGCCAGTCTTTTGCATTTCTTCACCAAAACGCAGTTAATAAGTGATTTATCAAACCACAGAGCAGCAAACATCAGCCATTTCTGAAGACTAAAACGTGTCTTCTTTACTTGTGGTAAAGAGTGGGAGCAAATGCTAAAATTAGTTTGCTGTGGAAAGAGGAAAGCTCCTAGATTGTGTGAATACAGAAGACACGTTTGTACTTTAAGGGTGCAACCCTATTCACACTCACCTGGAAGCAAACCTGACTGAGCTCAGTGGTGCTTACTTCTAAGTAGACACATAAAGGACTGCACTGCAAAAATGGAAAAATACTGTGCAACCTGTGTGCAGATTGTCTTTGGGAGAAAGCAGTTGGCCACAGCCCATGTGTATACAGCCTGTATATACAGTCATACCTCATGTTACAGACGCTTCGGGTTACGGACCATGGGAAACCCGGAAGTACCGGAACGGGTTACTTCCGGGTTTCGCCGCTCGCACTTTGTGCATGTGCAGAAGCGCTGAATTGTGTCTGCACAGACGCAGCGCTTCAGGATGCAAACGCTGCGGGTTGCAAACGTGCCTCTGTCACGGATTACGTCTGCAACCCGAGGTTCCACTGTGCATCAAAAGTGATGTTTCAGGCTGCAGTCCTAACCCCACTTACCTGGAAGTAAGCCCCATTGAATTCAATAGGACTTATTTCTGAGCATACATGGTTAGGATTGCACTGTTAACGCATGAGGTTAAATTTTTTATTCCTTTGCATAAAGTGCACTACATGCAGGAAGTTCTGTAATGTGCAAAGCAGCCCTCTCCTGTGGCAGAAAACATTTGTGAGACAGGCCACATTTACTCCTATATTGCAATGTACGCAATCTAGAAATTCCCAAATATTTCTGCACTCATAAGGATTTTTATGTAGCTCCTTCTCTCTTTGGCTGGTCTTTTTTATCTGAGGACTGTGATTAATTAGATACATATTTTCTACATAAAAATACCACAATCCAGATGTCTGCATTTCCTACATTCTTTAGAGGCACTCTGGAAACACTCAAGGGATGCTGGAAGACTTTGGGTTTTAAAAGTTCTGTCTGTTGAAGCTCATAACCTGATATAATCTAGCAAGATAAACAAGACTGACTCTGGTTGGGGGTTACAACTATCAGTCAAATAGAGCATCAACCATGTTAACTGAATTGCTGTCTCCAGATTGCAGAACATGGTGAAGCAGCCTGATGTCTGGTTTGTTGTTTCAGTGTAGGAGTGGGGAACCTTTGGTCCTCCAGATGTTGCTGCACTACAGCTTCTATCATTCCTGGCCACCGACCATGCTTGCTAGGGCTGGGAGTTGTAGTTCAGCAACAACTGGAGGGTGAAAGATTTCAGCCCCCTCTCACCCATGCTTACCTGTTGTGGAAAGTGGTAGACACCCCTTGCTTTATATTTAAACAGAGACGACACCTGAACAACAAACCCATCTTCTCGAGTCACATCTAGTTTGACCTTCAGTGAGGAAGGTGAATTAGCTCCACAGAAACCACCGCTGTTGCTTTAAACATAAATGAGCACATTCCTCTTTTGAAACAAAATCCTGGTTCTCATATTTGCTCTTAAAGCACACCTTAGTTCTTAAATCCATATTATTACAAGTTCTTGTGATGCTGATTCTACAGATTTTTGTTGTTTTGTTGCTTCAACTTCCATAGTGTTCAGAGCTTGAAAATTGAAGTGATAAAAATATATAAATTGGAGTAGGTAGCATCCTGAAACTGTATGTCACCCTTTCTCTTGGCAGCACTGGCTCTGAAAGGAATTGCCTATGATTCAGCACCTGTCAACCTTGTGAAGGATGGAGGGCAGCAGGTAAGGAGATGTGGGATGTGGTCTGCACAGCAGGCAGGGTGGTGCCTCCGCAAGGGGGAAGCTTTGCTCTTCTGGGCTTCAGTAGCGGAGTTGATCTGTCTCAGGAGCTGTCCTGTCTCCACAGATGACACCAGAGTACCAAGCAGTGAACCCAATGCAGCAAGTCCCAGCCCTCAAAATTGATGGCATCACCCTCTCGCAGTCGGTGAGTAAGCAATCTGTATTAATTATTTACTTGGTTCTGCTGCCCAGGCAAAGGACTTTGCACTCCAGATCTCAGGAGCGGGCTTGGGACTTGCTGGAAAGAAAGCTATTGTGGGTGGGATAAGAACACCTAGCAGCACCGTTAAATGGGTTTCTTTTCACCATGAAGTTAATCCCACACTGATGTTGCTTGAAGAATCCCATCCTACCTGTGGTTCCATACTGATTGTTCTGAGACATGAGATTCATTCCTTACACGGGATATGCTTTTACTAGCATATGCTCCAGATTAGCTTGAAAGACAGATGGAGAACCTTTGGCCCTCCAGAGGTTGTTGAACTCCAGCTTCCATCAGCCCCAGCCTGCATGGCTGCTGATGAGAAGCGACTGGAGTTGTAATGCTCAACATCTGGAAAGCCCCAGGCTTGGTTTAATCCAAGCAGATCTAGAGCTTGTGGTGCACAAGCTTCATTCAGGTGATCCATGTCTTACCTGTGGATTTGTTGCTGAAGATGGGAAATGGCACACCCGTTGTGTTAAACATTTATATTGATTTTTAATTGTACTTCTATTGCTTTTATTTCTTACAGTTTATATAATTCTTTTATAATATATAGAAAATAAAAGCAATACCATTTAAAGAGTAATACAGTATCTAGTACAGCCACATTACAATTGCTGCAGCATCAAATCCATGGGAGGGAGGGAGGTTTGGGAACTACTGCTTTAGATTTCTCACTCCTTGATCTGCATCAGGGAACTAGTGTCTCCATTTCAACCACAACACACACACCCCCCCCCCCGGGCCATTCTTGTCTAAAAGTCTCTCCACTTATTGCAGATAGCAATAATAGAGTACCTGGAGGAGACGCGTCCAAAACCTAGTCTCCTGCCCCAGGATCCAAAGAAGAGAGCCCTGGTGCGGATGATCTCAGAGCACATTGCTTCTGGAATTCAACCCTTGCAGGTAATTGCCCAGTTGCTGGGCCTGCCTATCTATCCTTAACCCTGTTGGATCAGAGTTCACTACTGACTGCAAATGAAGCGGTGTCCCTTGTTACGAACCTCAGGCCCCAAGGAGGGCTTGTGGGAGTGGTTGGGTGCAGGGATACCAAAGGATGTCGAAAACATCAGAATGGCTAGTTCTGGTGCTTTATTAAATATATTGTAGGCTTACAGCAAAGCAGCTTGCCAGGTCTCCTAGCCTTTGCAGACATGGGACAGACACCACAGCAAGGAAATGGCTTGTCCGCAGAATCTGTCCTGCGTCTATGAAGGCTATAGACAGTGTGGTGTTGTGGTTAAGAGCGGTAGTCTCGTAATCTGGGGAACCGGGTTTGAGTCTCCGCTCCTCCACATGCAGCTGCTGGGTGACCTTGGGCTAGTCACACTTCTCTGAAGTCTCTCAGCCCCACTCACCTCACAGAGTGTTTGTTGTGGGGGAGGAAGGGAAAGGAGAATGTTAGCCGCTTTGAGACTCCTTAAAGGGAGTGAAAGGCGGGATATCAAATCCAAACTCCTCTTCTTCTTCTTCTTTGCTGTAATGTTACACCTCCTTTAATAAAGCCCTATAATTGGCCGCTCTTATGTTTTTGATGTCCTCCTTTGGTGTTCCTGCACCAAACCACTCCCACGAGCCTTCCTTTGGGCCTGTGGTTCAGAACACCCCTCCCGATTGGGTTTCCCCCCCTGGATATATATTCTTCAATATATAAAAGACACAGTGACAGTGGTGTAGCGTGGGGGGTGCAGGGGGGGCCGGCCGCACCAGGCGCAACATCTGGGGGGGCGCGCTCGCACTCGCAGCTCTCTGCCCCTACCTGGCTCACTCACTCTCTCTCACTGCAGTGCTGGCTGTGCGAATCCGATCCGAGCCGCTGGGTCGTCGCCCACTGTGGAGGGGGTGGGTGCCAGGCGTGCAGTACAGAGAGAGAGCGAGGGACTATCTGGGGGAGGGACAGTGCAGCGGCCGCCCAGCGCAGCGCTGAGCGCAGGAGAGAACCACACCAGACCAGACCAGGCAGCAGCAAGAAGAAGCTGGCAGCGGCGGCAGGTTAGGGGTTAGGGGGCGCAAATTACTTGCCTTGCCCCGGGTTAGGGGGCGCAAATTACTTACCTTGCCCCGGGTGCTGACAACCCACGCTACGCCGCTGCACAGTGATAGTGCAAAATTGGGGGTGGATTTAAACTGGATCAGCCACACATCGTTCCAACTGGAAGCAATGCTTCCTCAACATTACAACATTATTTCCCCCCGGAAGGGCACTTTTGCACAAACAAACTGCAACATTTGAAGTATAAAAAGTGACAGGATGTTAGCGGAAGGTACAGGACTGGAACTGACTGAACACAAAATAGTATTATCCTGACACTTTTGCAGGTTGTGAACCCTGTTGTAAGCAGAATCATGCTTAACCACCCCACACCATCACGAGTGTGCAAATAATCATGAATGCACAGTAAAAAGGGCATCTTGAAGGCCTCTCCCAGGAAGGTGGGAGTAATGAATTTCTACAGATAGTATGGCAGATGACCCCTGCCCTCATACTGTGTTGTACGAGTGCTCACTCAGTACCCATTGTCTGTGGCCCTCTTTGTATCTATTCCAGACAAAAAAGTCCCTAGAGATAAAAGCAAGACAATACCTATTTGTCTTGCCTCAGCCTTAAGGTTCAAAAGGCACATAACACCACAGCAGGGGTGGTGAATCTGCGGCGCTTCAGATGTTATTGGACTCTGGTTCCCATCAGCCCAGGACACCCTGACTGAGGGTCAGGGATGATGGGAGTTCCTCCCCTAGAAAGACACAGCTTAGCTACCCTTGCAATATATCATAGATTAAAGCCTCACTATCTGAATAATTGTCTTTGCCATACCTCCACACACCCCAAAAGCAGTTTTCCAACCTTCCTTCTCTTTTTATTATTAATATTTACTTATTAGCCACCATACAGTGAAGCTTCTGGGTGTTGTACTGTAGAGGCAATCTAACTCTGGCTCTTCCTACATTTTATCAGAACTTGACTGTCCTGGAGCAGTTTGGTGAGAAGAAGCAAGACTGGGCAAAGAACTGCATTTCTCGTGGTTTCAAAGGTGAGTCCCAGGTTGAAACTTTTAGCTGGACTTTAGCCATCTGCTAGCCAGGTAGGAGGTTTTGAGGAGAAAGCTGTCCTCCTGTCTGGCTTGTACTGGAAGACACCGGTGGAACAGTTAAGCCAGTCTCCATCAATCTGGTATCCCTCCAGATTAAGCTCCTATTAGTCTCAGGCAGCACAAGTTTAAAGAGCAGCATAAGGCTGTTTGGAAAAGGGCTTTCAAAGAGCCTCACACTGCGCTTTGAACAAAGTCCCAACAGCTGGGACTTCAAATCACAGAAGCATCTGACATAGTGATGTCAGGTGATTGGCAGGGGGGCACCCACACCTATCATTCAAATTTGACCTGGTAGGTCTGGGGAAATATGGATCTGGCCTACTGGCTTCCTCACTTCTGCATAAACATGTGGTCCAAACTTGGGTTCATTTAGTTTAGTTCACAAGCCATAAACCAAGAACAATTGTTTGTTATAGCTCACAGTTAGTCTGGAGAGAACTAAACCATGGCCCAGTTTTAGACAACACCCAAGGCCAAGCTATGACTTAGTTCAGCACAGCGCTGAAAAACAGGAGAGAAGCAAAACCGATGCGATATCCTCCTTGGGAGGTCCAGATATTTGCCATTTAATAACCAGGACATTTAACGTTCCTTTATGAAAACACTGCCAAATTTAGCAGTGTGATTTGTCTATGCTGAAAAACAAAAAGTGTGTTCTCGATTTCCAACAACATGCTGTTTTCTTTTCCTGGAGCTTTGGAGCAGATCCTGCATGAAACAGCTGGGCGCTACTGCGTTGGGGATGAGGTAAGGCAAGATGCGATCCTGTCCTCTGGCAAGGATGGCAAGAAATCACTTGTGGACATCCAGTGAAGCTGAATGTTGTGAGATTTAGGACAGATAAAGAAGTGCTTCTTCATGCAGCCCATAGTCACACTGTGGAAGTCGCTCCCCCAGGAGGCAGTGATGGTCCCCAACTTCATTGGCTTTAAAAGAGGATTAGACAAATTCACGGAGGAGAGAGCTATTGATGGTTACCAACCATGATGGCTGTGCTCTCTCTCCACAGCTGGAGGCAGCAAAGCTTCTGAATACCAGTTGCTGGAAACTACAGCAGGGGAGAGGGCTCTTGTGCTCAGGTCCTGTTTGTGAGTTTCCCATAGACATCTGGTTGGCCACTGAGAGAACTGTTTTGATGGACCATCGGCCTGATCCAGCAGGCTGTTCTTATGTTCTCTTATCTGTGCACTGGTATCAACGCAGAGGCCAAGCGAGTAGAGATCCAAGGACACAGTAAGCTAATAGTTTACTTATTCCTTTCTCTCCCTACCCCAGTTAACCGTTTTAGGGACCTCTCGCAAAAGGCTGAACATTATTCTTGGCTAAAGCAAGAGTTGAGCAACAGTGCCACCTGCTACTGTTAGCAGTCCAATCAAAATGTCACAGGATAGCGTGCAAGCTGTTACTCTGGTTGTTGCATGTACAGAGATGGGGGAGTGGCCATTATGTTCTTTCTCCTTCCAAGGCCCCAAAGCATGTAGATCTTTTCGGGTGTCTCAAGGAAACGTTAGTTGAAAGGGGTTCTTGCAAATCCAGTTCTGTTTAATGCACTTATATTCTTGCCGTCATCTCCTCTGTCCAGACCCACCTTTGCACCCAGCCAGAAGAGAATTAAAGGGAACAGGAGAGTAAGCCACACGCGTGCACACACCCAAATTGTCAAATGCAAATCCAACATATCTGAATACAAAAATAACAATGGTTAACCAAAGTCCACACATGCCCCCAAATTATACTGCAAATCATATACAGTACTTCACAGCTGAAAAGGATACCTGAAAAGGACTATCTTCACCTGCAGGATGCTGCTCATTCACGTAGGTCAGTTGAAACAGCCCTGAGTGAGCCAACCACTTTCAATGGTGTTTCATCAGCTAGAGATTTTCCTGTTCCAAGTGGCCTGCCAGCTACCAAGTGCTGATTTTAATCATACCTGGTACTTTGTTTTGGTTGTTTTCATCTGCTGCTCAAGTGTGTGGCTTTATTTTTTTTTTAAAAAAAAATTCCTGATCATTTTTAAATGGTTCACAATACTTTTTAAACTGTTCATATCAGCTGCCCTGAGTATTCTAATACGAAATGGAATGGTGGGGGTATAAATATCACAATAAATAAATCCATATCCAGTTAATGAGCTGAGCTACAGAAAATAGTGAACTGAAGTTTGCCAGCAAACTAATTGCAAAGGGTTACAGTACGTTTTTTAATGTCAAACCGTTAAGATATTTCTGTAAGCAGAATTTGGTATTGTATTAATTTGTCTTCCACATTCCCTGCCTCTTCTCATTGCTTTTAATATCAAACTGCTCAGCGCTGTGCCTCTCATAGGATCATCGCCATCACATGACACCGATCACTTTTTTGATTCCAGCATTGCAGGGGTTGGGCTAGATAACCCTCAGGATCCCTTCCAACTATACAATTCTAAGATTCTGATACATCAGATAGAAGAGGAGGCAGAGAGACTTCTCCACCGTCATTCCACCGGTCTCTAAGCTGATATTCCAGCCACATCAACATGTCACCACTATAATTTAACTCTGAGAAAACACAATCCTGCTAGGTTGAAAAGCTGAAGGGCTCTTGGAACTGCTTTAACATTTCTTTCTGCTTTTCTGCAGGTAACCATGGCTGACCTATGCTTGGTTCCCCAAGTTTTCAATGCCGGGAGGTAAGCAGAACTATGCCTTGCTAGTTGCTAGGGCAACTGGTGTGATCCCATTGGCCTAGTTAGCAGTCATACATGGGGTGGGAGGATAATATCTACTGAAGTAGCAGACAAATTGGATAAACTTTCTGCACTGGGATTCTACTTCCAGAAAATGTTGGGGAGGAAGGGAAGTCAGGAGAAGTGCAATGCTGTTATGTTTTATATTTTGACATTCATATGTTGTATGAAGCAATGGGCGATATCTGTATGAAGTCACGGTGTTAAGTTGTGGGTGAACATATCAGACGACACAGCGATTCTTCAAACAGCTCTTGTTTATTCAGAGGCCAGAACAGAACTGAACTGAAGGGTTCAGTCAGCCTGCTTATATAGAGCTCCACTACAACGTAACTGTAACAATTTTCTAAAACTATCCAATCACTGAACGTCACTTTCAATCCCTTATTTGCATAGCTATCTACAGTATCCCCCTGCTGGCCCAGGGTGAGAACTTCAGTACATAACACACGGTGCTTAAAAATAAACCCACTGAAATAAGCTGGCTAAAATGACTTTGGTCTGTTGACTTAGATGGGTGTACTCTGAATGTGCCCAACGTTGCTTATCACTTTGTGTTTATTAAGAAAAGTAGAAAATTAAAAAGTGCAGCGTTCCAATCTACACTTGGAAAGCAGGCAGTGAGTCATCCCAGTTCAAGATGACACGTAAAACACCACCCTCTCACCTAAACAGCCCAGAATTAGGATGTCCACTAGACTTTTGTCTTCCACATCCCAGTTCAGTATTGTTTCTCCTCTGCCTAAATAAGGCTTTGAGACTACAATTCCCATCATCCCTGACCACTGGTCCTGCTTGCTAGGGATCATGGGAGTTGTAGGCCAAAAACCATCTGGAGGGCCAAGGTTGAGGAAGCTTGCCTAAATGGTGCCTGCTTTGGTTGCCAACATCTAGCTACACAAGATGCTCAGTGCATCACTGGCAATTGCAATAGCGTTTTTGTTCATTTAATAGCAAGGATGAGGGAACCAAAGTAAATGCAGGGGAGGGGGAGATTAGCCCTTCCCTCCCCAGCCAAAATCCCAGTGAATCCCACCCTCCCCTTGAAATGCCTGCTACAATTAATGGGGGGGGGGGGAAGCATTTACACCAATGAAGCTTTCGTGCAAGAGCTTATTTCACTGGATCGTGGCTTGTGGGTGGGGCATTTATTCTCAGAATATATTGCTATTATGGATAGGGGAAATATTTGATTTTGTTTGCATTTAAAGGCAAATCTGCACTTTCTGAAACAATACGAGAGCCGAAACAAAGCCATCCTTAGAAATTCACACTTCTCCCAGTTTTGTGGTGCATTTCTCCCGCCAAGTGATGTGCACAGAAATGCAGATACTGGGGTAGGGTGTGCATGAAAATGTGCATGTTGGTGAAAAGAACATACAAAAATGCATTACATTAGGGGAAACTGATTTCCAAAACTGCAGTTGGGGAAATTGTGTGTGTTTGTGCGCGCGCACACATTAGGATGCTGATGAATTTTTTTTATTATCAAATTGCTGTGGGAAAATGAAGTACTATTTAAGATTGGGAAAATGAGAAACAGAGAACCAAAATTGACACATTTGTCTACCCCTAATCACTACATTAACTACCACAACCTCTATGTCTAACTATTCATTTGTCTTGGCAGGTTTAAAGTGGATCTTACGCCATTCCCCACGATAAACAGAATCAACAAAGCTCTATTGGAATTGGAAGCGTTCCAAACCAGCCATCCATCACGGCAGCCAGATACCCCTTCAGAACTAAGAGTCTAAAGCTGCCCCATTTTTTTACTGAGGAAGATTTGGGCCTAACTTTTTTTAAAAAATTGATTATCTTGTGAACTGCCCTGAGACAGGTGGCATATAAATTTAATTAATTAATTAATAATAGTAATAATAATTTGCCCATAAAGGGACTCTATGTGCCACCATCTAGGAAGAACCACAACTTGAATGATTTCCTGCTAAGAGAGGGAGATGCACTCCACCAGCATGGTTTATTCTGGTTTTATTCTGTGAATAGCCCTGAGACCCTCGGGTATAGGGCAGTATATAAATTCAATAAATAATAATAGTAAATAATAATAATAATAATGATGATAATGCAACTACATTAAAGCACTTAACAAGACCTAACCTTTGATCATGTTTTGACAATTGTAAAAGGAGATTAAAAGAAAAAAGTGTTTCTGACTATTCTGTGTGTGAAGTTCATTTGATATTATCTTGCTTGTTATAATCTAGGTGGCAAAGGTACCATCCTGCTGGCTGGACTGCACAAAAATTTAGACAAAACAGCAGCTTAGCTACTTTATAAAAATAACTTCAGTAGCACCCCAGGCAGCAAGCAAGCAAGCTTTTTTTTCTGTCCAAAGGCCTAAATCATAAATCCCATTTATTTATGTTGTAGAAGTAAATGAGAAAGCCTTCTGCATAGGAGACAGCTGCTAAGATGCATAATTGCGGATAGATCTATGGGATCAGGGCTGCCAGACTCAGGGCTAAAGTAGTGCCTGCCAGCCAAATTAAGCCCAAGGCCGCAGCATTTCAACAAAGCAAAGAAGTTATGGTGAAAATGGGAGTTGGTGCAATACACTGGCAGGATCTAGGCATCTTCTGAATCCCCCAGAGGCTGAAGTTTTTCCTCGGAGAGGTCAGAACACACTTATTTGAAGCGTTAATTAGGAGTGTGTATACTTTTTTAAAAAAGTAATTCTACAGCAAGAAAGAGGTGGATTACGTGTGTATAAATTAAATGTGCGTAATTTAGGAGGTTCTGGGAATGCGATTGCTTCTCCCCATGCCTCCAGCAAAATTTCACAGCATAAATAGAACAAAGACAGATTCTTTTTATCACAACTCTTGTGCATGCTTTATTACACAACTTGGGTTTGGATTATAACCTTTTTGCTGGGGAGGTGGATGGGGCTTGGTCAAACTGACAGGGGACAGAGGATTAAAAACAGGAACATAATAGAATGGGAAGAAACAGGAGCAAGGAGGAAAGGTATAGAAATGCTTTGGTATAATCCAGATCCAGCTGTCAAATATCTGAAGCCCAGCCTATATGCCCTTCAGTTTATAAACATCCCGCAGTATTTCTTCATTCATTTTCAGGGTACTTTCCTCTCCACTAGCAAGGATTAAGCTGAGGCACTATTACATCCAAGACTGACTGATTAGGGCATGTCATAGAATATGGGGTTCAAGAGGAGCAACTGTGAGGGATGGGGGAAATTACACTGAAGTGACAGAGTGCAAAAATGCAAATACTAAAGTAAAAACCCTCTGCCTGATCTCCTGAAAACCCACTTTGTTTCTCCTACATGGGATGAAACCAGCAGGAAGATCAGCAAAGTATTCAGAGAGGGATGGTGTTGTTTTCACAACCTCTGTTCGCACTGGCAGTCTTGTACCCATCCACTTGTACTCTTCCAATATTCAGTCTTTCTGATCTTGCCTTCTTGGTCCAGACACAGGACTCCCAATGACTCAAGCAGGGTCCAGGGAAGACCTCGTCACCTCGAGGTCCAGCTGCAGCTTGCTTGTACTATTGTAGAACTTGCCAGCACGGTCTGACCCCCCGAAGACCAGAACAGTGCACGCATTGTGCTTGCCCTGGTTCTCCTTATCTGCATCCGTCTGGGGGGCATAAGTCAAGTTGAGCAGTGTGTGGCCTGCCCGGGGCACAGAGCAAAGGTCACTATGCTTGACTGCACTCCAAGTCAAGGTATCTGCAATGGGAAAGGGTTAATGGGTGGTAGCAAACCTCCACGTCTTGAGGGAGTACTGGTAGCAAAAGCGCCGCAAGGACTTACCAAGATGGAATGTGAATGCATCCCGAAAGGCTCCTCTGACACCACAGCCTCCGCTTATCAGCACTTTCTGATCAGACACTGGAATGGCCGCATGGAAACTGGAAGCAGAAGATGGATTCTTAAGGATTAGAATAAAGCGAAAGTGAGAGCTTGTACCCAGTTGCTCACTTCCTGCCTGGCCATCTAGGGTCATCGTCTCACCCACCCAGCTAATATGCCCCCCAGTCTGGCTCTCCCATTTTCTTCAGATGTATTGTGTAGCCATCACCAACTTCTATAGACTTATCTGGAGTCCATAACATCACATCATCCACTTGCATGATCGTAAGGCAACATGGTGGCCAGGACCAGGCCATCTTGATGCGGCAGAAAATGATAGTGGGAGGTGAGGAGGAAAAGGCTAGGGTGTGTCTGGTGTAACTTACATGGAATATGTTTTTTGAAAGCAGAAGGCTCATCTCTATCCCCAACTCTGTTTTACTCAAACTTGCAACTCTGTTCTACTCAAACTTGGTCCATCTCTGTACAAATTCTGATTTGTTCCGCATTTTTCAGAGGAAATATCATCCATGCAAAAATGTTAAGAGCTTTTTAAAAAGTGATCTCACCCGAAAAAGAACTGTTCACTTTTATGAGGTAATGTGAGGACTGCCTTTTAACCTCCCCACACTCCTACTTTCAGGGTGGGTTAACAGCTGCTTGGAGCAGCTACAACAACACTTGAAGACTCCTCCCTGCCAATCCACTCCTTAAAGAGCTACTAGCTGTTTGAAGCTGGAGGCAAGTGTAAGCTTTGCCTCTGGGTCATCATGTGATGCAGTGATGAGTCTCTCACATCAAATACTGCAAGAAGAAAAAGGTGGCTGCTACCATAGATCACCTGCCTAGGAGCTTAGATATAGGCAGGAATAATAATAATAATAATTTATTATTTGTACCCCGCCCATCTGGCTGGGTTTTCCCAGCCACTCCGGGTGGCTTCCAACAAAGATTAAAAATACATTAAAATGTCACACATTAAAAACTTCCCTGAAGCCTTCAGATGTCTTCTAAATGTCAGATAGTTGTTTATCTCTTTGACATCTGATGGGAGGGTGTTCCACAGGACAGGCGCCACTACCGAGAAGGCCCTCTGCCTGGTTCCCTGTAGCTTTGCTTCTCGCAGTGAGGGAACCACCAGAAGGCCCTCGGCGCTGGACCTCAGCGTTCGGGCAGAACAATGGGGGTGGAGACACTCCTTCAGGTATACTGGACCAAGGCCATTTAGGGCTTTAAAGGTCAACACCAACACTTTGAATTGTGCTCAGAAACGTACTGGGAGCCAATGTAGGTCTTTCAAGACCGGTGTTATGTGGTTTTGGCGGCTGCCCCCAGTCATCAGTCTAACTGCCACATTCTGGATTAGTTGTAGTTTCCGGGTCACCTTCAAAGGTAGCCCCATGTAGAGCGCATTGCAGTAGTCCAAGCGGGAGATAACTAGAGCGTGCACCACTCTGGCAAGACAGTCCACGGGCAGGTAGGGTCTCAGCCTGCATACCAACAGCTTGAAGGTTTCACCCATTAAATCAGGGATGTGGAGCCTATGTCCTTCCTGATATTGTTGGGCTTCAGGTCCCATCATCCCTGATCATTAGCCAAGCTGGCTGGGGGCTGATGGGAGCTGGAGTGCAGCAGCACCAGGAGTGGGAGGAGATACAGGTTCCACGTTTCTGCAGTAAATGATCAAGGATTGGTTTCCTCTTGTCAGCTAACAGGCTTCTGAGAAGAGCAGCACACACAAGTTTAAAGTGCTGCCTTTTTCTAGCCCAGGCTCCAGGGATGCCAACTCATGACTGACAGCAGCCCTTCAAACATGCACCTCAGACCCCTTTCCATTACAATCACTAGCATTGTCCATGCAAGAGAGCCCCATAATCAGCTCTTACCTGCGAGCTGAAGGTTGTCCAGAGAGAAAAGGAACTGAAATGTACTCCATGAAACCTAGAGGCACATGGGGAAAGGTGGAAGATTTCAGATGCAACAAACTTCTTGGGGGGAAATAAAGTTTGTGGTACCTTAAAAACACTGAACATTACTACAGCAGAAGCTTTTGTGGGATAGAGTTGGCTTCATCAAACATAAGGAGGAATGTAAACAATGGTATCAATTTGTAAAGAAATGCAAAAAGAAATGCATTTTATTCACTTCCTCTCCACTCACACGCCCACAATAACTTTGTTACACTTCAAGGTGCTACAGGGTTTTGTTGTTTTTGCTGAAATAGACTTCACACAGCTTCCTCTCTGGATGGGAATTGCAGCAGCTTATTGCATATAATGCAGAGATGTCTGTAACTGCATCTGGCGATAAATCCGGTTACAGCACCGGTAATCTTACAATGGCCAGTGAGGGGTCATTTTTGATCCATTCTCCAAAAGGTTTTGAGGCAAAGTCGCTGTTTGCTAGCATCAGTCTTTCTTCACACCAGTGTGCAATATATACCAACTTCTGACATCTCCCGCCTCAAGGGATTCCTTTAACCTCACCAGGCGGTGGACTTCAACTCTATCCAAACTGAGAGAGGGAATGGCAAAGTTCTTACCCAGATCTAGGATGTGTGTGTCGTTCAGGTAGAAGGAAGTCTTCTGCCCCCCAAATATGATCAGTTTGTTCCTCAGCAGAGTAGCTGAATGGCTTTGAGAAAGCAAGGAAAGACAATGAACAAGGAAAACGTAGGAAAATGAAACAGTCCCTGCAACATCTATAGCTAGAAATCCACTTTATGTCTTACATTTTTCCTAGCTTCAGTCAATCTCAGGGGCCATTCTGGGGCAACTACAGGGGCTGTATATGAGTAGCTCCATTATTTCCAAAGCTAGCAAGGCATTTGGTGGAAAGAGGCCAAAAGTTTGGCCAGCTCCAGCAACGCCTTAAAAACAAATTATGGTGTTCCAATATCCAATAGCAACTTTCAAAACTAAAGTTTTAATATGAGACATCAGCTGCATTAAGCCTTTCGGTAGCATCAGAAGAATAAAATTGCTCTTCTTTCGGTAGCAGCAGCACAATAAAATGTGTGAGTTGGTTTTAGATGTAATAATGTTTATGCTGTAATTTTTAAAAAAATCTCTATTGACATAAGCTGGCCTGCAACCTTAGGCTGTGTTCATACTCCAGTTTACTGTGCATTCACTGAGTTTCCGGTGCTGGTTTATAATCTGTGTTCACATGACGTTATCCAAAATGCATTATGTATCTTGTACTTTGTTATAAGATACTACTGTTTGGTGTATTGTTCCTCAAACCAGCTTCACATGATTGGAATCCTTATGCCTCTTGTCTTTGGCGAAGGTGTGAAAGGTGTGAAATCACTGAAATCTATGGCAGTAATGTGAACACAGCCCTAGAGTGGAGGGCAGGATATAACCCCCTCAGAAAAAGACATGCATAAACATAATGTAATGTGAACCATGGAACACAAAAGGCTTTTTTACTAGAGAAATGCATGAAGTAAACACAAGTTTTACAGCACTGCCTGAGTACATTCGCCAAGATTTTATCTAGATTAAGAACAAACTCATCAACTCATCAGATGTGATAGAATTTCCCCCATTTGCTAAAGTTAAAAGTTTTATTTAAGCAACGTATTAGGAAATGTGTAATTTGGTCCTAAGCTGATCTCTGCAGAATGAGAAGAAGCTTCTATTAATTCCTTCTCTTGACCAGCAGGTTTTTGTGAATTCTCTCATTAAGAGAACTGAAAAGTCTTTAGCCAAAACACATAAACTCCCATGCTGGAGGTAAGGAAAAGTTTGTCAAGATTTACACAGCTGATATCAATATTAGTATATGAGCCTGGTCCTAAAACCTGCAAGAGGCACCCACTCCACTTGTGAAATGAGGCTCTCATACTTCTTTCCCATCTGTCACAGTCCCCCTGCAAGCTGATCCTGAAACTGCATGCCCCCTCGGCATGCGGTAAAGTTATGCAGCCCACACGAGACACCTTGGATCCAAGCCATAGTCTTGCCTTCTACTGCACAGAGTTTTAAAAATGGCATTGTAAGCTTCATTCTGGGTGTGAGAGAATAAAACACTCCCAAGGAATTCCAGGCAGAGAGGATGTCTGAATGCACTTAGTATGTGAACAAGATAGGAGGTTTCTGAGGGGCCCTCAGTTTGAGGGGCAGAGTTTACACAGAGTCCCTTGGCATTATAGCACTATCAAACAAAGTAAATACCCGCAGGAAAATGTACAAGTGTTTTCAAAGAAAGCACTAATTACGCTATTTCCAACCGCCAAGGAAATAAAATAAAAATGAGAGCAATGAAGTTGTCCAATATCACATTTCAGTGAGAAAAATCAAGAAATCAGCAGTAAGCTGATTCTCCTCAGTGAAGCAAAGAAGACTTACCCAAGCCTAGGCAAAGGCTTCTCCCCCTCAACAATGGGTTGATACCAGATCTCATACTCGGGGTTGAAAACAAAGAGTGTGTTGCTGCAAGCTCCCATCTCCAGGGATGACATTTTAGGGAAAGCTCCTCCAAAGACAAATAGCTCTTTTCGGTAGATGGTTGCACTATGGTAAGCCAGCGTTGGCACTTTACCCTTAGCCTAAGGAAGAGATCACCGGTCACTGTACAGGCTTGGCATTTTAGGCTGACTTAGCATCAGCACCACAGACAGCTCCGTTGCTGGCAGCATCAATGAACAGGATTGGTCCCCTTTCCAATGCCTTCCTAATAGACCTGAGAGCAGCTGCCTCAATCACCCCTCACCTGAGCTGTGATCCGCCACTCTCTCTTACATGGAGGGGAGGTGCCTACAGAAGCGGGGAAGACTCAGGGACAAAGACACCTTCTCAGATGGTCTGCTCTTTTTTTTTAAGATTCTAAATTCTTGAGCATGGGTAGGAAAACTAAGGCCCGGGGGCCAGATCCGGCCCAATCGCCTTCTAAATCCGGCCAGCGGACGGTCCAGGAATCAGCGTGTTTTTACATGAGTAGAATGTGTCCTTTTATTTAAAATTCATCTCTGGGTTATTTGTGGGGCATAGGAATTCATTCATTATTTTTTTCCCCAAAATATAGTCCAGCCCCCCACGAAGTCTGAGGGACAGTGGACCAGCCCCCGCTGAAAAAGTTTGCTGACCGCTGTTCTTGAGGTTTGGAGAGTGTATGTTTTAAATTCCACATACTACATTGTTGTAAATCGCATTGGTGAAAACCGGGACACAATTTAAAAACAAATAAAGGAATGGATGTCTCTTTGATGTTCAAAGCTTTGTTTCTCTTGCGACTCACAGACACATGAAGCCACTTCCAAGACGCTGTGTCCAGAACATGGATGTTGCTGTAGCGCTTTGCCTCCCGCATACCCCCGAAGATGTAAATGCGCTTGGTCTCTGGGTCATATGTGGCACTGTGGCCCCTTGAACACTGTGGCATGGAACCTGGTGCTGGGAGATCCATGGGGAACCAGAAGTCATTGTCTGCAAAATCAGCAACAGAAATGAACCCAAGATGTGCAAGAGGGTGGGGGAAAGTTGCACAAAGTAGTCGCCAACATGCTAAAAGCTTAGAGCTGGCTTCCCTGCTAACCAGAACACAAGTAGTGTGCAAAGCAAGTTAGATCCAGCCACTTTCAAGTTCAGCTCACCAGGCATGGCAGACACTCCTTTAAGAACTACTATCCCCATATAGGAAAAACCGACTCCAATTCAGTTTCCCTCTGATCGGTTGCAGACAGTGTCAACATGTACATCGCTGCAAGCAAAGAAGCATCTCACCAATTTCCAGTTTCCACAGGGCATCTTGGCAAAATTGTTGATTAGTTCCTTCGCCACCAATCAGAACAGCAGTTTCAGGGTCACTCAGGCACATGGCATGACACCACCGAGGGCTTGGACATACTACAGAGAGATGCAGGAGTGGAGACAGCAGAAACATACCACAGAATCCATCTCATTTCATTGAGGGATGGTCATTTGGGAGAACTTCCTCCTGAAACCTACAACATGACTGATTCTGGCTGTTTCCATACTACCCTTCATGTGGAATTGCCATTGTTCCTTCACTCACTTTTTAAATCAAATCAATACCCTCCAGTGCTTTCTCTTGTTCCTCAAACCACAGAAAATCCTATGCAAACTCCACATATGTAGAGGGTCTTAAAACTAATCTTCCACTTTTCCTAGAGCTTCAGTTTAGATACACCAGTGACACTGCAGGTAAATGAAGCTATAGCCATGCTGGCACCATTACCTTTACGATCAAGCACCATTTCGTCATTTTTCTATTCTATCTTTTAATTAACACCCATGCCCTTTGAGCTACTTTTTTTTCAACTTTTTAAAGGAATTCTTGGAAGTAATTACCAAATTGCTCTTTAAAACAATAAACTCTAGAATAACTGCTTTTTAAAAGGTGGCTCAGTTGTATTCTGTCTTTCCCACCTTAGGACTCAGGGTAGACTGAACGTAGTGAGATGTCCACATACAAGAATTAAGGGGTGAGATTCAACTAATGATTTCTGTCAATGTAAGCCTTGCACAAGGGTTTCTGCTTCCAGAATGAGGCTTCTCCCCCCCTCCGCCTACATGCCCCCCAAAATTGGCTCGAGGGGAGGGGGGGTCAGGAGCACTTCCAGAACAGAACACAGGGAGAGGGGGGGGGTTGTTCCTTACAACAAGCTGAAATGCTTTCCCTGACAAAATGATCACCTTAGCATGACATGGAATTCCTCCCACTATACCCTCAAAACACAGAAAGTCAGTTGCAATGCCACATGTAGCTTACAGTGGAAGAGTAGTAACTTGGTATTACTAGGAGCTGCTGTTCTGGAAGCACTGAATGAATTCCAACAAATTGTTCAAGGAACAGGTATTTTACCTTGCAGCTCTTTAACTTCCAAGTCTGCAGGGAGAGAAAATGTTCCGAGAGATTACTATTCTCGTGCAATGCTCTCTTCAAACTGATTTTCAATGGGTAATGCATTTATATTGGAAAAAAGAAAAGATGCTATTTCATCATAAGCAAAGAAGTTATGATCCTGTATCAGGCGAAATGCTTTAGAATGCACACTCAGTAATTTAACATGCATTTTTTGCACACCAACGACCAAACCACACATTAACATTGGTAATGCATGATTCCCACCCCACCCTCAAACTATAAATACCAGCAGTGAGGGAGACACTATCAGAATCAGGTCTGCAGCATGTAGTGGGATTAGCTCTTTCCTATCATGTTGTGGCTCTGATCAGCAGTCACCTGCTAAAGCCATTATTTGGCACAGGGAGGAACACCATCATTGGTGCCAATCTGGCAAGAGTTTTTCAATTGCATGAAAATGATGACTGGCCAGGAAGTTAAAGAACAAATTGGAGGTTGTCTCCATAAGCTGCAAGCCCAAATGCAAACATCATTGATATCATTCAAGTATATAACTCTCTGCTAGGTATCTTTCCCAACTCCTATGCATCAGGACAAATTCATATAAATTAGAGCATTCTGAATGTGTGTTGACTAGATGTATGCGTGTTCTGGCATGTGCTAAAGTCTTGTATTTTACAACATCACTGGAAAGTTTCTGAAAAGGAGGCCAAGCTAGTAGGATAAGGGCTGGGGGACTGGACATTGTGCATTCATGGGAGCACAAATACTCCACCCTGTCCCAGAATGCTATACAATTACAAGGTAATTTGGTCTCGGAAACTAGACATCACTCCTGCTATAGATTTACTAACCTTCAGATTCCTGCTGTCTGTTGGATGCCAGAAGTTCAAAGAGAACCCTCCTGGTCTTTAGGCGAGCTGAATTAGATGTACATGTTTTATTCCTGGCCTCCTCACAGTCCACCGATGCAGCAGTTGTTTCTGGAGCAGGAAGCATAAGCAGCGTTTCCATGGGTGGAGAGAACTCCTTCCTTTCAAGCGCAGGCTCTTTAACAGGCATCACTGAACTCCCATTCTTAGACTGCTCCACAAAGAACAGAATTAGATCGGGATCAGAAATCATTCGAACAAAACGAATGGGCCTAATGAAAAGGGCTCACTGAAGGCATGCGCTACAGACAACTCCAGTTTTCCCTGGGCTGCCCTAGACAAGGGGTAGCCAACGTGGTGTCTTCCAGATGTTGTAGAATACAATTCCTATCAGCCCTGAACACTGGCCATACTTGCTGGAACTGGGAGTTGTGTTGCCCAACATCTGGAGGGTCCCATATTGACTATTCTTACCCCATATGCTTTGCTCCTGTTCTGTCCAGCTTGAGAGTTTTCCCCAAAGCATCTGGTAAACCACTGTTAGGAGCAGAAGGTATGCTCCAGCAGGGTTCATCAAAGGCCCAAGCACTTATAGAATCATAGACCCCAACTCACTCAATCTTCCTCATAAGGCTTGGTTTCCAGACTCTTGATCATCTTGGTTGCCCTCCTCTGCATACATTCCAGCTTGCATACATTCCTTCTTAAATTGTTACAGTAGACACAGTATTCCAGGTGTGGTCTGACCAAGGCAGAATAGAGCGGTACTATTACTTCCCTTGATCCAGACACTCTACATTTGTTGAAGCAGCCTAGAATAGTATTAGCTTTTTTTGCTGCTGCATCACACTGTTGACTCATGTTCAGCTTGTGGTCTACCTAGATCCTTTTCATATGTACTACTGGCAAGCCAGGTGTCCCTCATTATATTTGTGCAGCTAAATATTCCTGCGTTAAGTGTAGAACTTGTGATTTGTCCCTATTGAAATTCATTTTCTTCATTTGGGCCCAGTTCTCCAATCTATTAAGGTTATCTTGAATCCAGATTCTGTCTTCTGCGGCATTAGCTATCCCTTCAAGTTTGGCGTCACTTGCAAATTTGTTAGGTGTGAAACGCCAAATGAAGTTTCCACTACGGAGTTTTGATCACAAACACAATCTCTGAGCAATTGCTCTAAGTCTATGACCTGAAGCAGTCCTACAGATCACACAGAATATGGTAGCAGAAATCTGGAAGGAACCACTTCAGATTGTAGATGTAGATATATTTTTCCACACTTTCCCACACAAAACAAAACACAAACATCCCTGCATGTAGAAAATAGGCAGAAAGGTTTCATGTAGCCCTCTCTCTGGTGTGGGGAATAGAATTACAGTGGTACCTCCAGTTACAAACTTAATTCGTTCTGGAGGTCTGTTCTGAACCCGAAACCGTTCTTAACATGAGGCTTGCTTTTGCTAATGGGGCCTCCTGCTGCCACTGCACCACCGATGCGTGACTTCCGCTTGCATCCCGGGGCAAAGTTCACAACCAGGAGCATCTACTTCCAGGTTAGCAGAGCTTGTTACCCAAAGTGTTCGTAAGGAGGATGGTACGTAACCCAAGGTTCCACTGTACTCTCCTCCTCTTCTCCATTCCCTCAGTAGGAATAACGCTTCCAGAATTCCACTACCTGTCTGTGTAACTTGTATACTGGTCATGGTCCTAGAGGTTAACAACAAGCAGTTAGCCACCAAAAGGAGAGTTCTATCTATAAACCTACCTCAGGTGGCTCATCCAATCGCTGACCTGTATCTTCTGGAAGGACAGGTGACTGATTAGGCTCTGTGGCCTGAAATGGGCGGGTGGGGGTGCTGTTGAGCAGCTAAGGAGGAGAGACACACACATCAGAACAACACTTGCAACTTGAGTCAAAAGGCAATGCACAGATGAGTAGCCCCCTACACTGGAGGCTTTTAAAGAGAGGGAGGTATGGTTTGAAGGATGTGACGGGCTGTGTAACAGGGTAGACTGAGTGGGTATCTATCTGTTCCCTCTTTGGGTCTCTCCCTCGGTCAGACGGATCATGGTTGCCATAGCAGCAACCGGTATGACCCTGAGCCTGTCAGCGTTGCTATTAAATGCCAGGTTAGTCCATAATAAAATCTCCCTTATTCATAATTTAATTGTGGATGAGGAGGCCAACCTGGTTTGTATTATTGTACTAATTGTATAATTGCAATGTTCTGTACATGGGCTGCCTTTAAAATATGCTGGAAACTGGGAGATACGAACATATTTCACCCATGCTTTGTAGTCACTGGCTTCCAACCAGTTTTCAGGTCCAAATCAAAAAGCTGGGGTATCTCACATGTAGCTACTCAATCTGAGATTTGTTTGTTTATATGCATTTACAGGCTGCCCTTCATCATTTTGTTCTAGAGATAGTTACATACAGCTCAATACAACAAGCAAACTATGTAACACACAAACATTACTAGGCAATAAATTAAACCTAATCAACAGCAGTCAGGAAACAGGAACAACACTACAGTGGGAAAGGTATTCTGAACTCGTCCTGCAACCCAAAAACCTATGCAAAAGGTGCATTATGACCTGGCGTTGATATGTATATAATGATGAGGCCAGAAGGGGAGGGCATTCCAAAACCTGGGGGCCACCACAGAGAATGTCCTCTCATGCATTCCTGCCTACAAACTTGATAGGGTAGCAAAACTACCAGCAGTGCCTCCCCTGCAGATCTCAACAGTTGAACGTGTCTATGAAGAAGGAGGGACTCCCTCAGATACTTAGGGCCTATATTTGATGTTTTACTTATATTTTAGGCAAAGTATTTAAACTTTCAGGGCACATGGCCATCACAAGACAGAATAATAATTACACAGCATATCAATATTCATTAACAAGTGGCATTACAGGAACGGATACTTTTAAGACTTCCATTTTCATATCTGTATATATGGGTCACGTTAAAAATGAATCCACATGGACCCAGTCTCAGTAGGCAGGGAGTACAGAAATGACAAGATAGAAAACTTTCCTACCTGTTCCTCGACAGTCAAGAGAAGCTTAACAGGGTTACCATTCTCTTCCTGCTTTAATGAAGCCATCAAAACATCCACTCGCCAGTCACCTTCCCATACCAAACACCTGCTTAAGTAAAACACACTGATCACTATTTTCTTGCTCTGAGATAATTTTACTTTTATTTCAATAGCTGATAGAGTTAAACTGACAATACATTCTTAAGCTTTAAAGACTGTCCATAGCAGAACAAATGGATTTGGTAGGTTGCAATAGCACAACATCTTCATGACAGCTGCTGTAACTAATAGCATGTTGATCCCTGAAGTCTTGAGTTCAGATCCAGCCTTTGCTGGCCCTGGACACATTCTCTGCTTTTAAAATAATTTATTCCCTCATACAGTTTTTTAAAGAACTTCCTCACAGTGTGTTTGGAAAGCACTTGGCATGCTAACAAGTATCAATACTGGCACCAAAATTCACTAATTATCTAGAATTTACCTTGTTTCAGGCCCCAGCTTGCCAATCTTTTGTGGCTTAACATTTGGATTCACTAATATTTCTACAATGATGCTTGTCTTCTGAGAATAGCGGCTCCAGTCACCCAAACCAAAGACCACTAGGTGTTTGGGCAGCGGAAGTGGTAAGTGAGTCTGGTAACATTTCTGACGGCATTTGCTTAGAGAGAAGAGAAAATATATTAGTCTCAAAAGGGATAGCATGGAAGGAAACTGAGAAGAAAGGATTCATAGTGATGGAAAACAAGAGGGGGAAAGACTGGTGCTGTGTACGCACAATCATGGATGTAGCCAGGAGGGGACAGAGGGGACAGCTGCCCTCCTAAATTGTCGGAGCCAGCCGTTACAAATGGCGCAGTTTAGCATAAAATAAAGACACAGAGAGCCAGCAATATTTTCAGGATGGTATGAGCAGCTCCTTTTCGAACTTCTCTCTCCCCCGTAGCTTTTATTATTATCCTTTGTCTCTCTCCAGCCGCATGGCCGTTTGCCAATGTCTCACGTTACCTCATCCGGTCAAGGCTTTTATTACACCCATCACCATATAGGGTCATCACTGCCCAGAGGAAACACAACTCCATTTAAGGTCAATACATTCCAATACATTGTAAAGCTCAGAGTGCTGGTCAGCCGAGGTCAGGAGGCACCCTGCAATATTACAAGCCTTTGCCGTGGCTTTATGACTCCCACACTAAATCAAGTACAGTAAATAAATAAAAATACTTAACTGACCAATTGTGTCGCAGATAACTCGGTTCTGCTCCAACATAAAGCCTGCCCCCCTAAAATAATTCCTGGCTACGCCCATGTGCACAATACCTGTAAAGCGCATTTGAAGCGCATTTTTCCCTCAAATAATTATGGGCACTGTAGTTAACTCTGAGGGGTAAATTACAGTGCCCAGAATTCTTTGAGGGGAAAATGTGCTTTAAAGGTATAATAGCATGTATACAGCAAAGGGATTCCTTCTCACTTGTTCCCTAAAAGAAGAAAGGGGGGTTGACAACCTGCTTTGAAATTTTGGAACTATCTTTCTAGGACAGAAGGGACCCAACTGAGGGCATTTACAAATGTGAGGCTCACACTGTGTGTAACCTGAATAGAAACCCTTCATTGTGCCAATTATGAACATTGCTTTTAAAGCGGCTTTCTTTGCATTATGTGCATGGGCTCCAGCAGTCCCCATTTACCAGGTGCAGTCTATATTCTCCAATAGCTGCCCCCATTTTATATCTTGATGGTTTTGTGGATTCCTCTAACTTCCCTTCCATCTTGCTTCCCATAATTGCCTATTCAGATACTAAACACTGTTCAATTAGTTCTAATGTATGTTGTGTAACAAAAGCAGCCAGATGCACTGTGAGATTAGACATTCTGCTGAATAAGTGGAAGTTAAAAGACCTAGACCCCTAAGGAGCTAAAATAGAGGATATGAATTTTAATGCTAATCAGCTTTCTAATACACAATGGATTCATAAAATAGTGCAAGAGTAGATACAGAAAAATGCATAAAGGGAGAAAAATCAGCAATGAAGAGTTCTGGCCAGGCCTTGACTTGGGTGGGAGAACTGGGATAATGCAGGTACACACACACTTATTTTCATATGGGAAACGGTGAAAGGTTGCAAACATCCATGCCTATTTTAAGTGCTTATCTGCTGGTCATGCAGAAATCGGCTTTTTGCAGCATGTAGATAAGCAACACCGCCTGCAAATGTCTGCTCATCAAGCTGCTGTTAAAGGCACACACCAACACTGGCTAGCTGAGAAGTTGGCAACCCTAACGCACCCAAAACGTTGCTAGTAGTTAGGCTCCCGGTGTCGCACAAGCCTCTTCGCTGCTTTCATGGTTGCTGTTGGTTTTCACGTGCGAAAACACCGTATCGTAAAAGTGACCTGTGAACCTGAGTCGCAGGCTTTTTGGCGCATAAATTTCCCTAAACCTTTGCCCGCTTTCACCCTCCAGGATGGCGGGAAAGGCGAGCCGCCGCGCGCAGGCCTCACCTACTGAGCTGCCGGGGCGGCTCGCGCAGAGACCAGAGGGCGTAGAAGTGGAGCTTGCCTTCCCGCCGGGAGAAATCCGCCCCTCCGCGGGGCTGCGGGGCTAAGGCGGCCTCCCCCCGCTGCCAGAGGCCTCCGGGGGCCCAGCTCCATCGCCGGCGGGGCGTTCCCAAGCCATCCAGACTCAGAAAACTGGAAGCACCGGAGAGCATGGCAGAGGGAGCGGCGCTTTGAGGCCCAAAGGCGCCCACCCAGACACCACGGGCGAGTCAGGGTGGCATAAGCTGCTCCTCGGTCCCAAGTCTGGGTAGGTCGACACGCGGCGGGCTTGGGTTGGGCGCGGGCACTCTGCTGCTGCTCAGAGGTGCTCTTTATTATAGCCCCGCATATTCCAGGGCGGAGCTTTTTGGTCTCAACCAGTTTCCTGGTCCCTGTTTGATCAGTTTCAGGTGTGACAAGGCCGACCGTGGTTTATTTGCAAGAGGGGGGGGGGAGAGAAATACTTGGTGGTTTAAGGGGCAGGCTAGAAAGCTGGTGCAGTTCGGAAATATTTGACCCTCGACGTGCGTGGAGTGGGGCGCTTTTGATGGCATAGGTATGATTCCAGTTGTGAAGCGCGCACCATTGACATTTCTCCATGTATTGCAGCTGCTGCTATATTTCTGATACAGAGGGAGCAAATAGTTGTCAGCCCTGGTTTTAAAAAAGAGGAATACTCTGAGCACCTGCACTTTCACATGCTGCAGAAATCAGCATCAGACCTGGAAACTGTTCGCTGCTGCTCCTGCCCTATGGATGGCCGGGGGTGGAGATCCTGGGCTTTGGCCCCAAGGCCTAGCAGCATCTTGGGGCCAGAGCACAGACCATCCTAACTGCAAAATGAGAAGAAGCCTTGCCTTTCTCTCTCAGATTTTGTTTATAGCCCCACCACACCTGGGAAATCTCTCCAAGCATAGGCAGTGGCATCAGGACACACAAAACGAATGAAGAGTAATTCTGGCCACTGAAATGAGATGTGTGAATAAAGACATCTTATGTTTAGCTTTTGGAACGCTTTGCATATCAGACAGGCACCTTCTCTCTGAGCTTTTTGTTGCCTGCTAAAAACATTCCTCTTTCGCCAAACCTTATAAAATCTGTATCCCACTTGCTGTTCTGAATCTGAACTGATTTTATGTATGTGGTGTTGTTTTAAACTGTTTTTAATATTTATAGGATTTTAAAAATTGTTTTTATATGCAATTCATTTTTTTATATGTCATTATAGTGCCTCATGGGAAGCGATTGAGAAAGGAAATAGTTTGTATGTCACCCATTTATTTGAAAGTCCTATTGAACTCAATATTCTGAGTAAACATGTAGTTTGCACTGTGATGGTCCTATTTCTGAAGAGCAGCTTATAAATTGACTGACAGTGAATTCCTCTGCAGATCTGTTCTATTAAGTTCAATGGGACCTAAGTGTCTATAGCACCATTTTCCAATCTGATGCCCATCAGATGATTTGGAAACCAGCAGCCCCAACCAGCATTGGCTGGGGCTGATGGGAGTTGTAGTACAAAATATCTGGAGGGCACCAGGTTGGGGAAGGTTAATGTATCAAATTGCTGTCCAAATAAATATATAGTCTACCAGTTCCTGTCAAACAATGTACTGCAGTTAGGATTTCATTTTTTACCAACTAAATAATCAGATTCTGTTTTCTAGGTTGCAACTCTAATTACAATTCCCATAGAGTAAGCCCCATTGAATTCAGTGGGGTTTACTTCTGAGTAGGTATGCATAAGATTTCAATGTTACTGTTGAGTAGGAGAAAACGGGTGAGCCATTGCAGTTACTGACCAACCAGTGTGTTAGTAGGATTTTAAAAAAAAAATGAGATCAAGTAGGTGAGACAGTTTTTAAGTAAGACTTATTGTCTCATGTATATTAGTTGTCATATGTGTTGATTGTTGTTGTTTAGTCGTTTAGTCGTGTCCGACTCTTTGTGACCTCATGGACCAGAGCACGCCAGGCACTCCTGTCTTCCACTGCCTCCCGCAGTTTGGTCAGACTCATGTTTGTGTTTGGTCAGACACATGTTTATGTGTTGATGGAGACTGTTTTTTTCTCAGCAGCATCGGCCCAGCAGGTCTTGGGTGCCTGTGATGAAACCAATCCAAATACTTCAGAAATTTCTCAAATGTATTGTGCAATTCTCTTCTCAGAAATGCTTATCTTTTGAGACAGATGGCTTAAAAAATCTGACAGGCCACCTGAATCAAATGTATCTGTTAATGACACACTTAACACTCTCAAAGACCATTAGGAACAATTAAGCCATTTAAAATCTACTCACTGGGTTTCTTCTAATAAAGGTTGTAAAGTTGTTGCTGGACAAGAAATAAGGGAGCTTGAGTATTTATAACAATACTCAGACTGTTAAACCAACAAACATTTTTTAAAAATAGTATTAAAAGCATAAAATGTGAATCTATGTCAACCTGCTTAATAAAACTCATTTAATTTAAATATGCACGACTGCACAACATTTGCAACATTTTAGGCAAAGCTTAGCTTTCTCAGGCCTAATACCTGAAGTCGAAGATGCAGGGAACTGGACTTGAATTCAAAACTCCTGTTTTGTATTAGGGTAGCCTTCTCAAAATGTGAACAAGGGTGTAACCCCCTGCTTCAAATAAGCTGCAAACAAGGAAACCACACCCAGCCGGAGGTGTCTCAGCATTTTCATTCTATAAGCTCTTGCTAAAAACAAACCAACCTCTCTTCGGTTTCCTAAGCGTTTTGCCTTATTGTGTGCTGGAGCCACCGCAGTAAAATGTTCCAGGTCAAGTCTCCAGCATTTCAAGGTAGCGCTGGAAATGTTCCTTGCCTGAAACCCTGGAGAGCTGCTATTTAGTACGATGACAATAGTGAGCTAGATGGACTAATGTGCCTTTGTAGACAGCTCCTTAAAAGCTACTCACTTTGAGCCAATATCCATTTCTGTTGTGCAATGAAAAGAGTGTGGGGTGGAAGAAAACGAGGGAGAGAAAGCCATCATATTTCTCCTGCTGATGTTCTCCAAGACGTGGCATCTATTAGCTCTACTTGAAAGCAAGATGAAAAGACCAAAGGTCACTTTGGAGATATGGCATGTTTGGTGGGCAACACAGTGTACTTCTATTAGGGAACATTTTGTAACTTAACGTGACATGTTGAAATAGTTTTACAACATTCAAAGCTTTATATCAGGCATAGGCAAACTCGGCCCTCCAGTTGTTTTGGGACTACAACTCCCATCATCCCTAGCTAACAGGACCAGTGGTCAGGGATGATCGGAGTTGTAGTCTCAAAACATCTGGAGGGCCGAGTTTGCCTATGCCTGCTTTATATATTCAGATATTGCCAACCACTCTTCATGTGGACCCTTTCCTCCTTTCCTGGAGATTCCCTCAGCCTTTCACAGGCTTTGGTGGTCAGAAGCAGAAATCTGTGTAAGCCGACAGCCCAAGACATGGTGCTGCCTGAGGCAAAGGGCAAGATAGCAGCCCCTCTCCCAAGTACAGAAGTTGACTGGACTGGTAGCTGAATCTTACTTCAATGATGGTGACAGGATAATATTTTCCAGTGCACTTCAGGGAAGCAGACTAGTTTAGCACGTTTAGTTTAGTTTAGATGGCAAGTCTGTGGCACACAGAGTTTTGATTTCCAAATGAGGGGAATGGGAGGGTGTGCTAGAGGGATTGCTTGAGGGCTTCTGCCATCTACTGCCTAATGCTAGCACCATCCCTGCCTGTAAAAGCCTGTGCAAAATTATTCTCCTGTTTTGCCTGTAGCTTGTGTTATCCAAATAGAAACATGGATAATATGCAGCCAAACGCCAAAGGAAGTGAGGAAAAATGGCCTTTGGTTTTCTAGCCAATGCATCTGAACAGATGCAGGGGTTTGGACTAGAATTAACCTCAGGATCCCTTGCAACTCTATGAACACTGGTCATGTCAGCACTGCAACATCTCACACTTATGTGTTTGTCCCCAGTACTGTAATGTGCTCATTATTGCAGTTTCGTGCTTCAGGGCTATTTGTCCCTTGGAGGAAAAAACTACTTAAAGCAGAGCACACAATCAGAAGAGAACATTTATCCATGTTTTCGGATAATCAGCTTGGTCTAGCTCCAGGCTGCCTCGTGATGCAAGTTTGTTCAGCTGCCTGTGCAAAACAAAAAAACCAAGAAAACCTCCACGATGAGGCTGTGTGCAATGAGGGTAGCTTCCATTGGTATATAAAATGCCCACCACTGAATGAAATTTGACTTCATATTCTAAATGAGCCAAAAGATCCGAATGCAGGCAAGATTTAAGTATTTCCTGTTTATTTAGCTCACACAACATGTGTTTCAAATACGAGCCTACAAATATAGGCTAACACAATTATTTGCAAGGGGAGCATATTGTTAGAATCCGAGAGCCCTCTTAGCAGCAAGTAAGTATCTATTGTATATTTATTTTTAAGGCAAGGGATCTCTGCCCCCCACTCCAGGCATCCTTTTAATTATGCAATCATTATTTTTGCTCAAGACGGTATATACCATCTACTTTAAATATGGTTTGTGGTGCCAGCAGGAATGTCAGGGTGAAACTTTGTTTTCTACGTGGTGTATGTCCTGTGGCTTTTTACTGAAATCCTGTAATTGTTCCTACCACAAGTATCCTGGGGGTTTTCAGTACTGATGTTTTGATTTGTTTTTTGCACTATGAATGCCCTTCCAGGCAGCAATAAAGCAGTAACCTTGGAGAAGCACTGAAGAGACAGAAGCCTAGTAAGTAGCTCATGTGATAAATCCCCTTAGTTTTATCATATCATCAGTTGCTTCCTTATTATCAGGGGGGTGTATATCATAGTCTAAAGAAGCCTTCCCTAACTGGAGAATTATGAAAATCAACCACAGTTGTTTGCATTTTCTCATCTTGCGTCATGGCTTTTACTTGTGACTAGCAGAAGCAGGATCAGAAACTTAGGCAGGGCACTGAAGGCTTTCATTTCCTTCCCCATTTCCTTCCCCATTGCCACTCACACCCTAGAAATTCTGCTCAGTCCCTCTATCTGGCTTCTGAAAGGTCATTAGGCATTGCTGACATACCCCATTCTATGAATTGCACCTCTGTATTAAAAATAATAATAATAAGATGCTGAATTTTGAACTAGTACAGTATAGTTGATATAGAATTTTCACCGCTCCATTTATATTTCAGAGGTTTCCCTTTTAATCTCTTTGAAAGAATTGGTGGTGTAAGACCGTGCACACTCTCAAAACAGTACAGATAAGAAGAGTTGAATGCCATCATAGCCAAGCCTTACAGTGTCAGTGTTTTTGGAATTTATTTGACAAAATTTATATACTGCTCGATTGTAATAAAACCTCTTAGGCAGCTTACAAGAATTAAAATAATCAATAAAAACCACATAAAAACAATTAATAATACTAAAGATTAAAATTAGCAGTAGACTAAAAATATCTTAAGACATGTCAACATCTATGTCTCTGGATAGTCATGCCTAAATATTTTTTTTAAGCAGGTGTTGAAAAGAATACAGTGAAGGCACCTGCCTGATGTACATAGTTCCAAGTGGAGGTGCACCACACCAAAAGACTGATTTCTTACGAGTGCAGAACAAATATTAGTTGGCACCTGTAACAGTGCCAGTTCCACAGATCAAAATGTCAAGTGGGCATATATGAGGTAAGGCAACAGGTCCCAAGCTGTCAAAGGCTTTATATACCAATAGTAACACCGTGAACTTGGCCCAGTAACAAACTGGCAACCAGTGCAGACTTCTGAACAGGGGTGCTGTGTGTTGATAGGGTCTCACTCCTGTCAGGAACTGTGCTGCAGCATTCTTCACTAACTGCAGTTTCCTGGTCAAGCGCACACGGAGTGCATTTGTTGCAGCAGGTAAAAGCCACTTCTAGCCACTGAGGCTACCTGGTCCTCCAGTGACAAAGCTGGATCTCAGAGCACTGCATACCTACTCCTTCAGCAAGAGGGCAACCCCACCCAGGGCAAGCAATTCTCAGGCACAGGAACCATTCACACACATAGCCTCTGTCTTGCCAGGATTCAAGGTCAGCTTATTTTCCCCGTCATCCATCTCACCACTGCATCCAGCCACTGGTCCGGGGCCCACACTTATGGCATGTGCACTAATCAGTACTTGGGCACCTTCAGAGTGACACTTGCACTGTAGCCTTCATCCCACTTCCTTCATAGCCCGAAGCTCCCCAGAATACTATGGAGCCACCTGGACCCCTCAGTGCTGGAGAGAACACTTGGGAGCAATTAAGGGGACCTTGAGTAGGTGAGGTTAGGCAGAAATTAACTGTGTGAAGAAGAGCTCTGGCCATTTTTAAAAAAATGTGCAAAGGGCCTCTGTAGCAATAAGTGCTTAACTGTCTTACAGGAGTGAGACAGAACCTTTATGAGCATATGAAGCGGCCATATACTGAAGGGAAGTTTTCTTGCTGCAGTTCTCTCACTGTGAAGTTCTCTTTCTGCAGTTCTCTTACTGCACATAACTGTTGCATTGTGGGAAGTCTTACTATGAAATCTTTCTATGCTTACTATGAGCACTATTGCTTCTTTTCTCTCTTACATTCTGGGAAGTTTTTGCCTCTGCACATAAGTCTGAGAATGTTCTGAACAGTTTCCATTGAGTTCATGAAACAGTGTATCCTGACCTGTTCTTAATGCATTGCTGACCACATCTACAGAACGTGATTGTTGTATTCCTTCATGTTATGTTCTCTCAATATCAATCTTTAGTTATAATTTAATTAGGAGGTTTCATGCCTGTCTAGTTCCAGCTCCGTTCCCAGTCTTTTGAACTATCACTGATTGATGTCATATGTTATTCCCGCCTTGTACCTATGTTAACCAATCAGCAACAAGATGCTTTGTGTTTGTATCAGCCAATCAGCCACAAGCACACCTGTGGCAATGTTTGTAATATTCAATAAAGAGAGTTCCTGGACTTGCCCCGGGCAGACGCTCTCCTTTGACACCCACCATTCGTCTGTCGTGATTTCAACCCAACATCTGGTGACCCCGACGTGCCAGATCCCTTACGCAGCCAAACCTCATACTTCACCCGACTGGAAAAGTCTCAGCGCGCTACTTCGTGAGTATGGGAGGGGACTTGACTAAGCTCCAGAAAGAGCATGCTAAAGAGTTGCTTTATTTAGTTAGACAGCGGGAGGTGGGTGTTAATATTTCCTTAAAAGAAATTGAACAATTGCTATGTGAGATAAATTGCCAATGCGTCTTTTATCCAGAGGCTGGATCTTTGGACGTAGAGACTTGGCAAAAGATCGGAAAGACCCTTTTGCAGAACCTAGGGCTCCGATTCATTGTCTGCTCACTTGGCAGAAATGTGCTGATGCCGTTGCTAAATTAGGGCCCCAATTGGGACCCCAGGCGTCTCCTCTTCTGGCCATCGCAGACAATCCCCCCCCTTACCCGAAACTTTTACCTCCTTCTCCTTTGCAGCCCAGCCAATCCCTCCCTGCGTCTCACCCTCCTCAGCCTGCATCCTCCCCCCCCATCCCTCCGCCTCAGCCTGATTCCTCCCCCCCCCATCCCTCCTCCTCCTGCCACAGCCCCTGTTTGCTCTATAGGAGCTGTGCGTGCTGCGCCTCTCTGGCAAGGCAAAAGGGCTCCTGTCCTTAGAGGAGGAGTCTGAGTGGCCAGGTGAAATGCCGTCTGCTTTCCCTATCTCTTATTCAAACCCTGGAACTGCTCAACAGCAGATTTATTATGAATCGCTTCCTTATTCTGTAATGAGGGAATTAAGGAAAGCCATTGCTGATTCTGGTCTGAAATCCTCTTATGTGACAGGGATGCTAGAAGGCATAGCAACTGGCTACATTATGCTACCTCAGGACTGGAAAGACCTGATGCGCATGCTTTTGTCCCCTGCTCAGTATGTGGTGTTTGAGAGTGAATTTAAACATAGCGCTTCAGCCCTGTCTGATCCTCAACATACTGCCAATGAACTTTATGGTGCTGGTCAGTTTGCTGATATAACTGCCCAAGCAACACTGACACCTGTACATTTTGTTCGCACCGCGACCTGTGTACAACGCGCCTTTCGGAAAGTCCCTGTTTCTGGTCAACCGCTGAGCTCCTTTGTAAATGTTAAGCAACAGCATTCGGAGCCATACCATCAGTTTATAGATAGATTGAAAGAATCAGTCACTAGGCAGATTGATAACACCACTGCTCAAAATGAATTGATGAAAAAATTGGCCTTTGAAAACGCAAACACTGATTGCAAGAAAGCTTTGCAGTCAATCATACATCGCCCTAAATATGAACTGGCCGATATGATTCAAGCTTGTGCGGATGTCGGTAGCCAGAGCCATGCGATGTCCTTGCTTGCCGGCGCAATCCAAGCAACCACTAAGCCTACTGGTAACTGCTTTAATTGCAAGCGCCCAGGCCATTTTGCCAAGCAATGCAGAGCCTCTGGCGGGGGGCACACAAGGATGGTTCTGCCTCTAAAGCTAAACCTTCTAAAAATGCCCGAAATGTGGCAAAGGCTATCATTGGGCTAATCAATGCAGGAGTTCGGGAAACTCCATCCCGGCCTCGCTCTCGGGCCAGGAAAATTAGAGAGCCCAGGAAATTTGAGAGCTCGCCTTTAATTTCTGCTGCTGCAAACTTTTCAAAAACCACCCTCTGAATTTGCAATTGATTTGATCAATCAAGAGACCAAAGATTCTGTTCTACCTGGTGAAATTGTGCTTATGCCCACTCAATTGGCAGGTCCCCTGCCTCCTAAAGTCGCAGGTTTAATTTTACCCAAATTTTCTGCGGCAAAGGAAGGAATCCAGGTTATTCCTGGAGTTCTGGATCCTGACTATGTAGGCACAATAATGGTTCAACTCTGGAGCCATATGCCCATGCAATTAAAAAAGGGTGAGTCTTGGGCGCATTTGGTGGTGCTCCCTCTCATCCTACTGCTTCTATTATGGATACTAATTTGCACGAGCTCTCTTCTTTCCCTCCACAGCTGTTAGCTGTAGTCCAGAGGATTGGTGAGAAGAAACTTCTTCGTAAGTATAAAATCAATGGTATTGTGCTGGAAGGCTTGATTGACACAGGCGCAGACGTTTCTGTAATTTCTAGTAGTTGCTGGGACCCCACGTGGCCCCTTGAGTCTGCCTCTGCTGTCTGGGGTGTGGGTGGCCCCAAACCTCTTCCAAAAGCGTACAGTGGCTGCCTGTTTCTCTGCCTGATAGCTCTGAAACCATTGCTTACATCCAGCCCTGTGTGCTGAAAATCCACCTCAATCTGTGGGGAAGAGACTTGCTACAGCAATTACAAGCTACCATTCAATTTAATGAGTAAGCTTGCACTTCTCCTCAACTGGAAATCTTCTGGTCGTGTCCTGGCTATACGTTTAATCACATTCCAGCAAACATCAGCCATGGCACACCTTGCTGTTTAAGCCGTTTGTCCATCATTTTATCGCTGCAATATTGAATTGACTAATGATTGTGATGCTTTTGTCTCTCTTCTCAGTAGGTCTGAATATATCTCTTTAGTTGCTTCTCTCTTAGGAGTCCCTGGATTGGCTGTACGGAATCGTGTGAACATTACTTCTTTAGCTTGTTATGCAGCAAAAACTCTGAATTATATTTCACAAGCCCTTCACCTTTTGAATAAAGAACAGTGCACTCCACAATGGACTTTTACAAAATCCTTTTACAAAATGGACTTTTACATTATATAACCCCTTTTGAATAAAGAACAGTGAACTATATAATGGACTTTTACGAAATCGTGCTATAGATTATTTGCTGATGCTTCATCATTATGGCTGTGAACAAGTGAATGACATGTGTTGTTTCAATATTACTGACAATTCAAGAGCCATTCAAAGTCAAATCTCTCATTTGCAAAATCTTACACATCACATTAAACAGGACATTGGTTTTCCTGGCCTCTGGGATTCTTTCACCCAGTGGCTTACCGCTTGGTTGCCAAACCTTACTTGGCTTCGTAATCTTTTTCAATATGCTATTTTCATAATTTGTATTCTTATTTAATTTGTATTCTTATTTTACCACGCTGTTTTCTTCAATGCGTTCCTAGCTTCATGAGTCTTTTCTCTCGGCTTCTCTCCCCCCACCCCCACCCAGTAAACTCCTTGCTGCTTACATTGCGAAATGGCAACACCAACAGTAAACCTTAGGGGAGATGTGGGCGGATTTATTTTGGGCATGCGCTGGCAAACCACGTATCCTGAAGTACTTTTGTCCCATCGACCCTGGCAAGCTTATTTCGGGCATTCGCTGGCACACCACTAATCCCGAAGTATTTTTGCCTTATCTACCTAGAAAGCCTCGCAAACAAGAAAAGAAAGGGGAGATGAAGGAAGTTTTCTTTCTGCAGTTCTCTCACTGTGAAGTTCTCTTTCTGCAGTTCTCTTACTGCACATAACTGTTGCATTGTGGGAAGTCTTACTATGAAATCTTTCTATGCTTACTATGAGCACTATTGCTTCTTTTCTCTCTTACATTCTGGGAAGTTTTTGCCTCTGCACATAAGTCTGAGAATGTTCTGAACAGTTTCCATTGAGTTCATGAAACAGTGTATCCTGACCTGTTCTTAATGCATTGCTGACCACATCTACAGAACGTGATTGTTGTATTCCTTCATGTTATGTTCTCTCAATATCAATCTTTAGTTATAATTTAATTAGGAGGTTTCATGCCTGTCTAGTTCCAGCTCCGTTCCCAGTCTTTTGAACTATCACTGATTGATGTCATATGTTATTCCCGCCTTGTACCTATGTTAACCAATCAGCAACAAGATGCTTTGTGTTTGTATCAGCCAATCAGCCACAAGCACACCTGTGGCAATGTTTGTAATATTCAATAAAAGAGAGTTCCCGGGACTTGCCCCGGGCAGACGCCTCTCCTTTGACACCCACCATTCGTCTGTCGTGATTTCAACCCAACAATATACCAACATGACACATCTGTTGTTCTCTGACAGACAGTGGCTCCCCAAGGTTCCAGGCAGGAATTTCCCTCAGCTGAGATTCTTCGCCTTTGACTGAACTTAACCATCCAGGGGTCCTTTACCTTTACATTTACCTTAACTGGAGATAGCAGGAATTGAACCTGTGCAACATTTCGCTTAGAAAAGAACTCAGACCAACACCCCCTTTACCTCTGCAGTTCATTTTCTTCTTTCTTCACAGCAGCAAAGGAAAGACGGAAGGCTGAGGCTGTATGATGAAAATGTTTATTGAAATATTTTTTGAAAAATGCAAACACACAAGTCACAGGTTTACTTCATGCAATGAAACATACATTAACCAAGTTCTACAAGGAACAGCAAACACACTAGAAAAACTTTATCTCGCCAGTACCGGAACATATGAGTCAGTGACATAGCTTAATAAAATATCCTCTCAATTTTAAGCGGGGTTGGAATGCTTGGGAGGATGTGAGCAGCATATTTGTGCACAAAATTAATGATTAAGGAACAAAAATAATATCACATGGATCATAAATCACTGACAGAAATCCTACAAGCTACAGAAATTGTGTACCAAGGTGGCGTTCTGACTAGAGGGCATGTTGCAGCTAGAGGTTGATCACTCCAGATAGTCTGTTCCTTTTGCCTTAGCCACAATGTTTGAGTATAGGCTATTGTTAATACCTTGGAGTATGTTTTGCTATGTTCAATAAAGTTCAGCCTCTCTAGGTATCCTACAACTTGCCCAAGAATCAGCCCACTGATGATTATTGGTGAAACAGAGAGCAAGTGAGGCAACACCTTAGCTGCTTATACCAAGTTTGTTTAAAATGCTAGAAGGGAGCTTCTTAGAAGTTTGACTCAGGCCTAGGCTTAAGGGTTCAAAGCAAAAACAACCATCGAAGGAATTCAGCACTGCGCTATTATGATCATTCCATCAGTGCAAGCATTTCTGCTTGCCAGATGAAACAACCTCCCTGCTTCTTCCCCTGCGTGCTATTATGTTGGAGAACATATGCAGGGGGAGGAGAGGAGAAAAGCTCTGTTGCACGAGTGGGACTTGTTGCACTGGCTCCTGTTGGCTGAACTGCTTATTTAAATCTGGCCCAAGTATTTCAACTACGTGTTTTAAAATGTACTTTATTTCAAAGCACAGCTCGGCTGACATCAGTAAACAGGATCATTTGTTTTATTTTTTTATTTCAACATCTACTATGGGAGGAGAGGTTTGTGCAGTTCAAAAGCTTACTTCCAGCAATTTGAACATAAGCTGGTCAAATATATCAACCCACTTGTGATTTTAATTATTTCAGCCAAGTCTCTCTTTTTCATTATTGCCCAAGCCCCAACTCAAAACATTTTTATCAGTGTATCCTAATGGCCTCATTCATAGGAATCACTCCACTACAGGCATTATCAGCCAGAATCCAAAACACACATTTAGTTCTACACATCCCAGAGGGCACTGGACATGTGCTTCTTGAACAGCAGTCACCCATTCTGTTCTGCCAAGCCACTTGGGTGGTGGTGGGGTCCAATTAGTTTCCGGACCCAATTCAAAAGTGCTTGTTTTGACCTATAAAGCCTTCAAGAACCACCTCTTCCCCATATGAACCAACCCAAAGCCTTCGTTCATCATCTGAGGCCCTTCTTGTGTGAGAGGTCCAGAGGCAACAACACAAGAATGGGCCTTTTCTGCAGTAGCCCCCGCTTGTGGGATACTCTCCCCAGGGAGGCACATCTGGTTCATTTGTTAAATCTCTTTAGGCACCAGGCAAAAACATTCCTCTTCTCCTAGGCCTTTGGCTAATTAAACAATCTATAGCATTTAAAATGGGCAGGGGGTATTGCTTGTGTTTGGTATTATTTATGCATTTTTGTGGTTTTGTATTGTAAACAACCATGTGATCTTCCGATGAAGGGTGAAATATAAATTTAATAAATAATAATAAATAACTTCAAATAAGGCATTTTCATAGGAAATGGTTTGATGTAGTACTGGGCTTTGGAGTTCAAGAATTCACTATTGGGCTAATGCAAGCCCTTTGGAATTTAGCCATTATGTTGTATGCCACTGTTCTAAAGTAGCAGTTTTACACTTTCATGTAGTTCAATTCTAGCCATGTTTATTCAGAAATATATCTCACAAGAACCAGTCAGCATATTTGTAGGTGCATTGCCTTAGGATTGAACCGTGTGTGTGTATTACTCAGTTCACAGGTTTCTTTGAGCAGGCTCATACATTTAAACCCAATAAACTTCATTGATCCAATATATCTGATGACACAAGAAAACAGCAACAGAGTTATTGTACAGGTGTGCTTGTTTAAACTACACAAACTGCCTTTGATCAAGATCAGGAGTTCCCACACTTTATCATGCTTTCCACTTATAGTGGCTCAGTATTTTTAGCCTGCACATCTAAGAATATGTTTAAACTTTGTGTTTAAACAAAGACTTGCCTGGTAGAAGGTAATCCTTGTCCACAGGTCAGTGGCAAGCAAACCAACAAATAAAAAATGACCACCATGAAAAGTCATTCCACTAATCACTCAAAGACATCAACATAAAATGCAAGATGCACAGCCACTGCATGGAGTTTGGTCTTGGTGCTGATAGGGGATGAATAACTATACATTGATGCTGTTTCCTGGTCCAAATAAAGTATATAGGAATATCCTTGGGGATGAGCTCATCTCTCTTCTGTAAATTAACCACAACTACAGTGTTAGCTATGCTTACCTCAGTTTTATCTGTAAAATGTTTTAAGGCCTTCTGGAAAGGTAACAAAAATATGCTTTATGAGGCACAAGTCCTTGGAATGGGAGACTTTACAATGCAATCCTATACATGTCTACTCAGAAATAAGCCCCACCGAGTTCATCTACACATATGATTGGATGCCTTAGCTTTACATCACACAACTTTTTCTTTATCATTTCCTGGCAACTGCATCCTGGTTAAGGAGATAAGGCTACTTTCCCAAAGCAGCACAAAGGGGTGTAAAATTGATTAGCCCCAGATGATCACCTGTTTAACATGCTTCTTGCAGCAGAAAGGAGAAAGGAAACTATGTGCTTGATGAAAAAAACAAAATAGAAATGGTATACCAATATACCTGATTTATGTAATTTGCTACTCTAAAAGGCATTAAAAGGGTATTAGACAAATGGAAGGACAGAGCTATCAACTAGCTAAATGGCGCAGTCTGCGCAGAGGCAAACGGCATGAGAGGGCTGTTGCTTTCATTCTCTGCTTGGGGCTTTCAAGAAGCATCTGGATAAGGTCACTGTTGAAAACAGGATACTGACCAGACAGACTCTTGGGAAGAACATGAAGGGTTGTTGTTTTGTTTTTATATTCTAATAAGCTTTCCTCTCACTTGAAGATTCTCAGAGAATTTTTTTTTTAAGAGGCAGAAGCAAAATAAGCAGAAACTGGGCTGTATAGAACTGAAAAACACAAAAGCAAAACAAGCCTTTCAGAAGCTAGCAAGTCCCCAACCACAGAGATCATACAATGGAACAGTGCTACAAATTTTAAATTTAATTCAGTCATGCCAATTCTACACTTGCCTATGAAAGTGCTGAAGTAAAAATAAAGCACATAAGGGAAGATTGATGATGATTATAAAATATTGTCTCAATTTGAAACAACAACAAATTGCTGAAGTATTTAGTTGCTTCAAAAACATCACACAGAACAAATGGAGCAGGGATCAAAGTACTTCAAGTGCGTTGTTACACTATATTGATGAGGTCTTCACAATTATTTTAGAAAATTTCAATCCCTTTGGCCCCTGATCTGAAATCATAGCTTATCTGTCCTAATGCCTGAAACTGGTTTTCCATTCCATCTCAAAAAATGCTTTAAAAATTACATTTATCAATCCCAGACAAGTATGTGCATTTTCCCTGGCTATCTCCCACATAACTCTTTAGGTGCCAAAATGATAGTTCTCCAGGGATTTTAGGTCTGTGATCCAAGAAAGAGATCCAGATTTCATGATCTGAAAATAGGACAACCATACACACATTGTGCCCTGGCTGCATCTCTATAGCTGAACAGTTCTAAGTCCCGTCAGTATTTGGAAAGGCATGTGGTGTGTGTGTGTATTTATCTTCAAACATGGTTTCAAAAAGTACATTACATTTGTATGTGGCCAAAGTGTGTTGGCAAAAGACCAATTTTAAACTGATTTAATCAACAAGAGCAGCACTGAAACCAATGTGTTATTAAACAGACTGTAGAAAGGAGAACATGTAAGGCCTTTGCTCAATTTGAATCTACTGCAGGTTAGGTTATTAAATCTTAATTTCAACTTCTGTTCTCTTTCCCAGAGTGAACTATTTCCAGCCAGGAAGGAGACACTGCCTTCTATATTTATAGGTAGAACATGCAGTACAACTTCAGTAGCAATTAACATGAGCAAACACACCTCTAGCAGGCATGGGCTAAAGAACAAAGACAAATTTATTGTGCTGAACAGAGATTTTCATATTACTTGTGTGACAAAAAGCAGAGAACTCTGTAACAAACAAACTTAACTCAAACTTGCATACTGTACTTGATTCACACAATCTGTCTTTATAGTCTCCTCTTCAAGCAGAACCAAAATAAAAGCCCTTGTATTGGACATATTTAGCAGACTCTGTGTGTACTGTAAAATGTGGGAAGTCAAGAAATTAACTTTCACAGGGAAAATGCTTTGAACAATAACGAACAACATTGTTTAAAAACATTCAGAGGGAAGAGAGTCTTTAAAGCTAACCATGGGCTGTGCAAGGGAGCTCCTGTTTCTGGCTTCAAAAATACAGCAGCTGCTGTTCAGGATATTTATAGAAAAATAAATACACATACTGTCCTTTAAGCCAAATAATCAATTTGCGTTGCTACTGGATTGCCTCTCATTCTCTTCCCCTCCAATTGATTTGCAGAAAGATAAGCCCAAAGTTTGCTTCTTGCAAGTCCTGTGCTTTGCAAACTCTGTGCTTCTCACTTATTGGCCTGGAATCAGCCACTAATTTCTCCATTCTCACTGCAAATAAAAACAAAATGCCTAGGAGCAGCTACAGCTGACTTCCACTTTAAAAGTTAGCAGGAGCCCTTGTTTGCCAGGCCTCACTACCAACAATTAAAAGACTTAGGTTTTCACTCCAAGTCTTTAACTTTTTTAAAAAAAAGTTCAATGGAACCAATAGTCTCTTGCTACCTTATTTGCTTTGCAACTTTCCCTTCCTTGGCAAAGTACTTAATATGGCATAGTTAGAGAACCATCATGTCCGTTTGGAAGATAGATTCTTTGGCATTGCACCTTCTAGCACTAAACTATCAGCAAAAGATAGCTGTATATATGATCAAGGGCATTTCCTCAAAAGGTCTCCAAAATGTGTGTGTATCCTTCATACTATAACTGTTTGCTGCAATCATGCAAAGAGCCAAGCAAACACAAGAGATAAACATCAGCAGCCGCTGTTTTAAAAGGCATACTCCAGAGTTGCTTCTGAAATCCTGATAAATACATGTATTAGTCCTTTGCTGCAGAAAGGACTATGTGACCTACACATATCTACCCTATAAAACCTGAGCTGTGAACGATAGGTGATGCGACTGCCACTCCTCTGAAATGTAACAGTTATCTGTGCCACTTATGCTGTATTAAAGACTGGCAATGGCCTCCGAAGCCTGAATGCAAGGAAAGAGGCTCTCTTACCAACTAACACCTGAGATATTAAACTAGAGATGTCAAAAATAAGGCTGAGGAAAATCCCTTATGTGCATTATAGAACACTCTACACAATATCATGAGGGCTAAGACGTTGATGCCCAGAATAAAGGACCTCACTTGCCAATAAATGCTACTGCATGGCTCAGTTTTCCATCACTGGGATGGAAAGGGATGCTGTGTACTCGTATGACTGTGCACAATGGCCTTCTTGTAGCTTGGAGTGCTTATTGGTGGAGTGCACAGGCACGGCACAGCAAATATGAACAAGCATAACTATATTATCATATGCAAACTACATTATCATAATTTGCTTCCAGTGAAAGTGACTTTTTTTTCCAATGAATCCACTTGTTGGAATAAATTGACACACCAGCCCATTTTGGGTTTGACACCCCTATCTTAAGCTACACTGAATTCAGGCAAAAAGTCAACCAATGAAAATAACATTAGCCCCAAAAGGTCTGGAGGAAGAAGAATCTTTGTTTGATGAATTGCTTGACTAGAATTATTTGGTTTATGCTTCCTTCTTCCATTTTGTGCCTTTTCTGAGAGAAAATACATGTAACTTAAAATTCTTTCAGACAAGCTGTGAAATCCAGGTATCTATACCAGCAAATACACACACCAATTTTGCCTTACAATAAACTAGCTACATTTGCACGGAACTAGAAGAGAGAAGACAGGCTGGCAATGGCCTGGATGGCATACATATGTGCCATTTCAGAAGCTTCCCAGAGACCAAGCAAATGGCAGTGCACCGCAGCATAGTAACAATGCAGTTTCTACAGGCTGCTTTGGCAGCTGATCCCAGTGATTATTTGCAGATAGAGGAGTAGAAGGTGATAATATATTTACCCCAAAAGAAAAGACATATTTCAACTTCAGTTCATGGAAGTGCAATAGAAAGTAAAAGACACCTGAACCTGGTCCAGTGATTTGCTTTCTATAACTAAGCTCTCAGATTGGTGTCTGCATAAAACAAACGAGCTGCCAATAATCACGTGCATCACTTTAACAGTGAGGAAGGGTTGAAGGAAGTCATCCATACATAAGCATAGAGATTCAGCCATCAAGTGTGTGCCTGTTAGGAGATACTAGTCATGACAGGCAGCTTGCTTTGGTGTCTTATGGCCCACCCACTCCAAATCTCATTAACTGCTCTAGCTGGTATAATAGACATGGAAGAAGAGAATCTTGTTGCGTAGAAGTGAGTAAGAATTGTCAAATTTGAGCAAGTAGATGCCCTCGCCTGGATAATCGTGGCTGCCTACTTGCACTTCCCGGTGGCTATCCCTTCGGTAGACAGGCATGATCTCCCCATAACGGGTTCGCAAATAGCTTCTGGAGCCTCTTTCCACATCACCAACTGGAATAGGTCCTGAGAATAAAAAAACACACAAAGCATCAGTGAACAAAGCAAAAAAAAAAAAAAAAGACTAAAAAGTGTCATCAGACTGACTACGGAAGATCACAAGAAGAAAACATTATGCTTTGCAGTGGACTAAGTTTGCAGCTTTCTAAGTTAAGTGTCTGCTGATGACAATGAAGTGCTACAGATTTTCTTTTTTAATCTCGATGTTGATTATAATTTATGTTGATGTTCAGTATGTGTTTTATGTTTTTATTTTATGAGACATGACAGTCATAATTCCTCTTCCCTCCATGTCCCTTTTCTCTTGCGTGTTGTATATTACATAATGTAATTTTTATTATGCCATCCATCTGACTGGGTTGTCCCAACCACTCTGGACGGCTCCCAACAAAATATTAAAACACAAAAAACCTCAAACATTAAAAACCTCCCTGACTTCTAAAAGTCAGATAGAAGTTTATTTCCTTGGCATCTGATGGGAGGGCATTCCACAGGGTGGGCATAACCACCAAGAAGGCCCTCTGCCTGGTTCCTTGTAACCTCGGAGCTGCATCACAGCATGCTGATATTAAGGCAACAGTCATGACTCTTGCCCAGTTCTGCACTGACCTTCAAACTCTTCATCATCATCATCTTCATCACTTGATTCACTAACTTGCACAGTAATTTCAGTGCTAGTAACAGAAGTCCAATCAAAATAGACTCCAAAGCCAATGTCATAATCTTCTGTGGCAAACTCCCAGCAGACACGCTTCCCATCAGGGTGAGTTGGCACCCGGACTGTTAACACCTCACCCCGTTTCACTACCATTCGGGCATTCTTCTCCTTTGTCATCTTTGTTTTGAACTCCCTTATCTTGGCGCTTGTCCAAGTAGTGGGGGGAATTAGAGGTGGAGGACGAGCTGAAAGAAACAAGGAAAGTATTACTAGCTTGTAATCAACAGAGGGCATAGTCTTTAATTTCATTGTACATTCTAAATCATAACACTGTGAACAAGCGGAATAGATTTTGCTTGTGCAATGGGACTTCACCTTCCTGCAGTCCCCCAGGCATTCTCAATATATGCTCTGAAGAATTGAGAAATCCCCTGGGTACATAAAGGAAAGAAGAAGAAAGGAGAGTCTCATTGTGCAAACTGAACCCCACTGATGCAATGGTGAATTCTGCTCATATGGTGGCCAACTTTCAAAAAGTTCAAAAAGAAATAGTAGTACTCCTCCACCTTTATGCTGGTAGAGCTCTTCAAAACTGCAGATAACTATTTTTCTTCCTCTTCATCTCAACCCAACTTTACCTTGGGATGATTGACACTAGTCTTTTAATGTCACTGACAAACACAATCTATCTCATATTTAAACAAACTATACACCCAGACTTAGTATGCATTTAGTTTCACATAGAAAAGCTTCTCACGGGGAATCAGTGACAATGCGTTTAATTGTCAACACTATCCTAACACAGTTGATTTGCTATGCCAAAAGGGCTGTTTTAAATGAATTTCTAGTCTGGGGCGGGGGGGACCACCCCCAGAGAAATATAGCTTTGAGAACCTTGCTCCAGGGCTGAATAAATAAATGAAATCAATTATTTCAGCTCTTTTGGTGTTTCCATTCCCTTGCTTCCCTGCAGATTTCCAACTGTATCATAGTGTTCTAGCCACGTATTTTACAGGTTGGACTCAAACACCACTGAATTAAAAAAAAAATTAAATTGAAAACAAAATAAGAGCAGACATAGTCTAATGTCCCAGTCTCCGATTTTTCTAAACTTATAAATCAATTTCATGTTTGAAGATTTATCATACCAGAGTATCAATATTACATTTGGGATTTGTCCAGAACTCTGGCTACTAATAAATAATACTCTGAGACAGTGATGTAGTCTTAAATCTTACCTTTCTTCTGCTCACCCAGTAAATCTGTAGTTTCCAGCTCTGCTGTAAGGACATCTACTGCTCCTGTGTATTCAGACTGTATCATGACTATATCACCTGGTCCTTGTGGGTCAGGATACTTTGTCATCCGCACTACAGCCTCCTATGCAAAGGACACAAGCTTCCTTAGAATCACACCATATATTTTTGAAATTACTACATTTATTTGTATTTAATTACTAAATTTTACCTGTTGATGCACAATTTCTAGGTCACATACCGAAAACCATGGAGATTTCTTAAGGGTAGGAACTAGATTACCAGGAGACTCTGCATATATCTTTTAAGACATGATACATTTACTGTGCCTCCCTCTACATAACTGCACTAGTGATCATACCACCCACCCTCTTCTCCTGGAGCAAATGTAAAGTACAAAAATAGTAGCACAAAAGCGATATGTTGGGCAAGAGACCAGTAGCAAAACTAGGAAGCAGGTGCACTGGCCGTTACAGTGTATAAAGACATATTCCCCAGGTTAAAATCTGACAATACTAGTAAACACTGCCAAAATTGCCCTGACCTCATCCTTGGAGCTCTTCAGTGGAAGACAGGTTGGGCATACAGAAATTCTCCTGAAATGAAATCATGTCAAAGTGCATTCATTGCAATAATTAGGCTAATACAACTTTGCCATTAAGAGACATCTATTTCAGTTCATTTTAAAATGCATGAAGCACAGACCAACATTTGCATCTGTAGTCTCATAGCCTTACTGTTAGGAAAACAGCAGAGAATAAAGAAACCAAGTGCTAAAAAATGACAAAATACTTTGACCTTTTTCCAAAGTTCAATTTTCAATTCCAATCTTACCTTTTAAGGAGAATCAAATGCAAATCAAATTACTTTCTAAGTACTATATTAAACACTACAGCTACTCAGCAACAGATAGAAAGAACTCTGGCAGACATATATTTTTTTGGCACACTCTTCCTTGTCTCTCAAGACACAGATGTCAACAATCTTACTCAAGATTCTTATCTCTGCTCTCCAAATTCAAAGGCTGCATTTGCATCACTGAAGTGACCTCTCTGGGGTGCAAGCCTGGGCAGCATGTATGGAGGTCCTGGGCTGCCCAGATGACAGGACCCCACTCTTGGCTTTGCTGATATGGTCCAAAGAAAGAAAAGCAATACATTTGGCACCAGCCTGGTTGCAGGAGTTGCCAGAAAGAAGCATAAAAGATACCATCCAACCACCTTAGGGACTCCACTTTGGATTTGTGTCGGGTTAACTCCTTAGCCTTTGCTTCTCCTGAAGATATCCCAAAAGGCAGTAGAGGTCAATTCAAAGGAATTCACAGAATTTATATATGCCCAAGTCAGATCTGTGTCTAAATTTGTTAGACACTGTTTGCAACTTTGTTCTATTGTGTAACTCACAAGTTCTCCAACTTTCTACCCCTAGGAACCAGCTGAGAGGGCTGAAAAATATTGGGGACCACCAGTCACAAAATGGTAGTGCAACCCTAACCCTTTCCTTTGTATTTCTAGTTTGCTATTATAAAGAATATTAACCTCTCTCTCTCTCTCATTTTTTCAGCACCTCCTCTGGTCTTTTAGCCTCAGAGGAGGGAGACTTCTTTTCCCCCTCTCTCTTTAACCGCCCCCCATCTCCCAGCAAACTTTACTCAGAATATGGGAGGGTTGGTTTGCTGGTGCTGGCATTTTTCCAACAAAAAAGGCTACAGCATGGCCAGGGGACAATGCAGGTGAGTAAGGAGGCACTGGATGAGACATGGCACCAAAGCCCTATTGAAAGTGGACTTAGGCACCATAATGGTCCCCAGCCATTTGAGAAACACTGGTCTAGCTTCACCCTCTCCCTCATATGTTGCAAAGCCACACATATGTCTTTTCACACTTCTTCCTCATCAAAGGGTTTTTTAATTTTAAAATTTTGCAGACCCCAGAGAAGTAAAAAATGTCCAAAATTTATCCATGTCTTAACAGTACACAAAGTGTGATAAAGTGTTCTTTTAATACAAAGAACAGCCCCATAAACTTAACAGGAAGTACACATGTATTATGAACAGTATCACAAATAAACCTAACAAAGTGTATTGCCCATGTGCTACAAAGACGAATGCATTCAGAAATAACACTGTGCAGACAGTCTAGGAAGCCAGTCCCCTACCTCTTTTGGGTGCTGATGTTGATCAGTTAGGATTTCTTCCTTTCCTTCTACATCTTGCTCTTTCAGACCATCGTCAGCACTTCCACAATCCTTTGTAGCCTCTGCATTCACAGGTGACCCACTCTGCAGCCTCTCAAAGAAAAACAGCAGATCAATTCAATATGTTTTAAGAGAAATTCAGGATGTTTTCAGGCAGGTGAAACAATCATAAATGAATCTCCAATCAAATGGGGAAATTGAATAAGGATGCTAAAGAAAGGGATGCTAAAGAAACAAGATTTCTTTAGTGTGTGTATTCCTGACACAACCACATAAAGCTGTCTCAGCTGAGCCAATGCTACAGTGAATAATTCTGCAGCTTTGTACTCCCTTAGGTAGCAGAAATACAGCCCAGCTGAGCCCATCCAACCACCACTTCATAGCTGAAATACTTTGTAAACATTGGCTTTAGCAAATCATACCCTGCACTCAGGCTGATTAATTCATCTAGACAGAAAAAGTACATCAGAATGTGACAGCTTGATGCAAGCATCTCCATGTCTATAAATGAAATTTTCGCAAATAATGTTTTTTTAAAGATACATTAAGCCTTATGCAAATACATTTTACAGATAACAACACAGGGCTTACCAACAAACCTTCAGGACTAACCAGAGCAGTAAGTTCCTGTCCCAGATAACTACTCTGACCTCTGGAAAGATGGGAGCAGGGCAACATGACCAAGTCTGGGGTTATTTAACCTTGGTCACGTCCTGTCTAAAACTGATATTTGACAGTTTAACTGGCAGAGAGAGTCTGGCTGGCTATGGAAGTAGCTAGGTGTGCTTAGGGATTTGTCAGGCAGGATAAACCTGTATAATTTCCTCATGTGGAGGAAAAGGACATGGAAAAGGACTAGAAGTGCTTTTAGAGGAGTGGGTACCCATTCTAGGAGTAGATGGTTTTAATAGAAACAATTCTGTTGTAGAGGACTATAAATTCTGGTTTAGACCTGAAACAGTATTTCTGACAGAAAATAAGTACTGTGCCTTTAATAGTTAAACCTTCAAACCTTTTCTCTCTTTCAGTGTTCATTAATATTTTCATCATGCCTCAGCTTTAATTTATAACTTGTTTAGGGAATAAGTTGTCACAGTTGTTACTGGCAATCTTATAGGATGGTACTCAACTATGTTTTACTCAAAGTAGACCCTTTTAAATGAATTAGCTTAGTTGTATTCATTAGTTTCAGTGGGTCTACTCCGAGAAAAATATAGTGGAAAACCTCTCTCTGTATTTCTCTCCCTACCCACCCCCACCTATTTTTGCTTTTTTGAAAGCCCCCCTTAGGGTCCATTTTGGAGGAGAAACTAACAAAAATAATAATAATTTTAAAGAATAATCTAATTAGAATCTATTATCTAAAAGTAAAGAACATATTTCCACCGGGAAAACATTTAATATTTAAACCTCTGCTAGTTTAGAGAGCAAACATGGTAGTGATGAAAAAAAAATTACCTGGCATTCATGCTATCTTAGAGATTAAAGCAAAAGCCTATTTGGCATCAATGGGATGCTGCAAAGCATCCCTGGATGAAAACATAATTACAGAGGCAGCCGGGATTTCTATCTCCTCTATGCTCCAGAATTCAAATGCCAGGATTACCTAAGTTTGCTACTAAAAATAACACTGTGCTTTCACAATGAAAGCAAAGTTTAACTCATTGAATCCCGCTCTTTCTCTTGTTAAACATGGTGCACTATAGGGCATTACAACTATAATATAATACAATTATCAATAGATCAGCATCTGAACACTTCAAAAACCCATCAATAAAGAATCAATATGTCATTTACAGATATTTTACAGGAGTAACAGAATATCCAACAAAACTACTGAATGAAGCAACTGGCAAATATTCAGTTATATATTCTATATTGCGAAGGAAAGCTGAGCTGACTGCTAGACTCCTTCATCACCAGAAACTCTCCTTCATTGCTCCTGAGCAAGACCTAATGCAGGCCTTCATTACACATATTTCCTACCTGCACTGCAAGGCATCATTTTCAGATGTGGCAGCTGCCTGGAAAGTAGATTCCGGTCTTTGATCTGAATCTTCATTCTCTAGAAGAGGGTAGACAGAAATAATATTTGGTTTTTCGGCAGTTGTAAAACTCTAGCTATTATCCAGTGCTAGGCTCTTATGAGTGAAAGGGAGGGAGGCAAGTTTTGGCTATTTTTCATTTCCCCCTGCAGCCCCTCGTTCTCCCTGAAAAAGCTGCTTCAGCAGTTGAGGGACTCTCTGAAACAATGTGGGAGGGAGTGCTGAGGACTTCAGAGCAAATGGACAGTCAGCAAAAATTGCATTCCACACCTACTTCAGGCTATATCACAATCACAACTTAAAAGACATACTCTGCTTCCTTAAAGTCATATAACAAGCAGAGCACAATGAGTTGTTATGACAGTATCCAGATTGTATAGCGTCTGAGCCGCAGAATACAGATGTGGCAGCCTGACAGGCAGGCCCCAGATTTAAGGCATCCCTTGCTATATAAACATCTCTTCTCTCCATTACAGCACAGGACAAGCAAAATGGCAATGGCCATCAGTACTTATCATGATGCCTGCCAAACTGTCCCTTTCAGTTCTTAAACAGTAGTGAAAAAATCAGGGAAAGCATTAATATTGGGTGAAAACCAACAACCGTGGAAGGACAATGAGGGTAACTTAATAAACAAATTAGGACCATCGCTAACTCAAACATAGTCAAGAAGAACACAGATAACCTTTTCTAAACAGGAGAACAGGATGACATTTTAATTCATTTAATCACTGGCTTTTCAGTAGAGATTACTCAGAATGGGAGCACGCTATCATTAGTTTTATTATTTAAATTCATTAAAGCCCAGACCAGGAGTGACAAATTAAATTTATAATTGTTTATAAAGCTCTGGTATACCTTGTTTACCGAATGTAGATTTAATGTAGGAACTGGGAACAGGCAATGCCATAAGAGCTTTTATCTAGGTTGATTATCTTTAGAATTGTAAGAAAGCACAACAGTATGGTGATGGCAATGCACAATTTTCTTTTCACAAGTTATAAATTATACATATATGTACTGTAAATGAAATTCTGCAGATTAATCACATTTAAATGTGCTTGCTCATTTTCTGCATTTCCCCCCATTTCTCGGGTTTCTAATGTTCAGCTTTTCAAAGAATGTCTGATTCGGGAGAACAATTTGGAGAAATAAAGGAAAGTATGGAGAATGACAACCAATTAGTTTGGAAAATATGGAGAACACTGCTGAAATAATAGTGAGAACTACCATAGTGCTTTCAGAGCATTACATATATTATCTCATAATCCATAAATACTCATGTAAAATAGCCCAGCATTTTCATCTCTGAGGTAGGGTGTGTGGGGGAGTGAGTGAGTGAGTGAGTGAGTGAGAATAGTTGCTTGATACCACCAGCTGCAGCAGTTGTTTGACTTCAGCTCATCAGCCCCAGCTTGGTGAGTCTATGGGTCATCGGGAGGAATCATGGGGTACTGGTTCTTAAAACGATTTTAGAAAGCCAGTTCTGAACATTTAAGTTCTGGAAGTGATTTGCTAAATCATTTTACAGGTAATTTTGTTGCCCTGCCCTTTTGTTCAGTTTTACAGATTTTCAGAAAACTATCCAAAGCAGTAAGTAAATGCTTGTTGTCAGTGCTTTTTTGTGGGGGGACGCAGGGGTATGCATACCCCTAAACATTTTGTGAATCTAAAGTTTGGCCTCATCGAGGGGCATTATTTCAATATGAGTAGGAAAATGAGAGCACCCCTAAATATGTTTAAAGAAAAAAGCACTGCTTGTTGTGATAAAGTCTCAACAACTAATTTAATAATTCCTTCCTTAACCTGGGCTTAGCATAAAAGATCCCTCTTACATTAGTGCTTATCTGCTCAGATGAACAGAAACTTTACATCTTTCCAAAAAAATTAAGGATACTGTACTGTTCTACAAATACAGTAAAGCTATTCTACAATTTCCTTAAGCCAGTATAGATTTTGGCATCAAGTACAGTATTCAGCATGCTAAGAATTTCAAGCTGGTTTTGTTTGTATTCATTTTTTTAAATGTACATTTTTAGCTCTTAAGGCTGTGAAGATAAGACTTGAAAATGTGTAGGCAGCAACTGACAGGGTTTTGAGAGAGGCTGTTGAGCAGAAATTACAGTACAGGTGTGGGGGGCTCCAATATTGTTTGCATAATATGATTGGGGGCTTCCCTTTTGTGCAGGATTTTGATTTAAAACAAACAAATGAATTATTTAGAATCCAGACCCATCAATGGCTTAGAAGTTCTGAGGATCACCACAATTAAACCATAAATAAATAAAGGGAAAAGAAGTGTGGTGAGGGAGACTTCCTCCCACAATTATGACAGGTAACCAATAATAGGGAACCAGAACAGAAGCAGGTATTTACTTTAAAGGTTGTTACAGCTGCACAGTGAGAGTTGTGTGTTTTTAAGAAGGAAAGAAGTGCATTAGCTTTGCAAACACAGGAGGAGAAAAAAGTCCAGAACTCCAATCTCCATCTAGGAGAATCACCAGCTTGTCTCAAAGCCAGCACTGACACCCAATACTATAACAATAGATGATTTCATTTTTATATTTCACTTATTATTATTATTACTCAACATCCTTTGCATATTGATATTGATATGTGGGAGCTAACTAACATTAGGCACTGCTTATTCAGTGGTGGTGGGGACTTGGCATTTACACAGCACTTCCACATACATTATTTTGCTGTGATCCTTACAAACAATTGTCAGAAATTATCCTGCTGATAACTGAAGATAAGAGATTAAGTCTATGGCTTCCTTATGTCTACCGTTGAGTTCAGATGGCAGAAACTAGATTTGAAATAGGGATATTCTGATCAAAGGTATCCTCTCGGATAAGAATGTATACTAATGGGGTTTTGAAGTATTTGTGGCCTCATTTGCTAGGGCAGGATCTGCTTAGACCTGCCTTTTATTTGTATAGATTTTCAGTTTTTTAAGGTATTTATTGGCTGTGCTAGTTGTAATTGACTTCATTATTTCTATTGTTTGTAGATCACTTTTTCTAAGTGACGAATAAATAATAACAACTGGGGTGGGGGCTCAACTGCACAGTCTTAAGTCTGTGCACAGGGTGTATACTTTTAAATCTACCACTGATTTCTAGGATCCTCCATTTTAATGATTAGTCAACAACACATTTCCATTGCTTTCACTTAAACCTCTCTATGCTGTGTTATTACACTTGAGATTTTAGAAGTGAAGTGTCTGGTGCATAAAACAAGAAAGCAAAGAAGTTCATGGCGATGCCACTACAGTCTACTACCTGATGCAACAGTTACACCAAGGTGCATTAGCCCAATTAGAAAACAACTGGTATGCTGAGGGAAAAATTAAACAATGCAGTAACCCAAGGGAACAAAAGCTATTAAAGGCTAGCTCCTGACAAACAAGAATATCAAACAAGCTCATCAAACAAGCAATACTGCAGTATATTATGCTCCACCACACTATTTATTGAGGGATAAATAAAACATTGATGGGTACTGCAAAACATATAATGCAGTATTATGATTTTGTTCTGACACCTGTTCAACACTGTTCTACACAGTACTGATTAAGTTCTTGGTGATCTCCTTACTAAAGTGATTCTGTGATATCCAGTTATTCTTAACGCTGATCTTTCTGTTACAATGGAAATGAGTTTATGCTCTTTGGTTCCACTTCTAGCTACTGGGATTCCAACAATTGTGAAGAACATCAATATGGGCAGCCCATCTTCAGGAAGTCTTTCATGCTGCAATTCTGCCTTGCCCCAACACACCTAATACCCTGGTCTTCTGTAATACACATGACTCTTCCTTGTACCTTGGTTTCAACTGATCAACATAAAGAAAAAATTGACAATTTATGCAACCAGTAAACCACTTGTCCAAGCAACGCCGATTGCAGAAAAATGCGTAATCTGCCAACACTCAAGGCATAAATTCTGGTATGGATGGAGCTAGCATATCTACAGATGTATAGGATAGTGAAAGGATGCATGTAAGCTTAACTTTAATTATTACTTGTAGCTTAAGCACTACAGTATGTTGTCATGGAAAATGGTGTGCAAAGCGAGAATCCAAAAAAGGTAGGGGTCCTTTCTAACCGATGCCCCTGGGAGGAAAGGATGCACTGAGTTCCTTAGGAAAAACCACAGAACTACAATGACAGTCCAATCCTACAAATATTTATTCAGAAGAAAACCCCATGGTCTTCTTACTCCCTCGAGCGATTCACTTGCACCTCGAGTTTTCGAAGGCATTAATCAAACCAAGGACGACTATATTACTTAAAACGGAGGTCTAGGAGGATCTGTCTGGAAACAGAAATGGATTGTTCTTCCTACTGACCAGGAGGTGGCCAGCAACTGTCTTTTCAGGACCCCCAGCCGGCCTCAGGATGACTCTTTTCAGGCTTCCGCGACGCCTCGCCTCGAACACCTGCAGCGCCAGCAGAGCAGCCCCAACCCCCAGCGCCTCAGCCCGGGCTCCTCGCCGCGCGCCCCAAGCCCGTTTCCCCCAGAGTAAACGCCTCCCGTCGCGACCTCGCCGCTCCCCTCGTTTTGCTTACTGAATACCAAGAAGCTCCCCGAGCGGCAGAAGTTCAACAGGTGGAGCATTCGCTTGCCACAGGGAGGGGGCACCTGTTGGATTTCTGCCTGCAGCGCCGCTGCCAGGGAGCGAGGGAGGTGACGAGCCACACGGGCCCTCCTCCCGCGCTCCGTCAGTCCCCGGGGAGGGGGAAGGCCCTGACAGAGACGACGTTTTCTTTTGCCCCCTGCCCCGCTATCTCCACCCCGCAGCCGCGAGGGAGGCCCCCGAAGTACCTGAGGAAGGCGACAGCGGAGGCGTGAGGCGCGGCTTCTTCTCGTCGTCTCCAGCCCCGCCAGCGGGGCAACTGTCGCCGCCGCCGTCGCCGCCTCCTCCCAAGCCGTTGGCCGCGGAGGGTTCGAAGCGGGTGCCCACGGCGGCGGCGGCGGCCAGCACGTCCGACATGGGAAGGCGGAGGGCTGAGCCGCCCGAAAGCAGCCGGGGAGGGTCGAGCGGAGCCGAGCAAAGCCGGAAAGAGCCGAGCGGCGATCGTAGCCGCTCCCGTCCCCCTCCCTCACCCGCGACCACCACCGCAGCCTCCTTCTCCTCCTCCTCCTCCTCCTCTCGGGCCTCCGCCCTACGTAGTTCCCGCCTAAAGCCGGCCGCTTTCGAAAGGGCCGCTTTCGTCAGGCTGCTACAGAGGCTTCTCTGGCGGGCGGGATGGGGAAAGGAAAGGCGGCGCACTTCCCGGAAGCGCTGGTAGCCATGGAGACCGTTCCAGGAAGGACGCGTTGCCATAGCGGCGCCGTTGCTCCTGCTGCTGCTGCTCCGGGCTGACAGGGGACATGCAGTCTCCCTCGCAGGCTGCGAAGATGGAGGAGAAAGCAGAGGAGAAAGCTGAGGAGAAAGCGGAAGAGCCGCAGGATGCGGCGGACGACGACGACGAAGACGACGACGAAGACGACGAGGATTACGGAGACGAGGATGACGACGACGAGGACGACGAGGACGAGGGAGGAGGAGTAGGCACCAGGGGGGCTCGGCGGAGGCGCCGCAAGTCAGTCCATCCCGACTCCGGATTCAAACTCGATTCCGCCGTGTCTGGCTCCGAAGCGGGGCTTGAAACCGAAGCGGGGAGCGGGGAGCAATCCGAGCAGGATGGCAAGAGTCCAGCCCTGATGGGCCCTTACTTTTTAGCCTGGACTCCCGAAGAGGTGGCCGAGTGGATCGAAGCGCTGGGATTCCCCCAGTACAAGGTAAACAGAGTTGGCTTTGCAGCGCAGGGAGACAGCAGGATGCATGCAGGATGGGACCATCACGATGGTACAGTATATGGAAGAAGGAAGTTCAGGGTGAGGGGAGGGGAGTTTTCCTGATATGACAAAGCGAAGAAAGGTTACCCTGAGCATGTGTAGAGTGCACTTCAGTCACCCAAATGGATGCTTTTGTAACACACTTTTGTTATTCTTCTGATTTGTAATTGCATTGTTTTGAATTAGAGACATGTATCCTAGAAGGTCACACACACACAAAATGAAAATAATCCTGACCAACCTTCACGTATAGCAGCATTGATTTATTGAATGTATTTATATCCTTCCTCTCAAAGAAGCCCAGGGCAGCATACATGAGAAGACATTCAGCTGTTTGAGCCCAGCTACACAAACTTGACATGAGCCAACAGTGTGACACGGCAGCTAAAAAAGCCAATGCAATTCTGGGCTGCATCAATAGGAGTATAGCATCTAGATCAAGGGAAGTAATAGTGCCACTGTATTCTGCTCTGGTCAGACCTCACCTGGAGTACTGTGTCCAGTTCTGGGCACCACAGTTCAAGAAGGACACTGACAAACTGGAACGTGTCCAGAGGAGGGCAACCAAAATGGTCAAAGGCCTGAAAACGCTGCCTTATGAGGAACGGCTAAGGGAGCTGGGCATGTTTAGCCTGGAGAAGAGGAGGTTAAGGGGTGATATGATAGCCATGTTCAAATATATAAAAGGATGTCACATAGAGGAGGGAGAAAGGTTGTTTTCTGCTGCTCCAGAGAAGCGGACACGGAGCAATGGATCCAAACTACAAGAAAGAAGATTCCACCTAAACATTAGGAAGAACTTCCTGACAGTAAGAGCTGTTCGACAGTGGAATTTGCTGCCAAGGAGTGTGGTGGAGTCTCCTTCTTTGGAGGTCTTTAAGCAGAGGCTTGACAACCATATGTCAGGAGTGCTCTGATGGTGTTTCCTGCTTGGCAGGAGGTTGGACTCGATGGCCCTTGTGGTCTCTTCCAACTCTATGATTCTATGATTCTATTCTATGATTCTACACTTCTGTGAATTGTTGGACCTTTGTTATATTTAATTAAACGCCACCAGTTTATGTTAGTTGGAGAAATAAATAAAAGGTTTTGCCACTTGTCATACATACCACATGCTATGTAATTATGCAGTTTTGTTGTTGCTGATTTGTTTCTTGTTTTGTTGTAATTAGGAGTGTTTTACTGCAAACTTTATCTCTGGTCGCAAACTCATCCATGTAAATTGTTGTAATCTACCACAGATTGGGATAACTGACTTTGAGCATATGAAGGTAAGAGCACATACTGCAACTGGATCTTCCTTGTAGATGGACAAGTGATATGGGCATATGCACTTTTGTAGAGACTAGATTTTTTTCTCTGGTTACTTCTGTTTTATTATACACCAGGTGCTTCCATGGTAGATTTTGCCACAGTGGAGAGAGAGCTGAATAATACCATTTTTTGGCAGAAGATGAACTGTGGCAGAACAGAAACAGTGCTGCATGTAACGATTGCAGAATAGGAAAGAAAGCAATGCTTTCTTACATCCTGAGAACAGGAGGTTGGACTAGATGGTACTTCGGCCTGATCCAGCAGGGCTCTACTTATGTTCTTAGGATTGCAATATTAAATCAGTAAAATCTGTTTATTACTGCTGGGTCCTGTCTCCTAAAACTATTGATATTATAAGCTTATAGCTAAAACTAAAGCTTTGTTATATGATACTAGATAGCTCCCTGTGTTTAGAAATTCCTGTACATGACATAAAATAGCAGCAGCCATGGTAATTTTGGAAACCATCAAAAGAAACTGCTTCAACTAACTGAAATTGCATTTTAACTTTCCTATACTAAGTCATACTCCATCTAGCCCAGTGTTATCTACTCTGATAACAGTTCTCCTAGTTCTCAGTGAGAAGTTTTCTCCATTGCTTGCTACACAGGATACATTTAAGAAAAGATGCCAAGAACTGAAACTGGGATCTTCTATATGTGTAACGTGTTTTAGCATGGAGCCATGGTCCCTTCCTTCTCTTGCTGTTTTATTATGGGATACAAGGATAAAAACAGGACAAAAAATTTAATACACTTATTTTCCTAATGGAGATGCTTTTCTTAAGACTTCCTTTTGCTTTTCAGGAAATTTCACGACATATGCGAGAATTGCTGGAAATAGAGGAGCCCCCCTTTGTCAGAAGCATCTCTCTCCCCCGCAGAGATAATATGGGTTTGTTTCTGGAGCAGAAATCGCGGACTGGAAAACGAAGTGATGCCCTTACCTATTCTCAGTTTATCGAAGACTCAGGATTACGTGACTATGAGCCAGCACCACCACAGGATGGAAGTTCATGGAATGGAAGTTCACAATATAAAAGTTTACGGCGAAGTAGCTCGCGGCGGACCAGCTCGCGGCGGAGTAGTTCGCGGCGAACTAGTTCACAGCAGGCCAGCTCACATCAAGCTAGTTTACAGCAAGCTAGCTCACAGGAAATGAGCTCACAACATGGTAACTAATATTCCCAAAAGAAATAAATTGGGTTTTTTAACACTATCAAGTTGGGTGTGGTCCCCATTCACTGAGCAGCTAGTTGGACTACCTGATCTTAAAAGGCAATTTTAGTGGTTGCAGAGCAAACAGAGATGTGCTTTTCTGCAGCCTAATCCTAAACATGGCAAAGAGGACAGTCATGCAGCTGTGGTGTCAACACAGGAGAGCGTTCTTACTGGAGTTTATCTTAAGGTCTTTTCCTTGCTCTTTGTGAGGGCTCACATTGGCCTGATTCACACAACAGCCTAACCCTAAACCATTGCTTAGCCCAAGTGTGCGTACAAGTGTGTGGAGGCTCCTGGAGAGGAGATTGCATATGATTTGGTCCTCTTTCTGCTACTGCACTGAGCTAAGACATGGTCTGGCTTATAATATCATCCAAACACAAGCTTATGGTTTAGGTACCCTGGGCAAACCATAAACTGTAAATCTTAGAGCAAATCTTAAAGCTTGTGGTTAGTGTGGAGAGAACAAAACCATGAGCCCAGGGATCAATGAGCCAAACCATGGTTTAGCTTAGTGCAGCACATTAGCAGTACAGTCAAGCCTCGGTTGACGAACGCAATCTGTTCCGGAAGCCTGTTCGGCTGCCGAAATGTTCGACAACTGAGGTGCGGCTTCCAATTGGCTGCAGGAGCTTCCTGCACTCAAGCAGAAGCCACATTGGACATTCGGCTTCTGAAAAACATTCGAAAACTGGAGCATTTACTTCTGGGTTTTCTTTGTTCCAGAGCCGAAACATTCCAAAATGGAGGTGTTTGGGATCCAAGGTTTGACTGTATGTATATTGTCACTGGAGCTATGGTTTGTCTTAACAAGGTGTGTGAGCCAGACTGTAGTGTGATGGCTGTGAACGTGCACTGTGAAAGCCACGGTTAAAACTTTGCCCCAGCCATGATCTCACCATTTATCCATAGTCAAGCAACCATCCCTCATCCATAGTATCTCCATCTACAGTACACATTTGTAAGGATTACCTTGATTATCTATATGAAGTGTATAGTAAATGTCAAGTGTTTTTATAATATAAAAAACTCTGAATCTATGGTTTTGGATATTTACATTTTATGCCACAGATTTTTGTATTCATCCTTGAGTTCATAAAATATGGATTTTGCTTCATAGGCCGCGTTCACACAAAATTTTATTCATGAAGCAATGGAGACTGTGTTCATTGGATTGCTTAGAAGTTGTGTTCCACAGTTTTTCGTTGAATATCATTTCAAGTGATCATGCTTAGCTTCAGCTAAGAAGTGATGTTCCTGTTTTCCATTTATCCTGAACTGAGGCAGCTGTTCATCACCATTGTATTGCAACATTGCATATGTTATTTATTTAAATCACTTGCGTTCAGCTATGAGGTGTAGAGAAAAACAGTGGCAGATGAAGGAGTACAGGTTTAGCTACATGAGAGGTAAAAGAACAAATGGCTAATAATTGTATTAGTGTTTCTTTTCACTTTATTGTACCATACCATAGCATAGATTAGTATGATAGGATCTAAACATTTTAAAAACATGTCATTTCTGAGATTCAGTTTGTAGTAATTCTTCCCTGCTTAGCCTCTGTTACAAACTTTCCATTGCTAAATATCACCCCCCCAACTGATATATTTTTTCATTACAAATCACTATTTGGATTCCTGAAATGTATGTGGTTAGAAAGGGTAGTAGTTACTTAATACTTACATAGTTTTTAGTACTGATATTAAAAGCAATACCTTTCCTACTTCTTCTTAATTGGAGTCACACCATAGTTATTTTATGTCTCTTCAGAATCAGAACTTGATCCCTCTTCTACTTTGCTTATGAAAGTCCCATCTAGGCCATGAATCAAAGTCTTGGTGGGGTTCAATAGCACAGCTGAAAGAGATGTCTTCTTAGAGACAGCGCTCATGGAGTCTTCAGTGTTTGTGGATAATACAGCAATCAAGTTACGATATAATAAAGCAACTTTCTGGAAAGATGTAGTTGATTCAAGAAACTGGCTAAAAGGTGAGTCCCTTTGCTGTACAGCTGTCAGGTCAAACCAGGGGAAAGTACTAGGGGAACAGAAAACATTTATATATAGGTCACTACTACCAAACTTTTAGAAGACATCTGAAGGCAGCCCTGTTTAGGGAAGCTTTTAATGTTTAATAGGTTATTGTATTTTAGTGTTTTGTTGGAAGCTGCCCAGAGTGGCTGGGGAGGCCCGGCCAGACGGGCGGGGTATAAATAAGTTGTTGTTGTTTGTTGTTGTTACTGAACACATATTTGAAACCAAAGGGAGTGGTGCATCCAAAATGCTATAGAAAGAATTAATGTAGTATAGAATTCTATGATGTCACCACAGTGGGCGGTTTTTTCAGTTAGGTCTGTTATCAGCTGTAGAGTGAGAGTGAGTTTCACAATGAGAGCAGCAGTTGTTGTTTTATGCTGCTATGTGCCTTGGAATATAAGTCTCTACATATTTAGCCAGTCTTGTATATTCATGTAAATGTGTTTTAGCATACCAAGTAAAGTAATGTGTTATGTTTAAACTCTAAACAGAGAATCTCACACAGTCTTTTCTAGGAGAGAAAAAGAGAATAATATTTTATAAAAGGTCAAACAATCTGGGGCAGCTTCCGCACATATAAATGCCACCATTCTATCCTTATAATTTTGTTGTTAATAGAGGTCTTGCAGATAAAAATGGGAAGATTTAATATTTAACTTGCTAACCACTTTTTCTTTCTATGCAAGGGCTGCTAAGAGAAAACAAGACAAAAAAACAAAGAACAGAATGTACTGCACAGCTTGGAAGCTGCCTTCTCTTGGTCAGTCCACAACAGTAAAGGTAAAGGGACCCCTGACCATTAGGTCAAGTCGTGGTCGACTCTGGGGTTGCGGCGCTCATCTCGCTTTATTGGCCGAGGGAGCCGGCGTACAGCTTCCGGGTCATGTGGCCAGCATGACTAAGCCACTTCTGGTGAACCAGAGCAGCGCACGGAAACGCCGTTTACCTTCCCGCCAGAGCGGTACCTATTTATCTACTTGCACTTTGACGTGCTTTCGAACTGCTAGGTTGGCAGGAGCAGGGACCGAGCAACGGGAGCTCACCCCGTCACAGGGATTCGAACCGCCGATCTTCTGATCGGCAAGTCCTAGGCTCTGTGGTTTAACCCACAACAGAGATGGCATTAAATGCATTTGATGGGTTGTATTCAACATAGTGCTAAGGTGAACTTTCCATCAATGCAAGGATTTCTCCCTGTGCAACAAAACATACCCACCCACTTTCTCCATGCATCCCCTAAATCTGTGCTGGAGGTTTTCCCAACCCTCACGAGCAGATGCATGGGCCATGTGCAGAGAGAGTAAAGGAAATCCTATTGCGCTAGTACAAGTATTTAATTGAATGTCACCTTAATGTTTCTTCCCTTTTAGCAATAACAGTCAGTAGATGCTTACCTCTTTAAGCCAATAACAGTCTGGATGGGGATTTTCAGCAGAACTGAAGCATGGGGAAAGGTAGCATCCATTCTTGCACACCAGAGTTCCATGCCAGTGCTGAATATACTTAGTGACCATGGCAATGGTATAGCAACCCCACACACAATCAGGACTATACACAGGATGCGTGACTTTTCAATGTTAGGAACTCACTACCACGTGGAAATATTTCCAACAACTTCCACGCAACTGCCTAACTTTAGGTTTAACCCTGTCTCAAGCAGACACTAACCCCAGATGTTAAACTAACCAGTTGTATAAACTCTATGTCTTCTGGAAGTTTAAACTGAGTAGGGTTTGGAGAACAAGAAAATGGGGGGGTTGGGTCATCAGGATTGAAGAACATAGGGTTCTTTTACTTGGAAAGCATGTTTCTAATTCAGTATCATGCACAGATGAAGCTCCATCCACTTTTTAAAATGCTCAATAGGTCAAGAGTAAATACTATTTCCAGTTTGTCATACTTACTTATTACATTGCAGGGTGGAAGCGAAGGCTTGGTTGATGAAGTTTTCACAAACTAGCTCTGGCAATTCCGATCTATTATCTAATGAGGTGGTACTAGCTTTTGCAGGAAAACACGCTTCATTGAGGAAGAGCAGGGCTCTCATGTAGGTTACACGCTGCCATGTGTAGCTATTTAGAGCTGCATAGAAAACTGCTGCCATCCACTTTGTATTGACAACAATTTCCGCTGTAAGATAACACAAATGTTATATTAGACATACAAAGCGTTTAGTTCACCATACTTTTAGGCAGCCCTTAAGCCAAACTTTCCTGTCAATTTGTGACCCTTCTCACCGGTGAGGGATTGCCATTGTCTGAGGCCCTTTCCCGCACCTTTTTGGGTAAAACATATAAGACCTGCACAAGCAAGATCATGAATGGGAATTGGGCTGAGAGAATACCTGCATCTCTCCTCCTGTCCATGGATGTAGACTCTGACCTGACAGGCAGCTAAATGAGTCAAGAATAAAATGGTTGACTTCTGAGGCAGCTACTACTTCAGGATTACAGGTGGATGAATCACATTTTTAAAATCTTCTGTTGAAACAAGTCCTTGTACATAGAAAACTAGCGCTGCAAGGAGCTCAGTTGCCTTTTGCAAATATGCTACTTCTTTATTTATTGGAAGCTTTAAAAAAATAATAATGGGGGAAGCATGAACCAAAATAATCTCTCTCACTTCCAGCCCACTCTCCTATCTCATTCTGCTGCATGTGTGATTTGAGTCTCAGAGGTAGGCATGTGATGCTGGTGCCACTTTTTCCAAGCTGATGGCAGCCAGCTATAATGGATGGTGCACCTGCATCTGAGACTCCATTTCTGGGCTGGAGTGAAAAATTATAAGGGGCAGTTCTTAAAAAAAAATATGTTTAGGGTTACTCTCATTTTAACTCAAGAAAATCACCTTTTTATAGTTCAAATCAGGAAAAATAAATACAGTAAATGGACAAAAACACAAAGATTCACAAAATGTTTGGGGGTATGCATATCCGTGTGTACCCCCAGAAAAAAAGCACTGAGAAGGGGTAACTGACCAATGCAGGGACAGAGGACAGACCTCTGGTGGTAGAGAACGAGAGAAAAGAAAGCTGTGGAATGGGGGGGAGTGGAAACATTAACAGAAATGAGGTTCAAACATCCAAGACTAAAAAAGAAAATGGTTAAAACTGTAGCAAAAGTGAACTTTGCTTTTAACAGCAGGTGGGCTGAACAAAATATTCAGATACAATTGTTAAGTATTGGAAATGCTCAGATATAATCACTCATTTGCCACATATAGCGGGGAGATGTCAGAAGGCCTCCTATGTTTTTGGAGGATGGTTTGTTTTGTGCATCTTGATCCAGGACATGGCGAATGAACATATTTCACCTCCTCCCTGCATACAGATACAAAAGCTGGGCTTTGATTATAAGAGGTGAACATTAAATTTACCAGATAACAATAACCCAGCTCTCTTCTTCATACAGGCTGCAAAGTGAAGAAGGATAGTTCACCTACCATTAGGGTTACAGGGACATGTGGCTTGGATAACAGCTGGGTCTTTGAGGGCTTCCACAACTGTCCTGCTGGCCTCCCACATCTGAAAAAGTCCACTCTCCACAAACTTGTACTGTGGCCTCAATATGTTATTGGAGGAAAGAAGTTGTTTCAGCCTAAAAGCAAATAAGAGCAGAGTTAATCAGATGGACTTTGGTCTGAGAGGCAAGCAGGCAGAAGAAGAATGATAAAACGTGTTCTAAGGCTCATTATGGAAAATCACATTGACAAAGGCTCAGACACTACAGCACCATCTGGTGTCGTATGTTTAACGATATTATTGCCTGAATGTAGCTGAGTCCCCTATTACATGCCTTCTAAATGCATTCATTGAATGTGTGTGGGCTCACTGGACTGGATTGTACTCACTGCCCCCAGTTTCTACATGTTGTTGCTGCTGTAGTTATTCATTTATATACCCCTTAATGCCAAACCAGGGTTCTAAGTGGTTTACAAGTCTAAAAATCAGTTGCACAAGCATTAAAATATAAATGATTAAAATTCACAATAAAAATCCCATTAAAATATACAATAAAGCAATCCCATTAAAACAACACACTGATTAAATATTCGGTGGAAGATATGGGTGGAGCCTGGTACTATGAAAATGATATGTTTGCTATCACCATTCCTGACATCCTTAAGAAAACTCAGAATACAGGCCAGAATGGTCATTCTGTAATGTGAGGTTTTCTCTGAGCAATGTGAGGTTTTAGGGTTCAAACTTGTACCTTGGTTGCGGTGAGAGAGCAAGTGTGTGTCATAGTATAAGCAGTTAAGAAACTAAACACATCTTTCTGAAGGTCTGGTGTGTGCCCTGCTTAAGTTACATTGGAAAAACTTCAAACATGGCTTTCTTTATAACCCAGAGTGTACATGTTTTGCTTCTAATGGCACAGACTAAACACTGTCACACACCTAATTCTAATACCAGTTGTGCAGTCTTGGGGAAAATGTGCATAGGATTGCGGTCCCAGGCTATAATTTGATGAATGGTTAGTTGGGAGAGTTTCCTTGAGAACTGAATGGGACTTGCTTCTGAGTAAACAGGCATAGATTTGCACTGCTAGTCTCAGAATTCTAAAATATAATATGAGCAAAATCCTTAGATCTAGTTCCCAAGTAAAGCAGATAGTACTAGGAAGGGTCACCTTGAATAGATAAGGTTCATCTCAACTTTGACACCAGCAATTGCTTAACTCAGAGGAAATAGTTACTTGTTGCTTTTAAGTTGTGTCACACTGTTGGCTGATATCTTCAAATTAAGCTAGCTCTGATGTCGTAATGCACAATACCTGGGCAGAGGGATAGCTGTGACCAGGCTGTAGACAATGCAACATTTTGTAAGAGCATCCTGGATTTCTGCACAAATGTGTGGGAGGTGAGACGGAAGACAGCAGAGAAATACAGCATCTGCCCAGCCCACCAGCTTCCTGTTGTCATAAAAGCAGGTAACTCCCAGTGCCTCAAATTCTCCTGGAAAAGACAATGGAGAGGAAGAATTACCTCTTGTTTCCACATAAGAATGACCACCTATTTAATACCTGAGGTTGCAACCCCATGCACTTTCAGCTAAGAGCACAGTGGTGCTCTCACCCAAGCACAGAGGGATTTGTTTCTGAGTAAACCTGCTCAGGACTGCACTGCAAGGTTGTGTGATCCTACACACAGAGACAGCTCACTTGGTTTGTATAGCATACACCGTTCCAATAATCTGAGGTGGGTACCAAACAGAATGCTGATTATTGTATCCTACCTTTCTCTACCATTAAAAGCCAGTTTCAGTATAAAGCTTCTTCCACCATCACTTCCAGATGATGTGCAGCCTCTGCTTCCTGGGGAGGTGTATAGCATAGTTACAGAGAAGCCACTAAGAACATCTCTAGGTATGCCCTTATAGCACATAGTGTACTTATGAGGATGTTTTCCATCTGTCTTAATGTAGAGGGCATTGGGATGGAGTTAATGTCTGTAATTTCTTTTTGAATACATTAACATGAAAGAAAATGGGCCACAACAGTGATGGCAGATGACTTCATTATAGCCAAGTCCTCTCGTCTGATAACACTTTGAGAAATTTGCATAATGACCACAGATGGCTGTCATACACCACAGGTCTTCTGGGCTATGGAGGACTGAAGCCTCTGTCCCATAAACAAATGCAAAAACATAATCACCTGGCACTATTTCAAAAACACTGATTTAAAGTCTATAATTTGAAAATAGCTGAGGAACTGGCCACCTTTCAAAAACTATAAAAAGACTTTTAATATTCCTTCTCTTTATCTTCAGGATTATTGGAAAGTATTTAATTGTTCTAAGCTTCCCTCTATCTAGTTATTTCCTGTGTGTTTACCATTCATTTGGAATAAAGACCTCCACCTAGATCTCCACCTGGAGCTCTAGGCAGGAGTACACCTGAATTTTGCAATTACTAAATTGATTGCTGAATGCCTGTCAAGCACCTGAGTCTTACCCAGAGTTTCTGGACGCCTTGTAGATATTTGGATGCTCTTTCCTGACATGCCACCCAGATGCAACATTGTCCTGGCCAGCTGTTTCCCAATATGGCCTCCACCAATAATCCCAAGCTTCAGGCCTTGGCTGTCCCCCTCTCTTTTCTGCCTGAGGAAGAACATAAATGGCAGTGTCATTCATTCGTTTTATTTGTATGCTGCTTTTACATGCACAAAAATGCTAAAAGCAGCCTGCAACAAGAAAACAGGAAGGCATCTCACAAACAATTTCATAATAACATAGCAAAACAACACAACAGCAAATATAATAGCATATGAAAAATGTCAATACTATAAATGCAATGAGATTACACAAGCAACATCCAGCACCCAATAGCAAAAATAAAAAGCAACTCTGCAATTCTATGTGATTTTCATCCCTCTTTAATATCTATTAAAAACAATGTCTTGCATCATGGACAGATCAATAAACTCAAACTCTATTGAAACAGAACAGGAGGAGGAAAGCTGCACAAGTCAGAATGAAATCTTAAGATAAAAGTGTGTGAGGTCCCTTTATGCTTTGCCCATGTAGACCACAGACTGAGAAAAGGGGAAGAAAGTGGTGTTCCGTTAATATAATGCAGCTTTCATCCACAGCAGGAAATCTTACAGAAACAATTTTTGTTCCTTATTTTACCTGGTGGCTTGGAGCAGTCTGCAGAAGAAGAATGCGTGGGCACAGGCAGTCACTGTCAGTCCTTTGGCACGGCATCTTAGGCTCATCAGGGGCTCATGTATCCCTGCTCCATAGTCGGGCTGAAAGGTCTTCAGGTTCACCATAATATCATCCATCTTGAGCTCGAACAGAAACCTTCTGTGGTGAGCGGCAGCTGCAATAGTGGCAGAATGGTCATCCATTTCCAACTGCTCTGTGGTGACCACCCTTTCTGCAAGGGTGAAATCAACTATTGTGCATGTGGCCATTCTTGTGTGTCACCCAGAGCCTTGGGTACTTTTGCCTTTAGTCAACCACACAGGGAAACAGCACAGAACGAGAAACAAACTTCTCTGCCACAAACTCTGTGTTTCCAACAAAAGGGGGAGACCTCCAGACATTAACTCTGTGGCTATTTGCACAGCTCTTGGGAATGAATGGAGTGGATGTCCCTTGTCCTTCAGCCCATGCTCAGTTCAAAATATAGCCTTAAGAAAAGTAAAAAAAGAAACTAGCTACTGATCAAAGTCATCAATTTGCCATCAAGAGGATAGTAATATTGAAATGTAAGGACCTAGCTTGTCCTGTTGAACCATTGATGGCCATGAGAAGCAAAGTTGCCTTCGCCTGGCACAAGAAAGGGGGAAAGAAAGACTCTCACCCAGTTACCAGCTTTCACATCTGCTGAAAGAAACAGGCAGCTGTAGTGCACAGCATCCCATCCTTTTTCACTCCAAAAGCTTCTAGGTCCTGCTCAACTGCCATGCTATCAAACAAAACCACCGTCGTCATGGCAAATGCCTGGTAACTGAACCTTGTTTCTAGAACCCATTTTTGCACGTGATGACTTCATAATTGCTGGCTTTAAAGGGGACAGCAAATCATTTCCCTCCCTACAGAGAATCTGAGCAACTCTTTAAAAGGTACAGACTACTTTGAACTGTCTTATATGAACTTTCCAGAGCTTTAGACATCTTTGTTTGAAACTGCTTTGATACCTTGTGTTGAAAATTGTTAGTGTACGAACAGCTATTATGACTGGAGACTCTAAGGCGGCTGACTTTCTCACTCTTACAATATATGCTTATGTGTGTAGGGAAAATTCTAAACTAAATTCAATTTACTTTAAAAATGACTCTTGCATTAAATTATGCGTTCCAGACTAATTGTCCCTTGTATCCTTTGGGGTTGAAATGTCTTCCAAGACAGGAACATTTATATCCTTGACTTTTAACGCATAAGAAATTATGAGGGCAACTTATAAAAAGCAAAACTTCCTGCCTTATTTTTCATCTTAAAGCAAAACAGGGGGAAATGAATGCAGTTAAAACTTTAAACTTTAAAACCAGGCATACCAGAACTGGCCGATTGACACATGTGGTACTAGCTTACGTATAAACCATACATTAAAGCTGTTCTCTTCATATACTCTAAAGCAGCCTTTCTCAACCTTGGATCCCCAGATGTTCTTGGACTACAACTTCCATAAACACTGACCACTGGCCCTGATGGCTAGGAATGATGGGAACTGTAGTCCCACAACAGCTGGGGTCAAAAAAGGCTGCTCTAAAGGAACATCGGAAAATAGTCAGTGTTAAAGCTTGCTTCTAGTGGTTAGATGGGAGTTTGAATCATCTCTCCCAGTTCCAAGTTCAACAGCTTACTGCTTTGCATGGCCTGGCAGGAATATGCAAACAGGATGTGCAAGGGTAGTAGAGAAGTTGGTTTCCATGAAGAAAGTCCACAGTTAGAGTCCCTGGCTTCTCCAGGTAAGGCTAGAAAAGACACTCTGAAACCATGGAGAACTGCTGCCTGTCAAGTGTAGGTAATACTGAGCTATATGGACCACTGGTCTGACTCAGGATAAAGCAGCTTCCAATACATGGGCAAGTGAATTCTTTTGAGTCCAGCGTGAATCAACATCACTATACTGAAATGCCTGTGGCACCATAGAGTTGGAAGAGACCCTGAGGGCAATCTAGTCCAGCCCCTGCAATGCAGGAATCTCAACACCCATCACCTTATCCTATATGTGCCCACTTGACTGCTTTGATTGGTGGACTGGCACTACAGGTGCCCACATACCCATTCTGCATTTGTAAGAACTTGATCCTTTAATGTGACAGTGCCTATACTTTGGAACTCCCTATTGAGATCAAGCAGGAATCTTCGCTGCACTCTTTAGATAAGTATGCACACTGGAGGTTATTGCTCGTTTGTTACTATGTTATGCATTTTTTGTGTTCTTAAACCACCCTGTGATCCTTGGATGAAGGGCCGTATACGAATTTAATACATAACAATAATAATAAAACAACACCCAGATGCTTAGAAAGTTGAGGTAATATTGTGTTTTAGTATTTAAACTTTTGTATGTTTTGTAGTTGGGTTTTTCTTGATTTTTCTGTTTTATATTTTGTAGGGTTTTTTTTAAAAAAATATTGAGTGGTGTTTTAATATAAATATAAACGTAAATATAAATATAAAAGTATGTATGTCCTCTCACTGAAGAGTCACAGTGGACAAAAATGCTTTAGAGTCCCTAGATAATAATTTCCCATTTTACTTATAATCCCTTGAGGGTACAACCCCAAGATAACCCCAGCTGGCTGTTCTACTTTTGCAAGATAAAAAAGCAAGAAAATACATTGCAGTCACACAGAGGGAGGCAAAGCTTTATTTACAGGAATGGAAAAAATGAAGGAGAAAGAGGGCAGAAGAGAAAGGGATCCAGGCCTGTGGTACATTTTATGAAATAAGTACCACAGAACAAGTAGTCTTATTAGCCCTTGCTGAGGGAAAATGCAACCATTGTCCAAGAAGCATATTAGTCAGTCTCCAACTAGAATTGGTTTTATGTTCTCCTTGGCCTAAAGGCAAGTGGTTATTATACAATGATCTGGGGAGAAGAACATGGGTGGGGTTAGATTGCCTTGAAGAATCTTTATACAGCCCTTCCTCAGTTAAATAAAAATCCCAATTATCTTGAGTTTCAATCCTATCAAAGCAGTCACTGTCCCGCACTTTGGACCTGGATAAAATGAAAGGACTGGAAACAATTCCTATAAATAACAATTTCACAGGGAGCCATCCTTCCTGACTCAGATGAACAGATAGTCTGCAAGAAGTGGTTAGGTGCCAGCTTTACTTTTCTCATTTATACAATCATGTTCTGTTCGTCATATGGTCAAGTTGAAAAGAGAGTGCTGGATTTCAGCTTTTTAGCTTTGGTTCTGTTGGCTGAACATCTCCTTTGGGTTCTGTCCCAGGATCCAAAAGCAGAGCCAGCTACAATCTGGGCAGTGGATTAAAACCAATGCAGAGCTATGTTTGGCAGCTTGCCTTCATTGTTCCAGTAAAATCAGGCTTCTTCCATGATGAGTGAGCAGCTCTCAATTCTTCCATCGGATTTGCTGAAAGAGAAACAGAATGAGATACGGCTAGTTTCAAATATCATCACACCTCCCGGCTGCCTGGACATGAGCCAGTTAACCTACACCTGTCAAAACAGATGGGGAGAGAGGACTCCATACTCAATTTGTGAGAAAACAATGGGAGTAAAATTATATATTTTAATCTTTTAACCAAAATAGAGATATTAGACTTTACTTTCAGTGCAGCTAAGTGACAATCCGGTAGAAACAGAAGAGCCAAATGAAAGCCAGCAATCTTGGGTTAATGCTTGAAATGGATTAATTAAAAACCCACGTTAGAAGCCCTGTTTCACACAAGCTTATAGGACATATAGGAAAGCAAACAACAAGCAGTTAACTTGCACAAATCATCTCCATTAAGTAGAAGGTAAGTTTTACTGCCATCTGTATCATTAAAGGGGATTAAGTCTTTAAGCTTCTGATTTAGGAGAAGGATTTTGTACACAGAAATCATGTCCTGAATTTTCTTGGTTTCTAGCTGTATACTGTTACAAGTCACTACTACATTGTAAATTGGAAATGAAATTGAATCTGAAAGGTAGAATTGGATTTCTGGAGGCAGCAGGGGAAAAGATGCAAGCTAACAGTTGACTCTCAAAAGCAACTGCCTGGCATGATAAAGGAACACAGATACAGTGGTACCTCGGGTTACATACGCTTCAGGTTACAGACTCTGCTAACCCAGAAATAGTACCTCGAGTTAAGAACTTTGCTTCAGGATGAGAACAGAAATCGTGCTCTGGTGGCGCGGCAGCAGGAGAAGGCCCCATTAGCTAAAGTGGTGCTTCAGGTTAAGAACAGACCTCCGGAACGAATTAAGTACTTGGCTTTTGTTTTGTTTTGCCTCGATATACAAGTCATACCACTATCTCACAGGAGTCCCCCTTACAAAAAAAGTTGGCATGTGGTATGAGTTTGATGATGTCTACCACTCATGAGAAAATGAAAGGATAAAGCTGTGACAAGAGCCAACAGCAGGATCACTAAACAGTTATCAACTGCTCTTCCCAACATCACTTCTGCTTGCCCTTATTGCTCAACCCCACTTTCTGCAACTAAATCAAAGCTAGCACCTGGAAAAAAACGGAATGAGAGCAAACCAGGGCTGTCTTTACCCGGGGGCACAAGGGGTGCGGTGCACCCGGGCGCCAAATTCTGGGGGGCAGCCACCGCTGAAGCCACCTAAGCTCTAAACTGCGACCCCCGGGTGATGGATCATTTCTGTTTTCTTTTGCGGAACAGCTGCAGAATCAACGTATCTGGCGGTGCCCCCTAGTGGTGTCTTCATTTTTGCATGATCGCAAAAATGGAAAGATGAAGTTATTGTTGCCGCTTTTGATGACTTATGAGCTGCCCCTCTATAAAAAGCTCAACAACCTTGACCTGCTCCCCCCCCAAAATGGGGGTGCTGGCCAGGTTTTTGCACCCCTGCACCACATATGCTAAAGACGGCCCTGGAGCAAACTGTGTGAATGAGTTGTTCTTTCTTACCGGGTTGCTGAGGATGCTATCAATCTTCTCCTCTGCTGGAGAACCCCGATCAACTTTACATCTGTACGCCATCAACTGGAGACGATCCTTCAAGTCTTTGTAGGTCTAGTTAAAAAGCAAAAGCCAGCTAAGGTACACGGCAGTCCTCTATCTCACAGTGATAGAGCATAGTTGGCCTTCTCAGTGCCTGCACTCTGGAACTCCCTCCCAGGAGACACTAACTTTGGCCTATCATTAATGGCATTCCACCATCAAATGAAGGCATTCCTTTTAGACGGACAGCTTTTGAAACTTAGGCATCTTAAGCATTGCTAGAAAATAGTTTTTAACTCTGCTGGAAACTCTTACTAATAGAATTGGGTTTTGGTGGAAGAATGCGGTTTTTACTCCATTGTTCTTAGCCTTGCTGTCATCTTTATCATTTTGCTTTTGTACTATAATGTTCTTTTAATTTTGTGTTGTTTGCTAGCTGCCCTGGACTCTGCTTGATGAAAGTTGAATAGATATGCTTTAAGTAAATAAGCTGCCTGTGTGGAACCAAATGGTGAAAGGCATGTAAATGTCATCTTGAATTAATTGGTATGAGTTGCTACATATCACATATGCTTATGTGCTTGCTTTACAGCCTTAGCTTTTGGCATAATTGGGAGAGGGGAAGCTGTTACCCAGGCCCATTGGCTGCCTGCCAGCTATTCTGAGAGATGGATGAGAGTTGGGAACGGGCCTCTAAGGCAGGGGTGAGTTACCTGGACTATTGCTGCCAGTTTATGCGGCTTGCTTTTTGTATAAGTAACACTTAACATATTAAACCCTCATGGATAAAGCTATGGTGCTTGCTACTTCAGCATCCATTCTGAGGTGAAGCAAGGAATCCAGAATTGTATTGTTTTATTTGAGTCTTTTGATGTATCGCTCTATAATAAAGCACTAGGACAGATCACTCAGGTGTTCTGGGCATCTTTCTTTGGAATCCCTGCAACTGGGTCCTTAGGGGTATCAGTAAATCTTTCACGCTGGTCTGTATTTGGATCCTTGGGACAGAGCACTACCCCAGTGGAGAATCAGTGCTTTCACTTCAACCTTTTTGGAAAGGAGGTAGTTCTTATCCTCTGGGGAAGAAATGCAGCTCAGGGGTAGAGCAGCTGCCTTGTATAAAACAGTTTCAACGCCGGGCATCTCCAGGTAGGGCTGGGAATGTCCTCTGTCTGAAACCCTGGAGAGCTGCTGCCAGTCAGTGTAGACAGCACTGAGATAGATGGACCAATGGTTTGACTCTGTATAAAGGCAGCGTCTTATGTCCAAGGACAGACTTCCCAGAACAGTCAGGAACAAGAGCTGCCTCCTCCTCCCCACCACACACAGCAAGGACTCACATCTATAACAACGTCATGGCACTTGTATTTCATTGCAAGGTTCAACTTGGTCTCAACATCTTCTACCAGGCGCACGTACTCCTGTAAGACCTGCATAAGAAAGACAGGAAGCATCAACAGAGCAGAGCTATCCAAAACTACTCTTCTCCATCTCCCAAGTTTATCTGTAAACCATATTTCTCTGCGCCTGCACTCCATCAAAGGGAGTTGCTTTTGCTTAAATTTATTCTTGTTTATATTTCTGGATATTAAAAAAAATATAATGCAAAAGGCACACGGTCAAGCCAGCAACCCCATCCTCCATATGTCAAACAAAGATAAATTAACTCAAAGATAGATTTGATTGAGAAAACCATCATGGAGTAGGAAAACCAAGCACAGCCAGAGGGGCTTTTCCTTTCCAACATCTTATGCACAACCAAATGAAGATGAGTATACTTGTGGCAGACATGAAGAAATTGCAGGGTAGAGTTAGAAGTCTCTAACTTCAGAGGCAGGATACTGGTTTGCTGAAACAGGGCAAGTCACTCACTTACTTGTACTGGGGCATTGTTCCGTTGCAAGATCTCCACTACCCGATGAAAACCAATAGGAGCTTTCTTTTTAGTGTAGCCCAACCAGTTCTGAAATCACAATACAAAAATCACAGTAACATTAGATCTTGTGACAAAAGCAACCCAGAGATTTCAGGATGGGAAATGCAGCAAAAAAACTTTTAACAGCAAACAAAGGATGTTCAAGGCAGCTCCTCCTCTGTCTGCATGCCCCTCCTTATACACTCAAATGGCAAAAGCATCCTTCCTTTGGCTGAGGATGCTGCTCTTTTCCAATGGAGGCTGACTGCAGAATTTATGAACAGCCTCCCACATCTACCACTGTATTCTCAGTCTGTGCCGGATCCTTAAAGGGAAAGAGTGAAAGAGGCCTGAAACAAGCATCTACTGATGGATGAGATGACCTCTAGTGTATTACAGGAGGGCAGGTATCTTAAAGCAGAGGTGGCAAGTATATAGACGGGGATCTATTGGCAGATCCCGGGTGATCTGTGAGCCAATGAAGGCCCAATATTTGACCCAGGCTTTGAGAAAACCACCCTGACTCACCTTGGTGGTGAACAAAGCATCTACATCATGCCAAGCCCGGAGTTTGGCACGAGCAGCCAGGGCTGTCAGCACATACTGTTTGTCTGGGATCTAGAAGGCAGAAACATTGAAATGTTAGAACAGGGATTGACAGCAGGTTGGGTTGTGAGCTCCTGGTTGGCACCAATCAATTCTTAAGGTACAACCCAGCAACTAGATGGAGTGCAGCAATATCTGGAAGGCACAATGCCAAACTGAAGTGCTAAAGGCCAGTGCAATGAACTTTGCTATACTGAGCTGCTGCAGCTAGACTTGGTCATCTGTTGTAGGACTTAATTCCTTCACCCAAAGCACACCTTTGCCTTATTTCCACTGCACATTTCTAACAGTGTTGCCCTCTCCTAGAATGCACAGATATTATACCCAGCAGATAGCTCCCTTACCTTGAAGGTTTTCTTCAAGTTTGCTGGACTACTGAATGTTCCCTGGAAAGAAGAGACATGGCAAATTTAACAAAGGAGAGGGGATAGTGATGACCCATCCTAGTTGGTACCTCAACTATTCTGTAATATTCTATTCTATAAATGGCAGGCAATTTACAGAAAACTGGTGATATTCTGATCACCTCTTTCTGCACTCTATACTCTCTAAAACCTAGTCTCCTTTAGCTCTGCTACAACAAATCAAGAACTGACTTAAAGTCTATAATGCCAGAAAATTTATTTTAGCATTTTCACATCTAATCCATCTATCCATCTGTTCATCTTTACACACATTTGCAAACACAAAAAATAACTATACATAATAATTTACTGAATAATAATAATAATTTACTGAAAGGAAAAGTACAATGTACCTTTCCTTTCAGTAAATTATTATTTTTAAAACCCAATGCTCACTTAACTTGTTAGCTAACCTCTAGCTAGCCACTCTTCTTCTTCTTTATTATTATTATTCTTATTATTATTTTGCTACTTTTGGAATATGATGTTCCAAACCTTTAACAACCACTGCATTACTAATGGTGCATTACTATCTTCCAGTTATAGCTAATATTTATTATAATGGGAACTGGTTGAACCAAGTACATAAGACAGGAAGGAGTCTCCCATACAATATCCCTATACCCAGCCCAGCTATTCACTCTCTCGGAAATCCTGCAATACTTGAGCAGCATATTGCCAATTTGGAGGCAACAGGCTACTTTGGTTGGCCAGGCCATGTGAGTCAAATCTTGCGCACCCTTTTTTTCGGCATGGCATGAGGCTTCAGTAACTAATACAGAGGACCCGTCATTTTTGTTACCCTAACCTCAGTCTCCGTGTAGTGATAGAAGCAGGAGTAGAAAAGCGTGGTGACCAGTGGCATGTTTAGGATGGAGGCCTTTCGAGGGTACTTCCGAAATATCTCCGTCTGCCCAGCTGACTCTAAATGCTTGTCATTTACCTGGGGGGGGGGGGGGAGAGACCAGAAAAAACATGCTGCGTGAAAAACAAGGATAATTACAAGGTAATATAGGGCCAAGGATGACCAGTTTTAAATCTCAGCTCAAATCATGAGGCATGCTGAGGCAGAAATCCTACAAGCATTTACTCAGAAATAAGGCCCACTACAGGTAGTGGGGCTCACTCCCAGGTAAGTGGACAGTGGGCTGCACTCTTAGTCATCTTAGTCCAGCCACTGTCTTTCAGCTCAAGTTACCTCACAGGGTTGTGCAGGAGGGAAAAGGGAAACTTCTTACATGTCATCCTGAGCACCTTGGAGGAAAGATGGAATGCAAGTAGTATATTTGTTAAAATTTGTATCCTGCCTTTCCACCAAATGGTGCTCAAGGCAGCTAATGAGAAGATACAAATTAAAACACATAAATGCAGCAGTAAAGACAGGTAAAACACAACAATAAAATTGATAAACATAGTTAATTTCAGCAAACTGACAATAGCCATACCAGTCACCATATGCCCAAAGCTTGTCTAAAAATGCCTGCCAGTGGAAGGTTATCAGAGACAGAGCCACTGTATGATTTTATCCACTGCATGCTTTTTGTAATCTTTATGTATACCACTTAGAAACTTTGGTGGTTAAGTGGTATAAAAATAGCTGAAATAAAATAAAAATAATTAAAAGGTCAGGCTTCCAATGGCATATTACTTATTATTAATAACAGCAGGAGTTTCAGGTTGTTTCTTTAAAGCAAGAATAGTAATCTTTTACAGCCAAGTCTTATAAATCAGTGCAGGGCTGTAAGTTATCAGCATGACCTGAAGACTAAACAGTCTCTCATCATCTATCATGATGGACTGGCTACAGCAAGAAAACCATCTTACATCCTAGATGTGACTTGCTTGATTAAGCCAAGCCCCTAGTAATTTCCCCCCTTTCAATCCAAGTAGGAAGCTTTGGTATTACAGCAAACAGATCAGAGTCAGGAGGGAGAATTCCCAGTCACATGTGCCCAAAGGCGGAGCAAGAGACCTTACCTCAATGATGATCTGCCTCTCCAGAAGCGTATAATGGTCTTGAACATGAGCAGCATCTTCCAATGAAAATGGCAACCTAAATTGGAGAAGAGTTTCTCTTCAGTTTTGGATTTCTCCTTTTATATATAGAAGGTTTGCTGATTTTGTCCATCCTTAGTTCCAGTTGACAATGTTGAAGTGTATATTATGAACTACGTTGGTGGTTATTTTTGGAGCTCCCTGCACACCCTAAAAATGAGCTGCTTTCAATTTCTGGCCTACTGGAAAATGCCAGGGATTGGCCCTAAGATCTTTAACAGGGTTGGGGGACCTCTGGCCCTCCCAATGTTGCAGGACAACAGCTCCCATCATCCTTGACCACTGGTCCTATTGACTGGGGCTGATGGAAGTTAAAGAGTCCAACAACAACTGGAAGCCACAGGTTCCCCAACCCTACTTCAGTCTGTCCTGAACCTACCACTGTTCAGCTTCACTGGATGATCCTGGGTTCTAGTACTAGGAGAGAGGGAGAAAAATGCCTCTCTATTCATTTCTCCACATCTAACGTAATGTTAGGGACTGCTGTCATGTCCTCTCACAATTTTTCTGAATTTTAAAGCTTTTCTTCATTGCTCTTTCCCTTCCTGGTTTGCGGGAACAGTAAAGCCATTCTGCTTACTGGCAATCACCTCACGTCTAGGGCTCAAACTGATTTCATCCTATAAAAACGAATGTCTGTATAACCTACTTACCCAACGCAACCTTTCAGAAACTCCTTTCGTTTCTCCACATCCTGGATCATCAGGTGCTCACGGTACTGTGTCAACTGGAGAAGGCAGGAACAGACACACACGGCAGGCTCAAGAGGGGTTGGCTTAAACTAGTGGGATGTGCAGAGTACATATATATTGAATGGATGCAGGGGTGGCCTGTCCTGTTTTGCCAACTAAGGTGCAATGGGAAGGTGTTGCCGCCTCCCTGCAGCTGAAGCCTTGCTTACTGGGGTTATGTGGCTGTGGCTTCTGGCAAGATCCCACCAGAAGCCATCCTGCAACCCTGGCAGCAGCAGGAATGCTTGTGGGGGTGCCACCCTATGGGATTCTGCCACCTGAGGCAGCTGCTTCAGTCTGCTGGGGCCGGCCCTGAGTGGATGTCTCAGGACATCCTTGTTTCCTACAAATAAGAAGTGAGCCAGGGCATTATGGATACTCACTGCAACCTCCTCTGTCCTGTCCAGGAACCTGCAGAGGAAAAACAAGCATCAGTCCTGCTAAGCACTAAGGTTGAGCAAATCTCTCCATTTCAGTTTCTCATTCTTCCATTCTTAAAATTCAGTTCCCCAGATTTTCAAATTAGTTTGTGATTTTTTTTAAGTCCTCGTGAAAATTAATCAGCATTTGACTGTGAATTTCTGCTAATATACAAATTTTCTATTTTTGCCCCAAATACCCCCAATATACACATTCTTGCAAAACAACTGCTCTGAATATAATGCATCATTGTATCTTATTTTCATTGATATAAGAGTTTTTACATATACTTGACTCTAGCATATGCATTTTTTTACATATTACTTGGCAGGTAAAACTGCCCTGCAAAACAAGAATTGCTCCAGTGGGATCCTACCTCAGCAGGTCCAGGAGAAGTTTTTGGTCCCCCGTTTCCTTGAGAAAGTGTATTAAATGGCGCAAGGCCACCTGCCGCAGCTCCAGCTCTCTGAACAGGATTTCTGGATGAACAGACAAGAAGTGCTTGATTGGCCTGGTCAGGAGTGAATCAATCTCATTCACATCAGGTACTAGCAGGAAGATGGCAGAGCACTTTCTTTTATCTTAATAGATTTCATTTCCAATAATAAAGATGGCTAATGGTCTGGGATGCACACAATTGTCATCATATAGTTTGTCAGAACAGGTGAAAGCCTAAACTGGGGCCATCTTGGATTAATCAAGTTATTGATTTTGGGCACTGAATCCAAATGTCAGTGCTAATCGGTCACCTGAGGCAGCTTTTGTCAACTCAATGGCTGACTTGGATCCCAAATGTCTGTGTCAAGGCACCATTTCCATGGTGAATAAATTGCATTTTCCCACCATTCAAAAGGCAAAATATTGCCACAGAGGAAGTGCAGCTCCTTCTCCATCCGTCACTCCCTCCCAATACGTCAGCTGCAATAATGCTGTCTAGAACAGGCTTCCTCATCCTCGGCCCTCCAGATGTTTTGAGACTACAATTCCCATCATCCCTGACCACTGGTCCTGCTAGCTAGAGATCATGGGAGTTGTACGCCAAAAACATGTGGAGGGCCGAGGCTGAGGAAGCCTGGTCTAGAATGTGATGCACAAATGGTACTCATCAGATCTCTGATGAGTGACAACATTCCTCATCCCCCAATCTCTCCATGCTTAGCAAAGTGCAGCTATAGTCAACCTCTGCAGCAAGGCTGTTCCCCTCCCACTCCAAGCAAAGCTACCCCCTTCTAGTTGTTGGCACTAAAATTATGATGAACACAAATGCTGTGATAAGGAGGCAAAAAAAAAAAATTGTAATCTTAATGGTCTGGAAAGGCAGCCAATCTGCCCTGGCTCCCTGCCACTGGGTCTAGCCACCTTTCAGGCACACATACCTTTCTTCAAGGTTCTCTTCAGAAATATTAGGATCTGAAAGAAAATGGACAACAAGGTGCTTATTTTCTGCCACAATCCTGAGGCATAACTGGAAATGGTTGCTTAGGAAGCAGATGCAACAGCTGGAAGTCTCTCTGGTTCTGGCTGTACTTTATACTAATCTGCTTTATATTTAAGTAGTAGGGTAGTTGCCTCTGGGGAAATGGAGCACGAGATAGGTGTCAATGAAATATGCCCTTCATTCTAATGGTGTCAGGAAAACAACTTCACAAAGACTGACAAACTTACAAATAAAAAATAGTTTCTAGGCATGTAACAAAGATTTGGCACTTTTAGGAAATGCTACAATATCTCAGGTAGGTTTTTGTGGACGATGGTTAGATCAAGTGAGATTTACTAAAATTCACATTTTATTACAGTCACAGTGCAGTTCATATAATCATCAAATTCTAGAGTTGGAAGGGACCCAGGGGGTCACCTACTCCTGCAATGCAGGAATTCAAATAGTTAGATTCACAAAAAATATGTTTTGATTTGTGGTATCTGCCTAGAACTGGAGAGAAACTGATTTCATATGGATGGTAAAGCCAGTGGCCTACAAAACCCAGGAGAATCAACTAGCCAGGCAGAAGTTCTCAAAGGTGTCAGGAAATAATCTTTCCCATCTCATTAACCTAACTGGGAGGTCACTTATAGTGGAACCTTGTATATGAAAAAGCACACTTGTGTTTTTCTGCTGCGATAGAAACCTAAACATTTACATGGCATCTGGACCTTGGGACATTTCAGGGAAAATATTCAAAGAGCTTCATAAGGTTCATTTATACCTCATATCCTTGGAGGCAAGGGAAGTTGAGGAAATGCCTTGTCTCCTAAAATGCAACCTAATATTTCCAATCAACGAAACCAGTATCTAAAACTCAATTCTAGTAAATTAGAACCAATATATGAAAACTTATTGCAAAACACCCCACATTCAGATGCAAATGGCCACGGAACCAGAAGTTAATGGGATCATATTATGCTGTAGCCATGTATCCCCCATTCTGTTCTGCCCTACGTTGTAAGATCACAGCACTTACGGCTGTAATGACATTCCCATCATGCACTGCAACAGCTTCATCCAGTAGCTGCAGCTTGTCCTGTAGGGAGTGAAACCTCTCCAGTGAGCAGATCTAGAACGGAATAACAATAATGGAAGGATTAGCAAGGAACCTGGATTATCTGAGTGGAGGCCGGCTTCACACAGGGAGCTACACAGGTGGCTCATTATAAAACTCCTAAGAAGTGGAGCTGCACTTGGTTATCATTTGTATGTGTCATTTGTTCTCCATGCGGTTCAGGAGCCAAGACACACCAATGGAAGCCTTTGTTGCCAGAGTGGTAGTCTTGGCACAATTAAAATTATTCTGAGCCACCAAGACAGACAGCTTATCATGTGCTTCTCCGTCCATGAATTTGCAATGTGAGCAGTCACACACTGGGATGTAGTCCTTATTGGGGATTTGTACAACAGGAATCCTCTTTCAGAAAAATAATTTTGGTCATTCTATCCCAACTGCAGGTCTTAGATCACTACGCAAAATCTTTGTTAGGAACCCACTGTCTAAATCAGGGCTTGTCAACCTGGTCCCTACTGCCCACTAGTGGGTGTTTCAGGATTCTAGGTGGGCGGTAGGGGGTTCTATAGCACAAGCTGAATCCTCCTTCCATTGAGCACTGGTGGGCGGTAAGGAAATTTAACCATCAAGAAAGATGCATTAGTGGGCAGTAGGTATAAAAAGATTGACTACCCCTGGTCTAAATCTACAGAGCTGATAAACTAAGCAGAAACTGATGAGCTGATGAGAATTCACTTTCTAAAGGTTACAGAAAGGTTTCCTAAACACAGATGTTGTGTGGCATATCAGCTCATCGCCAGTTCTCAAGCAGCCAGGAGCAGCTTGTGTATTACCTCTATATTCACCAAAAATAACTTTCCCCTTTGATCTACCAACAGAAAGCATAAAGAGCCCTGCACCAGATCTATGGATGCTTTCTCGGGATACCTGCTCCAAAGCTGTCAGTGAAATAACATATTATTCCTTGCCATTTTTTACATGCTTCAACTGTGGAGCAGAGTCTGCTACCTCTGCTATAATCCCCTGGCATTCCTGACATTTGCAGGACCTCAACTCCTCCTTTTCAGACAGAGAACTCTGAAAAGCCACCAACAGCCGCATCTCCAGCGTTGACATGCATGAGCAGAAGAAATGGATATGCATGGGAGGCACCACCCAAAAATTCAAAGGCTGGCCCTTTCAGAAGCAGGGAAGAAGAGTCTCACCTTGCCTCTCTGCAGCCGTCTTACTGTGTCTTTAGGGCTCCAGTCACTGCTGTAATCCTGAAATGTAACAAAACAAAACCATGATGCCTTTAACACTCAAAATATTTTGAGAAGCACAGATTCGGACAAACTCCTTCGTCTTATAGGTATGATTAAGATACCCCAACAGTGGGGTGTGAGAAGTAACATTGCTTGCATCCCATCAAATGACTCATAGGAGAGTCATTTGCGACTAGTATTGCACGCAAAAGCACCCAAGACAGGTCTGGAACACAGCACAATAAAAGCAGCCACAGCCTGTGAAGACAGCTTTGTGGGAGGGATGACATATTTAAGATGTTCTGCAAGTAAAGGACTGCAAGCCTGCGGGGGGTGCATACGGTCTGCCATGCATTAGGATTGGCTTAAAATTGAATGTGTATCACGCCAGATTTTGCCACTGGTCACTGACAGTGAAAGAAAGTTGAAGAGCTGCATGGTCCCTGGGTATGGTCTGAAGGCCCCATGAGGCTACCACCCTGCAGAAGCGAAGTAGGTTTGGGTCTGATCAGTGCAGAGACTGCCTGGAAACCACATGTAAGCTACCCTGGGTTCCAGGCTGGATGAAAGGCAGAATATAAATGTAAAAAAATAAAGGTTGATGCCCACTACACATTAGCCGTCCCTGATGCCAACATGTTCAGTGAAATTTGCTATCCATTATTTAAATGGACAAAATTAATACACTGTTATGATGGCAGTTTCCAGAAAAGGGACAACACAGGAGCATGGTTCCCCACTTTCCTTTTCCACCCACTAGAGAGAATTTCCTTGCTTATTAAAGGTAAAGAACTTCTAAGACAGCAATTCTGTGAACAAGTACCTGGGGGCAAGTCCCACTTGAACAGAATGGAACATGCACAGGATTGTGCTGTAAACCTCCTGACATCATCCAAGTATGTTCAATGAGGCTTACACTCAAATAAGCATGCACAGCATCACAACCCTACTCTCTGTGGAGTGAGCATCCAGAAGACAGCCCTTGGGCGAAGAAGAGGAGTGCTTGCAGCTTCAAACCCTTTCGCCCCTTAATGTTGTCCTGAATCTAGGCTTCCAAAAATATACCTACCTTGTAGTCTGCTTTTGGTCTGCGCAGTTCTGGGGCGTAACTTTTAAATCCTGTGTCTGTAAGAGCTGAAGAGAGAACGACAGCATTTTTTTTTATAAAAGAACCACACAATTTAGAGCCCTCCTTTCCATGTCATTTTGGTCCACCAAGTAGCTCAAAAACACTGCATTTGAAACAGAAGCACCATCAAAATTATGAAGTCACAATAAAACAGCACCAGTTACAACCAGAAGTTGTAAAAACATTAGAAAGAAAATCCTGGATGACTAAACCGCAACAAACACAACTTATCACCTTCTTTCTAAAAGCCAAAAGGGAGCAAGGAGTGCCAGCTTCAAGGGTACAGTTATATAATGATCTCTGATGCTACTCTCTGTTAGCTACCTTCCCATATATTCTGTTTGGGAAGTAGGGCTCTGAATAGATATGGAAGTACTGTGGTGGGAAGGGAAAGCCAGAAAGAAGCAGCTTGCGGTACTCAAGGAGAGAGGTGGTCAGAATTTTAGCCAGGGAAATGGAGAAAGTGGAGCCAATTTCCACTGCTGTGCAAGGAGAAGCCAACCATTCAAGCAATCTGGGGACAAAGATCTAGATTCTTACCATCTGAAAGTGACTGAAAGCTCCCATGTTTGTTTCTTCCTGAAAAGAAAGAGCAAGTAAGAAAAGCTTAAGAAAGCTAGATTTATCACCTCACACTGAAAACCCATTACACACCTAGGAATACTGTGTCCAGTTCTGGGAGTCCAAATTAAGAAGGATATTGACAAGCTGGATCATATGCAGAGGAGGGCGACCAAGCTTATTAAGGGTCTAGAAACCAAACCTTATGAGGAATGGTTGAGTTGGGTATGTTTAGCCTGGGATATGGTAGCCATCTTCAAATAACTCAAGGACTGTCACATGGAAGATGGAGCAAGCTTGTTTCCTTCTGCTCCAGAGGGTACGACCTGAACCAATGAATTCAAGTTACAAGAAAGGAGATTCCAACTAAATATCAGGAAGAACTTTCTGATGGTAAGAGCTATTCAACAGTGGAATGGACTCTCTCGGCAGCTAGTGATCTCTCCTTCCTTGGACACTTTTAAGCAGATGGATGGTCATCTGTCATGGATGCTTTAGTTGAGATTCCTGCATTGTGGGGGGCTGAACTAGAAAACTTGCAGGGTACCGTATTTTTCGCACCATAACACTCACTTTTTTCCTCCTAGAAAGTAAGGGGAAATGTCTGTGCGTTTTATGGAGCGAATGCCTACGGATGGCGGGGGGATCTGCTGTGGTCATGAGCAGAGGATCCATGGTTCCCCTTCCTTCCCTCCTCCGTGGCTCGCTTTGAAACAGCAAAGCGGGAGAAGAGCCGCTGAGTGAGGAGGAGAGAGAGACAGAGAGCCTGCTTGCTTTAAAGGAGCAAAGCGGGAGAGGAGAGGAGCCGCTTACACGTGTGTAAGCAGCTCCTGTCCGGTTGGCTCCTTTAAAGCAAGCAGGCTCTCTGTCCCTCTCTCCTCTCCACTCGCTAAATAACAGCAAAGATTTTTCAAGCAGGCTCTCTGTCTCTCTCTCCTCCCCACTCGCTAAATAACAGCAAAGATTTTTCAAGCAGGCTCTCTGTCTCTCTCTCCTCCCCACTCGCTAAATAACAGCAAAGATTTTTCAAGCAGGCTCTCTGTCTCTCTCTCTCCTCCCCACTCGCTAAATAGCAGCAACGTTTTTTCAAGCAGGCTCTCTGTCTCTCTCTCCTCCCCACTCGCTAAATAGCAGCAAAGTTTTTTCAAGCAGGCTCTCTGTTTCTCTCTCCTCCCCACTCGCTAAATAACAGCAAAGTTTTTTCAAGCAGGCTCTCTGTGTCTCTCTCTCTCTCCTCCCCACTCCTCTTATAAGAGCCTTCTCCTCTTATACCCCTCTTCTGCATTATTAACAGCATCCTTCTCCACCCACCCCACGCGTGTTCCTTGTCCCTTGAGTGCTTTTCCTTCCCTCTCCACTTAAAACATGGTTACAAAGCACGGATCCACACAGATCCTCAGGATTTTTGCACTGGGTCACCCCAAATTCACCATCAGATCACATAGCATGTCCATGGCTACAGCTCGCACCAAAAAAATCATGCACCCACTGTTGCCTGGGGCCGCAGTGGTGCAAAAACGTGGTTACAAAGCACGGATCCACATGGATCCTCAGGATTTTTGCATTGGGCTACCCCAAACTCACTGTCAGATCACATGTCTGTGGCCACAGCATGAACCACAAAAATCATACATCCACTGTTTCGTTTAGAATGTTTTTTTCCTTGTTTTCCTCCTCTAAAAACTATGTGCGTGTTATGGTCGGGAGCGTGCTACAGAGCGAAAAATACAGTACTTTCCAATTCTACAATTCTGTGATTCTAAGTCCCAATAAAGGTCCTACCTTTGAAAAAGCTGCTCAGTGAGTAAGAAGAGGCTTGCTTGGGAAATGCTCCGTATGAAGAAGAGCCTCTTTGCCCACCCAAGTCTTTTCCCTCAGCAGTATTGTTGCTGCTGGAGGCGGTCTCCTTGATTGACCAGGAAATGCCTATGGAGAGAGAGAGAGAGAAAAAGAACACAATCCGAGTAAATTCTCTAGCAAGCATAAGATGAGGCCTTTAAAATTCTAGAGCGGAGAAGGGTTATTGATTCTGAAATACATGATTTTGGGCCTAGCTCTCATGTATTGCTTTTCAAAATCATCACCTCATGCAAGACATTTAACTCTTAAACTACCCTTGATATTTAAAAAACTCTCTTTCTTGGAAAACAGAGGAAAATCAGGAATATTCAAAGCACAGACTACCTTCATGGGAAATTCTTTGATGGGGAGGCTCATAGGAATGATGCACTCAGGATTTGGGGTAAGTAGTGAAGAATGAGTGAAGGAACAAGCCGAGTTTTCATAAAACACACCATGGTTTGGATTTCCCCCCCCCCCAATATACCATCAATCTACTTGTTTTTGAAAGAAGCAGTCATTTTACTCCCTGCATTTGTTTGTTCTTGTTTGCACACTTTCCACTTATCAGAAACGGGTAGAGGGAATTCAAGCACACAATAGGCAAAATAAACAATTGTGATAATGTATGAAACCATTAGACACTTTTCCTGCTCAACGTTAAGCACACTAAACCTCAGTAGGCCATATTTCCTAGTAGGTGTAGCTCTAACGACTGTAGCTCTAATGAGATTTTTCTTGTCAGAGGACAGAAATAATCAAATTCAGATTCAAAGAATGGGTGATAGGACTTCCGGGGTGGTGCCATCGGCAATGGCAGATTCCCTCTGAACTGGAGGGACCAGCTCCACGGGAATCAGGTCTTTTCCGCTACGGCGAAGCGGGGACCCATTCAAAAATCACAGGCGGATGAAGCCTGTGACCATGGGACTCAGCGGGCACCTTTAGCACCCCCCCAACCCGCAAAGGAACCCACTAATGGGCTCCGGAGCGAAGAGGGGGAAGTGGCGCGGTGCTGTGAGTCAACTGCTTCTTCCGTGGAGCGAAGCCGCACAGCCGTTGCCGGAGAGCGCTGCCTTTTTCCTGGGACAATTTGGCTTTTAAAACAACCACCCGTGAGTACTTAAGTTTCGGACAATTGGACTCTAAATAAGGATTTGCGAGCAGAAAGGAAAACTGGACTTAAAAGTTTAATTTAATTTGGCACTGAAACGGGAAGGTCTAAACAGGAAGTCAGCCTTCCGTTTCTTTGTAGATAGATTAAAGCAAGACACAGCAAACTAAAGTTCTGAAAATCGCTTCTAAAGGATTAACTTTCATCATTTAAAATTGTGGAACCCCCTTTGGAAGCAGGAGAAGAGGGGGGATTTTTTCTGGACTGTTTAAACCTGCAGAAGTGAGTGGAAAGTAAAGTAACTTTCCACTGTCTTGATCCTGGAGCGGGGTGTCAAGACTGACGTTCTTTGAAGCTCATTGACCAGAGACAAACGTTTTTGACAGATAGCTAAAGGAAGAGATACATAGTGATTCCATTGTTCCCCTTCGCATTTTAAAGGAACAAATATTGACAAAATATCTGAAAAAGGAAACTTTGTTGTTAGATTTGTTTTTAAAAGAAAAGAACAAGCAGAAGTTTTTCCCCTAGAGGGAGCCTGTGAAACTGTAACCAATTTTGAATCGGGAAGCTCGCAGCTGTTACAGATTACGATCGTGGGAATAGACTTCTGACCTTGCAGGACAATGTATTCAGAAGCTCTGTTGAGTGCTTTCTGTAAAACAAGTGCCCTACTGGAACAGCTACATGAGAAGACGGATTTTATGACTGATGCGATTAGAAATTTTGGACAGGCAGTGGGATATTATATAGAGCCCACCCAGGAATTAGATCAGGAGTGTGCCCTGACAGAACAGATGAAGGAAGAGGATGTTGCTGAATCTTGGGCGCCAGGGATGGAGGGAGCTGCGGCCCAGCAGGAACATGAATTCTTGGATTTGACAAATGAACTTGGAAAAAGCCAGATTTGGAAAGATAAAGTTTGGTTTGGTTTGGAAATGGGGGGTTGGATAGACCCCCCTATGCAGGGAGGTTTGGACTTTTCGAGTCTGGCAATGGGCCGTGAGATGTTTGGGGTTGTGGGGGCTCTCAATTTTGGAGGGTCTTTGAAACATGTTCTTAAATACCACATGGAGCTTAGTGGGGACTATGGAAAAGGGGCTGATTTGTTGAGAAGGGTCAAAAGCATTGTTAAGCTGGAGTTCCCAAGAGTGAAAGAAGTAGGAGATAAAGGAAAATATAGCTATAAATATGAAGAAGAGCTGCGGAAGGGACATGGAAGAGACTTAAGGGCCTCGGACATAAGGTTACCAGGTTAATGCGCTAGATTGATGGGATAGAAAGGACTGACAAAACCCGGGTCCAGGAGGAAGAGACGCTGGATGAAGATTGGATTGTTATTTCTTTTATTATGATTGTTTTATAAAATTGATGAATGTTAGAAAAATGTTGGAACGAAATTATTTGGCTTTAGCAAAAATGTTTAAAGAATTATGTAAGAATATTATGGTTATGAGAAATTGGTAAAAATAAGATTTAAGTTTTAAGTTTTAAGGTTTTCATAATAAGATAAGATTAAAATAGATTAAGGTAAAGTAATGACAGAATATTATGAAATATGGAAAGGATTTGCTGTGACAATTAATAATCAGGATACAAAAAAAGGGAGGAGGAGGAGGTCAAAGAAAGAAGGTAATGACAGTTAAAGATATGAGAATATTGGATTTGTTTTTAAATGTTTGTGGTATATTTTTGTTTTTTAATTGTGTCGTGTTATTTTTTGATTTTGATTTTTATTAATCTGTATTGTTTGACTGTGGTTTGTCTTTTCTTTGTTTTTCTTTCTTTTTTCCTTTTTTGTTCTCTTTTGTAATTTTAAAATTTTCAATAAATATCATTTAAAAGAAAAAGAAAAAAAGAATGGGTGATAGATGCAAAAACATTCTGCTCCACTTACTGCCCACAGGCTCCCCACTCCAGCTGAACTTCTCAAGATCATCGTCATCATCTACAATATCTCGGAGGCTGTTCACTGTTCGTTTCGACTCCTTCAGCTATGAACAAAACCAAAGTGAAAATGAAGGCAAGCCCTATTCCATCCAGATAGACTGTACACTTTCATTCTAAAGAACCGGTATCCCAAGAACAGATGTATTCTATGTTTGTGCACAAACTGAATTTATTTATCCATCAAAATTTATATACCACTTACTCAACAAAAGATCTCTAAATAGTTTTAAAAATCTAAAATATTCATTTCAAAATATAGATAAAAGTGATATAGATACATGCCACCCACAAAAAGTCAGACAAATCCTTATGTACCAGATGCAAATTGTGAAAGAACGTTACAAGCCATGTTCACACCTCATTTAAAATAATGCATATTTGCCCTGCAGCACTATTACATTGTTTTATTGGGTACCCATTTCTCAACTTTTATAAGACATTAAAATGGTTTGGCAGGGAACAATTTAGTAGCGGGAAAATAGATTTTTGAAAAAATGATGTGGCAAGAAAGGACTAAAATATATATCTGGAGTAAGGACTATTGGAGGCTATGATGTAGGGAAAGATGCTTTTGCATGATACCAAATTTCTGAACCTGCAGATGCAAGCTCACTTTCAAGCACATCTTCACAACCACAAGGGCTAGAAATGTGTTCTGCTAATGAATGAAGAATGAGATGATCAGGAATCCCAGTTCTGTGCTACATATCTTGTGAAGTGCACACATTCAATCATACATGATGCTTCCTGCTCATATAAATACAGTGCACTCTCCGGATACGAACTTAATTCGTCCCAGGGTCCATACTTACCCTGAAAAGTTCGTATGCGGAGGCGCCGCTTCTGTGCATGCGGCGAAACCCAGAAGTATATACCTCTGGGTTTGCTGCGTCCGTAACTCAAAATTACGTTTCCCAAAGGTAACGTAACCCGAGGTACCACTGTTTAGCAATTCCTCAATTTTACTTTCTTAATTCCTTCAATGGAAAGATATCCATCAATAATTTAAAAAAGACTACACTATATGCAGATTTCTGCTTCCCTTAACATTTCAGGCAAGGAGACACTGCATAGTGCATTCTCAGTTTGTTCTGACTAGGAACTGTACCTGAAAGAGCTCATCATCTTCATCATCAAACGTAAATGCTTTACACTTGGAACTGTGCCAGTATTCTTCCTCATCAACCTTTATTCTGTTCATCTGAAAATAAGACTTTTTTCTTTACTGCATATATATTACCTTTGGTTAATTAAGAAATAATCCGTGACCACCTCACTATCCATGACCCATATCTATATGCTTCCAGTTTCCACCCAGAGCACATCACATAATCCATTGTCTACAGCCAAGTCCTACAATACAACTACATTTGTTCAAGCTCCTCAGAGAGACCCACACCGTAGGTCTTGTGTTTTGTTTTTTTCAAAAATGCATTGATCATCAGGGAATATGCAAAATAAACTTAGGATGTAGCAAACAGATAAGGAAAACCAAAGACTGTGAAATGGTGGTACCAGCTCAATTATAGGCTTATTTTTTTAAAGTCTGGTTAAGTTCTCAGTGGCACTTTGCCTAGGAAGTGTCTTGAAAAGTGCTCCTCAGTTTGTGCTGTTAATTTTAAGTACAGCAAAGCGGATTTACCAGCCATAGAAGTGTGGCCAAAACTGACATCAAGAGTAACCTCAGAGACACTACACTTGTTTTCTTGATGCCACAGTTTAATAATCTTGAATCAAATATTTGCATGCAATAGCTCTAAATTCATGGATGGCTAGAAATCAGTACAGTTTCAAGGTATAGCTGATCTATTTTTACTGGCTCACTCTGAAGCTTATTGTCTTTCACTAAGCAACTGATCGATCTGACCAATATGGCATGTTTAAAAACACACCACTCAAAATGACACAGGAGGCACTTCTACACCTGCTGCCAGAACAAATCTGCAAGCAAATCTGCATTTGTGATATTTGGCCTTAACTTCCCACCATTTAGTGGGAGAGAGAATGGTGAATGGTGCCCATTGCAGCTGGCAAGGCAGAAGACAAGGAGGCCAACAGCAGGTCACGCCAAGATCAGCGTGAGATAGAGCCATCCCATTCTAGTTTCGTCTCCATCCTGCTCTTCCTTGCTCAGTTCTATGAGGAGGAGGAAGCTGACAGGAAGCGCCACTCCCTGGACTGAATATAAGAAGGCAAATAGGCTGGCAGCTGTCTAAGGCCGGACTGATGCTGCTGGGGCACTGCCCCATTGGCACTGGGGATTGGGCCTCCACAGCTGGGGAGGGGGCAGCAGCCCCATCCTCCCCATAGGTTTCCACTGCAACATGACGTTAAGAAACATGCAAGTCCATTCCACCCAACCTTTCTTCTCATTGCGTCTCCTCCATTACTTGCTTCTCTGCCTATATTAGACTACAATCTCATGAGAGAGAGAGAGAGAGAGAGAGAGAGAGAGAGAAAGGTTAGAGAGAGAGGCGCCTATGCTAGAATATAAGGCAGCAGCAGGCAACACGGGTGACCAGGGCCGGGCCACCCATGAAGCAAGGTGAGGCGACTGCCTCAGGCTGCAGAGTCCCCAGGGGCGGAAGATCCCGATGTCCATCTTCGTGACCTCGTCTAAACAGCAGCAGCCAATGTTGCTGGCGGGGGTGGGCATGAGATACCCGGCTGGGACCTCTTCTGGCCAAGCCCAAGCGCCAGGAAGGGGCGAGGCAGAAAGCAGGAGCCCGGTGCATCTCCACTCGATGACTTGCCTCAGGACACGGTCTTGCGCCTCCTCGCTCAGAAAGCCCCACGCCAGAGGAAGCGCCCGAGACCCCGTTCCCGCGACGGAGGGAGAAGACAGCCGCCTACCCTCGGAGGAGCAGGGCCGCCAGGACGGGGAGCCACGACCAGCCGGGCAGGGATCCGATCAGCACCACGCAGGTCCCCCGTCCATGCTCGGCGCTGGGCCCTGCGCCCTTCTGTGGGCCGTGTGCCTCGGCTCCTCAGGCAGGGAAAGAGAAAGGCGGTTGCTTTCGAAAAGCATCACGGGAGAGGTAGTTTTCCAGCTGCTTCCCCAGCCATCGGTTTCGACTACAGAGCGCGGCGCGGCGGCGTTTCTCAGGCCGGCGCTTTACATCCGGAGAGGCTCGTGCTGCGCTTCCCAGGCAGGAAGCCGGGTTTCCCTCAGCGCCGAGCCTTTCTCGCTCTCCTTCCTCCCCCGCTCCGCTTCTGTCACTACGGGTCATGGGCGGAGGCAAAACTCCTCCGTTTACGCGCCGCTTCTTTTGAAAGGGGCTGTGCTGCTTCGTTAGGCTTTAGGAGTGAAAGGGCTCCGGCCCAGACAAGGGAGAAGCAGGGAGGAGCCACAGAGGTAAGGAAAGGTTAGAGTGGCGCGCAAGTGTTAAGCCTAAGCACACAGCCCGCGCATTGATGAGCTTTGGACCGAACGCCGCAGCGCCGTGGCGGGAAACCTTTGCCCCACCCCCTCAGTGGTTTTGGACTGCAACTCCCATCAGCCCCGGCCAAGGATGACGGGAGTTGTAGTCCAAAGAACCCAGGCTTTAGGGATGAATGCAGGCAGGTGGCGTCTCCCTAACTCTTGGCATCTCCAAGGTGAAACACGCCAAAGAACGTCGACATGGCAGTGGGAGGCCAGTCCGAACCTGTGTCTCTCGAGGCCTTTCCGGGAGCGCTTTACGTGCCTCACAGGCTGAGGTGCAGAGATTAAAATTAAGAGTTACACACCACCGCAGTCCTTCACTTCCGCGGTGAACTTCCTCCCTTTCAGTTAAAGGAAGCTGGATTTCCTCCAAAAATAGAGCGACACTTCCCAGCATAGCTGTCAACTTTTCCCTTTTCTTGAGGAATCCTATTCGGAATAAAGGAATTTCCCTTAAAAAAAGGGAAACGTTGACAGCTGTGCTTCCCAGCAGAGATTAGGAAATTCTAGACCCCGCCCTCTCCCCCAGCCCCAACCCTCACTTAGACGCCGTAGATGCGGCTTCAAGTCTTTAAACACTTAATTCCCACGCGAAATGAGGCCTGAGTTGGAAAGAGCCTGTCGAGAGGCCGCTCCCTTTTGTTTCTGGTGGCCGCTCGGCCGCTGGCCAAATCACGGCTTCGCTTCAAATCCTGGATTTCCCACAGGGAGCTGTCACTTTTGCTCCAGGAGGAGGAGGGCGGCACCCAGAAGCGAGGCAGGCAATTTATACTCTGTATTCACGTCTATGCACTCTGCCCCAATAACGTGTTCATGTAAGTTTCCTCCCCTGCCCAGGCTGCGCGTGTCTCTGTGTTACGCTTATAGATCTCCCCCTCTATGGTACTGGGGGAGTAAGGAGCGGCGGCGGCGGCGGCGGCAACGGAAGGAAGCTGTCCGGCGGCTGCCGGAAGCTGGGAGGCGGCGCGGCTGCCGGCGGCGCTTCTAGTAGCTTCCAGACGCGCGGCGAGAGAGCGAGGGCGACGGGCGCTCGGCAGCCAGCCAGCCAGCCGGGCAGAGGCAGAAGCGGCGAGTCCTTCGGCGAGGCGCTGATGGCCAAGTGGGGAGAGGGAGATCCGCGCTGGATTGTGGAGCAGCGCGCGGATGCCACCAACGTCAACAATTGGCACTGGTGGGCGAGGGGGCAGGGAAGGCGGCGGGGGCTGGGGGGGCGGAGAAGCGGCTCGTGTTTTGGGGGGGGGGCTGCGCTCTTCCCCTGAGGGCTTTGGGGGAATAAGGGCGCCCGTGCTGCCACCGCCACACCCACAGCCACCCACACCCCCGCGGTTGCGGGGACGCGTGTCTGCTTCTCTCTCCCTGTCTCTTGCCTCTGACCCCTTCGCACGAGATTCTCCACCGCTTATGCGTGTTCGCGCCGGAGTCACTTCCCTTCGGGTTCGGTGGACCTTACTCTCAAATAAGTGTGGTAAAAGATTACAGGGGCGAGGGGAGATAGAGAAACCTCCCTGGCCTGGTTTAACCTCCTTTAAAAAAAAACAAAAAACCAAACAGCTGGATCTGTAGAAGGGCAGCTAGTGAGAGTTTGGGTGCTTTTTGGCATGGAAAAAGAAATATGATCGCTAGCTACTTCTTTCAGATCAAGCTGCGCAAAAGTGCATGGGAGCTGGGGACTGGTTAAAGCAAACAAAAACGTTGGCAGTCTTTTCTAGGGGCCAGGTGCAGCATCTGGCAAAGCCAGCGAGTGCCTGCTGAATAAAAGTAGTTTGCAACAGGGAGGCAGCCCCTCCACCTGTATCATAATCTGGTGCTGCACAAGCACTCGCCAGAATAGGAAGCGCATTGTCATTTTTAATAGTGTGTTTGTGCTTACTGTGTTTCTGACATGCAAAGCCATGCTTTTTGTTTAGCTGGGTTGCTGAGTTTGATTGCTTTTCACACTGATTTGCGGTGTGGTAGTTGTGGAGAAAGTGGGTAGACAGGAAGTGGTGGTATCCAGGGAAACTGTTCCAGGAGCATTTTGAGAATGGGGGAGGAGTTCATTCATTGCTTAATCCTTAATACATAAATCCTTAATGTGGAATTGATGATGACAAGATAGGAATCAGTCTTAAATTGAAAAATGGTGACGCAAGTTGTCTTAAGCAAACTAGCAATACTACCACATACAAATTAATGGATGATTTGACAACAATTTTAATATAAATGGAGCTTCAACACAGAAGCAGTATTCCTGAGTGCAGGACACTGATAGCAAAGAGGGTGGCTGTTGCTATCACATCATGTATACTATTGGAGACAGAGTCCTGGGGAAACCCAGCCAGATGGGCAGGCTATAAATAATAAATTATTATTATTATATGAACTAGAATAATTTTTGTGTGCTGCTGTAAGAAAGTCATTTTTCTGTTCCAATAGAAATGAACCAGAAAAACCTGCAGATGCAGGATGCCTTCATATTGTCACTTGGTCATGTACATCTGCTATTATGTATAGCGTTCTATTTTTTGTTTCTTATTGAAAATCTTTTCATGCGATTGCCACCACACTTACTGACCTGGGCAAGGAGTGAACTATGCACAATATTTTCAAGCAGCTGCTGTGCACATTGTGGCTTGTGTAAATATGGCATTTTGCCAGCAGTGCAAATGGCACCAAGTGTCAATGCCACCAAGTGTCAATGGCACTTTACACCTTGATTTATTATGGTATGGACTCTGGTGAACAGCAGCTTAGGGATGCTGGAGACCTCTGATGAAACCCAAGTAGAAGTTGCTAGTGTTTGCTTATTTGCCTCATGTCTGTAATGGCTATCAATCTGGCAAATATGACAGTGTTTGCTGTTGCTTTCCACCTGCAAATTGTATGTAAATCGATTATGCCACCATCCCCCCACATTTGCATTGTGTTTCCTTTGCATAGAAATGAATGGAGTGGGATAAAGTAACAACAGTGTAATTATAATACGCAAGTTACATAATTTTACCACAGCGCACAGTGAGACAAATAATGTAAGTTTTGGCAGAAGATGAACTGCAGCAGAATGGAGAAAATGCTGCATGTGATAAATACAGGGTGGAACAGAAAAGGGTATCTTCTTCCGTCCCTAGTAGCAACCCACGGCTTTCAGGATTAGTATAAAGAAGTCCAGTCCTACCCTTTTGTGACTATATCTACCAAGTCTATCCTGTTCCTGAGATTTTCAGTCCAATCAGTTTTGCTCCAGGCTCTATTGCATCTTTAGACAACTAGAAACATGATCACCATGCTCGTAATTTGTGATGAGTGAGCAGCTGCTATTTTTTCAGCTGCAGGAGACTTTAAAGGAGGAAGGATAAATACTGTAGGTTCCCTGCTCTGGGAACTTGCCAGTTAAATTAAACCACAGGGGAGATATGCCCTGTCTCTTTGAGCATCATGGTTAATTCATATCCGAGGAAGGTGTGTGTACTTCTCTAGAACCATGGAGAGCTCTCCAGTTAGCAGCAGTTTCTTCTGTCCTCCTGCCCCAACCCTGGGGGGTGCGGAGCCAAAAAGGAAAAAACAGTGACATAGGCAGTATGAAGTGAGCCAGCAGCTCATTCTGCAGTGGTGAGCAAGCTGTAGTTTCCAAGGGTATGTAATGCTAATGCAGCAGCACTCAAGCAGTTGTGAAACATATAGCCATCTTCAACTTATGAAGCACTCTTTGTTTTTACATGCAGATTCTACAGAAACATTTTATCTAGATTGGTTTTCAAAGCAGAAGCCTGATGTATTGGAATTTAGTTCTTGTATTTTAAGGAGCAGGAAAGGGGAAATCTGTTTGTATAATCTGTCTCTGTCATGTTACAAGTTACTTCTCTGCTGGATAGATTTAACAGCTATGATCTCAGCTGTTTGTGAGTTCACTCCGTCCATCCACCTAGTGGTTCAAGATAATCCTGTGGGTTGGCTAGAACTGTACATCCTGTTCTTTCATTGAAATATAGGAACCTGCTGGGATTGGACTACTAATTAAGCGTGTGTATGATGCCATTCTCATGTTGCCAGATTGTTTTACCAAAAAATATAATTTTTAAAGGAAATAAAAAGGTAGGTTCCACAGCAGCAGTGATTTGACCTTGGAATTGTATCTGCGTCTAACTAGACGCAGGCATGGCCAAACTTGGCCCTCCAGCTGTTTTGGAACTACAACTTGCATCATCCCTAGCTAACAGGACCAGTGGTCAGGGATGATGGGAATTGTAGTCCCAAAACAGCTGGAGAGCCAAGTTTGGCCACGCCTGAAATTTACTAGACAGTAGTGAGAGCTTCAACAATATGCTTTGCTTGCACCACAGCTAGGAAGTTAAGAGTTAAGAAGGAAGTTTTGGGGCTGTGTAAGCTCAATATGTGATGACTCTTGTATAACTCAAGCTTGAGCCATCCTATTGTATTAGAAGCACAGGACTGGATAACTAAGTTATACTTTGAAATTAGTGCACATTCATGCACATTAATTAAAGTGGCCTGGATTCAGCTAGCCCTGTGCACCAGCAGGGCACTTGCTAGTGCAGTGAGGCCTTGCCTCCCCCCCCCTTGCACACACACCCAGTCCATTCTGGAGGGTCAGGAGAACCCCCAGAACAGTGCAGTGGGGGAAGGAGAGGGGGGATTGCTCTGTCTGGCAAGCAGGAATGCTTGCACTAATGGAACAACCAGAAGAGTGTGACGTTGAATTCCTCCCAATGGATCTAACTCTTATGTTGTCTAGCTGTTCCTGGTTCATAATCCTGCTGAAGTAAAGTAACAGATTCAGAATGGGGCTGAGGAAATTGATCAGCCAAGGTTAAATAGGTGGTATGGGTTCTTAGTCATGGTTGGAGCCCTCCTTTATAGATGTATATAGGACATAATTGGTTAATTGCTGAGAAGCTATGCCCAACTGCCCTACACCCAACATCATATGACATCAGGTGTGGAGCAGGTAGAAACCTGGCTTAGCCAAAAGGGAGTTTGTTGGCAACTGAAAAGCTCAGTGTGGAGTGCTTCAGATAGACAGCACTTCAGAAGCTCCTTTCAAAGCACTATATTGTGCAGTGCTTTGAAAGGGTTTTAGCAAGCCTCAGCAATTGGCGGGTCATGAGAAGCCCCTTTCAAAGTGCTGTCTTGTGAAGTGATATGCAAAGACCCTTGCAAGTAGAAAAGGTAATCTGATGTCAGGTGATCGACAAGTTTGTGGTTCTGCCCACCTGTCAATCTTAGCCCACTAGAGGTGGGAAAGATAACAATCTGACCCACTGGCCAAATACAGTTCACCACCGCTGGTGTAGAGGTATACAGAGTGGTTAGTCAAAACCCTTAGTTACCCTCTTCCATGTGTCCCTAAAAGAAGTCAATTTTGGAAGTGTAACTTTTCAAGATGTATAGCCAAATACCATGTGTTTCCAGGGAATGGGACAAAGGGGGTGTATGCAATGCATTGAAAACTAACTTTGCAACACTGGAGCATTGAAAAGCACCAGCTGTTCATTACTGCCTTTTTACATTTTGAGAATTTTGTTCTTTTCTTAGGACTGAAAGAGATGCATCTAACTGGTCTTCAGAGAAACTGAAAAGTTTGCTTCTGGCTATTAGAGCAGAAAATGCAGAGGGAACTTGTGAAGTGACAGAAGTGAGTAAATTGGATGGAGAAGCCTCAATCAATAACCGCAAAGGAAAGCTGATTTTCTTCTATGAGTGGAATATCAAGCTGGCTTGGACAGGTGAGTTTTCCTGCTTTGTTTTTAGCTACGTAATGTGATCTTGTTGTAGAGTTCTGGAGGTTGAATTGTCAAAAAGCAGAATTTCTACAGTCTTTTCAAATAGTTAGGAAGCAGATAATAACCCCCTTCTCCAAGGGAAGAGAGAAAGGGAATTTAGAGAGTTTTCTAGAATGCCAGAACATGTCAGAAGTTGCTGTTAGAAAGTGAAATTGAGCAATTCATTCAGTATATTGCTTTTCACAGGCACTTCAAATACAGGTGTGAAGTATAAGGGATATGTGGAGATTCCCAATCTGTCGGATGAAAATGATGTTGATGAAATTGAGGTAAGAACACAGTTACAGATTATTTTCTTGATTTCTGCTTCGTTGAAGAGGGATCAGATATCCAAGTAGTCCAATGTTTTATTTCTCTTCAGCTTTTTTTTATTTTTAAGCCCCATAAGTTCATATCTGATTTCTACCATTCAAATCTACAAACAGCTACCATCTTTAAGTAAAAATAATTTCATGAATGCAGTACAGGGTGGAGGAGTATGTGCAGTGAAAAGAGATTTGTCCTGATGGAACCATATGAATTCCTGCCCCCCCCTTTTCTTCTCAGATCAGCGTTAGTCTTGCCAAAGATGAGCCAGACACCAACCTGCTAGCTTTGATGAAGCATGAAGGTGTAAATCAGATCAGCAGTGCTTTGGAAACTTACATTAGCACTCTCAAAACAGGTAAGTACAGAGGTGCAAAAGAATTAGTCGAGTCAGAGCTGTTCTTGTGGAGGACGAAGAAGTTTCAAAATCTGTTAGAAATAGTTTGCTTAGAATAAACTTGTCTATCTTTGTCATACATCTTAACCCCTGTTCACCTGTTCTCCCCTTGTCCTGCAATTAACCCTCGTCTGAAGGGGATAGAGGGAATAAGTCTGGCCTTGTCCTCTCCTGCATCCCCTGGCACCGTTTCCTTCTGCAGCACCCACCACTCCCCCTAACACCATGTTGGTGGCTGAATGTCTGCAGCAAGGAGCCTATTCTATTTGAGTAGGCTCCCTGCATGATTCATACCCTGATCTTTCAGGCTTTTTAATCTTGTGGAGAGCTTATTTGAGTAGAGCAGGCTCCCCACCGAAGACATGCAGCCCCCAACATGGTGAGGGTGGTGGGCGGGCTGCAGAAATGATGGCAGAAGCAGCCAGAGACCAATGGACTGGTCTCCTCTTTCCTTGGCATGAGCGGTGGAGAGTGAGTGTGTAGGGCTTTAGTTACATATTGCCTGGATTACTGTAGCAAACCGTGTGGGGCTTCCTGTGAAGATTCTTTGGAAGCTTCAGCTAGTACAAAATGCCACTGCTAAAATTCTAACATGTAGCAGGTTTGGGGAGAATGTCAGTCCCATACTGTAGCAGCTACACTGGTTGTCAGGGTGTTTCTGAGTGCAGTTCAAAGTACTGGTTATCACTAAATGGCTTAGGACTTGTGATACCTCAAGGACCTTCTCCATCCCCTGCTTGTCTACCAAAGTAAAACTGGTGAGGCAAGACTCCGTTCAAGGATGTGAAGAATTATCGTTTTCCATCTCAGTGCTGATAGAAATTATTATGGATTATTTGTCTTAAGTAGCACCCAGGAAACTGCCACCACATCACTGTGGGGGAAAAAGCCTTTTGTATTAGTGCATGCCTGCACTAGAGAACTTGGCGTCGTGGCCTGAAAATTATATATACCTGTCCTGAGTTTACCAGTCGAACTTTAGGCTGCATGTCTCTAATTTGTATCATGTAATTATTGTTTGACCCTCTTTCTTGCTCTCAAAAGCATTTGTACAGCTTTCAGTACATCCTCCTGGAGGTCTGAACTGAAAAGTTCCAGTGTTATGAATTTATCAAAGTGTGTGGTAGCTTTCTTATCCCATTTTCCGTGACATCCTGCCTTCCTTTAATGATGCTTTCTTACAGCTATGTTTGTTATGAAATGTGGTTTGCATTTCTTTCTAGATGCTTTGCATGGAATAATGAGATTTTAATACCTTTCAGAGTTTACCCAAGGCATGATCTTACCCACAGTGAATGGTGAACAATCAGAGCTCCCACCTCAGCCTGTACGCAAAGCCGAGGAACGGAAGGTAAGAGCCCAAGATTCCAGGTGTATTTTATAGGGTAACATTTCCTTGCTCTGATGGAATGAAGAATAAGGCACAGGGCTACTTTACACTCCTAGTGGCAGCAGACTTAGTGGTGTGGCATATGAGGTAGCTCTGGGCACTAAGTTTTGATAGGAATGTGAATATTCTGTGGCATACAATTGGACCAAAATTCTTGAGGGAGTATAACAAAAACAGATTGCAGTATATTGAAGATTGGGGACTACTGGAGTCCAGTGAGGAAGAAAAGTGGCTGCAGGTTGGTGCCTTGCTCTTGCAGCAGCTGCAGGGAATGAGCCATCTTATTAGCAGGGTTCTGGATTAATTATTTTGCTCCAAATCTCCCCCCGCCCCTAGCAAAGTGAGGCAAGTGGCCTAGGGAGAGAGTATTTTCCGTGGTGGCACCCCACTTATGGAATGCTTTCCCAGCAGAGGCTTGCCTGGCATCTACGTTGTGGACCTTTAGCTACCAGGTGAAGATATTTTTATTTTCCCATGTCTTTTAACTCACAGCTGGCTCTGCTAGTGGGAGCCTGCCCAAGGATTTCTGCTAGTGCAGCAAGGCTTGAGGGTCTTGGGAGCGCCATAGTGTTACACTGCATTCCTCAGTGCTGTTTACATGTATACAATCCCCCCCCCCCCCCGCTTGCTTGCTTTTTATGCTGGTTTTATATTGATTGCATCTGGCTTTTAGGTTGTGCTTGTACTGATTTTTTATTGCATATAGTTTCTATTGTTTTCACAATTTTTAGATTGTATTTTGAGTGCTGTTCTTTTTTTAACAAAGTTTGTAAATCAACTAACAAAATAAACTATCAGTTAAAATATGTTTTTCGTTGTAACTTATTCTCTTTTTAGACCACTGAACCAGTTGCTGGCAATGCACTTAAATCCAAATCGGTAGGAGTCAAGATTCCTACTTGCAAGATAAACTTGAAGGACGTTTTCTTAACATCTCCAGATGAACTGTATAGAGTGTTTATCACACAAGAGGTAAGTTGCAGGTCTATCTACAGGTCCTTTTCTGTCGAGAAGTCCTTGTATGCTTCTTAGATTAGATTTGGTTATAAATATCTCTACTGGTTGCTTAGACTAACGTCCTCCCCATGTTTCTCCTATTAGCTCGCACACAGAGGGTGTTGTGGTTGGTACTCTGCAGCAGAAGCAACCTCTAGGCCTCCTCTAGGAAATATTTCAGGGATTATGGGTCACTTTGTTTCTTCTCAGTCTGGAAGGGTTATATGTTCTTTCAGCAGGAGACGTACTTCCAAACAAGCTCCCACAGAGATGAGCATTTGCTTCTGCTTATTTGGAAATGAAGTGGCAGCCAAGAGGTGCTACTTTCATCCTTGAAAGTGCCCCCGTCCCCAGTGGGAGATGGTACTGGAATCAGGACTCAGATTCCAGAGTGCTGGAATCAAGCATCTATTTCTGTTGTTTCAGTAGATTGGGTGGAAGTCATGGTCATTTTAATGCAACGGGTCCCCTTGCTACTTGACTCACTGATCATAATTTTTTTTTTCTGCAGATGGTCCAGGCTTTTACTCACTCACCTGCCTTTTTGGAGGCTGACAAAGGAGGAAAATTCCAGCTGCTAGATGGCAGTGTTACTGGAGAGTTCACTGAACTAGTAAGTACTGTTGACAATACATTCTCTGTTGCTCAGTAGCTGGGACGTGCCTTCTTTTTAGCTCATGATCTGTTTCTTTTGTAATGCTCTGAACACTTACGTTGTGAACTGCCCTGTGATCTTTGGATGAAGGCTGTTGTACAGATAATAATAATAGTAATAATAATGCCTGTACTACCTCACCAAGTCTAAAATTGGATAGACTCTTTTGTGTTGCTGATGGTTTAGCTGGAAATACACATCCTTTTCAAAAAAAACAAATGGATAATATTGGCCGAGTTCAGACATAACAAACTCAGTTTGATTAGGCAGGCACAAGCATTGCACCTTTATGCTCCTTCCTCCTTCCCCTTTGCACTGTCAGAATGAAAATGATGCTTTCCTGGTTTAGATGTAACAGGTAATCAGTTTAAGAAATCCTGGAGGTTATTCACTACAGAGCAGGAGGGGAGGGGAGGAGACAGTGTACGCACAGCAACCTTCATCCTTCTAAACTATGGTTCAGAGAAGAAATGTTATGAAGGCAAGCTTGGTGAACTGTAGCTAAACTTAGATCATTTTGATCTCAATAAATCTCTCTACAATAGGAGTTGGTATTTTGAGGAAAGGACTGGTTTTGTGATGTTTTTATTGCTGCTGTTGGTGTTCTTAATGGATCTTTTAAACACTATTTTATTTATATTTCATTACATTTAAATGATTGTCTTTATTGTGTTTTTAGCTATTTCTGTTTTATCTGCATAAGCTGCCTTGAGTCCTGGACTGGGAAAGGAGGAGGAGGAAGTAGACAGACAGACACAGACAGATAGAACCTCCTTTCTTTGCACAGTGCAGTTCTGATAACAGTTGCTCTGTTGCGCTTGTTAATTATAGAAAAAAGAGATGTAGTTGCACATTCCTCATTAAGCATTACATGTATTTAGACCCTGAGTTACTCTCAAATAATATTGACACCCCCCCCAGCTTTTTTCAGTATAATCTCTGTCAGTCACTCTCTTGGTATTCAAAGGAAAATATACCTGGTAGATAACTAGGCTTCCCTTCCTTTCCAGGTTCCTGAGAAGCAGATTGCAATGAAGTGGAGATTTAAAACATGGCCAGAGGGTAAGTTATTCTACTTCATATAACAAAGTAGAAAACTACTTATGTTTCAGCTATGTTGTACTAGCAGTGGTACCCATTATTAAATTGTAAGATGCTTGAAAGCACAAGCATTTCTCAGTTGGTTACTAGCCTTGGCCTTGGTTGTGCTATGTTTTTGCTTGGCTTGTACGGCAACTGGTGCATTGGCTGTACTTATTACTGGGCACCTGCCCTATCATACAGGATATGACATATTTAAAGGGTAGATTGGTTAAGAGTTGAGTGTTTCCCAGCTATTGCGATATTGGGAAAAAGAACAGATTTTTTTCTCTTAACCATATCAGGAAAGAAGCAGATAGTTTGTCTGGCTGTGTTTTTCCAGGTTGTGTCACACTGCTGAACGTTGGGGTTTTTCTTTGGCTCTTTTAGGACACTTTGCAACCATCACTTTGACGTTCATTGACAAAGCTGGTGAAACAGAAATCCGCCTGGAAGGAAGGGGCATCCCAGCCAACGAAGAAGAGAGAACAAGGGAGGGCTGGCAACGATACTATTTTGAGGGCATAAAACAGACGTTTGGTTATGGAGCCCGATTGTTTTAACACTGGCTACTGCGGAGAGTCTCTACCCAAAGATTCTGCCGTGTGAACTGATTTGCTTCTTGTCTGTCCCTTTCTTATCCTTTGTTTCACTGTTGTGATAAGCAGGATGGCCGGATGGCCTTGAAGGCCACTGAGCAGCACAGATTCCAACTTGTCACTGCTCATCCATGTCTCCTGCTGCAGGGGATTCAAAAGGTGGATTCTCATAAATGTATATACACCCGTATTGCTAAATAAACATAACTTAAAGAAGACGTACTGGCTCTTATCTGAGTGGAGAGATAGGAGGGAAGATATTTCAGCTGAGAATAGAAGGCAAAAGACAGAGGCCTCGTATTCCAGCTTGCAGGTTTAGGACACCCCCCCTTGCTTTCCAGAAATTACTTAGAAAAGTTTGCAACACATCTTGGGCTAATGACATATATCCTGTTTTCTTCTGACCGGTGCTCAGCTGTATTATCTCTGCGGTGGCCTTTTATCTGTGAACAGGCATTAGTAGCAGAAATCTTCAATGCCCATCAAACTCAGAATCCTGGCTCTTCCCAAGTTATACCTTATTAAACCCCTTTAAAAGGAAGCAGAATGAAAGCAATGAGAGTTGTGGGCAGCAGCATCTTAAGCATACACAAGCCACAGTTGTATATGACTTCAGCATTATATGCATGTATAGAAGTTAATATATCTGTGGGTTTTTTACAGTGCTAGAGCCTTTCCCATGGTGGTGGTGGTGGGAATTGTTGCATAAAATGCATTTGGACTGTTAATTACAACAGGAAAACTGAAAAGCATAGGATAGAAAGCCTTTTCATGTGCTGTAACTGCGGTCCTCAGATCTCTTCAGAATTGTGCCATGATAGGATTGTTGGAGGATGTAGCTTCTGCCACACTTCAAAAAGAACAGACTGTGTTACACATTTTGCAGAGAGATGGTGATAGCGACTAAGAGTGATTCAACATGTGCTTCTAATACAGTCTTGGAGGATGTAAGTGATGTTCCATTAGCCTATCCAAAACTGCATTCTTGGGAATAATTCCAAAATTTTACAGTTGAAAGCTCCACATTCTACAATTAAATTAAATTGGCGCAAATATCTACAACAAACTTATTTTGCATACTTTGGGCAATTTCTGTTGCAGGCTTCTTTTTAGAGAGTTTGCAGTTTTGTGTTCAGACTTTGTTGACATATTGAGGAAACGAGGAGCTAAGTCTAAAAGTGGGGAAAAGTCTAAAAAGTCTAAAAGTGGGTTTGATGTGCTAATTAAAGATGCGCCACATCCTTCTAATACGTTGTTGTTGACTATTGGAAGAGACATCTGGTGTGACATTTCTGATCTGGTCTATTTCTGATTGTTGCCTCAGTTTGTGGCAGCTGTGTTGTGTTTCAAGCAAGGATTTCATTTACACTTTGGGTTAGTCTATGCTTGGTAAATCACAAATGTAAACTACCATTACGTCAGCAATGTCCTTACTGTGTGGGACATATCTAAGGCTAAATCCAAGAAGAAAATGTGTGCATTAACTTCTTAAAGCCTGTAATGGCCAAAATTGTCAGCAAGGAACAGGCTGGCCTACTACGATGCCTGTATGGAGAATGATAGGTCTTCCAGAAGTAAGCTATTGCTTATGAAATGTAATGTGACAAATCTTGTTACTCTATACATCCAAGCGCTGCTGTTCTATTGGATTCTTTCTAGCTTAAAATTTGCCTTTGGTATTTATTGTGGCAAGTTGCTCACAAGATGGCAGTATTGCCCAACATAATGGGATGTAGGTTTGTGACAAGGTAGCACTTAATTCTCTCTAGATTTCAAAAGCAGCTGCAGTAGGTTTAGTTATGCTTATGCTATGTGTTTACATTCTGCCAGAACAAATTGCTGGACTAAAGAATGGGGTGCAAATATTTAGAAGCTTAAGATCAATGGCTGGAAAACTGATTTGCAGTGGTTATCTGGAGAAGTCATTCCCAATTCTCCTGCCAAAGTAAGACAGCCCCAGCCGTAAATCCTACGCATGCGGACAGTATGACGGATAGCTCTATGAAATACAATTGTTCACTAAAATTACACAGCTGCTGCTGCTGCTGCTGCTGCTGCTGCAGCAAGTTTCTATTACACATCTTGTATTTAGGGCCTGACGCTATAAAAGAATGAAAAGGGTCTAGAGCAGTTTTCTGTGCTAGCTGGTGTTGATGGAGTGGTAGTCCAAAATAAGGTTTAGATGAGAAGTTTTGAAATATGTTTGACAAGAAAAGTAATTTGGGTTTTCCTGAGCATAAGACAGATGAGTATACATTTTTGTCCTGGGCATGTTCAAGCAGTCAAGCCGAAGGGTAAGCAGCACATACAGTCAAACCTCGGTTGTCGAACATAATCCGTTCCGGAAGCCTGTTTGGCTTCCGAAACGTTTGACAACCGAGCCGCAGCTTCTTACTGGCTGCAGGAGCTTCTTGCACTCAAGAGGAAGCAGCGATGGACATTTGGCTTCCCAAAAACATTCGAAAACCAGAGCATTTACTTCGGGGTTTGGGAGCCGAAACATTCCAAAATGGAGTCATTCAGGAGCCGAGGTTTGACTGTGCACCTCAAAGGTGGCAGCCCCCGAAAAATAGAGGTTACATAGGAAAATAAGGCTTTGTCTCATAACATACCATTCCCAACCCAAAATGGGACTGAAAAATGTCTGGATGTTCAGGCTGTAGTTGTCTCCCTTCCAGCATTAGTTTTCTCAAAACCTAGCAGAGAAAGGGCTCAACAAGCTTCCCATATCCACTGTGGTATCAGAGTCAGACTTCTATTGATGCTGCTTTTGAGAAAGGAAAAAAACCCCTGGAAATTGGGTTCTTAGAGCAATGCTAATATGTCTAATCCATTTTCAGTTATCAGAATTGCAGCCATTATAACAAACAGGCCTCGTCTACCAAAAAACTGCTTTTGCATGTTGGGCATGGAACCAGCAACTCATTTACTGCACGTATCTGAAACGGTATTTGCTTGCTAAAATAGCATGTTCATGATCTTTAGTAACTGAACATTTTTTGGGCTTCATTGTGATTTCCGGCCTTTTATTGGCTAATACCCAAGGAATTAGGATAGTGAGCTTGTACAAGAGCTGCACCGCTTCCTTGTGCAACACTGGCACAAGTGACTACTTTATTGGCTTTCTTCTTAACTGTATTGATTTCTAGATGAGCTGTGGTCTTACATGGTTAAATGGCAATTTCTCCCATTTGCCAGGTGGAGAATGGTTGGGTACAAAAGACTAAAATGAGTTCTATAGGAAGTGTATTAGCAAGTCAAGGGAGCTTTGGCATCTTCAGCTAATCGGAGGGAAACTATGCCCCACGAAAGTTCTCATTACATCTTTTCTGCAGAGAATTTCAGCTGGATGATGTAAATCAACTATACGCTATTGCTCTATCCCCACCCAGGGCAGCTGTTTGAGAAGTGCCTGCTTTGTGAACAGGGCTTTGGTTTCTTTCTGGGCTTGTCATCAAACTTTTCAGTAGCACCCTGTTGCTTAAATACACACCCACTCCCAAGCAGCTGGATCTCGCTTTATAGCTTCACAGAAGACTTTGAAATCTGATGCTGGCTACATTTAGCTGCTGGCTCACACCCATTTCATGGTCCCAGTGGAGAGTGCTTTGCATTCTTATCTGAAGGGGGATCCAGCTGCCCATTGAAAGACTAGCCTCCCTTGGCTTTGCTTCAAGTCCTTGTCCATCCTCAGGCTTTAGTCCAGCTGTAAACCTGTCTGAAGACAAACCAGATACAGGGGGACTTTAATGTTACTCTATAGCAGGAGGCCAGCTGGAATGTTTCTGGAGTCCTGAGGCACAACAAATAGATGCCCTCCTAAACTCTTTAGGCTACAGCTGGCTCCGGCTTTTGAGGGGGCGCGCGGGAAGTTAGCAATGCATGGAGCAATGAAATGTTACTGCTACTGACTTATCAGGACAGCAGAGTTATAGGGCAGGGACTGTAGGATATCAAGTGTTATGTAAAAATATACAGTGGTACCTCGGGTTAAGTACTTAATTCGTTCCAGAGGTCCATTCTTAACCTGAAACTGTTCTTAACCTGAAGACCACTTTAGCTATTGGGGCCTCCTGCTGCTGCCGCATCGCTGGAGCACGATTTCTGTTCTCATCCTGAAGCAAGTCTGTAACCTGAAGTGTATGTAACCCGAGGCACCACTGTAATTTAAAGTCTTGCCTTTTTCTTGACGTTTCTAGGCTTCACAGTTGTAAAATAGGTTAAGAGTAGCAGGAGAATCTGCTTTAGGCTCAGAAATTAGGAGATAACATTTCATTGACATCATCTCAAAACACTAAACTGTTGCATGCAAATATATGCTGCTTTTCCTTAGAAAAGCAACCATTGCTCAGACCACTGAACATGTAGGCCAGTGTGAACTACTTGTGACTACAGCAGCCTTCCCCAGCTCATACAGTTGACTGAGGTAACTGAGAGTTAAGCAGCAGTTGGCTGGATCACAAGAAGGGGCTGCTAGCCTGCGATACGAGATGGGTGAATTTGAGAGAGATGGTAAGAGAATTCTGCATGGAATTCATGGTAGGAAAACTGGGCAACAGACCATTGCTGCCTTCTTAGTTATACTGAGTGTGCCAACGCTGTCGCTAATAAAATTATCACTGTCGTCACAGAGAGTCAGGCATCATTCAAGAAGTTAGGAATACATCATATTCTCCTATACATAACCAATATATTAATTGGTAATTAACACAGCTCAACTGGCTTTGGAGCGTAGCTGTGAGCTGCTACGTACTTCATTACCCTGGAGGTGATTTGCTGCTTCTGGGAAAAGAGTCATCTGGCGAAACAAGAGTTTAAGAGTTCCAGCTCTTGATTGATTCTACAAACCCTGGAGAATTAAGGTGCAGAAAGGGTCTTCATTTTCCACCAGCCCTGAATAACAGAGACGTGGGCTATTTGTAGTTTGTTAACAATAGAGTTTATTCATTTAAAGAGACAACGGTCATCTTGCTTACCTTTTGGCACTTCACACACACACATATATCCTCCAAGAGCGAGGTCTCATTCAGCACTGCTAGAATGTCCATTCCTTTTTGCTATCATAATCATTACAAGCAATAAATACTGTACAAGGAGAAGACTGAAAAGCAGTGGAAAAACTTGGGACGAGTGAACCAGCCATGAAGTAGGAACCTGGCCCAATCCTCCAATCCACAGAACCACATCAAAAACATTCACTCCTCTTTGGAAAACAAGGCAGTGTGCAGTTCCCAAAAGACCCTTCCCCACCTCCACCCCCACCCCACCCAGCGAGGAATCTCAAAATGCCACAGGAAAGAGTGGTTCCTAGCCAAGCTAGAACAAAGATTCTTCTGGGGTTTTCCTTCTCCATGTGTCCTTGCCCTGATAGAAAATACCTGGATGCCCCTTTTCTCCTAGGTTCACCCAACAGAATGCCCAGGGAGATTGCAAAGTTCCCCGGGTCCTGACTGATGGAGCTAATGACACATAACTAAAATGTGCATCATTTGGGGCTGCGTCCTCCATTTCAAAATGAACTAAACCGCCCAGCAATATTATATCTGAATAATGTTGGTCACAAACACATGTACTTTGAAATAAAGTGCTTTCATCTAAATTCAGATAAAGGAGATCTCGTTAATGCTATTTTTGTTGAACTAACAATATCTTTATACAACAGTGTGCTGATATAGCAATAAAATTATGTGGCAGGGACAATATACAATACTTTTTTCTTTTCTTTTTAATATAGCTTAAATAGAAATCGCCAGACAGAATCTTAGTTACATGGTATAAAAATAAACCCTTGTTCCTTGGTTTATACTCACCCAAATGAGACCGCAACACTTTCTGGGAGTCTAAGGTGCTTGTGAAAACAGTGGCATTTGATATGCTAGCGGTAGAGAGATCAAACTCCGACAGGCATCTGTGACTCATACATGCTCCACCCACCGAATGGTGAAAGCTAAGGCTTTCCCCATTGTTATCTAGTCTCACTGTTGCTCTTTGAGCAGTCCTCCTAGAAATCACTTCCCCTTTATGTTAGCAAAGACAGGAGAGAGAGAGAGAAGGGATTGAGGGGTGAGAGCTATTTTGCAAGCCTTCAAATTCCACCCACTTTGGCTCCACGCACTGCCGGCTCAAGCTATGCCTACCTTTGGTTGTGGGACACATTTTGCCAGTGGGTCAACAGTCTTGTCACTTGGCTATTCTTTGCCTGTGAGCAATTCAAGATCAACATTTATTGACAACGGACCCCGCTATATCAGATGCAAGCAGGGCCGTGATAGGGAATAGCAATCTTTTAGGAGTGGCATGGAAGAAGGCTCTGGAAGTACAAAAATCAGTAAGCAGCAGGCTGCGGCCTTCATTTTGGCTTCACCAGCAACTTTCAGCATTTATCTGCCTGCACTTGCTGTTGTCCCCAGAGCATTCAAATTTATTTCATTATGCTTCTTCTTCCTAAACACTTATTTTCTCTATCAGCACACTTTTTGGTTTTATTAGCACAATTTTCTAAACACAACAGCCTGAGCTGAGAGAAGATGCCACAAAAAAGGGCTGCAGCAGGAGGGGGACGTGACCTGTGGCCCTAAGATGTAGTCCTGGACCTAGTTTCAGGGCAAAAATATGGGGAAAGAGGGTGGCAGAGAGAGAAAGGAAGGAGGTAGCCCCACCTACCTTTGACTCTGGGTCCCACATGCTGTTGGAATGTGGCCCCTGACAGACTATTTCTGCCTGGGAATGTGGTCCCCAACAGAAAAGCTCACCTAATCCTGGGATAGAGAATGACAGCATCTGATGGTAGCAACTTACAAGGTAGAGCCATAAACAAGCCAAGCCACTGAATGCAGCAAAATGCACCAGCTTAAGATTCTGTTTGGAGACAGAAGCAGAAGATAGAAGCGAGCAATAGAATAGGACAAAACTCCCTAGCACCTTCGTTATTTCCAGGATCACAGGTACATTTTTCACTCAGGAAGTCCACATAAGACAGCAGACCTACTGATTCCTAATGTAGTTACTAGGTGCCATAGCAGAAACATCCCAGTCCAGCAGCCTGTGTCAGTCCTGAGCAATAAACATGAGCTTTAAGGGAGAAAGAGAGGCTTTGGTTTTTTTAAAAGGAGATACTCTAAAAAGAAAGAAGGGTCTTGTTGCAATGCCCAAGCTGACCTACTCCTCTCCCCCAACAGTCTTTTGAGTGGTCCAAACATCTTGAGATCATGGCTTGTCCATCATGGAGTCTGCCAGACATGTTGTGCCGCCAGGAACACACAACAAAATTTGCTGGAATGCCTATAAGGCCAATCATCACTTAAAGGGGACTAAAGGCCGTAAGATGAAGTTCCATAAACTTAAGACATCACTAATAAAACCGGTAGAAGAAGGGACAGCACACAAGCCTCCAATTTCTGGTTGTGCATGTCCTGTGAAAGAAGATGGTTCTGGACTCTGGATCATTGTCCAACAAAAGGCTCCTGTCCTTGGAGTCAGCGGCCAAGTCCACTTTCACATGATACATTTTAAGCACTAGGCTACCACTATAAATAATCACAGCTCCTCCCAAATAATTGTGGGAGCTCTATGATGGGAATAGGCTTCTCCTACAACTCTCAGCATCCTGAATGAATTACAGCTCCCATAATTCTTTGAGGGAAGCCACAACTTTTTAAAATGGTAACAATGGTTTAAAAGTATGGCATGAATGTGGCCTCGGCTCAAAAGAACCTTGGTATAAAGGTCAAGGCAGCAATCTTACTTGATTGCAAACCAATTAGAGTTATTGCTATTGACTTCAGCAGGAACAAGAGATGTGTTCCCAAGTTGGCAAACACCTTACAAAGAATCAGAGAAGGGTGAACGTTGTCATAGGAATCTGCATGACAGATAATGCAGAAGCTACATTATAATACAGAATCTTGAAAATATGACCTTTAATATTAAGAGAAGAGAAACCTCCTAGTTCTCAAAGTACAGAGAAAAGATTAGGAGCGCCTAGGCAGACTTTTTGGCTACCAGAGAGTAATAAAATAGTGGCTACTATGCTCTGCATGCAAATGTGGAAGTTGGTACTGAGTACAAAATTTAGTATCCTAAAATTTTAAGTTGTTTTAAAAAAAAAAAAATGGAACACCTTTCCAGCTGATGCCTGGCAAAATTTCACAATATGGAAGAGAAAACAAGGGATTCAGTCTGATGGCTCTTTGCCCTTCCTCAAAAATAGGAAAAGTAGACTAAATTGTGCAAGACAAATATGCAAGTTTGCACAACTACTTTGCCCAGAACTGTGGGCTTGCTTTATTTAAAGCCAGAGCACCAATAGCTCTAGGACTAATCCCTTCACTCACAACCCAGCTGTCACCCACTGTATCAAGAGGCAAACCTGTCCCTTTATTGCCAATGATAAAGGAACTAGACCAAAAGTTAAAATCCCAAAACAAAACAAAAACATGAAATTTGGAAAGTTGGGTCTTTCCCTCACAAGTTGAGAAACCAAACAGCAATGTGAGAAATCCATGACTGGGTTGTTCCAACCAATCCTCTGCCAAACATCAGATCCAAAACTCAGAATGAAGTTCTATATCAGGGGTGGCTAGATGTGGCTGAACTTACATCATCCCTGACTACTGGCTGTGCTGCCTGGAGCTCCAGATGTTGCAGGTGGTGTCCAACAACTGGAAAGAATCGTGTTGGCTACCTCTGGTATATGAAATGGAAATGGTTTGGCTGGAGGAAATGGGCTTTGTTCTTTCCCATGCTATTGACTGAGGTTGCTCAGAACTGCAACTTTTCCCAGGACACCTGGCTTAGGATTCAACTATTGAGTCTTGTCAGCAGAAGCCTTGAACAAGGACTTCACCCTGCCCCCAACTCTCCTCCTCCTGCCCCTCCAATTGGTTCAGGTTTTTTGGGGAGGGAACCCCGGGAACTGTGCTCAGGATTGTCCCGTCTTGCAAGCCGAAATGCTTGTGTTGACAGAATGATCAGAAGGGCAAGATGTTCAATTCCTCCCCTGGAGTCTTATAAATGTGTTGGTTTTAAAACATTTGCTTGCTTCCTTATCAGACTTGCTGGGTAGAAATGAGACCCAGATTGTTCTATCAACCCAGCAAGCAGGTTGGCTTTGTCTGCCACTCATCCACTTTAGGGGATGTGTTTTCACAATACATCCCAGAACTTACATTCCAAAGCACGCACGCACGCATGCACAACCCAGCACCCCTCCATCCCAGTTTCTCCCAAACAGTGTGGAACGTCATCCTTTCTCTTGCCCCAGGAATACATCAAGACAACAGACGCTTGAAGCCAGATCTGTCACTCTCAATATGTCCAACCAAGTTTCCCTTTTAGCTAAAAACAGAATTTAGGTGTATTGAGTCATCCACCTTGAGACTGCTTACAGACTCTATGCAAAACCTTCAAGCACCCGATTAGAGTTTTAGGCCATAAGATCTCCCAGTCTGCCTTCGTGCGACAGCTTGTGTGCGGTATAAAATGAGTCACAATGGGCCTTTTGAAAGACACCTCCCCCCTTTCCCTCTGGCTCTTCCCATCCCTATAATCCCTCAGGATGGCCATAGCAAGCCTTCTGGTACAGCCCATTTGGGCCAATTGTGGCAACTTTTGGGTAATGAGGAAGTCAGGAAGGAAACTGGAGGCCACTATGTAGAAGACAGGGCAGAAGCCACTGTAGAGTTTGCACTAAGGTTTCCTACAGACTACCTGGTTACCAAGGGAATGCAAAACAAGCAGCGGCTCTGTAGCCATTCTGAAGTGGAGGCCTTTGTTGACATAAAAGCTGAGGGGAGGAGAGAGAAGAAGAGAGGCCCTGTTATACTCCCTAGTCGAGTGGGAGACCAAAAATGTCCTGCTCTCCACGTCTTTTGGGTTTTTTTCTGCGTTAATACTCCCTAGCCTCCTGTAACTGAGAGAGGTATTCTTCCTCTGGGGGGTTGTCAGCACACCGCTGCCCGTTATTCGGAGGCCGCACGGCGTGGTACCTGCTCCAGTCCCCCTTGCAGAGGATCCAGGGCAGCATATCGACCTTGTAGTGCAACTCGGGGGAGAACTCGGTGCTGATGAGGTTGGGGGCCCCAGCCCCCTTGCCCCGCGTGATCAGCCTGGCGCTCTCGTCGTAGCAGCAGTGCTGCGCAGCCAGCGTGGTGCTGTCCAGGGAGAGCATGGAGCGCAGGCAGAAACGGGCCGTGGGCTTGTAGATGTCCAGCCGCTCCTTGGGCCCGCTGGCATCTCGCCAGCGGAAGTTCTTGCCCTGCCGCTCGTCCCGCAGGTTGACGGCGCTGTAGACGGCTTCCAGCGGGTAGGAGCAGGGGCAGCTGGGCAGGTCCGACAGCACTTTGCTCAGGTATTTGTTGAGGAAGTCGCTCTTGCAATTGAGCCACTTCTCACAGCTGTCCACATCTGAGGAAAGGGAACAGGGGGGAGAGAGAAACGGCCGTCAGACAAAACAACATGCCGTTGACAGCTTATCTTGGGTGGTACTAAATCAGGAGCAGGGAATCACAGGCCCAGCGGCTGAATGTGACCCTCTAGGCCAGAGTTTCCCAAATGTGGGCCTCCAGCTACTGTTGGACTACAGCTCCCATCATCCCTAGCTACCAGGAGCAGTGGTCAGGGTTGATGGGAATTGTAGTCCAAAAAACATCTGGAGATCCAAGTTGGGGAGCCCTATTCTAGGCTTCCCTGTCCCCTTGGGACTCTTCCCAAGTCACATGCCTCACTGGTCCCTGCTACGTGCCCTCAGCTTGAGCGATTTTGCCTGACAGGAATTTGTCCCTGAATTGGGGCAATCCCTCTTGCTTGGATGGGTGCAGGATGGAGTAATGTGGGGGTGTGCATAAACCGCTGGAATGTAGCCTACTGCACAAAGGGAAGAGACATATCCATTGTCCTGGCCACTTTTGGCAATATCCACACCCACCTCTGCTTTGGGACATGTGCAGCACTGGCAAACAGCCCCTGGAAGGAGGCAACACGTTTCTCAGGCTGAAAAAGGTTCCCCATAGCAATGGCCTCCTCCACCCGCCTCCCAGACCTCACTCCAGAGAGATCCTTTAAATGAGAGGTCCACAGTCTCTCTAATGGCTCTGCCCCTTTGATCCAGAGCAGCACAAAGCTTGGAAAAGGCAGCCCAGGGAGAGAAGCTGTGTGCTTTCGAAATGTGGGGCTTCCGGGTCAGCGCCACTGGTGAATGGCGGAGTTCCTCCGACTGGAGGAACGGGCTCCGTGAAAACTGGGTCTTCCCGCCGCGGCGAAGGTGGGGACCCGCTAGAAATCCCAGGCGGAGGAAGCCTGGGAACGTGGGGTTCGGCAGGGCACCAGAAGCGCCCCCCTACTCGCGGGGAATCCCATCTAGGGGCTCCGGAGCAAAGTGGGGTGAGAAGCGCGGTGCTACGAACTGACTGCTACTTTCACGGAGTGAAGCCGCACAGCCATTGCCAGAGAGCGCTGACTTTTTCCTGTGGACAATTGGACTTAAAACAAGTACCCGTGAGTAGAAACGGAAAATTGGATCAAGAAATTGTTTTAATTTGGTAACAAAGCGGGAAGGTGTAAACAGGAAGTCCGCCTTCCGTTTCCTTGTATATAGACTAAAGCAAAAATTTTGCAAGCTAAAGCCGGGAAGCTGTCAAAAAAGGACTAAATTTCCTTCATTTAGAACCACTGAAACCCCCCTTGGAAGCAGGAGAAAAGGGGGGGGGGACTCTGTTTAACCCTACCAGGAGAGGGAGTTAAGAAGGATAAGTTTCCATCGTCTCTAACCTGGGAACGGGGTGTCAGAGACAGAAACTGTTGCTGAGGTTCATTGACGGTGAACGTAACACTTTGACAGATAGCTAATGAAGAGAAACAAGTTGATTCTAATGTTGCCTTTTGCATCTTAAAGAAACAAAATATCTGAAAAACGTCTGAAATATCTGAAAAATGAAAGTAACTTTCCTTTGTCTTTAAAAAAAAAATGGCTACAAGTAGATTGTCTCCTCTAGAGGGAGCTTGCTAAATTGTTGTTGCAGCATATTTGAGACCCAACATCTGTGAGATTAAGACTGTGGGAACAGACTTTTTTGACCTTGAACAAAGATGAGCTGGGAGAAAGACTGGTTGCTTGCTCTATACAAGACAAATGCTTTGCTGGAACAGATGCATGAAAAGATGGACTTAATGAATGAGAAAATGGATTTGACTGTTGTAGTTAATAACATTGATACTGAAATCATCCAAGAACCAACCTATCAATCTGTACCGACTGGGCAAGTGCAGTTGACAATGGAGGAGGATGTGGCTGCACCTCAAATAGTACAAATGGAGAGACCCGAGGCCCTACAGGAGCATAAGCCACTGTTATTGAAGATTGAAGCTGGAGCGGGCCAAGGGGAGTCTGGAGATGAGGAGACTTCTAGCTTTGGAGAGATTCTGAAATTTGATTTTAAATTCATTTTGGATTACATCGAGGACTGTGGGGAGTGGGACTGTGGGGAATGGGTGAGCTGGATGAAGGGTGATGGAGACAATTTTGGGTTGGAATCCCCAGAGACCTACTCCTCAATGAGAAAGGAAAGAAACTAAGACAGAGACCAACAAGAGACAAGGAAAAGGGCAAGCACAAACAAGATGAAGAAGAATTGCAGAAGGGACATGGAAGAGATTTAAGGGCCTCGGACATAAGGCTTCCAGGTTGATGGACTAGACGGAATGGACAATAAGGAAAATAAGGACTGACATGACCCGAGACCAGGAAGAAGAGACGCTGGATGATGATTGGAAGAGAATTTATAATGGAAACTTTTAATTTTAGAATCAGCTAATGAATATTAGGGAAAATGTGGGAATGAAACTATACGACTCTAGCAGAAATGATATTAGGAGTTATGTATATTTGAAATTTAAGATTTAAGTTTTAAGGCACTTAGGGGTAAGATAAGGATAAATAAATTAAGGTAATCTGAATAATAGAATATGGGGAAAGATGGTAAGGATTTGTTGAGCTAATTACTAGGTTAAATTGTTAAGACAAATTTTATAACAAAAATTGAGAAAGATGGAAAGAATTTGCTGAAATAATTACTAAACTAGAATACAAAAACGGAGGTGTGAGGAGGTCAATGAAACAAGCAAATGGAAATTATGGATATGCAATTTGGGATTTGTGTTTTTTTTTCTCTTTTTTCTTTTTTTTTACTTTTTTATTGCTGTATTGTTATATTGGTTTTCTCATTTTGTGCTTTTCTCCTTTTTTATTGTCTTCTTCTTTTTTCTTTTTTTGTATTGTAGTGTTGTTTGTTATTTTTTATTTTTCTTGTAATTTTGAAATTATCAATAATTTTTTTTTAAAAAAACAAAAAACGAAATGTGGCCTTAACCTGGGAAGGGAAAGGTGCCCCCTCTGCCTAGGCAGGAGCAAGTGAACACTTCAAAAGTGCAGGCCGTGTGTGACAGAGAGAGAGAGAGAGAGAGAGAGAGAGAGAGAGAGAGAATACAGGTGTGTGCATAAGAAAGTGAGACAACCTTAAGATTATGATCAACTCACTCGCTCAGCTCCTTGTGCAATTTCTTAGCGTAGCTGTGCTCATTTGGAATGTACTGACCTGAGTTTAGGATCTCTGTGGCATTCTCAGCCTCAAATGGTGTCTCTTCTGTGGCAAGAGACAACTCCCCATCTGCTCCTTGAGGGAAGCACAGAAGCAAAAGGGTCAGAGGGGAACCACATGCCACTTAAAAGGTGTTACAGGAGCTGGGCTTCAATCTCCAACTCTGTATATATTTCCTGTCCACAACTCCCAGGCCAAAATGTGACACAGATAGACACACACAGGCCCAAAGTTTGCTTTTGACCCACAACACTCTGAGTAGGCTTTCAGTTGATGGCCTTATATATCAAATGTGTCAGAGAAAAGAAAGGAGTTACTGAAATAATTATCAGGATGGGGAAAAATGGTTTTCTGAAAGCAAGAATGGACAACCTGTGGCCGTTTCAGTTATTGCTGAACAACAACTCCCATCATGCCTGACTGTGAATGCTGGCTGGGGCTGATGGGAACTGAAGTCCAACAATATTTGGAGAGCCACCATTACTCTGAAACCAATTCCTCATGGAGAGGGACATCCCTTTTCACAAAGTTCTTCAGCAGTGAAATATACCCGGAGTCAAGAGTAGGACCAATCAGACTGCTACATTCTGAATCCTATTGTTCTAGGACCAATCAGACTGCTGCATTCTGAATCCTATTGTTCTAGGACCAATCAGACTGCTGCATTCTGAATCCTATTGTTCTAGGACCAATCAGACTGCTACATTCTGAATCCTATTGTTCTAGGACCAATCAGACTGCTGCATTCTGAATCCTATTGTTCTAGGACCAATCAGACTGCTGGATTCTGAATCCTATTGTTCTAGGACCAATCAGACTGCTGCATTTTGGATCCTATTCAACTCAGTACATAATAAGCAGCATTTGCATTTTGTGCAAGCAATGTAAAATAAGAGACAGGGTTGCACGTAACCAGTGATTTCGGCGACAGCACTCACCAGTACAGAGTACCTGCACCTCTTTTATTGCAGCTGATGGCAGCCAATTTATGCTGGCAGCCGCAGCACTTTTATCAACACATGAGAGCAATGTATACTGTACAACAATTGTCCTGTTTGAGAAACGCCTTCCATTTGTGCAGCAAAACGTCCTTTCCCTCTCCTCTCCCCACACTCCCCCAATCTGCTCCAGAGGGCTGGAAGGACCCCATGAGCAGTTTTAAGGCACAGGCCACAGAGTAGGGAAGGAGAGGGAAAAGGTGCTCCTTTGCACAAGTGGAAATCATTGCACAAATGGAACATAGAACCACGAGGAGAAGAATTGTGTTCTCAGCACCTGAGATGTCAGAATGGAAATGACCTTTTGCCAGAGAGTCAGACCACAAGCATCCCTATTGGAAACTCACCCCTGTCCTCTTGGGATGTTTGAAAACAGATCCTCTCAAAATAGAGGGGTCACTCTCTTTACAGATGAGAAAGCTGCAGTTAACTGCAGGAGCTTTGAAGAGGGAACAAGAGGCAGACAAGGCAGGGGTGGAAGGAGAAAAGGCATACCAGGACAGCGGTGCAGGTCACAGGTCCTCGACTCCGTCGCAGTGCATGCGTAGCCACAAGACCGGGTTCTTTTCTGGTTGCCGGTGCCACAGGTTACAGTGCACGGAGACCAAGGGCTCCACTCCTCTTCATCTTCATAGTCTGGAGAGTGTAAGAAAAAGGTCTCGCTCATACACATTTCTTCCCTATCACCCAGCAGCCTAGATCTCTCACCCAAACCTATATTGTGCAGCTAGAAATCCAGAAGAGGAGAATTGCATGCGCCACCTCACCTGCTTTTCCTGCCAGGCACTCCGCCCCACTTTTAAATGAAAGCTGTGATTCCCAGAATCTTGCACATTGGTCTGGTTTTGGCCATACAGTGCCTAAAATTTCAAGGGTTACCCTACCTAATGGTTCAAGATCTTTTGGGCCTGATTTGCAGTCACTTCATAGGTTATATTTTCCATTTCATGTTGCAAAATGCACGCACATTATGCAATATGGAGGGCAGAGCAAAAGTGTTTTTCCAATATACACAATTGTCACATTGATGTATCTACAATGGAAAAAGGGGACATGCAAATCTTCCTCCCCCCCCCCCCCCCAGTCTGCATAATGAGTTTCTATCACATAAAGCAGACCTTGCCCACCAACTTCACAAATGGATTTAAATTAGGAATTCTCAAGCATATGTACAGAAGAGAAAGCACAAATATGGAAGGATGCTTATTGGGATTGCTGGAATAATGCAGGCATTTCAGTTGGATACATCCCAGATTTCCCCATAACAAATCAGCTGGACCACTCATCTTAACTGGAGAGGAACAGAGGAGATAATGAACTGAAAAGACCCTCTTGCTCTCTCCTGAAAATGCTCTCCTGCCCCTTAACAGTCAATGAGTTAGCGCAGCTCTGTAGACCTACCAAGGGCAGGAAAGGGAGCCGCACCGTAATTATACTTCTCTTTGAAGATCCAGTTTTTCTGATGGGGCCACCGCTGGTCCCAGTCACCTCCCACTCCACTCAGCACCGTTTCTTCCTCATCATACTCTGAAGTGTAGTCATCCTCCTCCTCTTCGTCATCGTCGTCTTCTTCCCCCCTGCTCCTTATGTCCAAATTTTCCCCTTCCTCCCCTTCCTCCATGGGGTCCGTGTACTCCCAGAAAAGTGGCCAGAAGAGGTCTTTGTGGGACAGCCACTCAGAGGAGGTCAGAGACCAGTCATTGCTAGTTTCCTTCAGCAGGTCCATCTCCATCTCAGCCTGAGGATCATCCACGACCTCAATGGTCACCTGCAAGTAATGGCACTGGGTAAGAGGGTTTATGGGGCACCACCACTAAAGCACTGTGGGGTTCTTTTAAGAGCAATAGTACATCCTACATTCATATATTTGCCCATTCAAGCTTTTACCACTTCTCTCTCAGTTTAGTGCTGACCAAGACACTCACGCAATGTCCAATAATTCTCCATGGAGCCCCATTATCAATCCAGTTAGGTCATGTCCCAAACCCTGCTTGCAAAACTGCTTTTCTACTTACATATAATAAACCACTAAGGATACTAAAGAAAGCTGTTTTCAAAAGTCACACACTGCATGGTGCAAGTGTCTGTGACCGTTTAACAGGGCAGGGGAGGGCAAAGTGGAAGTAGTTCTACCACTATAAGCAAGAGTATATGCATGCTTACTCAGAAGTAAGTCACACGTAAGCTCTGTAGAGCCACATCAAAAGTAAGTGTGCTTAGGCCTGCAGCGCAAGATGAAGTTACCATTTTACAATAGGATCTTAGCGACTTTGCAAAGTACTGAACAAGACAAATAAGCATATTGTGCTCGTGGAGATTATGTAGGAAATTTGCAGTCATACCAACAGTGCTACTTAGTGTGTGAAGGGGTTAAGGACCACGGAGTCCTAAATTACTAGAGTAGGCTCTACGATGTCACATCCCCTCTTCTCCAAGGAGAGAGGAAGTAAGGCCTGCTTCCTGTTCCTTTTTCTCTCTGCCATGCTGCACGGGTATGGCTCAACTTTACTCTGCCACATATATGTATCTGAGGCTGCTCTTGCTGTATATTTCTCAACTAAGAATATTTACCTGCATTTTATTGTTTTTACTAAGGAAAATGCAAGTCTTGAGACCTAGTAACTGTAAGTAAATCATTTTTAAACTTACCTTGCAGTCTGTTTTATTGAAAGGGGGGGGGGAGGGTCAGCTGCCTTAAGGAGCTGGAATGCCCAAAGGAGTGTCTCCACCTGCATCGCTCAGCCCGGACATTGAGGTCCTCATCCTAGGTTCTTCAGCTGGTTCCCTCACTGCGAGAAGCGAAGTTACAGGGAACCAGGCAGAGGGCCTTCTCAGTAGTGCCACCCTCCTTGTGGAATGCCCTCCTTTCAGATATCAGTAAGATAAAGAATTACGCAACTTTTAGAAGACATCTGAAGGCAGTCCTGTATTGGGAGGTTTTAAACACTTGATGTTTTTATTATGTTTTTAGATATGCTGTAAGCCGCCCAAGTGGCTGGGTAAATCCAGCCAGATGGGCAGGGTGTAAATAAAATAACAATAAAATAATAGTTGTTGTTATTATATTAATTGATTGATTAAAAAGAAGATAAAAAAACTATTCCTATGCTTCAGTTAAATCTGCCTTACAATGAGATTTAAACTCTGCTATTGGGGCTCTCTATGCACAAGCCCTGCGTTTCAAAAACAAGTACAAGCCGTTTTTCTTTGTGTTAAACCAATGGTGTTTGTTGCTCTGCCAAACCACACCCACTGGTGTGAATGAAATTTAGTGTGACATGGCAGTATATCGATCGAAAGGCAACCGTTCCATAATGCAACAGGTAATGCAGTACAAAAGAAGCATTAGAAACTGGGACAGAAGTGCGAGCATTATAGCTAGGAAAACTAACGCAATAATACTCATGTCTGAAGGCACCTCTTTGGATTATAGTCTTTTTTGCATCAAACCCCTGAGACATGGGCATGCAGAAAGGCATTCTTGGCAGCTGTTCTGCAACTATGGAATCTCCCTCCCTCCCTCTTCTGTCCATGCTCCAGGAGTCCAAGTCAAGACCAACTACCCCAAAGCATGGGTCGGTTCTAAGTGAACTACAGATGGTGCCACTTTTTGTTTGTTTGTTTGTTTGTTTGTTCTGAGCCTAATCAATACAGCCCTAAGCCCATTGGCCTACCTGTATATTTGGATTCTGGGCACTCAGGTCCACGTTGGCTAAGCCTGGCAGGTTCTTCAAGTCCAGCACAAAGGGCGTGCTCTCCTCCTGGGTTGCGCCACCTGGCTGGAGCGATGCCAACTGGTTCCTTGCAGCATGTTGCAGTGGCCAACGGCGTTTCTGTCTGTGTGGCATGGCCCGTCCATTTCGCCTCAGGTTCCGGACCTTGTTAGACTGTGGCATTTCGTCTTCTTTGATTGAAGCCGTGTCGGACGAAGTAGAGATCTGGCAACAAGAGGCAGTGAGGGAAGCATCATCAGAACCACTCTCCGTTGCCTCATGAAAAGTGAGATCTAGCTGCTTTCTTTTTCTCACACCAGGGGCAAGATAAGAGTGGGCACTAGGCATGTTAGCAACTTGCCCCACTGGATTAATGAGCTGTGAATGGGCCAGAATACTGGTCTGAGATATCAAACACACCATATTTAAGCATACACATTCCTATACTTTGGGCTTACTATGAACACCTACAGATAATTATGCTGGTGCATCTCATCTGGTTTTTGATCAGTCCTTCATGGCTCAGACTACATTATCCCTGTGCTTTTTTTTCTTCTAACTTTCCACCCCATTTAAGCTCAGTTTACTTGCTACACACAAGCGAATGAGTTTGATCTGAGGCCCCGCCCCCCCATGCTGGCTCAGCTATTTTTCAATCTGTTCTTCCCAACTTTCCCTGTTACAGCCGGTGTGTGGAATCTCCTCCAGTCTTTCAGATGCTGCTGGACTTCAGCCCCAACCAGCATGGACAGTGATCAGGGATGGTGGGAGTTGTAATCCAACCATATCTGGAGGGCTACATGTTCTCCACTTCTAGGCTGCAGGCCCAGAAACCTTGGTTGCTCACTAACATGCTTCTGGTACTACCTTCTTCTTCTACAGATCCATCAAAATGCGGCCCCCACGACAGCTTTTCACTGGTGCCGTGCCGCACTTTGCATCTTTACCTTTCTGCATGGCAGAAGCATCACACGGAATCCAAAACCAGGAGGGGAGAGATTCTAAAACCTATTTGCATACATGTGCAAATAATAATAAGAGTTTGGATTTGATATCCCGCTTTATCACTACCCTAAGGTGTCTCAAAGCGGCTAACAATCTCCTTTCCATTCCTCCCCCACAACAAACACTCTGTGAGGTGAGTGGGGCTGAGAGACTTCAGAGACGTGTGACTAGCCCAAGGTCACCCAGCAGCTGCATGCGGAGGAGCGGGGAATCGAACCCGGTTCACCAGATTACGAGCACTGCTCTTAACTACTACACCACACTTGCCAATTATTGGTTCTGGCATTGCATTCATGCCTTTCAACTAATAAACCTCTTTTAATATACAGAAACACTTGCATTGAAGTTAACCTATATATATTTTTTAAGCAATCCACAATGGGATCTCCCAGCTTTGAAAAACAAGGCCAATAAGCAACTGAAGGGGCCTGAGGATCATGGTGGTAAGAGTAAGTAAAGGTAAAGAGACCCCTGACTGTTAGCTCCAGTCGCGGACAACTCTAGGGTTGCGGTGCTCATCTTGCTTTACTGGCCGAGGGAGCCAGCGTACAGCGTCCGGGTCATGTGGCCAGCATGACTAAGCTGCTTCTGGCGAACCAGAGCAGCACACGGAAACGCCATTTACCTTCCCGCTGGAGCGGTACCTATTTATCTACTTGCACTTTGTGCTTTCAAACTGCTAGGCTGGCAGGAGCAGGTACCGGGCAACAGGAGCTCACCCTATTGCGGGGATTTGAACCGCCGACCGGCAAGCCCTAGGCTCTGTGGTTTAACCCACAGCGCCACATGCGTCCCTTAAGAGTAAGTCGGGGGCAGGATTAATACTTCCTACCTTGTGCCATTTTCCTTGACAAAAAACAGCCTGCAACAAGCTATATACCTTGCTATAGTTACATGTAGGCTTTTCCTAACGAGGAAACAGCAGCAGAGGGGTGGCGAGTTGTATCCACATCCATAATATGGTATGGCAAAAAAGGGGCTAACTCCCCCCAACCCCTGCTCCCATACCTGGTGCACATGCTCAACAGCACTCAGCATATCTGGACAGAACTGGCAAAGACTGGAACCCTAGAGAGATGCTGCCAGCCAGTGTAAACAGCACAGAGCTAGACTGACTCCATGCTCTGAGCCTAAGGTACTTTCCTGTTTTGTATGTTTTGCCTAGTTTGCTGACTTCTATCATGTCACCTTCACTCTGATCTAAAAAGTACCAAACATTGCAACCTCCACTATAATGGAACAAGCTGACATGGCTGTAAGTTTCAGAGTGGCGAAGAAACCAAGGCCCTAATATATTCCTCCGCCACACCGTTTGCGCAAACCAACTGCCGTTCCTTTTCATGCATTCTGCATCCTTCCGTAAGAATGAAATTGCCACACTGGTGCAATCCCCCCCCCCCAATTCTAACCTCATTTGAAAAAATAATAATAAACGTATGAATTGGCAACAGCCTAGCAAAATCCCTAGGAAAGATCTTCCTGTGCTCTAGGTCCTTTAAACTCTTCACCAAGGAACTTCCAACTGTTCCCTCGTGCATCTTGCAGCCAGGAGCTATTTCCCAACGTGCTGGCCGAGTTCTCTGAGCCTGTTCCCTGTGTGCTTACTTCCTTTCACGGCAGGAGCCCAGAATGTAACTGCAAGATTAGGGGAAACAGGGATGCTCGCCTCCCCATATGGGATACGGAAGGGCACTATTACCTGCAATTAGGGCTTGATGGCTTGGGAAGGACTCTTCCCCCTCCATCCCACTTTCATCCTGGTCGCTGGAGCACTTCAAAGGGAACTGGGGCTGGTCCTGACTCACATGAGCGCACACACAAGGCATCATCAATGGATTTACAAGGCCTGCACATCAAAGGACCGAAGCCTGTCTTCCCCTCCCACAGTGAAAGGAAGAGAAAGCAGCGGGGAGATTGTTGGTCTCTCTGCTGTTTTATTTAGGAGTGGGGCTAAGCAGTGACAAAAGGGCTGCAGTTACATCCGCCTCCCCCCTTTCATATACAAGGCTGAGGAAAGTGTGATCATTCTAGACTGCTGGGATCAGGCCTTGTCTCTTGGATCTTTCCCCCCAGGGCAATAAGAACAGTTGAGAACTGTTGAGAACAGTTGCAAGATTTGCCAATGGGATCTTCCATTTTTGACTAAGTTAACTGGCCAAAACATTTTGCTGCCTGAGGCGATGGACAAGATGGTGCCCCCTCCTGCCCAATGTACAGAATCCAACTGGGCTGGGCAAATTGAACCTTACTTCAACATGGCCAGTAGGACAACATCCTCCACTCTACCTGAAGGCAGCAGGATACCTTAGGTAGCTCAGAGCAGGTTAGCTTAAGGGATTCAGGAGGAACAGGGGTGGGCAAGCGGCTGTTACTATCTACGGCATCTGCCACCTGATGTAGCTGCCTCACCCTGCCTAATGGTTGAGTCAGTCCTGCTGGTCAAAGAGAATATGAGAGAGAGAGAGATATGTTACATCCATGGGCTTCAATTAAACTAAAGAGCTGTAAAGCCGCTAAAACAAAGATGTATGAAAAGTAGTATTAAGATGCATAAAACCCCCAAAGAAGAATGCAGCCTTGAAAGAAGACCTACATGCTGATAGCTTTCAAAAATTGTCCCTAATGCAACTGAACTATTGTTTGTGACACACCAATAGCCTAGAAGAAACAAAATACGCAGAAACAACACTCTTAGGAAACAGAACCCTTGCTTGGTCACCTAAAAACAATTCTTACTCGTCAACACATGGATATCTTCATACCTGGTAAGAGGAACCATCATCTTTACGAACCATAGCAGCACTATTTTTTCCATGAAAGCAACACATCCCTTCTTGTGACGCTCCCTTATCCATCTCCCATCAGCCTTCTGAAGGACTTTGGCTCCCTGGAAAGCCAACTGCCCACTGCCCAAATGCTTCTGTGCCTCTTCCTGCAATCCTTCACCTTTCTTGTGAAATCTTTGGCATAACCTCCTTGCCCCAACTGAAGGTATGGTGAAGCTTTAGCACTCCAGATGTTGCTGGACTCCCAACTCCCACCCATTAGGGATGAAGGGAGTTGTAGTCCCACAACATCAGGGTGGCCCGACTGCATATAAACAAACTGAAATAATGCATATTCCTTCCTTGTGTGAACATTTCTACAGCCTTGGAATAGAGACCAGTCACACCAAATCTTTGTCAAGTACTATGTACGTAAGCTCTACTTAGGCGTTCAGTCTGTACATTAAATTTTCGTTGTGCAAGGGACAGCTGTCTCTTCCTGGGTTCACCACTACCAAATACCTCCCACGGGTTCCGTACTCAGAGTTCTAAAATGGAAAGGAGGCTCTGCAAGTACAGGAAGTGACCTGCTGCAGACCTTTGCCCTTCGATATGTGGCATGCTAGGGCAGAAAAGGGGTCCTCAGGACATGCTGGATTCTCAGGTGTGAAAACAACAAGAAGGAGTCGCATTGTTTCATTCTGTTCATTTTGGTGCAAGAGCTTCTGATTCCACTCCCTGTGATGAACAAGAGCGTCACAAAAGAGAACGAACATGATCCTGGGGCGGAAAGAATTTGTCTCAGAGGAAAGGGTTTTCTGACGATAATGGATCAGGTTGAAGTCATGGTCACAAAGGGCTGAAATAGTGGTCATTCTGCAGAGGGATTCCATATTCACCTCACGATACTTGCCAGCATATTAGGTAAAGGTAAAGGGACACCTGACCATTAGGTCCAGTCGTGGCCAACTCTGGGGTTGCGGCGCTCATCTCGCTTTATTGGACGAGGAAGCCGGTGCACAGCTTTCGGTTCTGTGGCCAGCATGACGAAGCCACTTCTGGTGAACCAGAGCAGCACACAGAAACACCGTTTACCTTCCCGCCGGAGCAGTACTTATTTATCTACTTGCACTTTGACGTGCTTTCGAACTGCTAGGTTGGCAAGAGCAGGGACCAAGCAACGGGAGCTCACCCCGCCGCGGGGATTCGAACCGCCGACCTTCTGACTGGCAAGTCCTAGGCTCTGTGGTTTAACCCACAGCACCACCAGCGTCCCTTGCCAGCATATTAGGGTTGCCTCAAAACTTGATAGACAATTTCTACATGACTGACTCCTAAAGGAGCCTCTCCACCCCCACTGAGGTCTAGCGCCGAGGGCCTTCTGACGTTCCCCTCACTGCGAGAAGTGAAGTTACAGGGAACAAGGCAGAGGGCCTTCTCCATAGTGGCACCCGCCCTGTGGAGCACCGTCCCATCAAATGTCAAGGAGATAAAGAACTACACAACTTTCGAAGACATCTGAAAGCAGGCCTGTATTGGGAAGTTTTTTATATTTGACGTTTGTTGTTCTTTGATTATGTGGAAGTTTCCCAGAGTGGCTGGGGCAACCCAGTCAGATGAGCGGGGAATAAATAAAATTACTATTATTACTATTACTATTTGATTTAAGTCACTGGCAGTCACCATGGTGCTTGACAGACATTGCTGAACTAAAGCTCCCATCAGTCCTGATAAAACCAAAAATCTCTCCAGCCCTAGATAAGAAGCAGGTCCTTGGTGTGTCACCACTAAGTTGGCACTGTGCCCTTTTCGCCTTTAACTGGATTAATACAGTTCTGACCAACCACTGAGAACAGACCTTTCGGTGACTGGCCATCAAAAGGCCTCAATATTACTTTTAATTGTTTTGATCCAGGAGGCAGCTCCATACCCTCCTTAGGAGCGGAAATGCTGCTTCCACTAGCTCTGTTCACACTCTCTGCCCTAGACCTTCTGATCTACACCATCCGAACAGACTAAAACATGGCTTTATTTCTTAAAATATAGCAGCGACATGATCTACTAACTACTTTGGAGATGGGGCGCGTGGCCTTAAAACCGCAGTGGAAAAAATCTACTGGAAGCTTATTGGAAGAGTAGCAGCAAAAGGGAAGGATTAAACGTGGCCCATGGGGAGCCAGACCTACAGAGGACACTAAGAAGTGAGTCCCTTGTGTGCCAGAAATTGAGAAGCACATTGACTAAATTCAAATATTTATTCGAGCTACTTAACCAAATAGAATACCCCCCCAACCTCTCTACATCATCAAACTTCAAGGCCCACAACAAGAAACCCCAGGTTTTGAAAGCTGAAGCCAGATTCTTTGATAAATAAAGTGGGGTTTCATAGAAAGCAGGATTTTCATAGAATTGTAGAGTTGGAAGGGACCCCAAGGGTCATTTAGTCCGTGACATATTTGTTTATCAAAACTTTTTCTAACCTATCTTTCCAATAAAAATGCTCAAGGAGGTTCACAATGTAATAGAAAAATACGGAATAGTAAGTTTGTTTGTGCAGCACAGTGCTACACCTATTTATTCGAAAGTCAACACTTTTTTCTATAATTTTTATTAAATTTTCTGTTTTACGTTTTAGAATATTCATTTAAACAACCTTAAAATATCAATGACTTCCCTTCTTCTCTTTCCATGGTTCATTTTGCATAACATAAATCCCTGCATACTAAACTAAACCATTCAGTATTCCATTATTACATCCACCAAAACTTATTTACACTGTTGAATTCATCTTAATGCTGCCAACGTTGTGTACGTTTTCAAGTGTACACAATTTCCCGCTCTATATTCAATAAACATTTTCCAATCTTCTTTAAACGTATGTATTCGGAAGTCAACTCTCACCGAGTTTGATGAGACTTACTCCCTACCAAAGAGACTTCGGATTGGTCCGCTGGTATCTGAATTGCTTCATGAAAAGAAGTCCTGAGCAGCGGCGTAGCGTGGGTTGTCAGCACCCGGGGCAAGGCAAGTAATTTGCGCCCCCTAACTCAGGGCAAGGCAAGTAATTTGCGCCCCCTAACCTGCCGCCGCTGCCAGCTTCTTGCTGCTGCCTGGTCTGGTCTGGTGTGGTTCTCTCCCGCGCTCAGTGCTGCGCTGGGCAGCTGCTGCACTGTCCCTCCCCCAGATAGTCCCTTGCTCTCTCTCCGCACCGCACGCCTGGCACCCACCCCCTCCACAGTGGGCGGCGACCCAGCGGCTCGGATCGGATTCGCACAGCCAGCACTGCAGTGAGAGAGAGTGAGTGAGCCAGGTAGGGGCAGAGAGCTGCGAGTGCAAGCGCCCCCCCCAGATGTTGCGCCCGGTGCGGCCGGCCCCCCCTGCACCCCCCACGCTACGCCACTGGTCCTGAGTATCCAAAGAGACTGGATGTTGAAGTAGACTAGGACTGGAGAGACCCGGGTTAAAACCATGAGAACCTAAGACGAGTCCTGCTGGGTCAAGCCAAGGGCTCATCTCGTTCAGCATCGTGTTCTCACATTGGCCAACCAAATGTCGACAGGAAGCCTGAAAGCAGGACGTGAGGGCGACAGCTCTCTCTCCTCCTGTGGTTTCCAGCAACCGTTATTCAGAGGCATTCGTCCTCCAACAGTGGATGCAGAGCACAGCCATTGTGGCTATTAGCCATCAATAGCCTTGTCCTCCTTGAAACTGGCAGCTGCCTACCATGAATGTTGATCTGGTAGCAATGTGTTCCCTTGTTCCCAGTCGGTTAACTGGGGAACAGCTTTCGTGCAAGCAAGAGCAGAAGGTGGCTGGTGTTGCCAAGCCCAACGTGATCATCAGTTGCAACGGAGATGTTATAACCATCAAAACAGGGAGGAGTTTAAAGAACACCAAGATTTCCTTCAAACTGGGGGAACAGTTTGATGAGACCACAGCAGATGACAGGAAAGTAAGGAGTATTGTAACATTAGACAATGGGTCGCTCAATCAGTTGCAGAAATGGGATGGCAAAGAGACCACAATAAAAAGAAAAATAGAAGATGGAAAGCTGGTTGTGGAGTGTGAAATGAACAACGCTATCTGCACCAGAGTGTAGGAGAAAGCATGAAGATAGACTCCTTCCCCTGTGCGGTTAGTGGGACACAGAAGCAGGAGAGTTAGCTGGTTCGGGATACAGAGCCCCACAAGGCAGTTGCTTTCTCCAAAGAACTGATATGTTGTTGATAGAACCGTTCCAAAGAACCTGTATACAGTATTCAACCTGAAAGTATGGTGACTATTCAATAAAGTGCTTAAAAAAGAAAAAAAGCAAAAAAAAGCAAGAGCAGCAGCATGATTCACTGCCTCAGCTGGTCACACTGCCACCTATAGTTGGAATGGCAGTATAACAGCTAACCCAGGTTCCACAACACTTCCATCTCTGTATCAAGTCCTGGGTGTCACCTAAGTCGAAGGTCACCTTTCCTCTATTTGGTTCTCTAGCCAACTGTTCCAGGGCAGAGTCATTTAGGTATCTGCCAATGCTGTCTCTTTGTTGTGACTGGAACATGCATTTATCTATGAGGATAACTAAAGTACCCATTGTTGCAACATTTCCTCCTTTGGATGCTTCCTTGATTCTCCATTTCAAGGTCTACCTAGGCATTTTGATCAGTAGGGTGCTAAGAGAGTACATCCTAAGTACTAATTTTGAGGTCCAGCACTGCCATCCACAGGGATTCAGGGGAAGAATCTGCCCTTCTTCCATGTAAAGAGAAGCACCATTCCCAGCACATCCTTCTGTGGCTTTCCTATAGTCCTTTAATTGGAGATAACCAAGTCCCATGGAAGATGGGAGGAATGTTGGAGAATTTGGGACAGATAATAGGAAGTATTCATTTTTATAAATAGATAATAGGAAAGCTGAAGGGTGTTTGAACAAACTGGTTGCATAGTCTGCTAATTCATACAAGTGACCCGGACACCAGCAGTATTAAAGAAATTTGGAGGAAGGACTTCAGCAAATAAATATCAGCTGACAAACTTGCTAGTTTGGAGTAAAAAGCCAATGTGCTCAGTGCCATCCCAAATAAGAGAGAATTCTATTGAGCTGGAAGAAATGTGGAACACTTGGATGCCTATTTTCGTCACTGGTGGACTTGCCCAGTATTAGGTGCATGAGCAAATATCAGCAATTAAGGGTGAGGAAATCATATCTGAACTGCTAACAACTGCTTAATCTGTTAGAAGGTCGCAATTCCTGCTTTTTTAGGAGCTAATAATTTATCTACTGGTGGCTGTGAGAGTAGAAATAATTAGATGGTGGCAGCTGCACTCAGTGGCATACCACGTGTTGCTGGCACCCGGAGCAGGCAAGCTGCTGACACAACCAGAGCGTCCCCCCAGAGCCAAACAGAGCTGCGCTACACCACTTGCTTGCCCACCAACTGGTGTGGCCCTTGGCAGGTGAATCCCCACCAATGCCAGCGGAGATGAGATCATGCTGTGGTTGCCCCTTGCTGACCTCCCTTCCTCTGCACCTGCTGACTGTGGGTCTGAGCCGCTTTGCCACCTTCACCAGGGTGGGGATCCCCGTGGAAGCCAGTGCCTGTGGGGGGGCACCTGGTTGTGCCCCCTCAGAATTTTGTGCCTGTGGCCACAGCCTCCCTGCTCCCCCACGCTATGCCACTGGCTGCACTGTCAACCAGCTGGTGGTTTCTGAGGGAATAGCGAACGGCACTGGCTGAGAAGCTTATGTATTCTCTATGTGCAGCCAGAGGACCTGGAAATGTGAACAACTTTCATAAAACCTCATATAAACTTACTGAATACAGTAAATTGAATGAGTCAGAAACAGAGCATGCACCACTACAGATGCCTTGAAAAGTCTTTGATGATTTAATTAGATGAGAAGGAAAGGCAGTAGGGGTCCTTGAGCGTTTAAATGTTTGGTAATCCACAGCCCTATCGTAACTTAATACTTTCAGACAAAAACAAATGTTCTTCTTGCATTCTACCACAACAAACTCTGCTTGGGTTAAAGTAGATATATTCCTGAGAGCTACCCTTTTAGTTGTTGACATGTCATGCTCTTTTTGGATTGCTGATTTTGTCCAACTGCAGTTCCAATTACACTTGTTGTGTTTGATGATCTGTAGAATTTCAATGCTGAAGTGTATATGATATTATTTGAGAAACATATTGCATACCTGTCAACTGCCCCCCCAAAAAACAGGACATCCTGTCCCATCCCCCCAGAGTACAGTGGCCATTTTGGGTGTGACGCTCTTTCTCAATTTCAGGCTGACATCTTGCTCCCCAAAAAGTGTTTTTTCACATCTGCCCCAAATAAGGGTTTTTCGGGTCAGCAATCTTGTGCAGCGCCCCCCAATGCACATTTTGGTGTGTCATGCCCCCCAAAGTGCATTTTCCATTGTCCACAATCTCACATGAGTTACATGACTCACACAGGATTTCGGACCTGGAAGATGGTGTTCTGGATTTGGGCTGCTTCATGTTGAAGGGTACGATATTGTCAGTCTCCTCCCCTCTCCCTGATTCCAGTGTCTCTCTCCCCCACCCTCCCCGGAGAAATCCCACATCCTTTCCTGCTTCCACTCCCCTGGGTCTTGTAGCATCAAAATTTCTAGAATTTTCCAACATTACTTTGCTCACTAGGGGCAGAAATTGTTGCTTCCCAAAAACGTGCATTAAAAAGGTTTCACAGACATCATCAAGCAGCCTTTGCCTTCCCCGTGTTGCAACAACTTCAGCTGGGAAAGCCCTTTACGGCTGCAAAGGTTAGAAACTGCAGATCAAGTGCTCTCAATTTCCTGTACATGTGCACCCCAGTAACTGAAGAATGTAAGTTACACCACCTGCACACAGTTGCTGGACAGAAAACCAGAAGGGGCGCGTCATGCAAACAGGATTGAAATACAGCTGCGGAGCACAAATTATGCGCTCCAAACAGAGTTGAAAAAGCAGGACATATATCTGAGTGTCAAGTTCCTTGCAGAAACCTCCAGGGGATTCCCCCATCTATACATCCAGGGAGAGAAAGTCGCTAAGCTGTCTCATTTGACAGAGCATAGATTTAAGGAGCAGCTGGCTTGGCCAAGCAATGCAGCCGCAACTCTGTCAACTGGGGTGGAGGGGGAGGAGAGGGAAGGCAGCGAGAAGCAGATGTGAGCTGAAGACATCTGTGCGGCCTCTTATCTTGGGAAAGACGTTACACAGAGGCCTGCACCTGGTGCCCTCTGGGTTATGACACTCCATGTGCCACTGCCTGTTGCCCTGAGAGCACCCAAAAACCCGCCTGCTCCCTTCCTCCCCACCAGTTGGTCAAGACGGATGCTTGCCTAGGCCAGCAGCCTATAAGGGCAGCAGAGCAGCTGGAGATAATTAGCAAAATATGGGCTGGGCCGAGGGTCCTTTTAGCCACGTTTGCTGTGCCGAATTGAACATGCGTGGAGGAGTGAATGAATGAGCAAAGAGGAGCTGGAAAGGGCACAGTCATAAAGAGTGGTCTCTGCACCTTTCACACTGGAACAGACAAGTACAGAAGTACATTTCCACCACAGTGATTCCTCTTTTGACCTCTGTTGTTTCCCCCCTCCCCCTTTAAATTAGGTTGCCATCTCTTTTCCTGCTGCAGTCTCTGGGGCTTTGACAACTACATGCAAGACAGAAGTTCAACAAGTGCAATTGGTCTCCCACACTTCACCTCCATGATGATTATAAATCAGAAAATAAAAAAGTCAAAAGCAACCAGGTTTTTTGCCAGAAGCAGGAGGCGACTAGAAGAAAGCAACATCCAACCAAGAAACATGACTGTCAACAGATCATTTTAAGGTTGTTGAGAACATCGTGCTGAGCTGCTGTCAGAATTGCACTTCTGTGATGTCACAACAGCCCCAGTCAATGGAGGTCTCTAAAACTGCTCCCACATTTATCTTAGGAATTTATCCTTTGATTCCTAGTTACTGAGGCTTTAGGTGGGTGAGTGGCGAGAAAATCTGCAAAGTACTTTTTGTTGTTGCTTCAGCTCTTTCGTTTTCATTTGACTTCTCATTCATTCCTTCCACCACACTGCAACCTAAAACAGCCCGTCTAGGGTGTGTGGAAGGGTTAAGAATATATCAGCTCTTCAAACATGTGCCTCCAAGGGAAACTCTTTGATTCCCCTGATAGAAAAGTCAACAGACTTATTTGTCCAGAGAAACTGGATGAAGTATCTCCATCCCAATGAATCCCATCTCCTCTCAGCTGGCTCCCCGCTGTCTCAGACCTTTCTTGCCCCACCACAAAGCCCCCCCCCCCCCCATTTTGACTAAGATAATTTGGCACTTCTCAAAACAGAAGCTTGCTATCGAAGGATAAAGCACCTTCCTTTGCACAATAAGCCCTTTTCGGCCAGATGCTGTTTCCGTGCATGTTTTGTGCCTGCAAACCCGACCTCAAGCCAAGGACAAAGCAGGGGGCCAGGGCACTTAATTGCTGAAGTACTGAAAAGGTAAAAAAGCACATCTAGAGAAACAGCGACTCCCCCCTGGGTGGGGCAGACATTCCACACACAGAGGCAAAGCCAGCCTCCTCCATGCTCAGCCAAGGCACAAGAGCAGCTGCCCCCCCCAAACCACACACCCCCTTGCCCCCACCTGGAGCCATCATTTACCCACTGTCTGTGACAGGACAATTATCTGCTGCCAAGACAAGGACAGACGTCAAGAAGGGAGAGAATGACGCCCGTAGGTCAGGAATAAGCAGCAGGAGACAGATGGGCTCCGGAGAAGGGAATCGCCTGCCTTCATCCCTGGCCACAAAATTGAAGAGAAAATAAACCTTACAGGGACAGTCAGGGCAGGGATGACGCTGAAAGGAACGCGTCCCAGGAGCGGCTCTGATGGGAAGCCTCGTAAAACATCTACTTTGTCTTATGCCTTTGTCAAAGTTATTCTGTTCGGTGTTAACTTCCAGTAGCTATGGGCAATGCAATGTTCAAGAGGCCTTGGTCCAATGTTGAACACTCACAACCCCACAACATCAGACTCCATGTAGCTTCAGACTCCTCAGTGCCCCGAATGTCACCTTACTCTTCTGTTGGCAAATTGAACTGATATATTGTGAACTGTTGAGAAACACAGTAAATTTAGACCCTGGACTTAATGGAAGGGGCTCCTTTTTCGATGGCCCTGAGTTGTTGGTTAGAGCCTGGTGCTGAGAACACCAAGGTTGGAGGTTTGGTCCTTGTATGGGACAGCTGCATATTCCTGCACTGCAGGGAGTTAGACTACATGATCCCCAGGGCGCCACCGTTCTATGATTCAATGCTTACTCTTCAGTTGTGAAGCACACACAATTCACATTTCTCTTCTTTCCACCCCTTGAATGCCATTCCATGCTTTGCAACTGCTTCTACAATTCCTGCTCTGCCTGAGCAAAAAGCCAAACAAGAAAACAGTTGACTTGGAAAAATACAAAACTGCCTTACTTCAAGTCGGATCATTGGCCCAGCTAGCTCAATACTGTGGACACTGACAGAGTACATTCGCCTGGAAATGTCAAGGACTGAATCTGGGATCCTTACAAGAAAAGCAGATGTTCTACCGCAGAGCTACAGCCCATTCCTCTATTCTATTGGGAATAAGGACAATTCCATTGTATAAAAGAATAATATATACTTTGCAATAAAATAATAAACAGAGCATCCTGTTACTAGAGCAGAGTATAAATTTAACAGATAAAGAAAACTATTCATGAAATACGTTAGTGTGCACATACAAGGTAGCTTTCTTTCTCTTACACAGACTCCTATGACAAATGTAGCTACCAATCCTAACTACATCCAGACACCGACTGCCTATAAACTGATTAGAACAAATCATAAAAGATCTCTGTCAAAAAGAAAAAAAATCCCTGAACCTATGGAATTAATTGCCACAAGATGTTGCGATATGTGCATGACTGGCGTAACAAAAAATTCAATATGCAGAGGTATATGTCAATGGCTATAACCACCACATTCAGAGCCAATATTACACAATTTTATCCACATATGTGGATATAATTGCCCTGGGTATAAATGTAATGTGATCTTTCCAAAGGCAATTTTATCATTCGCTGTCAGAACAGAAAATGCCAAGCTATACTGATTGCTAGCTTCATCTCCCATGGCAATGTCCCTATCAAACCCAGCAACCCACAAGCAAAGAGGAGCTCCCAGGTAATCCCACAACCTAGAACGGTTGGTCAGAGAACCAATTATGACACCTTGAACACCTTGGAGGAAAAGTAGGCTACAGATGTAATAAAACAAGGCTCAGGTGTTACTGGGACAACAACCACTGAGGGGCGAAGATTGTGCGGAACCCTTGAAACAAAGTGCTCTTAGTGCTAAGTACCGGTACATCGAAAGATGTATGCCATGAAGTCAAGAGACATGTGATTGCAAACACACGTGCTAACAGGCAGATACACTCATTAGGGGCCTTTGAATGGCTGTAGCTCCTTTTCTGAGTGCACACTCCTTGGCAATCCTGCATTTGTGTTTGCTCTGAGTAATGTGTGAAATGACCTGTGCAACTCAGCTGCAACTGCAAAAGGGGGGTGGGGGGAGAAGTTTCCACCTCCATAATGTTCTGTCTCCACGGTTGGGAATCAGAAGTGGGGAGACAGCACTGTTGCACTCAAGTCATGCTTTGGGGCTTCCCATAAGTATCTGGCTGACCAGAGTGAGACAAGGATGCTGGACAAGATGGACCAGTGTCCTGATTCAGCTGGCTCTGATGTTCCAGAAAAACATTATGAACGCAGCGCTGGATGCAGTTATTATTTCCTGGGCATAATCCTGCTGATGCCATCCTTGGTGCAACAAGAGGATGCTTGCAACAGAATGGCAAAAACAGTAACCACCCCAACCTCCAATGCGTCACCTAACTGGTATCAATGATTTCAGAATGTAGCCAAGGCCATCAGCAAGAATGACATCTGCCTATGGAGATGAAGGCTGCACCCAAAGCCATAAAGTTAGTACTATTTATTTACACAGTTAGAGGAGATAGAAACTTATTGTCTAGAGCAAGGGGCCATCTGTGTAAGAGCCGGACTTTAACCCAAGTGCTCCCTGCTGAATTTTGGGAATTCACACTGAAGCTCACGTTTGTATTTAAGAGACAATGCTTTGCCACATTGCTCTCAAGAAATGCTGTACTTGCTGGTGTGCTTTCACTTTTAAAACTGACCAGATTCTGAAGCAGCCTTTTGGGTTTAAGCAAATGCTTAAAGTTAGAAGTACAGTGGCCTTGTGAGTCTCAAACACCACATAAGATCACAACCTGGTGCTCCATGTTCCAGCTCCATGCTTGCTTGGTTATGTACTCGCAGTGACTGCTGATTTGAAAACCTTCCACTTTTACTAGAAAGGATGCATACACAGGAAGGGTGAGAAAATCCATCACCTTATCCAGCTTTCGGAGATTGTGGCGGGGAAAAATGCTAACGGAACACTAAACTGTGTAGTGTTGACTATGTGCACAATGTACAAAATTGGTTGTGCAAATGTAATTTGGATCAATAAAAGGAGGGGGGGCATCACTTCTATCATTTTGGTGACTACCTGCCTTCAGATCACAGAAGTAAGCACTGACCTGGGTTTAAAGACCCTGGACCTCGCAGAGTTTATTGGCTGTCAAGAGACGAAGGGGAGTCAAGCTGGAGTAACAATGTCATCTAAGTAAGGCCCTCCTACTCTCCAAGCGGCAATGCATTGCTTCCACTCACCTCTACCAACTTATAGTTCCTTTCCTTCGGACTGTGGTTGCGCTGTTTCCTCAAGGGCAGCCCTTTCGCCGCATCGAGGCAAGTCGTCAGAAACACGAAGCTAAGGATAAGGATAATTTTCCCTCCGATCTTAGACATCTCTTCCTCCCAGCTCCACCGCGCCTCCTCGCCAAGCACACACACTACTCACAAGGCGGGCAGCGCGCACCAATAATCCAGCCTCGCCGGTCTCGCAAGAAACCAACCAACCAACCAACCCAGACCCTGAAGGAGGAGAACGGAGAAGGAAAAGACAGATGAGAAAAAACCAAAAAACAACAAACAAAAACCCAAGCGAGAGCAATCCTTTTTTCAGCCTTCTGCTTCGAGACTGCGTCTCTGGAAAGGTCCAGAGAAGCAGAGTAGCTCCAGAGTGGGCGCGAGAGAAAAGATTAGGAGAGGGAAGGACTCTCTCTCTCTCTCTCTCTCCTACACGCGCACGCACGGCGCCCCCCCTCCGCGGCTCGCGTTTCCACTGTCCCTCTGATCTCTCTTGCAGTTTGCTGAGCACGTTTTAATTTACTCGCCCTTGCTGGTGGTGGCCGGGCCAATGATGCTGGAGAGTAACTGGGGAGAAAGCGAGGAGGAGGATCCGAGATGTGCAAGAGAGGAGAGCCGACGGGGAGTGTGTGTGTGTGTGGGGGGGAATTCCCTTCTTTCACTCGCGGTCCCCCCTTTCGATAATCCTTTGCGCAATCCGGCGTCTCCTCCTTCCGCGCCCGGTCCCCGGAGTCCCTTGAAACAACTCCGGAGCGCGCGGCGCGCTGATCCCGCCGAGCCGCTCCCCTCCTTCCTCCAGGGGCCACAAAGCGCTGCCTTTGGCGCCGCGGGGAAGGGTCGTCCTCCCTTTCGCAGAGCTCCCGCTTCCAGTCTCCGCCGCCGGCTCCATGCACCCGGGATCCTCTCGGCGACGTTGGCGCTGTCGTCGCCGCCACCTCAGCCCCGAACGGGAGGAGCCCGAGTCTCGCCGCTTTCCCTTCCCGCCGCTCGGCGCCGCTTCTCCTCAGCCAGCCGCTCCTCGGCCCGCAGCAGCCGCCGCCGCATGTCCCAGGTTACCTCGGCTGCGGCTGGCGTCGCGGCAAAGGGCTCCGCTCGGGCCGCGGACGAGGCGCCTCTCGTGGAGCTGGCATTTTGCGGGGCGCGCTCGCTTGCTCCGGCTCTCCGCCCCCCGCCCGGCTCCGCAGGCGAAGGACTCTTTGTTCTGAAGGCGCTCGGCTCTTTCCTCTCTCTCGACGGCTCTTCGCAAAGTTTCCCCGGGGGCCGAGGCGTCCCTTCGACGCCCGAAGTTGCGACTCCTCCGGCACGAGGCGCTTTGCCCCCGGCCCGGCCCAGAGCTCTGCGCGGCAACCCAGGTCCCCTTTGCTCCGCTGCCGCCGCCGCCACCCGTCCTTCTTTCCCTGCGCAGACTCGTGCCAAGTGCCGGCCGCCCCTCGGCTCAGCTCCCTTTCATCTTGCCCGCCGCCCCTTTCTTCGCCAACGGCCTCTTCCTCCTCCTCCTCCTCCTCCCGCCGAGATCAGACGGGCTCCGGGGCGCGGATCTGCCCCCTCTCGGATTTGGCAGCGCGCTCGCAGTCTCCTCCTCCCGAGCCGGGCTTGCCTCTGCAGCTCTTTGCCCTTCCTACCGGGGAGGAATCTTCCGCACTCGCCCCGCGGCTTTCCTCCGACGCGCCTGCAGGATTCCTCCCCACAGGCCGAATGAATGAATGAGCGGCCCGAGGGAAAGGAATTGAAGCGCGGACTGCCAGCGCGCGCGGGCGCAGAAAGCGGCATGTTCTTCGTATCTGTATTGCAGGGAGATAGGGAAAGACATGAAGAGGGATCCATGAAACGAGTTCGAAGGAAACATGTCGCATGCTGTTTAGGAGCAACACCATAAATGAGCCCGGGGTGGCTGTTTCTGGGGGGAGGGGGGAACCCTGCTGTCTCTTAAGGCGGGTGCTTGGACGGGCCCGTTGTTTGTTTGTTTTTCCCTGGGGCTGATGGGAATTGTAGTCCAGACCAGCTGGAGGGCACCTGGTTAAGGGAAGGCTGTCCCTCCCCCCCCCCCCCCAGTGGTAAAACAAGTTGCCTGTTAGGCTGCCTTGAAGCGACTCCTTTTGTAGACACGGGAAAAACCGAGCTATCCATGACCCAGCCGAAAGGTTTGGAAATCTTCACTGTCTTCATCGTATGTCTCACATACTTTGCACCTATTCCTCACTTGAGCAACCTTCCTGCTCTACTTCTCCTCTTCGCCTGTGGGTCATTATTTACCTTCTTGGTAGTATTGCCATGGTGCATCTGCCCCAGCGAAACTGAATGCCTTCACCTGCCCCAGCTGCAACCAAACGTCTCTTGCTTCTCTCCAGCCACAGCAGACGCTGTAACTCTCCAACAGTTTTGACTTCACCCCCAATGGCATATCTTCCATTGTCTCTAGAGAGAGAGACAGACAGACTCCAGCAACGGTGGTATTACCACACTAAAGGCCACCTATAAACAACAGGATTTGTAACAGGAACAAGTAGCCACACAGCAAGGTACTGGCTTCTTAAACTTTTATTCTAGTGAAGCTTCCTAATTATGACAGAATAAATAAAAGTTGAAGAGCATTGGTGCACTCACATCCGGCAGGTGGGCTTCTCATAGGCATCTGGTTAGCCAACAGATGCTGGACTAAGATGGGTTTTTGGCCTGATGCAACAGGGCTCTTCATATAAGCGTCCTGAACCGGACAAAACTAAAGCAAGATTAAGAAATAAAACAGGAAAGCAACATAACCATGGCAAAAGATTATTGTCCTAGGGACAAACCACACCGCAAGCCAAGGGGCACCCACTCCTGTTAAAACATATACACAAAATATAGCCAGGGGAGACCTATAAGAGCTTGGTTCAACCTAATCATTTTACTAGTGTTCTCTTCACGTTTTAAGAATCATGCACCCACAAGGCAAGGGTGTTCTTGCACAGGACTTGAAAAACCTGTTTAAACTACTTTTTAAGGGTAAAAAGGGAGCAGACAAACCTGTGCAGGAGGAATAGCCCATTTCTTTGTTTTTTGGGGTCAAAAGCCTACTTTGGCACATGCATGGAACCATGTCAATGCTCAGAAGGCTTCGCAGGTGCAAGGCATGGACGTGTAGGTGCAAAGCCATACAAAAACAGAAGCCACCAAGTGGTGGAGGGTGGTAATGCACCCTTACTGTAAGAAACCCAAGATGCATCACTGCGAAGAAGTCTGGTTTGCATGCTGGGGCGAACCTGTATCACATATGCTTAATTGTAAAGGTTATATTATGTTAATCAACAAAAGGGTACTGGGGAGACTTGTATCTTTCCCCCAGCCATTCCCAGTAAAAAGAAAACAAGAGCCAGTCCCACCCTGATCCCTCAGCTTTCACCTTATCCCAAGCAAACCTCTCCAAGTCAGTGGACGCTAGTCAATGGTCCACAGCAGAGGTTCTCAAGCTTATTTGGAAACCCAGCCAGATGGGCAGGGTATAAATAATAAATTATTATTACTGCCCCCTTTTCAGGGGAAAAACCTCAGTGTCCCCCCTGGAAATCTACCTTCTTTAAGCAAACAGAAAGTTGCAGTGACAAATCTGCCTTCTTTTATGTATCTATATTTCTGCCTATGTCTTACAAGAAATATATTGTAAAAACCCATGAGGCGGACCGGAGTGAAGCCTGCCAGCTCAGTCTGATCCACCCCAGGGCCACAGCATGCCTGCCACTGGCCAAATAAGCAGGCCAGCTGCAATCCACTTCCCAGGCCTGACTGAAGCCTGGGAAAACCTCTTGCATGGCAGCAGGATCCAGGGGAGGCGACGTCACCATCCTGAAAGTGTTGTTACACAACAGATCAAATATGTACGAATGGTTTTTCAAAATTTTATTCTCTTTATGCTTCCACTGCCCTTATTTTTATTCAATGCTCCACAATTGCAACCAAGGCTATTACTGCCCCCCCCCCCGGATTGTTCCAGCACCCCCCAGGGGGTGGTACTGCCCATTTTGGGAAACACTGGCCCAGAGTATTGTCAAGCATATACAGTACTCCTAATAACTTCAAGAGCAACACACTCCTCTCACAACGGCCACGTAATGTTCACTCCACACTTGCAAGCAATTCATCCTTCATTGTGACAGCATGTAGATTTGGAAACTCCCTGTCCACTGATATTAGACAGGCCTACCTTCACCGTATTGTTTTTGATGCCTGCTAAAAATTGTTTTCGTGCTGACCTGTTTTTAATGTTGGCTTTCATTGTTGCTTTTTAAAGATTCAAAGTTGTTCTATTATGCAAACCATTTAGAGGTTGCTGTCAACTAAGCTGTATTTAAATAAACTTCGTTAAATAAAATGCTCACACAGAATATTGGTGAATTCTTTATTAAGCAGAACATAGCTAAACAGTTTCTCTCCGCTTAACATGCATTGTTACTTAAAAGCCAATGTAGGATCTGCTTCTCTTCTTCCTCCCTACCCACATGGTACCCAACTTCGTGTTAATTGTTCAAGGTGTAAAAAAAGTCATGTCTGGAAGGGAAGTATTTTGGGGGGAGGTAATTAAAAATGTCATTTAAAATTTAATATCTACAAAAAAATCTAGGCTATATGTACATTATTACCAACAGAGAGGCATAGGAGCACAGTGCAATTTAAGACTTAGAACTTGTGGCTTCGAGGGCAAGCCTAGGGCTATAAAAATATGGGCCACCATTAGCTTAGAGACCAATAAATTAGCCTTGAGCTTCAGGCTCCATATGGTAGGTCCTGCCTCCACTTTCCTCCTAAATCTGACCACCTCTATAGTTGCACATAAATGCAGGAGATACTTTTAGGGCAGGGGTTGCTGAAATACTGGCCAAGGTCGGCACATTTGGCAAATGGACAACACAGGGAAGGTTTGCATATTTCAGTGCACTTTTGTTTGTGGAAAGTGTTTTGGTAGTCATGTCACTTCTTGGCACATCCCAGCTGCTCCAGAAACACACTTGCCAGCTGCCATAGATAAATAAGTTAAGTTTTCCATTAGATCATTAGCTTTACAGCAGCCCTGTAAAAAAAGATCCATTTGATCAAGTCAAGCGCAACACAGAGGGGCAAGAGCAGCTCTTAAACCCGGCATGGGCCCTTTCAACCTTTTTCACAAACAAACAGAGCTCAAAGCAGCAAATCTAAAAATCACACCATCAAATGGAGAGTAAGACCACAAGAATGCTTCATATTATAAACCTCCCAGGATGTATGTTAACAAGCAAATTTCCCACATTCGTTCTGATATGATGAAGCCAGCCCAATGTAAATCACATTAAGATTTAAATGATGGAACATTCGTTTCACCCTCAATGAGGTGACCGTCGGTATTTACTGCTTTAGGGAGAAAGTATAAGCCCCTTGATGAAATATACCAACTATCACCATGAAGGTGCATTATTTTAATCTTTTCTGTGGAAAATGTCAAGTAGATAAATGTGTGCAAGGTAAAACGTTGTGTGTGAACCTACAACTCTGGGAAACTGGGATAAGAATTAGCTGTCATCCTGCACCACTTTTAGCTTGATAGACTGACCTATCTACATGTGAACAGACCCTGTATCATCTTAAATTACTAAATGGAAGAGAATATCTGAAAACAATTTCTGTTCTTTGGACAAGTTTCAGTTGTGCCAAGCACCAAAACATTTTAAAGTTGGGTTTTTTAAAATTAAAAAAAGAATAGCATTAAGCCTAATTAATATTTCTCCCATTGCCCCCCAATGCAAACACAGGAAGTGTGCATCGCTACTGCAGACACTGCAGAGATTTACACTTTCCTTTTCAGACATTAAAGTACAAAATGCACAACACAACAAATCTCAAGCGTTTAAGTGCATCTTTCAGCATAAGCATCCTTTAAAATATCCATCAGCAGGAACCTGAGCATTTCCCAATTATGTGCATTTGGAAAAGACAAGCACTGGAAAGACAATGTCTGTTTTTTCTGCAACACACTGTGTCACATTGACTCTAGAACTTAGACCAGAGTACAAAGAATGTGGGGAGTGGGTGGTGGAACAACCTCTCAGGAAGTACATAAGCTACATGACTCAAACCCTCATTTTCAGCAAAAATAAAAAATAAAAACAATTAGTTTTTGGATGGTCCCATATATTTCAAACTCTGGTCCCAAGGCAACGAGACTCACAGCAGTAGGTAGCCTTCAAAGGCTCACCCCTGTTTTAAAAGTGAGGGCAGGGGTGGATAATCACCACGGAGGGGCAGCTGAGGAAAACCACAAGTTGCCAGGCGGATACACAGCCCTGTATGTTGCAATGTGGGATTTGGGGCACGAAGGAAAACAACTGCTAAATACACCAACTATATATCTCTGCAGGCCTACGTGGATTTGACCCCTGCAATGTTTGTTCCTTTCCCCTTGCTCTCTATGCTTGCCCTTGGGGGGAGAAACACCTTCCCTCCAACAAATTAAGGTTCAGAGACCAAAATACCCCGCCCCCACACCACCAAAAGTGATCTATCTTGGGTATTCCTGGTCTTTCCGTTTGTACGTGAAATTCAACATGCAAGAGCATGTCAGCTGCTACTGATAATGTGGGTTTCAGAGAAGCATCAGGTTCAAGCTTGCTTGCTCCAACACAAGCAATCTGTTATTTGGTATAGTGAGGGCTGCGATGTTTCACTGTCCCCTTCTGGATAAGCTGGCTAGATTATGAAGCCAAGCAAGTCTGGAGTGCAATCTTGATATTTTGTAATATTCTCTTTGGCAAGAAATCAGTTCTTTCAGAAGAAGACCACCCAACGTCCTGCAATAAATACCATTTTACCTGCTTTTCCCAAAGATTGATCATACAGGCAACAAACAGCCCTTTCAAAACCTAGGGAAGTTGTCGTTCAGGCCCATCAGCCATATCATACCACATTGTAGGTTGAGTGTGGGAACCGTAAGTATCCCCAAACCGATGCTATAATCTTTCCTGGAATGAGAAGACTTGGAAAATATTGGTGTGTGGTGGGAGACAGCATTAGAATACAAGAGACATGCTGACACTGTGTCAAATAAATCTTATGTTAAGTATCGGGTACTGGATATTCTGATATATTGGCCCCACCTAATACTGGCATCCAACTCTACCAAAGTATACAAAGCAAAAGAAAAACAGCAGATGAGGCATTTGTCTCCTGCATTTTCCTTCTTCCCTACTCATCACCCAAAGCACACACAAAAACCTTTCCTGGGGAGTATCATATTGTCCTCCTATACAGTTTAAGTATTCAGTTCAGCTTTCAGACATACCACCTGACCTCATTCAGCCAGCTAAGTCGTCCAGTTCCCCTTGAAGATGTTACTGAAGTCCTTCTGCTAATGCAATTGTGGAAAATGTTAACAAAAACATGCTTTAAAATGGCCTGCATTTATTTCATACATCCACTGTCCCCTCAAAGTAGCTTTGTATCATCCTAAGACTGTGTGTGTGCACACACATGCACATGGTAGCATTCGTATTTATGAAGACAGAATAGTTGATAATTTTTTTTAATGAAAGCTTTTCAGCTGTTGAACTAGCAGTCTTGCCAAACTGCATCCCCTGATGTTGGGATGAAGTCAGTTGAGTGCAAGGGCAGGCAGTTCCTTAGCTGAATCCCAAGGAATGGATTTTTAAACTATTGAATCCTTATATTTGGTCCTGTCTAGGGAAGGGAAATCCAGGTCATTGTTGGAACTCCCAACTCTCATCTATCAGCATGGTCAATGGCCAGAGATAATGGATGCGGTGGCCATATAACATCTAGAGGGCCACAGGTCCCACAGCAGTCCTGGTGTAAACTAGGTTAGGGCAGCACCACTTTTATGAATGTTGGAACAAACACCAACATATCTTACCACTGCACTTGACATGTTTGCTGCAGAAGGCACTGCCTGCAACACCAATGCTTCCTGAAACAGCTATGCATGGTGCCGCCCTTAAGCAGTTTGATACAGAAACATAGGGTTGTCATTCCCAGTACTCTCAGTAATCCTGGGCAGAAGGTCTTAGGAATTATTAGGATATATAATATTATTATATCGTGATCTGGCATTGGCACAGATGGAGGATGGTGGCAGGTCCCCAAAAGAAGCATAGTTGAGATCTTGTTGAAATGAAGACCACTATTTCCAGCAAAGCCAGTTTATAGTGAACACATTTCAAGTTATTTGTGGGATACCAAGAATTTAGGTGAAATAGAAACTTTTAGATGCTATTTTGACTCTTTCCCACTTCCTGTGCATTTGGCTCTTGGTGCTAAGGCCACACGGCTCAGTATATACAGGATAAAATTATTATTTTTTTACTGTTAAGTTTCAAAATATCTAACATGTTCAACACATGATCAAAAACTCCATGCCAGCATATGACTTGGAAACACAATTGCAAAATCTTAGTTCTGCCTTTGTTTCAGGCCTTGGCAAGTGGCACTGCACAATATTAGCAACTACAATCTGTTCTTTGGTCAAGTATTATTATTCCTTAATTCTGAATCAGACTTTGGAAATCCTTGCCCTGACCTAGCTGAAGTATTTGCCTTATTGAGAGGCTAAGCAGAGGCTCTTTAAGCAAGCTGGCAGATTTTCAGCAGCTCAGAATTTTCTACTGTTACGCATAATCCTTTGCAATAATTTACTGGAAATGTACAAGTGGGGAGGTTTCCTCCGTGCAAAAAGTTAAAAAAATTACGTGGTTAAAGAGTATGAAGTTGAACCATGGATACTCTGACTTCATAATGCATAGGTGTGAAAACAGCACACTGCACTTCTGCCAATGAACAGCCTATATATGATTTCTAGTAAATTAAGTAATAGCCATTGTAACTGAATTCACTGGAAGACATAGTCAACGGCAACTATTTTCTTAGTTTAGTATGCTTCTGAGAATCAAATTCTCCAACACGATTTTTTAAAAAAGTGAACAAGGCATTTTTTTTTTGCTTCCAAGGCTATTCTTAAATATTTTGAGGCAAATATCCAAAGATCAAAGTATTTTCATATTGTGCTAATAAAATGGCTGCTTCCACTCGCACAAAGAAACTCACCAGACTAATAGTCTCATTCCCACCCCTCACCTTTGTGTATTTGGGAATTGCTCTTGATACACAGATTGCTACAAAAGCAACTTCAAAAAAATACATACATGTTGTAATGGGATTTTGCCTTGTGCTGCCTACCTTCTGTGGCCACAGCAAACACCTAATTGGTATCAATATAGCAAGAGCAATTCAAGTATCACAAAAGGCCCTCTGAGGAGGCAGACCATCAGCATTTAGGTTTCGAAGAGCTGCATCATTAGCTCTGCCAAAAAGTAGAGCAGGAATATGTGAAAGGAGGAAAAGGAAGGTGGTTTGGAATGCTACTCCCTCCCAGTCTGGTTCTTCATCTGACCACACACACACACACACACACACACACACACAATTAATCCAACAAGCAACACTAGAACTCATCCTGGAAACTGGAATTGTGGGGACCCCTTGGAGCTGAAGGAATTCTATACAGGGAAAGGGAAATGTCCACAAAGTTCTATCCTGCTCTGAAATGTTATTTGCTACTTACTCTAATGAAGGAACACTTGGAACCCAGTCTGAAATATCAAGATGGATAAAGGCCCTGGGAGGATTCCTGCTTTGTCCCTTAAAGAACTGACTAACAGTCCTTAAGAGGCAAGTCAACCACCATTGTAATAATAAAGACAAAATAAAAAAAGCACTATGTAAAGGGACAAGGAAAAGACTTTGGTTGATTATTTCATGTTAAATATATTCAAATTAGCTAGCTGTCAATGATTTCATCAGAAGCCTTAGCTGAATAAACTGGCTGGTCTTGCACTCTCAAGGAGGTTAGACTGTGGTCATGAAAAAGGAAACGTCGTGACAGAAGCATTGCAGCATCCTTGGCAATGCCCACCTTGCAGCGCGATGGGGAATGCACTCACTGCCAACAGTGGCCGCCGTGATCTCATTGTGACAAACAAATAGGGAATCAGCATTTTAAAAATGTAAGCCAAACTCCTCCCTAGGGCAAGACCTTAAAGCAATAGGAAGAAAAGCCAGGTTTTGTTTTGCTTTTCACAACACACCAGTTCTAGCTGTTGTTGCCACTTCAGTTTTGTGAGTAAGAAGTCATTCTGTTTATGCTAAGCAGTCCGTCAGTGTTTGGTTCAAGAACCTTGGTCTTTGAGCCACACAGAGTTCTGAGGAGTGTGCCTTGTCTATCAAAAGACAGGGAGAGAACTCAGTCTTCAGTCTCTTCATATGTTGTCTCGTCAAAAGGACGGTCAAGGAGAGGTACCAGTCGATGCCGGGAGTATTTCAACTGCAAGAGGTCTCCAACTTCATTTACTTCCTTTAAAGCCTGGAAAAAGAGAAACATCAGGTGCTTTTTTTGTTTTTTAAGGATTGCTGTATGAAGAAAAAGGTGGGGAAACACAATGGCTAGGATCTAAAGAGATGTTTGCGCTCATGCAAGGGGATTGTATTAGCACAATTGATTTCATTTACCTTTCTGCTTTAATCCAAGGCTACTGAATCTGTAGCCCCCCCACCCCCATCAGATCCTAGATTTAAATTCCTATCAGCTCCAGCTAGCATGGCTAAGAGTCAGGGACCATAAGAGTGCAGTATTCCAGAAACATATGGAGGGCCACAGGTGCCCCATGCTTGCTTTCGACAGCCAATCTCATGCTCTAAACTGCTTTTGAAACTCGCTTAGTTTCAAAAGGAGATCTGCATGCAGCCCAGGGGAGCGTTTCAGGCTGAGAAAACTCAAAACTGGGCTGCTGGCCTAAGTTTTCTTCTTGTTTTTTTTTTTATTATTATTTATCTCCAATATTCTGTTTCCTCTCCCTGGAGATGGGGAGCCTTCTAGGGCAGGCTTTTTTCTTTCTGTATGGCAATAAGCACATAGCTGATGGAATAATGAAGTACTAATTCTACCATTATTGAACATAACTGCAGTTCAATCCCAAGCTGTGCCTCATTTCTTTATTAAATTATATCCTGCCCGGGTGTGGAGGCTGCCTCTGGCAGCGGCAGCAGCCATGGTGGTGGTGGGAGACAAATAAACACTGGGGGGGGGGGGAGAGATTAAAAATAAATAAATAAATAAATAATATCCTGCCCTTCGAAGCCCAGGGCAGCGAAAACAAGTGATAAAACAATAAAAGCATCTTTCAAAATAATAATAAATGAAGTGGAACCTATACACAAAACATAATGGCAAAGGCCAATGAAGTCATTGCATTCGTAGAACAACTTGCACTCACATAGCAGAACTTCCCTGCTCTCTCCTCACTCTGCACCTTCTCAAAGTCTACTCTGGCAGGTCATCTAACCCTCCTGAACAGATCTGGAGAGGCACCAGAGAGCACAAGTTCCCTCATTCCTATTGATATGAAGAAAGCTAACCAGGACTAGAACTTAGGTTTGCTGGTTTGCAAAAGCTTCTAAAGCTCTAGTAAGGAAAAACCAGTAGGCACACAAAATTTCCTCCCTAGGTCAGCATACATACGTTTATCTAAAGCACAAATCCTCACCCCTTCTTTTTCCGCAACTCTCTTTTATGAAGTCCATTCTTCTCCAGGGACATCGTGTGGCAAGTGTGAGGAAATAACAACTCTCCTGCCCTACCCACAATTCGGTAGCTCTTATCCCCACACAACCTATGTGGCCCCAATAACTGACAACAGAAAGTGAATAAATGAGTGCCATATGCCAAGAAACCTCAAGGTGGTGACACAGTTTCAGAAAGCGCCCCCCCTGCCCCAAACAGAGGCCACATAAGCTCAGAATTCAAGAGGGGGGGGGGGAAGGGTAGAAATTGCCAAACACTGTCTAATTGTGAGCATATTTTAAGCACAGCTTTAGCAAAAGGCAACATGTGGAAATAATTTGAGGTTGAATTTCTGTTGAAAGAGTCCGTTAACTGTTATTCTTGAACTCAGATTTAGGATTTTATTAATTTAAAACAAAGAGAAGCATGTGACTTGCAAAGACTACAAAGGAAATGGCATGGCTGAACTCTGACTTCAGGAAAGTGTAATATATTTTTCATCGCTGAAAAGAAAGCACCAGCCCACAGGGATGCAAGTTACGAGGGGCTCTGCTCTGATCCAGGGCCAAAGTATTTTCAGGCAAGCAAGTTTTATTTACATTAGAGTTATACATTGTACCAGAGAACCATTGTCCATCATGTGGGTTGATTCAATAAGGAAGCATTACAAATATCAGGTTTTAAATTTTTTTAAAGAGACCTCCACACTCAACACAGAGTAGGTAGGGAGAGAAAAGGAAAAAAATGAGAAAATATGTGCTCTCTTCAGCCAGTAAGAGGAAGGTACATGGACCAGCTCTGTAAGGTCTCTTTTTCGCCTTAGTTAAGCTCAGGAAAGCTGCTCCCACTTCCTACCTGTCAGCACTTGTGATCATTTAGAAAAGACAGTTCAGATCAATGTTCCAGCCATGTTCAAAATGTGGAACATTACCTATTCTGTAGGAAGTAAGGCTCATGTTTCCATAAATCAAGCTACTTTGGTATTCTTACCAGGGATTTAAGTGATACAGCCTTCTTCTGTTCCAGTGTGGCACTATGCAGTGAGTGCTGTCCTAGTTTCAGGAATCCCATTTCCCACCTCAGCCCAACCTATTCAGCAGGGTCTCTTCACCCCATGTGGAATATTTGGAGTGGGGGGTGCTGCCAAGGTGACGAGGGGTGGGAAAATCAACTTATGTCAGTCCTGTTACATATGGTCCTCTGAATTCAATCCATTTGGAGGACAGGTAGGTTTCTGAACAGGACCATCACTTTTTAAATAAAAATACTATAACTTTTCAAACCTATGCAAACATACTAACGTATGAAACACAGGCATATTATGTACATATAGGGGTCTTCAGAACTTTTCTGCATGGGCTGTGTTTTTCAATGACCCCGGGTGTAACGTTGATGCATATTCCCTCCATGCATTTTTTGTTTGGCACTATATTGCTAAAGATCCTGCATAATTGTTTCAGAGATCCTGCATAATTGTTTCACTATTTTCATATACTTGTTTAGACATCAGAATGGCCTACAACAGGCATCCTTTGCCATAAAAGTAGTGGAGGTATGTACCCTCCAAAATCCACTTCTTGCATTAAGATTTTCTGTAACAAATTTAATAAATAATAATATAAAAACTCATTCATTTATTCTACAAAAGTAGTACACATTCAGCTCCACTTGCTTTCACGTTCTTCTCGTTGCTAATTCTTTTAATCCTGCAAATATGCAGCACCATTTTTTATTCCTGCACATTTTTATCCCATGTATACATACAAGGTTAGGTAAGGCACCATGCATTCAGATCAGTAACTGTAAAGTTAATCTAAATTCAAACTAACAGATGGTAATATTTTTAGAATAGTTTCTGAAGTAAAAGGGGGGGGATTCTCAGAAGTTACTAAAAATTGTAGCAGCCTTTTGGCAATACATTAACACAGTGATGCTGTGCATATAGTCTGGTGTGTAAACACAAAGCACAATAAATTTTAAACGTATCATTTAATTGTATTTAGCTCAACATGCTTATAAGCAAATTACGCAACCTCTTTCCAAATGCAGTGTCACAAAGTCAGAAATGTTGTCTAGAACATCTTCATACAGCTCTTCTCCTGTCAATCAACAGTTTAATAATTCCGTGGCTGATTCAGAACAGGGCCTCTAGCGTCACACCAAGGGACAGAATTTCCCCCCACTTAGACTTATAAACCAAAGCAGTCTAACTTAGGTTATGCAGTGCCCCATTGCAATCATAGGAGAATGCAGTAACTTTAAAAACACCAGAATTAGGAGAACACTGGTCCAACCTAAGCACATGTCTCGTGATGTGCTGCTCCTGACCAGAAGATCTCTTTCATACTCCACTGCTAAGACTAGTTAAAAGATGACAGAGCAGGGACAAACTTGAATACTTACAATATCAAGTATCTCTTTGGTAAGCACTGCAGACAGACAAAATCTGGCTCTGGATTCAATGATCGGAGTGGCAGGAAAACCCACGACCACAACGGCTATGTGCCTTTTCAACATCTCTCGTCCAAATGCACTGTGAAGGAAGCAAGACAAGATTAATGAAGCAGCAGCAGCAGCAGCAGCAGCAGCAGCAACAGCAGCAGCAATACAAGGCCTATGCTGCTCTGAGGCGGGGGGGGGGGGGGGGCTTTCGTGAAGAATGCCTGGGAGGCCACTGTTCTGACTGCTTGCCTTAGAAACACACAGCGCCTGCATACAAAGGTCTCTTTTGTTCAGTCCGGAGGTGGTCTTTCTAGAAAGGTTTCACTGTATTAAGTTCACACAAAGCTGAAAGATTCTGTTTGGCAGGGGCTGGTCTTTTAGCAGGCTACTTCTAAACGGATTTGTAACTTAAACTTGAAAGTATCTTTGATAGAACACAGAAACTCCAGCTTTGGAGCTCACTCACCAAGAATTCCACCACCACCCCTCCCTTGCCAATTGCTATCTGAGGAGGCAGCTTGCACTGTGCAAAAATATCCAGGAATGCTCTGTGATTCCATGCAGTGACAAAAAACAAGGCAAGTAGGATGTGGAACCGGGCAATAATCCAGCTTCCCAAGAGTCTGGGAGTCTAACCTCCTACAGAAGTAGCTTCATATATCCCTGCTCCCATAAGTCAAATGTCAATTCCCTAACCGTTTCTTCTGCTACTGCTGTAGCACCAACTATTTTGAAGGGAGCTGGGTATACATCCAATTGTTACTACTTCTGCTAGAGCTAAACGACCACTATCTCCCTATATAACCTACCCGATTTTTGCTGGCATATACAACATCAAAGGTACAACAGGTGAATCTTCATTTCCATAGATGATGAAGCCCATTTCCTTAAGCCGTCTTCGGAAATACCTGATGTTCTCAGCCAACTGTTGTATACGCTGCTTTCCTGAAAGGGAAAATCAAACAAATGAGGTTTTTGTAACTGATTCCAAAATCACATTTTGATGCCAACATGGGTGAAAATAGCTTGAGAAAGGTGGAAGCACATATTTTTAAAAAAGAATTATGAAATGCTATTATCTCCTGCCTTGGAAAAGGCTTCAATGTGGCCAAGATTATATTGACTGGAGAAACTATCCAGCCTCAAGCATTAGAAGTAGAAGACATGAGTGGGAAGAGTGGAGAAATCCCTCTAATTCTCCTTCAGCGGGGACTGAAGGGGTTCAAATACCAGCTTAGAATGTAGAATCACTATCAGCCTCAGTTTCCCATCTGCCAAGTGGTTAATGGATGATGCAAGGTCTCAACTTCCAGGATATGGAAGGTTACAAATCAATCCCCATTTGGTTTACATGATTCAGAAATTAAAATTTGAGATTTTTTATCATTAACAGCTCTTGACTATGAGACACCAAGAATATCTTTATCATAATACTAGATGGATTTCCATGCCTATGAAAAAAAGACTATGGCTTAAACATGGTTTTTGACATCTTTGGAGGACAAAGACAAAGACTTGTGTTTAACTTCACTTCATTATCCCCAGGACTTGCTGTCCTTTAGGTTCTTGACCCAGATAGAGATAGAAAGATAGATATCTGGACAACCCCTACAGCACCTTCACCACTGATCTGTCAAGACTAATCTTGCAGCTACTTATTCAAATTATAACCAAATTTGTTGTGATGTGAAATCACTACTATGCAACATTAGCCACATTTTCCCACAGAGAATTTCATTTGCACTTGTTGAATAAACTAACAGATAATTAATGCATGTTTCTTGGATAGGCTGGTATTTTAAATAATTTTTCAGCAGCAGAGGATTTTCCTATAGGAAACTGATGGTAAACCTTCATATCCAGTAAATAAGTGGCAGAGAATAAGTGGTGTGTCTGCCATCCTGTTAAGATGGTAGTCCAACCCTCTCTCTAATGGCAGCAAGGACCACCCATAGGGAGCACCAGGGTTCAACGGCAACAAATACATTTCCTCTGAACTCATCAAAGCCAAGCATAAGTTGAATTCTTATTCCACAAACAAGCAGGGGAAGCCTGCAGCATCAGTGTTTGTTTTATACCCCAGCTAGTCCTTTGATGAGAAGCTGATTTCACTGGAGGACATTAGGGTTTAAAAGCAAAGTAATCACCCACAGAGGATAACAAGATCTTCCTCCCTCTACACTTGCAACACAGCTTTTCAAACAGGCATCTGTTTTGTAACTATGCGACATCCCACCCTCCAATTTCTAAAGTTTGTGATTATACTACTAACGTTGCATTCTTTTCCAATGCCTATTTCTAACGTCATCTGTGAAAGGAAACGGATATTAAAAGTTTGTGCATCTGCTTATGTTTGTGCACTGCATAAAAATTCAACAGACCTTTTTAGGAGGACAAGATTAGTTTCTATGAAGTTTCAAGTGTCTGTTCCTTTACATAACACATTCAATTCACAAGAAACTTTATTGCTGGTAAAAAGTGAAGTTTTGATGCCAAGGTACAAACATAGGTTAGGTCACTAAAAGTAGATGAAAAACTTGTTTTTATATATCGTTTGCAGCCTGTTTAAGTACACAGCTCTGATTTTGAGCACCCAGCAGAAATACAAAGGTGACTGGAGGAGCTTGAAAACAAATGCTTGCTGTTTGGAGATGCTGAGGGAGTAGAGATTGCCACGCATGCACTTATAACAAGATTAACACACATGCACTTATAACAAGATTAACAAGCTCTGAATGAAGCACTTAAAATACTCTTCACTCTCCTTCCATGATGACAGATTGTCCACGACACCATTATGCAGAAGTGGCACTTAGCTCTGAAGCTGCTGCTTTCCTGCCCAAGGCATCCAAAGCTAAGCACTATCCCTATCAAAAATCTCATCAAGCATCTCCCAGGGTTGCTTCTAATTAGTTCACACATCGCTAGGGTTCAGGATGTACACATGCAAGGGTGTGGGAGTCTACCTTAAGCTCATGTATCACCTTCTCTCACAGTATGCAGTGCCTTTAAGGTGAACTGGACCTTACAGGGACAAAACACCTGTGCAAGGGGGTATGCAAGCAAAGAGGCAGACTTGGCTAAATAAGCTCCAGTTTACATTTTACAGTTTACATTAATGGTTCTATGTGGGTTGGGGAAAGTGTACTATTGCGAATGGCGGTGTGTCAGTAGCTAAGATATGATTTTTTTCACAATCGTAGCCACATTGTGTAGAGTAAATGCACTCTAAGCTGTGTTTGGTTGGATTTGGACCCAGTCTTTTACAACTTGCACTCAAACCATCCCTCATGGAGTGTCAGCTACAACTCTCCAGTAAACCACAAATTCTATAGTTTCACTGAGTGAGAAGTGGCCATCGCAAGTGTTGGCCATCAACTAGGGAGATTCGAAATGAGATTAAACAAATTTTATATATATATAGAGAGAGAGAGAGAGCGCTATATATATCAGAAACAATATGCCTACAAATGCCAGTTGCTTTGGATCGTAAGTGGGAGAGTGGTATTGAACACATGCCCTGTTGGTGGGATTCCCAGAGACATCTGCACTTTATGGTGAAAGGTAGGTAAGAAATCTTATTTAAAAGAATAAGAAGGCCAGTGAGCTTGAACTTCCCACTATTGCTTTAACAGCATCTTATTCACTCTTAAGAGCCAAAGCAGCTTCTGCTTGTGACAAGTACAATGAAGTTGACTTTCACCACATCTTCAATTTCCAGGCAATTGTAGCATTATATAAAAACACTCTAAAACAGCATCTGGTTGCAAATAGTAGCAAGGGCCATGAAAATAAAAGGGGGGGGGGGCGCCTTCCATTATTCCGTTTCAAATTTAAAAACAACACTGAGACTAAGTATAACAGACATTTTAGAACTTGCCATTAAATTCAGAGGATTTATATTCACAGCAGTATTATTAAGTATTAATGCAAACATAAATCTGTCAAACATGATAAACTCTAGTTGAAGCAAAATAAAAAAATTCCTTCCAGTAGCATCTTAGAGACCAGCTAAGTTTGTTATTGGTATGAGCTTTTCATGTGCATGCACACTTGGTATCTGTGTGCATGCACATGAAAGCTCATACCAAGAACAAACTTACTTGGTCTCTAAGGTGCTACTGGAAGGAATTTTTTTATTTTGTTTCGACTACGGCAGACCAACACGGCTACCTACCTGTAATGATAAACCCTAAACAGTGAACAGCAAATTTCCATTTAAGAAGCATTGCTGTGAATGTTCCAAGTACTATTCTACAAGTATGAAACCACCACTTGCAATATCCCCGGTTTCAAGGACCAGACTAGTTAAGAAGTATTTTCTCCATTTTATGGGAGTTTAACCATGTTGCCATTAAGTGGAATACATATCAGTTTTTTGGCTTGAAACCAGCCAAAGGTCTGGCAATCCCGTGACATTTCCTGCTCCTGGAAGCTAGACAAATTGCACCAATTCCCTCTCCCACAGTCTCCTGTGCCACCATCCACACTGATGGAAGATATTCCCCACCCCACCCCCCAAAAAAATCCCTTGAGAGAATTTTCAGGGGTTACAGAAAGCAATGAGCAAAAATGACACACAACCCATTTGTGAGCAAGAGGCTCTGAACACAGAATTACACTTATGGGATCTCTAGATTCAACACGTTTTTAGTTTGTAGGTATGGTGGCAAATTAAAAAGAATCATTACTTTAATCAATTAAAGACCCAAAATTAGTAAGAATTATCAGTGTCAACAGATGATCATATGCATGGAAAGGCCATAAGGAGCCAGATTTATGCCACATGATCAAGCAAAACAATTTTTACCTTGCATCAACTGGGCCTACTGCAGAACACTTATATTTTCACTAGTCTAGGGACAGCACCTATTATGACAATTATTATACATATACTTTACTAAATCTAGTTAAGTTCCATTGCTAAAACCACTATGAGCTCATCCAGGTTAGGTGAACAATATTCAGTTTTGCCCATTTCCCATACAATTTCAACTTTGTGGATTTTTTTTTAATAAAAAAACCCCCCTATGCACTCCAGATGAGTTCACCTGAAAGCTCAATTGTTCCCAAAGAAAATTAAGATGTAGTGGAAACAAGGTTGTTTAATAGCACAGCCTTTTCAACAGTGTGAACTTGAAATCCAGCGTTTAATTTTTATTATGTGTGCTGTCTGTCAGGGCCAGGGGGGGCTCATAAAACACTAATTTCCTGCAAATTCAAGCTTCAGGCTTCTACCACATTTGCCATTTTTAAAGTGAGTGTGTGCTGTCTTCAGTTTTACAAGTAGCTGGCCCACAGTTTAATCAGAAATTCACAATGGAATCTGGGACATTATGTAAGTATAGAGCAAATAAAAGTTAATATGGATTATTACAAGAGAAGGCACATAAGACTAGGAGAAGAAATAAGAAAAATGTTTATTCGCATTTCCACTGTAATTCTGGCCACATTCAACCTAACAAGGCTTAGGTAACTCTGGCTGCATTTATATGTTTTCCTGGCTTTGATTTGAGAGAAACTGGGGGAAATTATTTAAACATTTATTCGGGGTGGGTGTGGAGAAGATGGCCACAATTTTTAAGGCCTGCTCCATAATGCTTCTGGCAGCTGAATGACACTACTCTCTCTTCAGTTACCAGGAGAAATTGGCACATCTGCTTCTCTTGGGCTTAGTGCTGCACAAAAGACAATGGAATATAGCATGTATGGAGTCACTGACAAATCTAGCTGGAATGCAAGAGAACTGAAAGAACAATAGTGGGCTAGTCCAGGTTTGTACTCAATTTAGAGCTAGGTAGAATTGAGTTGGTTGGACAGTGTTCTCGAAGCTACAAACATGAGTCTGACCAAACTGCGGGAGGCAGTAGAAGACAGGAGTGCCTGGTGTGCTCTGGTCCATGGGGTCACAAAGAGTCGGACACGACTAAACGACTAAACAACAACAACAAAGCATTGAGTGGTTATTTATTTGGTACAATTTAAACCATAAAAACTTCAAATAATTACAAAGAAAACATAGGTAAAATCAGCAAAACTTTAAAAAACAAGTGTATATTGCATCTCTGAGAATAACTGCCTATATCAATAGGCAGAGCGTTTCAAAGCGCAGATGCTGCCACACTTAAAGATCCAACTCCTCTCAAATGGACTTGTAAATTATATGACACATGTAGAAGTCAAGTCAAGGCGAACCTTCAAGTAAGCTGGCCCCAAGCTATTAAGGCTTTATAGACCAAAAGTAAAACTGTGAACGTAAAGTAACAGTAAAACTATGAACGTAAAGTAACAACTCAATAGCCATTGCAAATCTTTGAGCAGTGGTGTACTATGGTGACGGAATCTCATGCCTATTTAAAGCTCATGGTGCATAGTACCATCACTTTATCAAGAACTGTAAAGTATTGTGGCACAAGTTCTTGGATGTGAGAAATGTTCCTGTTTATGGAGAATTCCCAAAAGACATACACATAACTTCATACACAAGTATAAACCAGTTGTGTATACAAAAGATAAGCAAGAAATCCTGGTGTAAGTGAATGCACTGCTCCTTAGGAGTTTGGTCCATTGGGCATGGGACAAGCTTCAGCTACAACAACTAAAGGGCGGGGCGGGGTTTCTGGCCCCAAGCACTAGATGAATTGGGAAAGGGGCACCAGGAAACCACTTGCCAGTAGTTTTGAATCTCTTGGGGTAAAAGAAATGCCTACTCCAAGAACCAGATACTGCTCCCTGTATGACTAATACATCATGGATTCCTAAGGTTGGCTAAAAGAGCTGAGGAAGTGTATTCTGTATTTGGACTGCATTTACAACCAGATGAATAATGCTTTAGGCATGTTCTGAAAGCCAGAGGAAATGTAAGTTGGGTTTTGTGAACAAAAAAACCCTGCTCCGTATACTGTATTTTTTTGCACCATAACACTCACTTTTTTCCTCCTAGAAAGTAAGGGGAAATGTCTGTGCGTGTTATGGAGCGAATGCCTGCGGGTGGCAGGGGGATCTGCAGTCGTGAACAGAGGATCCATGGTTCCCCTTCCTTCCCTCCTCCATGGTTACAAAGCATGGATCCACAGGATTTTTGCATTGGGCTACTCCAAACTCACTGTCAGATCACATGTCTGTGGCCACAGCATGAACCACAAAAATCATATATCTACTATTTCGTTTAGAATATTTTTTTTCTTGTTTTCCTCCTCTAAAAACGACGTGCGTGTTATGGTCTGGTGCGTGTTATAAAGCGAAAAATATGGTAACTCCAATTCATTTCTACCTTGGGCGTCAGAAGACAAAATTCCTTTGATGCTGCTGCAAACAGATGTGAAACTTCACTCTTTTTTTCAAAAAAGAGAATACCGTACCCTGCCCTCACCTACAGATACACACACAGACCATGTGCCCTCCAGATCTGTACTTACTAAATGGAGAGGCCATATAACTTTATACTCTAAAACCAGAAATCTGGCAACATCAGTGTGCTGATGGCATCTCCAAATCTTTGGAGACTCATCTGATAGCTTTACATACTTATTCAACAGGGAGACATTGACCCACACTAGAAATTGTGACAGCAGGGGCCCATTCTAAACTAGACACTTTTCAGTTTAGTTTGGCACCAAGTACTTACACAACTCCAATACTTCAAGTGTTCACACCTTTAGAAGGGAGGAAGGATGGGAAAAACCAAAACAACTTGACTTCGCTCATGTGACCTCCTTAGCCCATTCAGTGTGACCTTATTGCCCTCTCCTACATGGCCTCCTTGGCTACAGGCCACCCCATCAGGTGCAAGGGTTACCAGATGCCACTGGAATACAGCATACGTGGGGACACTGGGGTGAGGTACCCATACCTCACCCCCTCCTTACTTTTAGCCCACACATTCAGGCAAGTAACCCAACAGGGCTTAGGAGAGCTCTTGACAAGTTCTCTTCTGCTGAACACAGAGCCCCACATGATGGATTACTTAACTGTGATTCTCAAAGCAGTGCTGCAGAAGCATGACTGTCCAAAACTCTTCAAACCTGACCACTAGGCATGCATGTAGGACAGGCAGGTGGGATTAATATGACAAAATGGACAAAATATTTCAACTAGATGCACAGAAACTGATTTAAGATAGGTCTCTATTTCTGTAGAAATAAGGTGGCTAAGTATATGTCCTGAACCTCTGACATAGAATTAGAAAAAGCTTTGGAACCCATGCTCTAGCCTGAAGGAATGTATCTTGGCAACTTTGCCAGCATTTTCTTTCCAGCCAACAGCTTTGTTTCCCCTTGGTGAAATCCAAGAAACTGCAAAGGTAGCTGAAAATAGAGGCAAGTTAAGTACCAAAATGTTATAGTTCCTGTGGTTCACTAATGTTTTATGCTGGTTACGATTTACATGCTTTCCATACAACTGGATCTGAAATCAGCAGGCACAATGCACAGTATCAGTAACATTGCATTTCATAATTGAGATTATGGTATTACACAGTTAGCGCTGCTCTCCACATGTTGAAAGCACTGCATTTTCAAAGTCAGTTCTAAAAGCTAGCTTCCATTTCTTTTTTGACTAACCTGTGAAAATGTACCATTTATTATTAGATGGTACAATGAATGATCAATAAACTAGATTCCTCATACCTTTAATTCAGAGCGATGCAAACCCCTGATCTGCCATGCTGGAGAGGGGCCTGGATGGGACAGAGATGTTCCAGCCCTGTCTGGGTTCACTGGTGAGAGCACTCTACCAACAGGAGAGCCCCAATATGCCCCCACCCAGTCAACCAACTCTTCCTCTTGGTCTCAATTATGCAGAGTTGGGAAAACTGTAACCCTCCAGCTCCCATCAACCCCGATTCAACACAGCCCAAATGGTCAGGGATTATGGAAGTCCCTATCCCTGATCTAAAGCAAAGCTAGAAACTCATTAGCACACTGTGTACTTTCATACCCTTTAATCCTGCCAGTTGAAAAACTAGAAGTACTTAATCAGTTGCGTACATTTGCTATCTTATCTTTATTCTTACAGAAAGTCCTCCCTAAGCAACTAAATTACTGCCTCAATGACAGCATACAGCCAAGGAGTATGTTTCTCTGACAATACCCTCCAATTAAAGACTGTCAAAAGAAACTAACTAATGGGTTGGATGAGTCCAGTTATTTGTCAGAAATGGTGCTGGGCATGCTAAGCTGTTGAGGTGCTACCCAATGAATCCAACAGTCTGATAAAACTCAGAACTCCACAGAACTGTCAGTGTCCACCATGCATTTTCATGGCCAGAGGGAATCAAACTAGCACCTCCTCATTACAACCAAAATGCTCTTCTGAATTTCAGCACAGCTTCCAAATTTATTTTAACCTCCGGCCAATCTCCCTATACATGCCAAAATCCACAGCCACAAAAACAAGCAAAGCACTGATCAAAATAGTTTCTCTACACAACATTTTTGAAACCTATAATGAAGTATACTACTTGAATCACAAATGTTCAAGTCCAGGACCAGATAGCATTTACTTGCAAGAAGATATGTTTTAGTACTAAACCCCCTGCAATATCCCACCTTGTGAGAACTCTTCATTTGGAACTGCCGACTGTGCTTGCAAGAGACCAATCTTACTCTGTCAATGTAGAAATTATATCCTTAAAGGAAACAATCATTCCACTTCAGTCTGGAAAGAGATCATCCATCATCTGTATTTGGACAATGCCAACAAGCTCCCCAGGCAAATGGTGCCTCTGGGGCTGGCCAGGGGGTGCTGGTTGCCAGGAACTGAATTGGCCTCTGAGTAAGCAAGCAAGCGGGCAAGGAAATCCAGTCAGCCAGTCCAGCAGCCCTTGCTGTTGGGAATGGACAGATAAGTCCCAGGCCCCTGTGGGGCAGTGTGAGGAGGCACCTCTCTATGGGGCAGGAGGGAGCTCAGAGACCAGGAACGGTGGCAGCGGCTGCCCAGACGACTCTCAAGGAGAGGAGAGAGGAGAGAGGAGAGAGGAGAGAGGAGAGAGGAGAGAGGAGAGAGGAGGTTGAGGAAACACTCCACAAGGGAGGGTGTTCGAAAAAGGGTGAGAGGCTGCCAGCTCTGCAGGCAAGGGGTGACATAACTGGACTCCTGAGCCCCACTGGGGTGCCGCAGAAAGAATGTAGTTGATCAAAGGAGCCATGGACTCAAAAAGGTTGAAAACGTCTGCCTTATGTATACCACAGTGAGAATGTAGATAGCACTAAGTGGGATTTAAAGCGAAGGGGGTGTAATAAAATGGCATTTTTGCTGCACGCTCTTCTTAATCAGATATTTTCTGCATGAACACTAATGTTCTGGACCTCCTCCAACCCATGGGCCACTTTGAGAGGTTCAACCACCTGATATTTTTATGACACCAGGTGACAACTTCAAAGGGTCTCACTGTCAGCATCACAACAAAACTTGCTTTGTCCATTTGCTGTGCCTGCAAGCAGACTTTTTTCCTCTGCGGACCAGCAAAGGTATCTGCAAAGCATGGGTATAGCCAAGGGGGAGCAGCTGTCCCCCCTAAATCAAGTAAATAAATAAAAATACTTAACTCACCAATTGCATCACAGATAGCTTGGTTCTGCCCCTCCCCAAATAAATCCTGGCTACACCCATACTGCAAAGTTTGTCAGCACTATCAGCCCATCCTGCTTGCTAAGGAATAACTAGAAATGTGCTTTAAGCTCCCAATTGTCCCTTTGCATCTGTGTTTTAACTTGTTCCGCACCTAACATGTGTAGCAGGAAACCCCCCCCCCCCATCATTCAGTTTGTACAAACTTCACACACACTCACTTCAGGAAGGTGTATATGCTTTGGTTTAGCAGGAATAATCCCTTATAGAGTTAAATTGACTTATTTGGACAAGTGCCCTTTAAGAATGGTTTTGTTTTAACAGATTGGTTTGAAAAGTTGAGAACCATGGGGCAAGATAAATTCAAATTGGACTCAGTTTGAATTGGGCAAGTGTATCCAGGCTGCAACTAGCTTTTTGGTCCTTAAAGTGCAAGTGAGCAACTTCCCATGACTGCAAGACCAGAGCCTATAATAATAAAATCCCATAGAATGGCCAAGGCAAAGACATTTCTCTCATGACGTGTCCAAACCTGTGCCAGCTGTGGTGAGCGCCAAGCAACATGGTTAATATGAAAGCCCTAAGTGGATTCACCAGGGATTGCCACTACTGTGACACCATGCCGGTGTGAGACCACAGAAGAGCTACCTTGACACCTGAGAACACAAAAATGGTGGGGGACAAAGCAAACTGCATTTTTCAGTCATTAGTGGACCTTCCTGCTAAATGTAAAGCATAGACCACTATTGAGAAAATATTTCTTCCAAGGTGCTAGAATACCACAAATAGCTGAGCAACAAAATATTAATTTTACGTGATATCCTATGTCTAACTATGTGCACTGTTACACCGTTATATTTCTATGCAAATATCCTTAAGAAGCGTGACATCCAGTCCCTTTCAGGTTCACATGGACACATGCATCTGGGACGGAGAATAGCAGGTTAATATTTACCACCTTAAATTGTGGGGAGAAAAGGATTGCAAAGTAGCCACCTTTGCAATCTTATCTCTGAAGGGGGGAACTGTAGCAGGAAACACCCCCCCCCATCATTCAGTTTGTACAAACTTCACACACACTCACACACTACATACGCTACACTTCTGTTATAAATTCATAGAAAATCAACCATACATCGGATTTGCACTGTTCCACTTTTATTTTACTCCATGAAGGAAAGACTACAAAATGGGGAAGGTTTGATACAGGGCAGCCATAATCCCTTCACCATACCAGCACATCCACAGGAGCCCTGCCCAGTTGCTATGCCAACCCTGATGATCCCAGACAGAAGACAATCAAGATCACAAAGAACTTGCATATGGGAGTGGATTCTGCATGGACTGGAACAAAGGACAATGATCAGATCTTCCCTCAGGGGGCAGGAAACTGCGACTACCTTTTGTCTTCAGAAAATGACTCATGGGGAGGGGTAGAAGTGAACCAGCCAGGTGACAGGACACTCAGGTTACCACCACAACTCCTCCCTCAACCCCTCCTTTCTGTAATGTATGCATGATGTTTCTGGGGGTGGGCTTGACCTAGAGGAGGGGGAATTTCAAAAGTTTTTATAAGGTCTTGCACACCATTTTCTGTGTCTTTTCCTCTCTCCTGCAAGTGAGGGGAACACCCTGTTGCAACAGTTCAATAAAGGCCAAGCCTACAGGCTGCTGATTTGCTCCAATTTACTCTGGTTGGTGTCTTTACTTTTTGTCCAAGGGAGCCCTCGGATTTTTCCGGTAACACGTGAAACAGCCAGGAGTCGACAGATCTTCATTCTGCTCTAGCTTTTATCATTTACAAAGGTTTACTAGACCTGGCATGTGTTGCCAAACTTAGAAAGATTCAGCACCATGTATTAGCCACAATGTACAAAACACAGCTAAAGATGTGTACAACAGCTTTAAGCAGAAGTTTTAATAGAAATTAAATTGTTTCGCTGGTGTATAAAAATGATTCCACCCCCCTTCCCTTCATATTTCAGCTGCAGATTCAAAGCAGTGTGTGACCTCTCATGTACAATAGCCAGGCTATTTGTAATTTAATATGAGGACATCTCAGCTGTCATAACACCATGATGATTGCTAAGCAAATCTGGCATTTGAGACGTGCCATGCATTTATTCCTATAGACTGTGGACCAGTGCTTTCTGCTTTTATGCTAGAGTACAGCAGTTGATGCTCTGCTTATAACATAATCCTCCCCACCCCCCACACTTGCTTTAAGCTGCATGACAGATTCTTGGCAGTAGAAATACAACAGCTTTTTAACATTTTATCAGCTCATCTTCTCCTCTGAGCGGCCGTTTCCCCTAAAGTTTACATTGAAATGATCTGGGTATCCTATTTTAAGGGAAGTATCCATGTTAGCCAACATGTACAAGTTAATAGTAAATACTAGCCAAACATCAACTCATAGCAAAGCTTTATGTGGTGTAACTCAGTGGGACAGCTTCAGTTACTCTGCAGATATAAAAGATGTTGTCCTACAACATTTACTAGTCTGTGCTACTACACATCTGTCCTTTTGCATTTAGAAGTGCTGATTGGGCTGACATTAAAGTCAAATATTTGGGATTTGAATAGTGAGTGATCCCAAAGGCCTGCTTGTTAAATTCTTTGCACTTCAGAGGGTCTCAAATTACACTGCACAATTATTAGCTTCTACAAGATTAACACCTTGAGAATATAATGCAAACACAAAACAGTAAGTAATAATGAGCAACCAGGGCCAAACCAGCAAATGTGTTAAATGCATGAACACATTTAAAACACCTTTTGTGTTATCTTTAAATAGCACCTGGGAGGCAGGGAGATACTGAACCCCTTTGTTCCCATGCTGCAGAAATCCACATCCAACTGCAGATCTGCTTTTCCTCTGGGGAGGGAAGTTTGTCCCTGGTACCAGTGGCAAAGAGAAAGAACAAGCAGGTGACAGACCAGGTCAGATGAATGTACTGACTACTAACAGAGCCTCTATGCAAAGGATGAGGGTGTTTGCTTGTACTCAACTAGAAGGTTATCAAGTTCTGAACATCAGCATCAACTACAGCTCTCATACTTGTCACTGGCAAGATTAAGAAACAAACAATCTGCATCAGCACATTAACTGTTGTGCTTAAACTGTGGTACCAGTAGCCAGTTATGTAGCTTTTATTTGGTCCCTGAAATCATGATGAAAATAGATTTAATGCACCAGGTTTCCCGAGTCTCTATTATTTGCTGCAGAAGTTTCTACTTGGTGTAGATTTAGAAGCATTTAAGTGGGAAACTCCTCACTTCTTCAGAACTGACAGTGGACATATACATATTTTTAATTGGAATGATTTGTTAACCAAGGGCAGAAGCAAGTGAGAAGCAACTGTGCTGGGGGCCTTATGAATTACCTTCCGTAGAATGGCCTTTAGGTAAAAGAATGCGCTCATTCACAAAGAGCAACTGACAGTGATGCTCCTTGGGACAATTGTTATTTCACCCATATGTCCTATTAGATGGGAACAATAATATAAAAAGAGCCTGGGGTCAAAAATATGCACCAGGTAACACACTTCCATTTAGCTTTTCTTCTGAGATCTAGTAATATTTTACAACTTCAGAAGCAATTGCCTTTGTTCACAAGAGTCTTAAACATTTGAGAATAACTCTGTTTAGATGGAACTTAATAACAAGCAATATGGGTGAAAGCATAAGCAGCTAGGTGTGTGGCACTGCAATCTCTTCAGTAACATTTTATTTTTCTAAATTCCTGCTAATACTAGAACAGAATCTTCCAATCAACTCCTAGTCCAAGAGTGCTTGAAGCATATGCACGGCGGCTGCCTAGCCCAAACCACGAAGAAGTGTTTACTGTTACCGTAGAGAAAATTGTTTGGTCTCCTCTATATCTGAACACACAGTCAAGTCTGTATTAGCAGTGAAGCCTTTCCACCACTGACAACAACTGTCAACAATGCCTCATTACATTTTGTTGCTAAGCCTATGGGTTTTACAGGTTGGCATACAGTTCACTTGAACAGTATGCCCCCTCTTTTCACATTCTGTTTGATAAGGTTGCAATATTCATACAATAACTGGCATCTATTACTGCAAGAATATATATATATCTTGCTCTGAGGTCATTAGATTTGAAGCTTCAAATTCACAAGTCAAGCTCTTTCCATTCAGTGATCTTTTCTTCATTCAGCATTCATGGAAGAAAGGATTTTGTGTGCCCTCCTACACGGCACGGTCAGATCAGCAACTTGCATTTTGTCAACATATCTAACCACTGAAATGGCATGCCATACAAGCATACCAGAATCTGTAAAGTAATCACGGACACCACCATCTGAACCCATGCCAATGGCAGACAGATGAAACACATGAAGTGCCAGGTTTCAAAAGAAATAAAAACTATTAGTCTTGGAAAGGGAGGAGACTAGGACTATGTCTGCTGAATTGACAGCCATGCTTTGATCTTTAAACACACACCTCAGGAGATATAGAATAAAACCCAAAATGCATTGTTCTTATACATTCAAAAGTAACTGTAAACATATAGAGAACAAGGGTTAGGGTTAGCCTTTGGGCAGTAAACATGCTCATCCCATAACCTTTTGTCCAAGAGTGCTTGTAAGTTGTATGGGTAATTCTGACCAACAAGCGACAGAGGGTGGGAACATCAGGAACATGTACAAATACCACTTTCTTTACAAGCCATGGAATTTGCAGACTTCAGAGGAGAGTGTTCTATGAGGGATGTTTACAAGGCGTTTCATGGAAACAATTTAGTCGTTTAATATAACAAGGAGTGCAGAGTATATTTGCCATCTGCTTGTTTTTCCTAGAAAGCCAGTATCAAAGCTTAACCACCCTTCTGAATTCAGAGAAGCAATACGATTAAATGAAAAAAGTTTTGTGCACATGACGAGTATAGGAAAACAGAGAAATCTTCTTTTCTTTTAGAGTTTCAAAGCAACTTGCTCATCTCCCATTTTTTTCCAGAGTATATTGCTAATCAGTTACTTCAACAAAAATCATTAATCTTACGAAAAGGAAAATGATGTATGGGAAAATGCAATATATTCAGGCAGTCCAATAGAGAATACATTCCACATTAGGATACATTATCCTGGAATGCAAGAAATTCAGATAACAGAATCATAGAATTGTAGAGTTGGAAGGGACTCTGATGATCATCTAGTCCAACCCACTTCAATGTAGGAATTTGCAGCTGTCCCATACGAGGACTGAGCCTGCAACCGTGGCGTTAACAGCACCACACTCTAACCAACTGAGCTATCCAATGCCCGAGACTATCCGTTAACTCATTTTTATATGTAAAATGGACTACAATACTTTAAAGTGAGATAATGTTCATGCACCCTGGAAAAGGAAACAATCCACTATTAAAATTGGAAGCAAAGCTTAAATATTTGAGGCCACATCACTGATAGAGAAGGAAGTTCATGTCGCTGACAATTTCCTAGGAAGGAAGATGAATATACCCATGGTATGGCACACTTGGTAAAAAACACAGGTACGTTATGTAAAGATATATAAAGGGACATTAAAAAAATCAACCCAAACTCATTTTAGCCTTTGCACCTTGTTAGCCTCAGGTAAAAGCAAAACAGTCAATGGTGGCAACAGAAGCTAGAAGCTTAGCACCGTACAGTTTTTAGCAAATTCTAGTTGCAGTTCTCAACATGGCAGATAGAGGCTGGGTGAAGCTGAAGGTTTCGCTAGCTATATAGTTTAGGCATATGAGTTAGATGAAAAAAAGTCATCATGGTAATGTTTCAGATCATCAGGAAAAAAGAATAGCAAAAAAGCATAATCAGAGAGCTCTAGCCTCAACCAAAAAGATTCAGCCTAATCAACATGTAAAGCAGAGCTTTCCCAACATTTCATGTTGGTGACACACTTTTTGGCCATGCATCATTTTGTGACACATTAATTCAGTTTTACTAGCAAACTGGAAGTTAAACTAACCCCTTTCCAGCCCCAAGAATAGAGCAGGGAGCATTTGCATGACACACTAATGTGTCACAACACACAGTTTGGAAAGCTCTGATGTAAAGTAACTGGTTTGAAAAAAGACTGATATTCATAATAGATCCACATTTAAATAAGTGAAAGCAAAGAATGAACAGCGCTTCTAATTTTCGCCTTGGTTTAAGTGGATATCCAGAGAGCAGAACACTGGGGAACAGAACCGCAATGACTCTTGGCATCTGTTCAAACACTATTCTTCCTGTCTAATAGTGCACAGGAAAAACTTATTCCAACCAAGGGGCAAGGGGAACAATTCAAATAGTTTCTTTAGGCACTTGGCCTGAGTAAAAAATGAAAGAGGAGCACGACTCAAAACTACAAATACATTCAACATGGTGTTCTGGTAAATATTACAATAAAGAGTACAATATGCTCATCTATTAACATTCTTCTAAATGGGCCAAAGATTCTACTCATGCCAGATTAACAGTTTTCCTGGAGCCTACTCCTAGGGCCTTCTGAGAATGCAAGGGGAGGAGCGGTTTGTTAGATTTAAAAGACCCCCTGCCAGAAGCACAAACCCAGTAAGTGATGTTTAAAGCTGTCAGACCCCTGAGGAGAAGCAGGAAACTCTTTATGACCCCCAAAGTATTTGTTTTCCCAACAGCTCCTTGGCACAGCTTGGGATTCTTGAGGTCAGCAACAACAACAAAAGTTTTGCTCTGCCCAAATTAGTTTTGACTAGTCCCTGGGTTCCCAAGGTGATAATTTAACACCTCATTAACAAGTCACTTATTGAAGGAAATTCAAATGAGAGATGCTAATGTGACAACTGAACATTTTCAAACTCAATTTAAATAAAGTGTTCTTTAAAAATAAAATTTAAGTCACCAGAGGACACTCCCACTCTTAGCTCATAAATGTCCTAACCTTCAAAGAAAAAAGCATTTTTAAAAAGACAGTTTATAAGCAAGGGACAGGAAGGTCAGCGTCAAATACTGCTTTGTGGGCTACATGGCACATTTTACTTGGATACCATTTATACCAGAAAAAATGCAAGCATTTCATCAAGTTGAGCAAGTTTCTAGATTGTGAATTGCAATTTTAGCCATTTACATAGCAACCAAAAGAGGACTGCAGTAACGACAAAGCAGATGCAGTTTCCTAAGGTGTTTCTATTTGGGAACTACCATTTAAGACAAAACAAGAGCTACGTATCGGGCAGAGAGAGTATGCTTTGCATTCATAAGGTCCTAATTCAATTCCTAGCATCTCTGTTTAAAAATGAATATTGAACAGAAAGCTTGGAGCTGCTACCAGTCAGTACGTGGGCTGGGCTGACCAATAAAATCCCAAAGAAGGCAGCATTGTTCATAGAACAGATTTCCACATAAAAGTCTTCCTGGGGCATCTGTGTGCAACTTGTGACCTCATATGATGATAGAGAATTGGTAATCCATTAGAACAATGCAAGAACACAAGAGTCTTGCGGGATCAGATCGTATGTACGTTAAGTCCAGCATTTTGTTTGCCACAGTGGCCAGCTAGAAAGCACACAAGCTGAACATGAGCACAATAGCACTCTCCTGCTCACAATCTCCAGCAACTGGTAGTTAGAAGCAAGCTGCCTCAGATGCTGGAGGAAGTAGATACGTTATCACAGCCACCTTGGTAGCTCAGTCAGTAGAGGATGAGACTCTTAATCTCAGCGTTGTGGGTTCGAGCCCCATGTTGGTCAAAAGATTCATGCACTACAGGGGGTTAGCTAGATGACCCTTGTGGTCCCTTCTAACTGTTACCATTTTAAAAAGCCTTATTACCCACAAATTTGTCCAATCTCCTTTTAAAAAGCACCTAATGGCAGCCACCCTCATATCTTGTGGTGGTGAATTGCAGTTTCAGTATATGCTGTGTGAGGAGTGTTTCTTTTTGCCTCTCCTGAATCTCCCACCATTCAACTTCACTGGATTCTAGTTTTATGATACTTTCTTCACAATATGCCTAACTTTATACAGTTCTTCTTATGTTCCCCCTTCTCTATCCATTTCTGTCTGTCTGTCTGTCTGTCTGTTTGTTTGTTTGTTTGTTTACAGCTGAAAGGCCCCAAAGATAACCTTTTCAGAAAGCAGCTGCTGTAAGATAAGGAAAGCTCCATGCTGGGTATTGATAGACATAAAAACAAAATCCGCCAGTATTATAATGTCTGTCTACTAATCTACAATGCAACCATGCTTGGAATACTGCGTGCAATTCTTGTCGCCATACATCAAATCATATACTGTACTGAGCTGGATAAGTTCAGTAAAGGGAAACCAAAAAGATAAAGCATCTACAGCAAGTGTCTTAAGGGAAAAAGATGGGATTTCTCCACTCCCCCATTTTTTCAATGCCTCCATGGGTAAAATAGAGGTTCTAATGTACTTCAGTGATTGTGAGTTTAATATGGGCAACAGCAGCTCCTCCAGGTAAGTTAATGTGCAGTACAGCATCATGGAGCTCCAAACTAATTGATTGTTGAACAGTTAAAACTACGTAGTGCTTTGCTATGGGCTACTTATTACTAATTCCTTATTATTTCAACTTTTTTTTTTACAAGAGTAGGTAGATTATTTACATTCATCCAGTAATTTATCAACCTCTGTAAAAAAAATAAAAATGCTTCTAATCTAAATGTTTCATTAATCCAAAGAGTTTGGAGCAATAGATTTTTGACTCCCCCCCGCCCCTGCAGTCTCAGGTGCAGACACTTGTCCCAAAACTGACTTTTAGAAAGAGCAATAAATCTCTTCCCATTTGTATAATCAAGTATATTGGGGGGGGGGGAGACCCTTTCCTCCTCTTGGATTGTAGTTAGCAGCTCGTTTTTAAGAAAACTACACATTACATATTTGAGAGACTCAAATGCAAAAATATTAACATGCAAAAAATAGGAATTATGCACCTATAAACTTTGAAGGTAAGGACCTACGCAGTTACTAAGAACCAGACACAGGCAGCAGTGTTGGTCTGACACAGTCGAAATAAATTAAAAAATTAAAAAATTGTCCAGTAGCACCTTAGAGACCAACTTATACCCAGAACAAACTAATTTAGTCTCTAAGGTGCTACTGGACAATTTTTTAATTCATAAGAACCACACAGTTAACAGACACCCCTGCCAAGAAGGTAATAGGAACAGATTTTTAATAGCACACTCTTTGCCTCTGTCTAGAGCTGCTAAACTAGGCTGGCTTTTTAGAACCAAGTCACATTCAATTGCAAAACACAGAAACAAATACTGCCACAAGTTATATTTTTAAATTAACATGGAGTATTTCAGACAGCACCCTGGGGATGACCATTATGAGTACCAGACAGAAACAATGCCAGCACTGAAAGATTTGTTTGAACGAACAATAGGAAATAAAAGAAGGGAAGCTTCTGTCCTATTCCAGATTGCATGTTCACGTGCTGTCACCTAATTAAGTCTATTCAGTCTTCATTAGCCTCTTGTCCTGTTTCGGAAATGGCCATGCTGTTTTCTGCGGCATGTGTATTCTATCCAAGGTGCCTGCTGTTAACATCCTGTTTGGCCAAGGAAGGCTCTCTGGAATGATTGCAAATATTTAACAATAGCCAATGTACCATAGAATCGACAAATACATGTCCCCAAGTTTTGAGAGCTACTAAGCCCTCATACAATTTGTGAAGTTGATGCTAAAGTTGTTTACTATTCATCTGAATACAACAAATACATGAAAAGTATTTTCTGCTCTGGCTGTTGATCCCCATTTTACTTTGTAAGCATAGTTATTTTTTCTACTTATTCCCACCCTCCTCCCAGATCTTAAGTGACACTAAAGACCTTTGCTCAGATATATTTTCTAGAGTAAAATGAGTTCTGAATCCTAGCATATGTAACCTGAAATGAACTTCAGCTACTTAGTCCAATTCTTCTACATCCATGAAGAGTCCACAAACTCAAGTACTTTCAAGTAACCCCTTTTTAACCAATTCTTGATAACCCTAAATAAGCAATGCAGTTACAATGAGAATTTACATCATATCACAGCAATAAATTGTAAGTAATCAGAACTGAGATACATCAGGAGATTTTTGTTTTTGCAGGATAGTTAATTCTATAACCACACAACTTTATAAACGAAGCAGAATGTGTGTTTTACTTGCTCTGCACATTCAGTAATAGTGAATAAAATATGAAAAGTTAGATCCAGACTACCCATCGGTGGACTCCATCCTTTGTTCCAGGGGGTCAAAAACCTTCTGGATCAGGATGGAAGGTGGTGCTGGGATCTGCAAACTGAACTGGCAAAAATAATCTTTCTTCCCCCCAAAGCACAAGATTGGTAAGACATAAGAGAAATGGCAATTTCACAGCATCTAGAAGCAAGTCATTAATGACTGTAAATCAAAACCAGGGACTTGTCCCCTTTGTGTTTTAGGTTGCTAAAGAACTACAGTTACAAAAAACTGTACCAGTATGACTATATACTAACCAAAAGTATGCAAAGCTGATGTTGTCCTTGCCAATCTAAGACATCCGAGACTCTCCATATGAGTAGCAACTGGGTTAACAGCCTTTGTGCAAAGGCTATGCGAAAGCTGTTGCTTGAAAGCCCAGCTAACTTAGGAGACACTTAAAATTGTTAACTTTGCTTAGGGACATCAACATTCAAATTCTAAAATCTTCCAGTTCTTTCCAAATATTACTATAAAACAATTAAAAAGATATAGTTCATACTGAACAAATTCGGATTCCTACATTAGAGTCAAAAGAAATGAATCCACCTGACCTTACCTTATTCAATTATTCACTTTTAAGTTTTCCAGGGAAGATAGAACCTGGAGCCAACAGCCATTTGGAACTTACAGTTCTAACGCTATAATGAGATCTCACCAGCAACTACATCACTAGATCTGAACTACAAAGCTAGTTACCATATTAGTAGCTGTGAAGCTTTGTGGGAATATACTTTCCAGAGAAAATCCACAATGGGCTACCATGAATGAGACCCTGGGGTAGCAGTAGATAGCTCAATGAAGATGTCAACCCAGTGTGCTAGATAAACTGCATGCTAGAGATAATTAGGAAGGGAATTGAAAGGATAAAACTGCCAATGTCATGCCGTCTCTGGTGCAAATACATTTGGAATACTGTGTACAGTTCTAGTCACCCTCAAAAAAAGATAATTGCAGAGTTAGAAAAGGTTCAGAAAAGGGCAATCAGAGTAATCAAGGGGAAAGGCCAACTGCCCTATGAGGAAAGGTTGCAGCATCTGGGACTTTTAAGTTTAGAGAAAAGGCAAGTAAATAGGTGACATGGTAGAAATTTGTAAAATTATAAATTTGTAAAATTATGCATAGAGCAGATAGAGAGTAGTTGTTCTCCCTCTCTCATAACACTAGAACTCATGGAGATCCCTTGAAGTTGATTTTTGGAGGGTTCAGGACAAAGTACTGAAGGAAAGTACTTCTTCACATAGTGCAGTTCAACCAAGGATCTCACTCCCACAGGAGGCAGGGATGGCCACCAACTTAGATGTCTTTAAAAACAGATTAGACACATTCCTAGAAGCTAAGGCTATCAATGACTACTAGCCATGATGGTTGTGATCTGCCTTTGTGGTTGGAGGCTGTAAACTTCTGAATACCTGGGGGTATGAATGGCTTCTGAATGGCTGGGGGTAGAGCACTCTTGTGCTTGGGTGCTTCTTATGGGCTCCCCATAAGCATGTGGGTGGCCACTGTGAGAACAGGATGCTGAACTAGATGGGTCTTCAGTCTGCTCTAACCGGATCCTCTTATGGTCTTAGATTTACGCACCTCTCAAACAAGGATTTTGCACAGCAATAGCTTTTGCCTTAGTAAATGAAAACCATTATCCAATACAAATCTCAACCTGACCAGCAGCAATGATGAAACGTTCATTCAACTACCAACAACATAAAGAAAAGGCTGATTTCACAAAACAGTCCTCCACAGTGTAGCAGTGCAAATATCCAGAGATGTAGTGATCAGGTGGGATTGCTATGAGGAATTATAACAAATATAGAGTAAGCCATCTGTGTCAGCAATGAAAGCATTGCGTTGACTGGGTTTAAACTATTTTGATATGATTCTTGATCAATCTACACCTCTGCATCTCTGGCCCTTTTGACCCTACTGCCCATTGCTCTCTCCTCACGTCACGTACACAGCGTACACAGCAGTTGCTTTGCCAGGCAGGCATCCTGTGCCATAAAGATAGTAGGCAAGTTACTTTGATGTAGTTTTCTTATATATAATCTTAAAATGTTAATCTTGGAGCCAGGAAACAGATCTCACATAAAGGTGGTAGTGATCTGGTCTTTCTGGCCATCCTTCTTATCATGTGTACTGATTGTTTATTACCTCCAGGGTTGCCAGATCCGCTTCTTTGTAGTTCTGTTCTTTGTTTACCCCAGAAATATTTGTGCTTAATTAGTTTTAGTGGTTTAACTTTCTCCCCACGTGGGTTTGATGAAATGCTCAGAGGAAATATGATTGGTTCTTACGAGCACTGTGTAAAAGATTATTTTGCTAATAAAATGGCCTGGTGAGGCGTGTGGTTTACGCACTTTTTCTCCGAGAGCCTTGCTGGTCAAAGCCTCGTGTCTTGTTTTTAATCAGGGTCAAGTCCTTCCTTTACTTTGCAAACGCAACACACAGAAAATGACGGATGGTGCTCAATAGGTGGTCCTTCAATGCATACTGCCACCTTGTGGACAAGAGCAACACCTGCAAAGAATCCAAGTTGCTTTGCTGACTTGAAGGAGCAGTTGTTTAATCTAACACCTCATGAGAATTACAGTGCCTGAAACTCACCAAGTGTTGTGCCATCTTCACCCATAATGCACTTCACTGATGCGATGATTTGCTCAATAACAGGGGGGGAAAGCGAAGTGGCATATACTGCACTGTGTGAATGGACACGAAGGTAATCGATCAGCTCCTGACAAAGTGAATACAGCAGGTTATCAGAAATTATCCTTGCCACTGAGAGAGCAGTCTTTGATGGGGCAAGTATGCAGTGCTGATATTTACACTGCTTTGCTGACTAATTATTTGAAAGATATGCAGTGAAGGCAGGTATATATAGTTGCGCCTTCATCTTTCTTCGTAGGTTGTGGTGCACATGCATCTCCTTATCCCTGATCAACCATTTTTGCTTGGGAGATAAATGCTGTCATTAGGAAGAAGCTGTACAGTCATACCTTGGGTTGAAGTAGCTTTGGGTTGAGCGTTTTCAGGTTACGCTCCAGGGCGACCCGGAAGTAACGGAACACCGCTCGCACATGCGCAGACGCTCAAAATGACATCACGCGCATGCATGGAAGCAGCGAATTGCGACCCGCGCACGCACAGATTGCGTTCGCTTCAGGATGCGAACGGGACTCCGGAATGGATCCCGTTCGCATCTAGAGGTACCACTGTATTTCCATGATGTTGTTTTAAAAACGAGTGTCAGGGAGACGCTGTCATAATGATAACAATTGACAAGGAAAAGCCTAGCAGCACATAAATGATTACTCCCTCATCATCAAATGCCATATTGATTCTGGATAAAATTAGGAAACTGAGCATAGCAAATATATATATGGGAGGATGGGGAGTCCAACAGGCTGTTTTGTGGTGGGTGAGTGGCCAACCTGCTATGACACTTGCAGAAGGGGTGGGAGGTTCATAAGGAAGGGCAATCAAATAAACTTCGGAGAGTGAGTACTGGTGTTATTTTAAGTGTTGGGTAATCTCTGTCTTCTATATATGCTGTAAGCTACCCAGAGTGGCTGGGGAAACCCAGCCAGGTGCGTGGGGTATGTATGTATGTATGTATGTATGCATGTATGTATGTATGTATGTATAAATAAATAATAGATGCAAGACACATGTAGTGCTCAGGATTAGCTGCTGCTTTGACCTTCGATAGCTTTAGTAATAAATGGGCATTTGTTTGGACCATGTATTTTAATTGAGAAGTCCTGCAAAAACATAATAGTACTACTAACCGAGCTTTTCAAAATGTTTTATATATTTATGCTTGGGATCCTGGAATTTACTCAAAATTAAAATGGAGATGATCTTGATGATCTAAGCATTCGAGTCTAAGCTTCTATTCCTTACTAACAAGCTACAAAATTGCTTCCCAACACAAGTTCTTACTTTCTTGCCTGCAATGTATCCTCCAGCAGCTCCAAAGGCCTTGGTGAATGTTCCCATCATGATATCCACATCCTCAGGGTCAAGTCCAAAATAGTCCACTACACCCCGGCCATTGAGACCCAATGCTCCTATACTATGAGCTTCATCCAAGTACAAGTATGATTTGTACTTTTTCTTAAGGGCAATTACTTCAGGAAGCCGGACTATGGATCCCTCCATGCTGTGAAGAAAAACAAGAGATGGGTGTGAATTCTGGAATCTCCCAGTGATGCTCAAATCCCCTAGAAAAGGGGCCGGTTAATATTTTCCAAGTAATTACAAGGTCGGAGGAGCACCAGAAATAGCTTGTGCGCATGGGCCTCCTCCGACTCAGATGTGCACCGGAAATCGTGTGTGTGCGCGTGTAGGGGCGTGCGCTCCCCCGCCCTCCGGCCCGCTGCACGATCATCGCTTGAGACACCGCCCCGAGGCAAGGAAAGTTTGGAGACCCCTGCTATAGAAGCAGTTTTCCAGGCATTGCTCTGAAAAATTTAGTGTGCAAGGCTGCTATCCGAACCCCACTTTCCTGGAAGTAAGCTCCACTGAATTTAACAGGACATATTTCTGAGTAGACATGGTTAGGACTGCTGCGCAAGGTATCAATCCCTTTACTGCATCAAGGCTCCCCAAAACATCCATCTGCAACTACGCATAACCCCTTTCTTAACAAGTTTTTGATGCTTCAGAGCTTAACTAATGCCTAATAAAGGTTTGGTGAAGTAAAGGCTTCAGAGCTTAAGATAGTTGACAGCATCACACTGGCATTATGCGTCCTGTATCTACTGCTTTCAATTACTGTTTCAAATTTATAGTCTTTGTAATATTGTGTTTAATTGGTTTAATGCAGTGGTGAGCTTTTTTTGTTTTGCTTTTTGCAAACTGCTCTGGATGCTCAGTGAGGAGAGGAAAAGCGACAGAAATATTAAATGTGGAATGATAAACCCGGAGAGATTCACGTTACAATCCTTCTCTTCACAGAATACCCCCTTCAGTCAGTCATTACCAAGTTTACCCTTGGCTGACAAAGTGAGACAACAGAAACTATGTCCATTACAATCCATTACAGAAACACCTGGCAAAAAAAAAAAAAAAATCACACCTCCAGTTTAGATTTATTAGCACTAATGCAACTTGGAGCATCATTATGTCTGGACATGATTACAGCTGTCCAGAGTCAAATAATAAGCACCCAACAATTTGGCTTGGATTACAGATTGCCTCAAAATGGACAATAACAATGATCCAATATGGCAAACAGCACTGGTGATTGGAAGGACCAAGCTTGTACCTGAAAATGCCTTCGACAATGATGAGAATTTTTTTCCATGGCCGGCGTGTGCGTGGCTGCCCATGCACAATGGCATCTTTGAGCAGCTTCTCCAAGCTCTGCATATCTATACAGAAAGAACACAATTCCAAAGAACATTGTTACTTTTGTAAAGGGATTAGGAGCAGAAGCAGCTATAGGCAGCATTACTACAGCAGTAATTCAGAGGGTTACATTATGTTGTTGTTTTTGTTGCTTATTAAAGAATCACTCTTCACTCTGAAGAATCGCTCTGCCTGACAACACTTAGTACTGGGAGCAATTAGTACTGGGAACATACGGACTCAGCTGCGCATCATGTTAAGCCGGGAGATACGACAGAGCTACAGTCATACCTTGGTTCTCGAACAGAATGCGTTCCGGGAGTCCGTTCGACTCCCGGAACTGTTCAAAACCCAAGGTGCGGCTTCTGATTGGCTGCAGGAATGTCCTGAAGCCAATCAGAAGCCACGTCGGACATTTGGCTTCCAAAAATTGTTTGAAAACCGGAACACTCACTTCCGGGTATCAGTTGTTCAGGAGCCAAGGCATTTGAGATCAAAGGTACGACTGTATACTTCTAGAATCAGAAATCATCAAGTGAAACTGAATGGAGAAAGATTCAGAACAGAACAAAAGAAAATACGTCTTCACCCAGCACATAGTTAAAACCATGGAATCTGCAAAGATGTAACAGCAGCATCAATAGGGATGCTTTTAAAGGGGGAATCACAAAATTCATAGAGGATAAGGCTATCAATAGTTATCAGTCATGATGACTACCTGCCACCCCTCCAGGATCAGAGCTATCGTGTCTCTGAATACCATTAGATGTGGAACAACAGCAGGTGAGGCTATTTCCCTCATGTCCTGCTTGGGGTTTCAGAAAGGTTTCCATCTGACAATTGTGAGAACAGGTTGTTGGACTAGATAACTATACAGGTCTTTCGTCTGATCCAGCAGGGATCTTCTTATGTCCATAAGATAAACAGTGCATTTGAACAGGTAAATATGACATGGAGAAAGCTTGAAGAGGAAAAACAAAACAAAACAAAAAAAACTATACCGCTCTTCATCTGAAGACCACAGAAACACTTACTCAGGGAGGAGCTTTTGAATGCTTTCTCATTTGTGGTAGCCTTAAATGTTAAGAACATTTTTTAAAAATGCACCTGGGGCTGCTATAGAGTTTTATTTATATACTGCCCATAAATGAATGTTCTCTGGGTAGCTTTTTCAGGGGGTTAAAATCAAAGTCTGCATTTAGCCCACAACATAGGAATTTCTGGTCAAATTAATAAACGTCCTGGGAAATACTCACTATTGTGTTTGAAGATTCGAATTGTTGCTCCTGAAAGTCTTGCTCCTAATATTAGAGATGCATGATTCAACTCATCACTCACTATTAGACAGCCCTGAACAAGGAAACAGGAAAATAAATGGTCCAGACAGAAAGTTGCAGTTAACCACTGACCTATAACCATGCATGGTTCTTGCTGGGTGAAACTCCTTACACCCTGCCCTGGTCTCCAAGCAGTTTTCCTTGATTGGCCACAATGCATAGGATCAATAGCTGATGCTGCAAGACCACACATTACTATTTATAGCTTTTCTGATACACTGAACCTGGGGAACAGCTCTCTGCTTGCTTTACTGTGCTGTGCAGTCTTCCTATTGCTCCAATTACACAAGAAGATGGGTAAGGGACTATGGATAAGCAGCATTACAATAAAGGAGAAGGAATTGCTTATTTTGGGTTGCAGCTTGACAGTAAAACAGAAATAAATAAGATATTAAAACAGTTAGATTGGCAACCTAGTATAATAGCTTTGCTGATACACATTTCTTATTATGATGTGTATACTTATTAAAAATTTTGAAGTCAAATTTAAATCAAATAGGAATTTAAACTCTTCCCCTTATGTATACACAACATTTCTCTTTGGAAGATACCGGTAATTAAAAACCTAAGAAATCCTTTACAAGTTCACAATGGCATAAATGGTGCAATGCATTCTTGTACACAGCATACGTAGGCTATTCACCTGGATGTCTTGCACTCTTTATTTCAACCAAGTGTTGCTCACCCACTTAAAATAATACAGAAATTTATTTTTGATAAATATGTTGGGTGCCATGTGATGAAATTCAAAACAAGAAGTGTGAATGTGCACTGGACTAACAAATTCTCTCCAAACAGACTATTTTCAATAACATAGTTTCTATCTTATCAAGCTAACAACGTATTTTACATAATCATTTTGTATTCTAGTGAAGCCAATGTGACTAATGTGCTCAGCCCTCCAAACTAACTGACATTTTCTTGTCCCAATACAGCTTGAGGGGCTAAGAATGCAGCCTTGGTGCATTCATTCATCTTGTGACATGTTTTTCCTCTCCCGATTATTCATTTAACTTTTCCACAAGGGATAACTATTTTCTAAACAGAAGTGCATGGCATACAGGAATTTTAATTTCCCCCTCCTTCACAAAGTATGCACTGAATAAGTGAGAGGCTAACATTAGAAACCTGTGAAGACAGATCTAGGCCAGTCCTCTCTCCAAAGACATCCATACCTTGCCAACCAAAGCAGGAATATTCATTGAGTTGGTTGCAAATCCCATCCCGTACGACAAAGCGGATTCCACACCAAGGTATCTGGCCAATAATGCTTCTAGCTCCTCATGTTTGTCCAGGTTTCCTGGAAGAAACATAGAAAAGGGGTTCAAGATGGGTAAATCTACTGTGCATGAAACACTTTTAATGCTAGGAAGTTTAATTTTTAGTGTTAATGATGCAAGCTGGATGCATACAAATTAGGGCAAAAGCTTAGGAACTGCCATATAATATTTTGTGGAGTCTGAGTTATTAAATGTACTCAGATACTAGTCCTTTGTCTGAACTTACCCATCTCTTGCCTAGTGCTGCACACCCCACATCCATACTGCGAAAGAACTTCAGCCACAGCATCCTTGCGAACTCCGGTGTTCTCTGCAAACCCAAGGTAGTTGTAGGACCCCATGTTAATTATGTCTTTTATCACTTTTCCTGTGTACCTATATATAAATTTATAAAAACATAGCATGTAAAAGATATGGAGATCATCAACAAGTAAAAGTACATATGCTTAGTACTGTTGAAGGCTGCAATCTAGTAAAATCCTTTAGAAATAAAGGGCTCTGTGCACACCAAGCAGTTTTCAGCTAGCTGGCAGCCCACCTAAAACAGTCACTCTTTGCTACAATGCAAACTGCTTTTTTAAAGTTTCCAAAAGCTTCAAAGCCACTTGTGACATGATGCAAAGGGAATAATATCCTTCAGGAATAATATCAAAGCCTCACTGGTCACAATGTATTAACAGGGCTGTGTCCAAAGCTTGTTAGAGATTTCTTATGTTGAAGTAGGCAAGACAAACAGGTTTATACAAATGCTTCTCTGTTTCAGTTTGCTTAACTCAGCAAGACTTCTTTCGTTATAGCTGAAGATCATAAACAAAAGCTTTTCTGCATCTTCCAACATAATTAGCTTTATTCAGACAAAATATGTAAAGTGTCAGATTGCGGATTAGCAGATGTTCTTTAAAAGCTCTCTTAAGAATCAAAACAGAGTGCTGAGGCATTTCAAAACAGTTTGTTATTTTTCTCTGGCAATTTCAAGCCTTCTACCCCACCGCCACCCCACAAAAGACCCCCTACCCTTGTTATCCTCAAATCCTAGTAATTTCTTCAAGCACAATATCCTCCAGCACACAAAGGAAGGGCATCTGGAAGCCAGTAAACTACTGCAAGGAGGACTAAAGCTATTCTCTTCTAGAAGTGTGTTAACCATACCCCCTTGAATTATGAACCTGACAATAACAATGGGTGTTAACTCTGCTCAATTAGCTCTGTTCTAAAGCAGAACTCTTTAGCTATCATTTCCTGAGCATGCTTCTAAACAGCCCTGCCAATTTTCTTCACTTTATTAAAGGTCACTAGGACCTGGGAGACCACCACTCAAATCCCCACTTGGCCAGTGGGTGACCTTGGGCCAGTCATCGTCACTCAGTCTGACCTAACTCACAGGACTGCTGTAAAGATAACATGGGGGGGGGGGACTATGTACTTGAGCTCCTTGGAGGAGAGGTGGGATATAAATATATATATAATATAAATATATAAACCAAATTAAAGACCAGAGATAACTGACATGCTATCCCATGAACTTCCAATTCATTTCAATTCCAATTAAGTCAGTGGAAATCTGGACATACTTAGTTTATCTCAAACACAGAAAGTATGGTAGGTTTTCCTTTCGGCTGCTATTGTATTCGTCTTGCCCAAGGGGGATACCGCTGAACACCCTACAAAAAGATCCAGCGCACAGAAGACGGGACTGAGATACATACTGCCCTTTTTCCAAAGCAAAGGGTTTCTGGCATAAGTTTTCACAAACATGTATAAGACTGAAGACTCTACTGAGCACAAAACCCCATGGCATGCAATGCAGAAATGAGCTTGGGCACAAACAGAACAGAGCTCAGGAATCAACCGATGTGGCTATGGCATCCATTTCTGCCTTCCTCTTCAGTACTACAATGCTGCTCATCTCAGTGGACTAGAGGCAAACCCACTTGAAGGCAAAGTGAAACGCAAAAGTAATGTAACGTGCACAAGACATGACGCAAATGTTGGTCACCCCTAATCTATATGGTTTTTCTATACAGGCCTTAAAACAGTCAGCCCTCATGGGCTGTTTTGTAGGATCCAAGTATAGGTGAACTGGGATCTGTGGCACGGCAATCTTGAAAGTCTGGCACCGAGTTAAGCAACAGGGAATAGTGGAGTTCTTATCCTTGCTACAGAGGCTGCGGTCCATCTTCCACAACCCATTTCACAAACCCTCACTAATTATCTTCTAAAACAGGGGTGGAGAATCTTTGACCCTGAAACTGTTTTGGACCCCTGACTTACTTGTACTTTTATTTCAGCAACATCTGGAGGGCCACAGGTTCTCCGCCCCCCTGCTCTAAAGGTTAGTTGCGCAGGAGCTTTCCAAAAGCCTTTTACTCACTTGAATGTCCAATTGTAGTCATGGGAAACCCGCTCTAATATGTCTACTTTGGCTCCCGGTACACTGCAGAGTGGTCTGCTCCAGCTATCCCTAATGCGCATGTAGAGGTTCCTTGTATAGAAGTTTTCAAAATCCTGGTACAAAGGGACAAAATCCTGAAAACATATGAAAAGGGCATTAAAACAATGGGATAGGTGAGGACTAACTTTCCAACCTCCGTCCCCCACCCACAAATTACAGGAAAAGTGGTGTTAAACCCATTTTGCTTGGTGCTATTGCATGTTTTCCTCTCTGAATATCACCAAGTGCTCAGGACAGTGAAGATATCCAATGGCACTGAACCTAGAAACCACAAAGATATACCCACTGAAAGGACTCCAAACAAGTTCTCTGTCCCTAACAAAATGTAAAACTATAAATGTCTGGGTTTGCAGCACTCCAGGGCCTGTAATTCTGCTCTTCTTTTTTCAGTGATCACAGGCAGCATAGGACTCCAATATGTTTACAGACTTATTATAATAACTAGTTACAGAACTAAGAAGTGGGGGAGAAGACCGTTACCTTCTGCTGCTCCCAGAATAGATCTTTTTTTTTTAAGGTTTTAATTTTCTGCTTAGAAAACCCACACCAACTGCAAGTTTTCCTTTAAAAAAAATGATGTGCTTTAAAAGGATATCTGTATTTGTTGTGTTAAACAAGATGAAGCGGATAAGCCAACACTTACATTTGAAACATGACCATCTATGAAAAACTGAAAAAGTCTGCTTTGCTATGTGGAAAAGAACAACAGGACTGGGTTGGGTGAGAAATTAACTTCAGATGTTAAGCACTGTGAAATACATGATTCCCCATTCCTGTGGGTTTTCTACTGGACCCAGGGATAAGCAAATTGTTAAAAGCAAAAATGGTCAGATTCCCTCAATATGCCCTTCCCTCACGTATAACTAGTCTCACATTACTGCAGCTATGGAAACCTAGAACCTATGGGAACCAACAACAGGATAGCTATGCCACCATGATGAAAGTGTGTGCATGGGATAGTAATCCTGAAAGCAAAGAGATTTTGTGCATTATATATGGCAGTTACCCTCCTGCTCCACGCCCTCTGAACAATGCATGCACCTAGTTCTACTAAGATGCTGATTCATTAACTACTATGGCTGTTAGGTAGACAAGTGCTTGAAAAGGCTAAAGACTATTACCCACAAGCCAGCTTTATTGGTAACTTGAGTGTTTCCCTCCGTCCACTAGGCCTATCTATGTAATGAAAAAGATGGCCTGCAGTTTCTCAGCTATTTAACACAATCCTATCAATTTATAAGCTTCCAGTGGTTTTGTACTCGAGTCAAATACATGCCAGATATAAAAAGGCCTCTTTCAAAGGATCACAAACAAATTAATACTTTAAGCAACCTATAATACATTTTCTAGTTGTATGTTTATAGAAGCACAAGTGTCTGTAAATTTCTTTTAAATATCTGCTAAGGATTTTTTTTTTAATGCAGCCACCCAGTACTTCAAAGCTGCTTTCTAGTACTAGTCAATGTGTTCTGTTGCCTTCTTTCATAGAGTGTACATACTAATCTCATATGCGTATGAGGCCCCCCACCCTCCTGTCGGCATTTCCGCTCGGCCAAGCTGATAAAGTCTTGTTTTCCTCCGGCTGAGTCTTCGGAATCACCTCTGACAAATAATTAACGACCTGAACCTTTGATGAGGCCTCAGGCACATTCCATTAAGCAGAGTTTCCAGCAGCATGCAGAAGTGATGAGATTTATGGCTACATTGCAAAGAGTTTTATTTCTAAGCTATGCAGACAGAAAAGACATCCTCTATGAAAGCAGAGAGCAACAGAACAAAGGAAACAGGAAACCAGTAATGTCACATCCATCTCTAGTCTCCCGTGAGACTTCCAATAGCCTGGACTGTCTCTGTAAACACAGTCTTGTGACTCCAAGCAGCTGCTCAGTGAGAAACAAAAACTAACATCCTCCCCCTTTCTGTGAACACCGCTGGGCAGCATGTCAGTACAATCTCAGTACAAACCCAGTTTCTGTACATAGGAACAGTGTTGATCCTTCGGAACAACCTTGGACAATAAATCAACAGGAATTTCGTTACCTGGCATGTAGGACACCATTATGAGTCCTTTCTGAACACATTCTCTAGCATGTTGCAGCTTCAATTGCAAGTGCTTCGTGCTTTGCTTACAACCTTCAGAAGTCAGCAAAGCCAAACATGCTTTGTTGTCCTGATAAACCTGGATTGGACATTTGACAGGAATTCTCATGTCTTTACACAATTGTAACAACCAATCACAATCCACAAGTGGATTGTTCAGCTTCACAAGAACTTAAGCTTACTGTTGTTTGCTTCTTGCACAACCAATCAAATAGACCCTGATTGTACATGTAGCAAACTCCAGACGTACTTTTCCTGTCTGTAGTGTCACTTCCAAAACTCGCATCAGCAAATATTTCAAGACCGCCAGACTTCTGATTGTTAAATCTCAGTCTGTAGTGCATAGTGCCTCTCAAATAGCGTGCTATGCGTTTCAGATCTTTCCAATCCTTAACAATAGGATTGTTGACTTATCTGCTTAGCAAGTTACAGCTAACTGCAATGTCCAGTCTTGAACATCTGACAATGAAGTTTAGTTTGCCTAGCACACTTCTGTACAGTATCGTGTCAGAAAATGCTTCTTCAGTATCATCTACCTGATAACCTGTTGTCATTGGTGTGTCCACAGGGTTAGCATCCATCAGGTTTAGTTTGGTTAACACATCAGCAATTTTCTGTGACTGGTGTGCTAAAATATTACCATCTTGGTCTCTCTCTATTTCCAGAGATAGGTAGTTGGTTACCTAACCAAGATCTTTCATGTCAAAGTGCTCCTTCAGTTGAGCTAGGGCGCTATTGTACATTTTAACATCTTCCAAAAGAAAAGTATATCATCAACATAAAACAAGCAATACAGCTTCTTTTGCCCTTCCTCTTTGACAAATATACATGGATCAGCTTTACCTTGCTGAAAACCTAGAGAAAACAACACTTCAGTGAGTTTAGAGTGCCAGCATCGTACACTTTGTTTGAGAAAATATAGGGACTTCTTCAGAGAACAAACAAATCCCTGTTTTACCTGTACGCCATCAGGTGGAAGCATATAAAGTGATTCATCTAAGGTTCCGTACAAAAATGCTGTATTCACATCATGATGAGAAACGTGTACATTCTCTTCTGCAACAAGTTTGAGCATAAGCCTAATGCTCTCATATCTCACGGTGAGTGAGTAGGTCTCGTGACAGTCTTCTCCTGGTACCTGTGAAAAACCTCTGGCTACCAATCTGGCTTTGTGTCCGACTATCTTGCCATTTTGATCTGTCTTTGCTTTGAAGACCCATTTGCTGTCAAACAGTTTCATCCCTGGGACTACTGGAACTAGCTCCCATGTTTTGTTCCTCTCCAAGGAATCAAGCTCAGCCTTCATGGCAGTTAACCATGGCTCAGCATCCTTCGAGTCCAAAGCCTGGATCTCTTGGAAACTTGAAGGTTCAAATACCTTCTTGGAGCTATCAACAGCAGTTACAGCTTTTGCTGCTTTAGCAAATTCATCAGCAAATCTCTTTGGAGGTCTACCTTTTGTGGCTCTTTCAGACCTGCGAATCAGATGTAAGTCTTCAACACTCTCCTCTTCTTTCTTAGGAGAAAGGTGGCCTATAGTGAACAGTGGTTCCTCCAATTCTCAATCAGAGCCTTCAGAGGGTCGCAGAGAGGCCTTAGCACTCTTGAAATCCTCTGAACCATCTGAGTCAGTTTCAGATTCAGAACCTTCATCAGTGGGTGTGGGGTTTTGCTGCTGCTTATCCTCAGTCTCTTCACTGTCATCAGGATAACATTGGAAAATTCCCACATTCTCCCCCCACTTGGCATTGCATTCAACACTTCTAGTGAGCCTAACTGTATTAGTGTCAGTCATCATTACTCTGTAAGAATCTTTCTGATATCCTAGAAAGATACCATGCAAACCACGTTTGCCTAACTTGGAGCTTTGTGGTGTGTGAACCCACATGTCAGAACCAAAAATTCTCATGTGCTTGAAGGACTTCCAGGTCAGCGCCATTGGTGAATGGCGGAGTTCCTCCGACCGGAGGAACGGGCTCCGTGGAAACTGGGTCTTCCCGCTGCGGCAAAGGTGGGGACCCGCTAGAAATCCCAGGCGGAGGAAGCCTGGGAACGTGGGGTTCGGCAGGGCACCAGAAGTGCCCCCCCTACTCGCGGGGAATCCTATCTAGGGGTTCCGGAGCGAAGTGGGGTGAGAAGCGCGGTGCTACGAACTGACTGCTACTTTCACGGAGTGAAGCCGCACAGCCATTGCCAGAGAGCGCTGACTTTTTCCTGTGGACAATTGGACTTAAAACAAGTACCCATGAGTAGAAACGGAAAATTGGATCAAGAAATTGTTTAATTTGGTATCGAAGCGGGAAGGTGCAAACAGGAAGTCCGCCTTCCGCTTTTTGTATATAGACTAAAGCAAAAATTTTGCAAGCTAAAGCCGGGAAGCTGTCAAAAAAGACTAAATTTCCTTCATTCAGAATCACTGAAACCCCCCTTGGAAGCAGGAGAAAAGGGGGGCGGGAACTCTGTTTAACTCTAGCAGGAGAGGGAGTGAAGAAGGATAAGCTTCCACCGTCTCTAACCTGGGAACGGGGTGTCAGAGACAGAAACTGTTGGAGAGGTTCATTGACTGCATTGACTGTGAACGTAATACTTTGACAGATAGCTAATGAAGAGAAACAAGTGGATTCTAATGTTGCCTTTTGCATTTTAAAGAAACAAAATACCTGAAAAACATCTGAAATATCTGAAAAATGAAAGTAACTTTTCTTTGTCTTAAAAAAAAAAAATGGATACAAATAGATTGTCTCCTCTACAGGGAGCTTGCTAAATTGTTGCTGTAGTATATTTGAGACCCAACATCTGTGAGATTAAGACCGTGGGAAGTCTTTTCTGACCTTGAAGAAAGATGAGCTGGGAGGAAAACTGGGTGCTTGCTTTATACAAGACAAATGCTTTGCTGGAACAGATGCATGAGAAGATGGACTTGATGAATGAGAAAATGGATTTGACTGTTGTGATTAATAACTGTGGACAAACAGGGAACATTGATACAGAAATTATTCAGGAACCAACCTATGAATCTGTACTGACTGGGCAAGTGCAGATGACAATGGAGGAGGATGCGGCTGCACCTCAAATAGTACAAATGGAGAGACCCGAGGCCCTACAGGAGCATAAGCCGCTGCTATTGAAGATTGAAGTTGGAGTGGGCCAAGGGGAGTCTGGAGATGAGGAGGTTCCTAGCTTTGGAGAGATCTTGAAATTTGATTTTAAATACATTTTGGATTATATCAAGGACTGTGGGGAGTGGGACTGTGGGGAATGGGTGAGCTGGATGAAGGGTGATGGAGATAATTTTGGGTTGGAATCCCCCAGAGACCTACTCCTCAATGAGAAAGGAAAGAAACTAAGACAGAGACCAACAAAAGACAAGGAAAAGGGCAAGCACAAACAAGATGAAGAAGAATTGCAGAAGGGACATGGAAGAGACTTAAGGGCCTCGGACGTAAGGCTTCCAGGTTGATGGACTAGATGGAATGGACAGTAAGGACTGACACGACCCGAGACCAGGAAGAAGAGACGCTGGATGATGATTGGAAGAGAATTTATAATGGGAATTTTTTATTTTAGAATCAGCTTAATGAATATTAGGGAAAATGTGGGAATGAAACTATACGACTCTAGCAGAAATGATATCAGGACCTATGTATATTTGAAAACTAAGATTTAAGTCTTAAGGTATTTAGGGGTAAGATAAGGTTAAATAAATTAAGGTAATTTGAATAACAGAATATGGGGAAAGATGGAAAGGACTTGTTGAGTTAATTATTAGGTTAAATTGTTAAAATAAATTTTATAACAAAAATTGAGAAAGATGGAAAGAATTTGCTGAAATAATTACTAAACTAGAATACAAAAAGGGAGGTGTGAGGAGGTCAATGAAACAAGCAAATGGAAATTATGGATATTCAATTTGGGATTTGTGGTTTTTTCCCCCTTTTTTCTTCTTTTTTATTTTCTTTTGCTGTATTGTCGTATTGGTTTTTATATTTTGTGCTTTTTTCTTTTTTTGTATTGTAGTGCTGTTTTTTATTTTTTATTTTTCTTGTAATCCTGAAATTATCAATAATTATTATTAAAAAAAAAAAAAAATTCTCATGTGCTTGATGAATGGTTTCTTGCCAAACATCTTTTCATAGGAGGTACAACCAATCAGTGATGAGAATCTGCGATTATAAGTATAAACAATACAGCTGAGCGATTCTGCACAATAACTCTCTGGAAGATTGGCATAATGCAGCAAGGTTTTCAAGCCTTGAAGCAATGTTTGATTTGCCCTTTCACAAAGTCCATTCATCCAAGGAGACCGTGGACTTGAAAGGTCATGTTGAATTCCTTTCTCAGTCAGAAAAGCTTCAAACTGCTGAGAAGTGAATTCTCCCCCTCGATCTGTAAATACACATTCCACCTGTTTATCATGCACATTTTTCAACCAAGCACAGAATTCCTTGAACCTAGGAAAAGCTTCTGATTTCTGCTTGAGATTGAACACATGAATATACCTGGAATATGAATGAGGACCATGAAGTACCTGGCTCCACCCAAAGAGGGTGTTAGTGGACCAACAAGATCAGCATGCACTACCTGGTATGGTTCTGTAGCTTGTCTACTGGACACCTTACCTTTTGCAGCCATTTTGACTTTTGTTTGCTGCGCATGCCTTACACTTCATGTGGTACCTGCAGGGTTTAATACCTTCAACTAAGGTAGGCATTTTGGAAACTGCCTCAAAGTTTAAATGGCCAAGTTTCCTGTGATAATCATGAATACATCCTGCATGCAAAACCTTGTTAGTATCTGCAATACAACAAGTTTCATCCTGCACAACATCAACAGAATCATCATAATGCAATACAAATGATCAACATAACCAGCATGCAATACAAAGTCATCTTTCTTGGTGATGGTACACTTCCTCTTCTTGAAGGAAACGTCTATGTCCTGTTCAGTCAGCTGCGAGACGCTCAGTAGGTTGTGTGCAGCATCTGGAACGAAAAAAGTGTTGTGTATCGATGCAACCAAGCTGTGAAGAACAACCGTTCCATAGCCTTGACTGGAGATTGTGTGGTCATCCGCTTGGTGAATCGAACCTTCCTGCGGAGTAAAGGACACGAACAGGTGTTTGTCCCAACAAACATGCCTGGTAGCTCCCGAGTCGATGATGAAGCTACATCTAGACATCTTCTGGACCTTTGGAGTGAAGTGTGAGACCATTGCCTTGTGTTGCGTTGTCCTGCACTTCTGACCTTTGCCTTTTCCACGCGTTGAGCTTTCACTGTGCTGCTCTGTTGCCTTGGCCTTGGGATATTTACATTCCCTCTTCACATGGCCTAGACGTCCACACGAGTAGCATTTCACTGCCTTCAAAGCTTTGGCGCCATCTAGTGGTTCCACTGCATTCTGGGATGACGTCTGTGAGGACTGCCCCTTGGTGATGCAGCTAGCACTACGCCAATCCGCTTCATTTAACACCACAGCAGTAACATGCGCTACCGTTAGCTGAGCAGTTGGCAAAACAGCAAGCTGGCTGGCAATCGCTTCCCAACTTGAACCCAAAGAATGTAGAATCATGAAGGAATACACAGCCTATGGAAAGGTGATTCCACACTGTTGCAACTCATGCCTTAGATTCTGCATTTCCATGAGGTGAGCACGTACGTCTGCTACATCAACAAGTGCCATATCATGCAACTTGGCATAAAAGAACAAAGAAGCTCCCGCCTCTGTTCTTAAATGTGACTCTTGGAGACTCTCCCACATCTCTCTGGCTGAGGCCTTGTCACGCAAAAGACACAGCTCTTCAGGGGACACAATAAGCGTCAGAGTTCCCCTTGCTTTGGAATCCTTAGCCTCCCATTCTTCGGTCATTGGAGCTTGGGGGGGCATCTGATATCACATTAAACAGACCCTCTTTTCTTAGCAGAGCCTCTGCATACTGCACCCAGTTTTGATAACATTTTTTTTTTGAGCTTTGGAACTGCCATGGCATTTCGAAGGGGCTCCATTATTCTGGCATTAGCCTCCAGTGTCAGTTAAAGCAAGCTGCGTCTATTTACCAGCTGCATTCCAAAAGCACACGTGAGGCCTTTGTTTTCTTCTGCTGCTGCCGGTAAGTGCTTTGGCTAGAAGTTCAAAGTCCACCCTTAACCAGGGACTGGCAGGCTTCCCGGGGCAAGAGCACATACCTCTCATCAATCTTCTTGACACGCAGAGAAGATAACCTGCATTCCGTTCTTCTGCTGTTCGTCTGGGCCCATGACCACAAATGTCAGCATTTCCGCTCAGCCAAGCTGATAAAGTCTCATTTTCCTCCGGCTGAGCCTTCGGAATCACCTCTGATGAATAATTAACGACCTGAGCCTTAGATGAGGCCTCAGGCACATTCCATTAAGCAGAGTTTCCAGCAGCATGTGGAAGTGATGAGATTTATGGCTACATTGCAAAGAGTTTTATTTCTAAGCTACGCAGACAGAAAAGACATCCTCTCTCTATGAAAGCAGAGAGCAACAGAACAAAGGAAACAGGAAACCACTAACATCACATCCCGTCTTCTCTCCCGTGAGACTTCCAATAGCCTGGAATCCCTGGAATGTAAACAGAGTCCTGTGACTCCAAGCAGCTGCACAGTGATAAGAACAGAAACTAACACCTCCAACCCAAAAGGCCTCCACACCCCTTAAGTGAGGCTTTTAGAAATGCAAGGCTGCCCTGGTTTTGATGATATGCTAACTTCTTTCCTTTGGCAGAAACATGAGGAAAACCAAACCACATCCCTAGTAGTAGTTATTTCTCAGTAAGAGCAATCAGGCAGGATTCAGGGAAGCAGAGCATGGCTGAAGAAATCTGCTGTATGAGTCACCTGAGTAATCTGCTAGCAAGCTGCATTCTTTCAACTCAACCACTTTATTTTACCTTTAGTAGCCAGAAAACCTTTAAGTCACCGAAGTTCATTCTGAAAATGCAGACCTCACTGTTTTAGAGAGTACACTACTGCAATGAAATTAAACCCCTGTATCTACGAAGCCTTGTTCCAAGGCCTACCCAAGGTATAAAATTAGTAAACTTAAGGTAAATGACAGACAGTAACTTAGAGCATCTTTGGACGATTTCCCACAACTGTCTGGATATGCCCAAACCTTCTGCCCACTACACTAAAATTTCAAGTAAATCCCTCATATTACCAAGATACTGTAACATTCAGAAGCAGAGCCAATCCATACATTGTAAGATGTTTGAGGAAAGGCCAACAAACCAAGGTCCGAAATCAAAGTTGGAAGCTGTCTTGCAAAGTCAGTTTGCACCAACTGTGGTTTGGCACATTCTGCCCTTGAAGTCTGCCAGACTACAGAGCATGGAGGATGATAACATTTCACCAGCAACAAAACATGTTTCACAGGCATTTTCACAACATAAGCCCTTAGTCTGCCTCTCCCTAACATACCTAGGCAGACAATATCACAATAAGAATCTTTTAATAACCTTTGGTAACAAGAAGCTCATAACACAGCACTCTTCAAGGCACCATTTACTGTTGAATGATCTCCTATCTGTTGTGTCCTACTCTGCAAAAACAAAAACAAATCCCTAAGACAACCCATACACCTCTCAGCCTTTTATAATATTTTATTTTTCCATTTTCTAATTTTACATAATCAAAACATCATTTTATACAACAAATTTCACATACCCAATATTAATATCAACCCCTCCCCCCCCTTCTGTGGTTACTTGTTATATAAACTCCTCTGCACATCCAAGCTAAACCTAATTATATTTTGTCCCAATCCTATTTAAACCTCTTCAATTAAGTCTCCCAATAAGAATCTAAGATGTGCAGATAACTACATGTCCGCTGATTGGGACATGAAGAAAGCTAATAAAGGCATGAAATATGCACTCTCAACTCCACCTGCTGCCTTTGGCAATCAGTAAGAGAAGCCACTTCTGAGCATACTCGGAGGCAGTGGAACTAGACCAGGCTGCCTGAACATTTTGGTATCAATAATCAGGAAACATCCTCCCCACCCCCAACCCCCGTTTACCCATACCACACACACTGCCCCTGAGGCAACAAATGCTGCCAGTACCTAACTGTGCTATTCTGACATAAATTCAAATTGAAGGGAACACTCTAGATTAGGCACCCCCAAACTCGGCCCTCCAGCTGTTTTGGGACTACAACTCCCATCATCCCTAGATAACAGGACCAGTGGTCAGGAATGATGGGAGCTGTAGTCCCAAAACAGTTGGAGGGCCGAGTTTGGGGATGCCTGCTCTAGATGATTTGCCTAGAAGTGACAATTCAAGGGCTGCATCCCTGTTAGCCAAAACCTGTACCATACCAAGTTCCACTGGTGGAATATAAATCAACCTTCCACTGTACTTCAGGTTCAGCATGACGAAAGCCCGCCAGACTCAGAAAGGAAGTAGTCGTTAAAAGTTTAAGCTCGCTTTAAAAAATGTTTAGAAGCACTACACTATTAGGCAAAAAACAATTTTCAGTTATGTGGATACAAATATATTTTTTGCAATAGAGTAAAATTGCTGCTTCTGGTTCTAATAATTGAAAGTAAGTTCTCTGAAAAACAATTTGTTCTATAACGTCTGAAAACCACTAAACATTTTTGGTTGCAGGCCCCTTAGTTTTGTTTTGTTTTTAAAAACAAGCACCTTACGTTTTTGAGAAAACTTTTATGTGCAGTCCCTTAGCTGGGGAGCAATATAGATGCAAAACAATTCAAAATAAAAATGTTGCTACATTTCTCCCACTTTTGTGAAAGAGACCTATGTTGAAAAAGATATTGGGCTTGAAAGGGAGCAATGGAAAGACCTACCAAAGGAAGAGGTGGTGTAATTTGTGCACCGTAGGAGTAAACCTGGAAACAGGAACGTCACACAGGTCTTAATGCTGTGTGATGCTAGACTGAAAAATGTTTTCTAAGAAGGTTTAAGCTGTGACTGAGTGGGTGCCTAGAGATTTGCCTTTCTTTGTTAAAAAATAATAATCAATAGCTTTTAAGTAAGAGGGCTTGAATAGGAAAGGGGAACAGTCAACCACGTACATAATGCTAGTTAATGCTTACTTGCAAGGTGTGAGAGAGATTTGTAAGTATCTTCGCCTCAAGTGTCATACTTTGGTAACATTTGGGGTACCTACGTACCTTGCAGCTACTTGCCATTTACATTAAAATAACTAATGAAATCATCATCAGTAAGATTGATTAACCCTGGAAATGGTGGGAAAGAGGAAAAAAGAAAGGTATCTTAGACAACCTTGCAAAAGGGCAAGGGAATTGCACACAAGAACACACTTTATTTTCAGCTGTGCTGAGATCAGCCCACGGAAGAAAGTATTCGTCTCCCTGCTCCACTTCAGCTGCTTGCCAATAGTAAGAGAGCAGCTCATGGGGCAACATTTTGCTGATAGTTCGCCAATGCAGGATAGCTTAGAATACCATGGGCAGTATTAAGGAAAGAGGAATAGAAAACCCTCACAAACCATGATTTAGCTGATATTCTGGGACACAGCCAGGATTTCAGCTAAATTACAATTAGCACAAACTATGGCTTGGCCCTATGTCCAAATGCAGTCTAAGCCAAACACATAGTTACAAAAGACTAGCTACATCTCCTTCACCACAAACTCGTTCAACCCCACCTTGTCTCTGAAGCAAAGGTAATAACAAGCATTTACCTTTTGTTCTTCTCTTTCTGTTGCATTATGACAGTGCTCGATTTTCCAATGCCTCAGAAAGTCTCGAAGATACCCGAAAAGGGTGAGGACACCATAGCCTACATAAGTCAGTACAGCAACCAGCATTGGTGTTTCCTCAAAAGCTTCATTGAAAGGTCTTTTATACAAGCCTCCATTCTGAGCGATATGCGGGAGCTACAAGGAAAAGAGAGCTGTTAGCAAGGCAGGATTAGTCAATTCCTTAAAAGTTTCAGATTGAACTTTACCAGTGTACACAACCAGCACCATGTCTTGCTCTCTACAGCCTTCTCTGAAGCCCCATGAAAACCCCTGCCAACCTACAACAATCACATTTTGGACTGCCCACGTTGACTGCAATCTTGGCCTGTGTTGCTCTCAAACACTATAAATATTGTATCAATTTAAAAAACAAAACAATATTTTTTTTACCCAGAGCTTTTTCTACAGCTCCCCAGGGTTTGTACAGGGTACCCAGCTTCTGAAGAATGATGAGTGCACAACATCTGAATGGGTTTGTAGAATTCCTGCCATGCAGCACCTTCTCATCTGCATGAGATTTTTAGGTTACGTACAATTTTTAGGTATTGATGTAATGCAACCTCCCAGAACATTTGGCCCCTGGATATTGTTACTCCTCAAGATTAGAGATTGATGTAAAACACCAGGTAGGCCCTCAAACTAGTAGACTCTGACCTAAGTGTTTTTAAATCTGTTGGGCTGTTTGGATATCTGAATCTGCAGTGTGTATAGCGAGCTTTTGGTACCAATTCCTTGTGTTTGGATAAGTGAATTGTTGTATAATGAGTGTTTGGACAGCAGGGCCTGGGTGTACAGTGGTGCTACTGTCCTCTCCGTGGCCAGTCCATTAAATAATAATGGTGCCATAAATAAAGCTTACAGCCCAGGCATAAATTAAGATAATCCGTATTTGAAGTCTTATGGTTCCAACTGTTTTCAGAATTGGTTAGGCACTAGGGTCTGGGTGATGCATTGATACATAGGCCAGAACCGGTCTGAGGGCCAGAGTGCAATGGCAAATTCACCCAGCGGTATACAGTGGTACCTCAGGTTACAGACGCTTCAGGTTACAGACACTTCAGGTTACAGACTCCGCTAACCCAGAAATAGTACCTCGGGTTAAGAACTTTGCTTCAGGATGAGAAGAGAAATCGTGCGGTGGTGGCGTGACGGCAGCAGGCAGCCCCATTAGCTAAAGTGGTACCTCAGGTTAAGAACAGTTTCAGATTAAGAACGGACCTTCCAGAACGAATTAAGTTCTTAACCCAAGGTACCCCTGTATCAAGAGTGAAACTGCCACCGCTCCCGAGGCCCTTCTCCACCTACAGTGCCTGGTGAGCGGAGGGAGGAACAAGTTGCATCGGTCTTGGCACTGTACCTCCCTCCACTTTTCAACATCATGATGTATCACTACATCACAATGTTTGGATGGTGATACATCACAATGTTGAAAAGCAAATATCACCCAGCCATATTAAGTACTGAAGTGGAAAAGGAAGCAGGAGGTATCGACTGCTGCCTGAACCACCAAAAGTAGACAGAGATATACTTCACATCTTCATTTAGTTCAGACTACAGCGGGCATGTCCAGCTTTCAAGAGACTGAGATCTACTCCACTCCCACTATAAAAAAAAACTGGCAGAGCTTTTTTTTGGAAGTCATAGTTGTTGACCTTTTTTTCTTTTCTATTTTTTGGGTGGGGGGACAGGCACCACAGGCACCCTGCGATCTACCAGTCGATTGCGATCTACCTGTTGGAGATCCCTGGACTACAGCATTCAGTGGAGCTGGGAAATAATCTGCTAATCGCCTTAACCCTGTAACTTGCTAGGACAGGTAAAGGTAAAGGGACCCTTGACCATTAGGTCCAGTTGTGGCCGACTCTGGGGTTGCTTTGCTCCCTTTATTGCATCTCCCTTTATTGGCCAAGGGAGCTGGGGTACAGCTTCTGGGTCATGTGGCCAGAATGACTAAGCCGCTTCTGGTGAACCAGAGCAGCGCACGGAAACGCCGATTACCTTCCTGCCAGAGTGGTACCTATTTATCTACTTGCACTTTGACATGCTTTCGAACTGCTAGGTTGGCAGGAGCAGGGACCGAGCAACGGGAGCTCACCCCGTCGCTGGGATTCAAACCGCCAACCTTCTGATTGGCAAGTCCTAGGCTCTGTGGTTTAACCCACAGCGCCACCCGCGTCCCTACTTGCTAGGATAGACTGCTATAAATTGCCTTACACCCGCTGCCCTTCATAACCCCTTGGAAGCTGCAGCTGATAGAAAATACAGCAACTGATGCAACAATAGAAAGAATAATAGGCTGGTCCACTACCAATGGCACCGGCTACCGGGCAAAACTCAAGATACTGGTTTGGGGAGTATACCATACATAACCATTGCACCAGAGCTCTCTCATCAAGATCAAGAGGACACTTCTACTAAGAGAACATATGCTAATAAGATTAGCTTGGTGTGGAAGAACAACACGTACTTCTCATTGATGGCTCCAATATTTCATAATTTGGTAGCTAGTACATCTTCCTCACCAGACCTTCACAAAACAAGGACTGTGTAAAGGCCTTAAGATAAATGCTAAATGGCTTACCGTATTTTTCGCACCATTGGACGCACCGGTCCATAGGACGCATCAAGTTTTTTTGGGGGGAAATAATGGAAAAAAAAATATTTCCCCCCCAGGCGCTTGTGGGGCCGGCAGCGGGGAGCGCTGCTCTCCCCGCCGCCCGCCTTGATATCAAGTCCGGGGACAGCGGGAAGACGCGCTGCGTCTCCCTGCTGTCCCCGGAGCTTGGGGGCAGGCAGCGGGAGAGCGCTCCTCTCCCCGCCGCCCGCCTTCAGATCAGGTCCGGGGACAGCGGGAAGACGCGCTGCGTCTCCCTGCTGTCCCTGGAGCTTGGGGGCAGGCAGCGGGGAGAAGCGCTGCTCTCCCCGCCGCCCGCCTTGATATCAAGTCCGGGGACAGCGGGAAGACGCGCTGCGTCTCCCTGCTGTCCCCGGAGCTTGGGGGCAGGCAGCGGGGAGAAGCGCTCTTCTCCCCGCCGCCCGCCTTCGACATCAGGTCCGGGGACAGCGGGAAGACGCGCTGCGCCTCCTGCTGTCCCCGGAGCTTGGGGGCAGGCAGCGGGAGAAGCGCTCTTCTCCCCGCCGCCCGCCTTCACATCAGGTCCGGGGACAGCGGGAAGACGCGCTGCGTCTCCCTGCTGTCCCCGGAGCTGAGGGGCAGGCAGCGGGAGAAGCGCTGCTCTCTCCCCGCCGCCCGCCTTCACATCAGGTCCGGGGACAGCGGGAAGACGCGCTGCGTCTCCCTGCTGTCCCCGGAGCTTGGGGGCAGGCAGCGGGGAGAAGCGCTGCTCTCCCCGCCGCCCGCCTTCACATCAGGTCCGGGGACAGCGGGAAGACGCGCTGCGTCTCCCTGCTGTCCCCGGAGCTTACGGGGCAGGCAGCGGGGAGAAGCGCTGCTCTCCCCGCCGCCCGCCTTGACATCATGTCCGGGGACCGCGGGAAGACGCGCTGCGCCTCCCTGCTGTCCCCGGAGCTGGGGCAGGCAGCGGGGAGAAGCGCTGCTCTCCCGCCGCCCGCCTTGATATCAGAGTCCGGGACAGCGGGAAGACGCGCTGCGCCTCCCTGCTGTCCCCGGAGCTTGGGCAGGCAGCGGGGAGCGCTGCTCCCCGCCGCCCGCCTTGCATCAGGTCCGGGACAGCGGAGACGCGCTGCGTCTCCCTGCTGTCCCCGGAGCTTGGGCAGGCAGCGGGAGAAGCGCTGCTCCCCGCCGCCCGCCTTGACATCAAGTCCGGGGACAGCGGGAAGACGCGCTGCGTCTCCCTGCTGTCCCCGGAGCTGGGGCAGGCAGCGGGAGAAGCGCTGCTCTCCCCGCCGCCCGCCTTGATATCAAGTCCGGGGACAGCGGGAAGACGCGCTGCGTCTCCCTGCTGTCCCCGGAGCTGGGGGCAGGCAGCGGGGAAGCGCTCTCTCCCGCCGCCCGCCTTCACATCAGGTCCGGGGACAGCGGGAAGACGCGCTGCGCCTCCCTGCTCTCCCCGGAGCTTGGGGCAGGCAGCGGGGAGAAGCGCTCTTCTCCCCGCCGCCCGCCTTCACTTCAGGTCGGGGTACAGCGGTATGCCGCGCTGCGTCTCCCTGCTGCCCCCGGAGCTTGGGGCAGGCAGCGGGAGAAGCGCTCTTCTCCCGCCGTCAGCCTCCAAACCACTTCGGGAGACAGCGGGATGGCGGCGTTCCGCCTCCCTCTGTCCCCCCGACCTTGTGGGGCTGGCGCTGGGGCTCTCCTGAAGCCTGGAGAGCGAGAGGGGTCGGTGTGCACCGACCCCTCTCGCTCTCCAGGCTTCAGTGAAAGCCTGCATTCGCACCATAGGACGCAAACACATTTCCCCTTCATTTTTGGAGGGGAAAAAGTGCGTCCTATAGTGCGAAAAATACGGTAATTTTTGCTTGGCTTAATCACTCTTTCATTCTAGTTTGTTACATTTTGTATGCTAATATGCACTACACTTATCAGGATTTTATTGGCTCGCATTCCTGGACAGAATATTCTGTTCTCCTTTTGATGCTCCATAATTTCAGATAATGACTTAGTGGTAAGGCCAATGAGATGTTTAGAAGCACGCAATATCCCAGGTTCTTGCACAAGTAAATCCTTCCTGCAATGTTGCCAACAAACATAGCAATCCATTTGGTGAATTTCAATGAACAAAATGTTTCATAACACAAACTAGAAGACTGCCTTTATATTAATATATAGCCTAGATTGGCTAAGAATGAAGAATTAACATGCATAAAATCATAGCTCTAATAAAATACAACATATAAGCTACTTGCTTTCTATCTTTTTCAGAGCTTTAGGTCACAGATGTGCATTCTTGGGATTGCTTCATAACAGTAACCAATCTTGTTTGAATTGTTCAAATAGTAATCTCAGTTAACAGCTTGTATTTAGTGTGCCAAGCAAAGATGGGAGGGTCCGAGAGTAAGAAACCTGATCATACCAAACATCTCTTAGAATCAAAGAATTGTAGAGTTGGAAGGGTACCCAAGTGTCATCTAATCCAACCCCCTGCAATGCAGGAATCTCAAGTAAAGCATCTATGACAAATGGTCATCCAACCTCTGCTTTAAAACTTTCCAAGGACGGAGAGTCCACCACCTTCTAAGGGAATCCGTTCCATTGTTGAACTGTTTTCTTTGCGGGGAAAAACAGTTTTAGTAAATCCTGTCAGCCTAGTAGGTAGGTAAAGTTAAAAAAGGTTAAAAAAGTATGGATGGCACTGTGGGCTAAACCACCAAGCCTGTTGAGCTTGGTGATCGGAAGGTCAGCTCTGTCCCAGCTCCTGCCAACCTAGCAGTTTGAAAGCATGCCAGTGCAAGTAGAAAAATAGGTACTGCTACAGTGGGAAGGTAAGCACCATTTTTTTAAAAAAAATGTTTTCTTGATTTTTGATTTTTTACAATATTGTAACATCTTATCTCCATTTATACATTTTTAGCTCCACCGAGCTACTCGACTTCCCTCCGTTCCATCGTCTGGTTTTTATAAAACACATATTAATTTCACACATTTATATCATCACAATTCTACATTTGTCCTATCTTATCATAAACTTGATGAAGAAAATAGAAAATTTATTCTAATATACGCTGCATGGTTTATCTCCGTCCTGCCTGTGTCTTTACATGTTTACAGTAACTGTCTATATACTGAATAAATTTGTTCCATTCTCTCTGAAATGCTTGGTCACTCTGGTTTCAGATTTTCCCTGTCAGCTTTGCTAGTTCTGCATAGTCCATCATCTTCGTCTGCCATTCTTCCACCATCAGTAATTCTTGCTGTTTCCACTTTTGTACTAACAAAGTTCTAGTTGCCGTAGTGGCATACATAAACAATCTCTGGTCAACTTTAGATATTTCCTCTCCAATCAAACCCAACAAGAATGCTTCAGCTTTGTTTTTTGTTTTTTAACAAAAGTATACCTAAACATCTTTCCCCAAAATAATTTATCACAAGTCTACCACATATGATAGAAGTCTCCTTCTTTAATATTACATTTCCAACAATTCTCTCATTTTATACATTCTAGCTAGTTTGGTTGGAGTTAAATACCATCTATAAATCATTTTCATTATAACTTCTTTCAATGCCATACATGCCATGAATTTAATTCCTTCATTCCATAATTTTGACCATGAAACAAATTGGATATTATACCCAAAATCTTTCACCCATTTTATCATTACCTCTTTTACTTCTTCATCTTTTGTGTGCCATTGTAATAATAAATTATACGTTTTTGACAAAATTTTACTTTTACTGTCCAACAATTTGGTTTCTAGCTTAGATCGAGAGAAGGTAAATGCCGTTTTCGTGAGCTCTGGCTTCCATCAAGGTGTTTCACTGTGCCAGAAGTGGTTTAGTCATGCTGGCCACTTGACCCGAAAAGCTGTCTGTGGACAAACACCGGTTCCCTCGGCCTGAAAGCAAGATGAGCACCGCATAGTTGCCTTTGACTGGACTTAACCGCCCAGGGGTCCTTTACCTTTTACCACAGTAGTTACTAGGATGACTGGTAGAATCAACATTTCACTGATTCAAAAATATTTAAGGTACTTTATCTTAACACTCTGAATACCAAAGCCTTTAATAGCTGCTGCTGCATCTTTTTTATATCGGTAATAAAGGTCTGCTACTTAATATACAGAAGCTGGAAGACAACGAGGCTTAAGAAAATGTATAAAAAAGGAAATGAACTGATGAAAAGGAAGCTCAAGGAAGTGACAAATCAAGAATGAGGCCAAAGGATATTTCCTGTATCACTTGCCACTAGAAATTGCTCAAAAGTGTGTCGTGCCCCTAGTGCACATGCTAGCAGCTGTTGGTAAAACAAACAGAGAAGTTTTTCTCCCTCTCTCACCAAATTCATGGACATCCAATGAAGCTGACTGTTGCGAGATTCAGGACAGATAAAAGAAAGTACAGTGGTTCCTCTGGATGCGAACGGGATCAGTTCCGGAGCCCCGTTTGCAACCTGAAGCGAACGCAACCCGCGTCTGTGTGTCTGTTCGTGTCGCGATTCGGCGCTTCCACGCATGCGCGTAAAGTCATTTTGAGCGTCTGCGCATGCGCGAGCAGCAAAACCCAGAAGTAACACGTTCCGTTAGTTCTGGGTCGCTGCGGAGCGCAACCCGAAAATGCTCAACCCGAAGCTACTTTAACCCGAGGTATGACTACTTCTTCACATACCGCATAGCCAAACTCTGGAAGTCACTCCCTCAGTAGGCAGTGATGGTCAACAACTTCAATGACTTTAAAAGAGGATTAGACAAATTCATGGAGGAGAGGGCTATCAACGGTGACTAGCCATGATGGCTATGCTCTGCCTCCACAGTTGGAGGCAGCAATGCTTCTGAATACCAGTTGCTGGAAATCACTGGAGGGGAGAGTGCCCTTGTGCTCAGGTTCTGCTCCCTGGTTTTCCACAGGAATCTGGTTGGCCAATGTGAGAACAGGATGCTGTACTAAGATGCACCACTGGCCTGATCCAGCAGGCTATTCTTACGTTATTGTATCAATCATGACCCATCTTCACACATTGCACATTCACTATGAATTTAGTTCACTTATCTTAAAGAACTCACTTGCCTGCTTGTAACAACATACAAATTCAGCACAACAACCCAAATTCTGAGCAGAGGATAATACTGTTAAAAATAAACTATCTCAAGTTAAAGATTCTCAAAGAATCTGAAGGATGATAGTACGGAGAGAAGTGAAGATGTGTAAACGGGGAACAAGTAAGCAAAAAAGAATACCATCACAGAAAAAGTGACCAGGGGATTGTGCAGACCACAGCCTTCCTCTCACTTCTGAGTCTTTGTCAAGCTTTGGCCACATCCAAGATTTTCTCTTAAAATATTATTTAAAATTTTGTGTCCCTGTCTTCAGCTGCAAGGGGGCAAGTGACACAAAATTTTATATAATATAAATAATATTCATTATAAAATATTATTTAAAATTTTGTGTCTCTTGCCACCTTGAAGCTGAAGATAGCTTATGATATTATGCTATTCATCTTTAAAAAACACTCATAATAAAATAAACTGGAGAAACTGGCAGTATTAAAACATTCTCAGAAGTCAGCAGCCAGGCTTTCTGTGGAACAAAAAATGCTTTATGATCTTTATGAAAAAAGAAAAGGGAAGGGCCATAACCCTGTGGAAGAACACATACTTTACATGCAAATGGTCTGAAGTTCAACCCCCAGCATATACAGGAAGAGCTAGGATGGACTCCTGCCTTAAAACCTGAAGAGCTACCACCAGCCAGTGTCAACAATACACACAGTTGAAATATTTTCCTCAGCTCTGACCCCAATGTATCTGTGGTAGTTTCCTATAAGGCCTTCTCCTTGGGATAATGGCAGTACCGCTGACTTACATATTATGTGTGCATTACATTTCAGGGGTAACACATAAATCCAAAATAGTCAAACAACCCTTTAAAACTGAGAAATGGCCCATAAAAATCATGGTGCAGCACTTACCAGCTACGGTACTTAGCCTTCCTCTTCAGTGCTTGATGTTGTTCCATGAAGTGATGGGAGTGGCTTGGGTGTATGATGGCGACTTGCATGTGAAGTGGTTGGCTCTGATTTAGCTTCAGAAGTAGATTGCATGGGCTCGTTTGCTGCTGTGTTATTTTTTGCGAGAAACATGGTGATTAGCAACTGTCACCGGTATCTCTTGAGCTGCTCAAACATTTCTTGATAAAGACTGAAAGTGTCTGTAACACCATGTGTGATTTTGAGGCTTCGTTCCAGAAAGGGATCAAAGTCAGCAATCAAATCATTTAGGTGCTTTGCTGTTTGGAAGACTTGAGTGAATTCAAGCAGATTTCAACTTATAAAAGCACATAGTTAAATTACGGAACAGAAGTGGTAATGGCCACTGGCTTAGATGACTTTAAAAGAGAATTAGACAAACTCATGGAGGGCACAGCTGTCAATGGCTACTAGCCATGGTGACTATGCTCTACTTCCAGTCAGAGGCTTCTGAATACCAGCTGCTGGAAACCACAAGAGGAGTGTTCTTGTGTTCGAATCCTGCTTGCTGGTTTCCCACAGGCAACTGTTTGGCCACTGTGAGAACAGGATGCTCTTCATTAGTCAATGTTTGTCCAAGACCCCCAATTATTCAACTACTTCCTTGACGCCAACAAAGCAATCAACCCCCGCTTGCCTGAATATCTGGACAATATGTTCCACTTTGTTGTTGAGCATTGGAAAACACTCAAAGCCATTCCGACATTATTTTCACAAGTTTCACCAGCATGCATTCACTGATCACTCAATGTAAGTGATGCAACTAGCCTTGTTTAAGTTGCCTTGAATCTGCGAAACACAACTCAGTCGAGAGGTTGGATAATGGAGGTCATATTGGGGGAGAAGAGAAAGACAATTTCAACACTGTTAAGGACAAAGTGGGTTGCCTCAGGGTGGCTAGGAGCACTGTCCAAAATCAGTAACAGTTTAAAGTCCAGTTGCTTCTTTTCAAGGTAGAACTTCACCATGGGAATGAAGCACTTGAGGAACCAATCCAAAAATGCTGCTGCAGTCATCCAAGTCTCTTTACTTGAACACAGGAAGGTTATTTTTGTTCTTGCCTTTGGGGGTTTTCTGACCTGTACAGCAAACCTGATTTATTAAATGCTCAACTGTATTGCCACACCATCTTTAGCTGCTTTGAAGTCAGGGATTTGTTTTCCCGTTTTGGAGATGTAAGTCTGGTCAGGCATTCCTCCCTCCCAAAAGAGGCCCATCTTGTCAGCATTAGAAACCTGCTCAGGAAAATATCCCTTTTCGTCTATCAGCTTCTTTAATTGCTCAGGGTAGGCTTTTGCTGCCTATTTGTCTGCAGATGCAGCTCCACCAATCATGTCCACATTTTTGAGGTTGAAGTGGTGCCTAAAACTGTCACACCAACCATGGCTGGCTTTGAATTCCTTCCCAGGCTGCCCATCCATAGCAGAAGGTTTGAAGAGTGCCTACATACAGGTTGAGAGTCTTTTGTCTCAACATGACAGGCACATGTTTACAGTTCATGTCTTCCAGCCATAATGCCTCTGCAGTCTTCACTAAAGCCTTGCAACACCTGCTGTCACAGCCTCACAGGTTTCTCTCTTGAACCTTGATGGCACAGATGCTGGATTCATTGCAGCTATATTTCCACGCCACACTGGAGACCGACATGCCATCCTCTCAAGCAGCTCAACGCAGCCACATTTCTTGCAGTGTTGGAACCAATCATTGTCTCCAATGTTGCACACCAGTGGAGGGACCTGGCTTGCATTTCATGGCCATGTTTTTTAATCTCCAAGGCCGCACACACCCTCCAGCTGCACCTCTACTCTCTCTCCCAAGGCTGCTGAATTCACCCTGCACCTCCAAACACTCCCCCAAGGTGAGTGCAATGGTGCAATGGGTTTGTTGACTTTCCTGTTGGATGCCCACCTTTTTACAGACAAGCGCATAAAGTTGAAATTCTGTATGTTAAATGTGCATAAGCTGCAACTTGACTGTATAAGCTCTGCTCATTGCTAAAGCAGTGGTTGCTCTGAGTGACAAAGTCACATTGAGACAGAGGCACAACTCACAGAGCAAGAAGGATAAAGGGCTCATAAAAGGAGATATGAGCTAAATTGCATAGGTTCCAAACCAGATAAGGCTATAAAGCTAAGAATCTGCACTATGAACCGAGTCTAGAAACTATATAAACAGTGCAATTAGACATACGCTCCTTTAAAATGAACAGCAAAGTACAATTCCTTGTGTTGCTTATAAACTTGGAGACATGAGAACTATATGTAGCCCAGGGATGAGAGGCTGCAATAGACTGATAATTTATTTCTCTAATTATTTGAAGATGGTGTCAAAACGCTTTATTCCAGTTATTTATTCTGAACTCTTGGGATACAGAAACTTGGAAATCTTCCTCCAAAAGAGGTTTATCAAAAAAAGAAAGCCAGATACAGGTCAGTAGCTGGTCATGAACTTACCTTTTTCTCTTTTTTTAGTAGGGAGCCATTCAACACCCTGAATGAGGTTACATAAACCCAGCTATTCAGTGATCCCAATGCTGTATTCCCCTGGTACCCAGACATGTATTATCTTAAGGGATTTCCCCTTTCTTGCTCCAACTGACAACTTAAATGCAAATTCCCAGTAAGCAGACATGGCCACTATGAATGTGGCTGCTATATACGTAGCAAGGGGAAACTCTCTCTCTATTGAAGCAAATATAGATTGACTACCCTAGATATACAAAGTAACTGATTTAAGAGGGGACTGACAGGGCTGGCACCAAGCCTGCACTATTCTGCTACACATTGAACAGAAACAAGGATAAATTAAGACACAGTACACAGTACAATTAAGTACTATCCCAAGTCTCAAACCTAGGAAGGTTATGCTTTACATACAGTAGACTCACAAGACATGAGGTGTCCTACCAAAGAATCCACAAAAGCAGTCACTAAGTATGCCATGCTGACTGCCCATCCCCAAATGTCCTTTCCTTTCTGGGAGTGAAGGAGTCAACCAAGATGAGACTCAGACAGGCTCTAACAATAATTGTGTACATGGTTACCAAAAGCTCTCAATGTGTGAAAATGCAGGAAGCTATGGAAGTTGCTCTGAAGGAACGGTTTCCGGCTGGGTAAGCCAACTGTTTCTGCTCATAGGAGCTAGCAGGAACTAAAAACCAAGGACTGGTGGTAGTGCATTCAGTTCCTTGCATTTCAGGCTAGCAATTCAAAATGTTAGACTTAAAGAGGGTTTGCTCAGTCTTACCTAAGATTGGCAAGATGAAAGAACAATGCAGGACATGATTTCTCTCCCTGCTTTTTGACACAATTCATAACTCAAGCTAGAAATGTAGAATGTTTAAAATCATAGCAGTTCTTTGTAATAACATTCAGTGTATTCAAAATTCAAAGAATGCCCTGCAGCTGGCAGAACCACTCTTTTCTAATGTATGTGTTTTATGGTCTGACCCTCTCTATTGCTGCTCAGAAGTTCCACCACGTTTAGTGTATATTTAAGTGTATATAGAACTTCAGAAAAACATGGTGAGAACTCATTTGTAGAACAGTTGGAAGTCTTGTAACTTGAACACAGCATGTTACTCAGTTGTTTTAAATAAAACTTTTTTGCACCATTGCGAAAGTGTGCTTTACTTATTTATCAACAAAAATCTTTATAGACTGCTATTCATTAAAATTCAGAGTAGTTTACAACATGCGTATATAAAACCATACAAGAAAAACCACATAAAAAGTTATAATCAGAGACCCACTAACTATTAGCAAAAGATCTTTTCTTCATTGCTACTATAAGGTTGGTGACACAGAAAGGTTTTCAGCAGGTGCTTAAATTTTAAAACAGAAAGTGCCTGCTAAGCATCTATTCAATGGTAAGTTCACAAGACTGGGCCAATAAAACAAAAGGCTCAGTTTCTAGTTGCTGTCAAATGAGCCTCATCAACTCAAGGGATAACCAACTACACTCCTGCAGATAATTTCAGTGATTGACCGCAGCCACCACAGATGCTTTAACAATGGTGTCACATGTTGTTGGCCATGTGGCCCCATGAACAGTCTTGCTGCTGCATTCTGCTCCAATTGGAATTTCTGAACGAAGCCCAATCACATTTCCACACAGAGCATGTTGCAGTATCAGGCTATCCCTGTGCAACAATGGCCATAGCTTGCAACCCAGGCAGAACTGGTAAAAGGCATTTCTAGTCACAGAGGACATTTGAGCATCTAGTGATGGAGATGTATCTGGGAGCTCCCAAGCTATGCACCTGCTCCTTCAGAGGGAGTACAACCCTATGGAGAACAGATAACTTTCCAGTCTCCTAGGTAGGGGAATCACCCACTCCAAGAGGCTCTCCTTCCAGGATTCAAATACAGTTTATTGGCCCATATCCAGTCCAACAGTTCATTCAGACACCAATCCAGAGTTTTCACAACTTCTCCAGATTCAAATGCTGTGAGAAACATAGGCGCATGTGTGTGTGTTTGTGTGTCACAGGTTCTAAATGATCTTACATACCCAAAATCTGATTTAAGCATGACCCTTGGTTAGTATTATTTATTAAATTTGTATACAACCCTATACCCACTTTCCCAGAAACTGGAAGCAGATACTGCACCTGAGACACAGTTTCTAGCTAGCCTATTAAAACAGGTCTCAGTACAAACTGCCATAGAACACATGCTTCATGTGAACATGTAGTTTTCTTCATTTCTGTAATAAAAATGCCTGGATAAGGAATGTCCAAAATGCATAGTTTTCTCACCTACTGTAAATGTTTAATATTTGGGCTTTTAACAAAAATTATATGTTTGCATATAAAATTCAAAATGGAAAAGGTCAAAAGGCATGAAGTGAATCAAATATTAAAAACAATGTGTTCACTGAACTTATACAAAGTCCGAGATATTAATTCATTCACTGAATAAATTTAGATCACGTCAAAAAATGCCTATACAGTGGTACTAATGCAGTATTATGGTGAGACTGGACTTCATGGATGGCCAGTAAAAAAAAAATAGTTGTCTACCAAGGTCATCCAGATACCTCACAAGGTTGTTGAGGAATATAAGAAAATTTGTACAATGAAGTGATTGTCACCAGAAGACAACGGCAGTAGTAATCAGTAAGCATTTGTCAGCGTTGCATACAAGTGAAACAGAGCAAATCAAAACACAATAATAGGGCAGCAAGTTTACTCACTAGTAAGTGTATGTAGGATAGACTTGAAGGCTACTAAATTCTGCAAGTCTAACTTCTAAATAAACTGACATATGATCAAGCTACAAGAAGAAAAGCAGCAAAACACAATAAATCATAACCAAACTAAGTGTCAATAATGGCCAGAACATCTTAAGATATAAAAAGTAGTACAACTACTAAACACACTTCAATTTCAAGCATCAGTTCCAGAAATAAGTTATACACACAGTAAACTGGAGCAGGATTCATGGCTTTTATATAAAGCACCAGAATGTGGCCTTAATTAGAAATTCTGTGTTTCTTTTTTGTTTTACCACACACACACACACACACACACACACACACAGCATGCCAAATTCAGAGGGTTGCACCCCTGTGAACCCCCCCCCTAAACTATAGAAGAAACACAGTTTCAGGCTGCTGTGAATGCAGTTAAATAAGGAGGATCAAATAGGTGGCAGATTCCCTTCTTACCTGGCCCTGCGGCTTATCGAAGGCTAGATACGGGAGTCTCATCCCTATCCCCCACCAAACAACTGGGGGCCACAACTTACCCTTCTGCTCCTAATTCCTGCCACTTCCACCCCTGTCCTGGGGCTTCCCCCTTGATCTGAATATGAAGCTCGGCAAAGAAGACCATTTTGGGGGGGTGGGGGTGACAGGCCTGCCCTCGTGCCATCTTTTATTAATTAGGATGCATTGGAATGGGGGTGAAGGAAACTCGCCTTCCAGCCCCGGAAGAGAGTAAGCAGCTGTCTTAGCCTGGAAACCTCAACGAAAGCAGCCAGTAAGGCCGGCGCTGTACTCCTCCTTTCTTGAATGCGAAGAGGAAATTCGGCTACTGAAACCAGGGGAGTTAATTTCGAGACACGAAGTGTGCGTGTCCCTGCGGAAATCATCCTGGGCTTCCAAAGCCGCCAAGAAAGGGAAGGGAAGGGAAGGGAAGGGAAGGACGCCAGCTCCGAGTTAGATTAACTCCCCGTCCCCTCGAGGAGAAGAAGAGGAAGGGAAAGGGAAAGGCACTTTTGCTTCCCTCCGTCCCTTCCTGGAGCGGGGAGTCGCCTGACTCTGCCAGCCTCGAGCGTTCCTCTCGGCCACGCCAAGGAGGGCAGGGCAGGCGGGAAGAGGCAGCCGAAGGAGCCTCTGTGCCGCTCCAGGCCATCCTTCTCCCTCCTTCCCCACTGCGGGGGACGCCAGAGGCAAGCGCGGCCCAGCCCAAGAACCTCGCCCTGAGGCGAGACTCCAGGCCAAGCGGACGCGCGCCGGGACCGAGCAGGCCGCGGCCTGGGTTCCGCTCTGGGGAGGGGCCGCTCAGCAGCGGCAGCAGGGCGCGCCCGGCAGAGGAGCCCCGTCAACCCGCCTCACCTGGCCGTGGGGCTCCGCTCCTGGGAAGCCTCGCACGTAGCCGTTCTTCAGGCCGTGGTGCCCGGTGAGGCTGCAGCCGTTGGCGCGGGGCTCCCCGCTCAGCTTCCCGGCGCCGCGCTCCATCTTGCCGGCTCAGTCAGTCAGCGGCCAACAGCCGAGAAACCAACCACCGCCCGTCCCTGCCTTGGTAATATCGCACCGGAAACGCAGCCGGAAGCGCCCGCCAATGACAGGCGGGAACGTCACGGCGGGGCGGGGTCGGAGCGTATTACTACACTGACACGGTGGGGCGGGGTGGTGCGCAGAGTGGAAACGCCCTCGAAAGGCAAGCCGGGCGGCGGGACCCAGATGCCTAAGCTCGGCGGCTCCGCGCCCCGAGATTCGAGAGGGCCAATCCCGAAGAAGGCGGTGTCGGTTTCGGGGCGGGGTTAAGCGGATGGACGGTCCAATCGTAGCGGAGAGGGGGCGGGACTAGTACGAATCGCCCCGTGAAGGAGGAGCGCCGGCTTCTGCCGGCGAGGCGGAGCCAAAAAAAGCCGCTGAGGTGGTTGCCTTCGGCGGTTCGAGCCCGGCCTTAGCAGGTGGGATTCGGTGTGGCGTTGCCACAGAACGATGCATTGAATTTAAAGCCCGTTTGGCCTTTGATCTCTTTCCTACTGGAATGTTTATTTTTGAAATAAGCTAATTTCACCTCGACAAACCTAGACAGCATCTTAAAAAGCAGAGACATCACCTTTCCGTATAGTTAAAGCCATGGTTTTCCCAGCAGTGAGAGCTGGACCATAAAGAAGGCTGATCGCGGAAGAAGTGATGCTTTTGAATTATGGTGCTGGAGGAGACTCTTGAGAGTCCCATGGACTGCAAGAAGATCAAACCTATCCACTCTTAAGGAAATCAGCCCTGAGTGCTCTCTGGAAGGGCAGATCCTGAGGCTGAGGCTCCAATACTTTGGCCACCTCATGAGAAGAGAAGACTCCCTGGAAAAGACCCTGATGTTGGGAAAGGTGGAGGGCACAAGGAGAAGGGGACGGCAGAAGACGAGATGGCTGGACAGTGTTCTCGAAGCTAGCAGCATGAGTTTGACCAAACTGCGGGAGGCAGTGGAAGACAGGAGTGCCTGGCGTGCTCTGGTCCATGGGGTCACGGACACGACTAAACAACAACAAAATTTCCCCTTTCCTGACTGAGATTGCGGTTGCCAAGACGACGCTGCCACCTGAAATGACTTTTCTGTTTCACGCTCTTCGGGATGGATCCCGGACAGGCGATTTGGCAAAGGGGAGCTGGAAGCTTTTGGTTTTTTTGAAGAAGCTTCTTCTTCTTCTTCTTCTTCTTCTTCTCATCAAAGCTTTTGAACAAGCGAACAGTCTGCGGGTGAGATGGGGTATTCCACACTTACACGTGTTATTAGGAACTGTATGTGTGGTTGCATTATTACAGAGGAAAAAGCCGGCTGGCCCACTCATGAGGCAGAGTGAAGCGGCCACCTTGGGCGACAGAACATTTATACACTGCTTGATTGTAAACAAACAAAGAAACCTCAAAGCAGAAGTGATCTCCTGATTATATGACTGTAAAATCCTTTATGCACTTTCTCTTTATCATGCCACAAATACGCATGCCATCCAAATCTGTTATCATGTCCTTCAAGATCTAACAAATCTGTATTTTCTAATTTAATCCAGTCCCGGATCCAAGCAATGCAAGCAGCTTCCTAATATAATTTAAAATCTGGAAAGGAGAAACCCCTGTCTTTAACGCCCATAAGTAATTTATATTTTATTCTTGGTTTCTTCCCTTTCCAGATAAATTTTGCAATAGCCCTTTGCCATTTCTTGAAGCATGCTGCATTACTTATAACCGCTACTGACTGAAATAAAAATAACATTTTTGGCAATACACTCATCTTAATCACTGCAATTCTTCCTAACTATGATAAATCCATTCTTCCCCATATTTCTAAATTCCTTTTTATTTTGTTCCAATTTTTTCATAATTGTCTTAATAATGTTAATATTTTTGGTTGTCAACCAAATTCCTAGCTATTTAACTTTTTTATGGATCTCTATTGCTATATTCTGCTGTAGTTCTTTTTTATCATTTTTGATAGATTTTTCACTAACAACTTTGTTTTATTTTTATTCACTTAAAACCTGCCACTTGCCCAAATTCCTGTACTTTTTTCTAAAACTTTCGAAAGAGAGTTCTTAGGGTCCTTGACTGTAATTACAAGGTCATCTGCATATGCCTTTAATTTATATGTCTTTTTCCCCACCATAATTCCTCTAATGGTTTCATCTGCCCTGATATTTCTCGTCAGGACTTCTAGAATCAAAATAAATAAGAAAGGTTATAATGGACATCCCAGTCTTGTTCCTTTCTGTATCTTACAATTATCTGTTACCACCCGATTTACAATTAATTTGGCTTTTTGATCAGAATATGTTGCTTGAATCCCTTTCCTAAAATTTTCTCCAAAATTCATTTCAAGGACTTTTTTCATAAATTCCCATGAGACATTATCAAACGCTTTTTCAGCCTCTATAAATATCAATGCTGCCTGATTTTCATTTCTTACTTCCATGTATTCTATAACATCTATGATATTTCTTATATTATCCTTCATTTGTCTCCCCAGAAGTAAACCTGCCTGATCGTGATGTATAGATTCCTCCAATATTGTTTCTATTCTATCACCCAATATATTAGCTAATAGGGTGTGCTCTGGCCTTATATCATGTTGAGAGAGAGAAAGAGAAAATTACTATAGAGTCTGCAGGAGAGTAAAGGTATTTCCTATCCTTTCCCTTTATCCGATTTGGGATGCGATGCATGCCAAGAGCAGAAATCAGTATGATTCTTATTGCTTGAGAAGCCAGTCTGGTCAGAGTAGCACATAGCAATGATGCCTCTGCCAAATATATGGCAGTCACTTCAGATGTCAAGAAGCGAAGATTTAAAGATTAGATGCCAGAAACAGGTGTGTGTTACTGGATGACAACAGAAAGGATAGGGACTCATACGGCCAGTTTTCAGCATGAGGCAAATATATGAACCCTGGTAGATCAAACCAAAGCCCTATCTACCCCAACATCCTGTTTCAACAGAAGCCAGCCAGATAACTATGGAAAGCCCACAAACAGGACACAAGGGCAACAGCCCTCTCCCTTTGATTGTTCCCTTTGCTGACTCTGATCTTGGAGGTAGTGTGCAGTACAGCCATAATAATAATAATAATAATAATAATAATAATAATAAATTTATTACATACCTCGCCCATCTGACCGGGCCTCCCCAGCCACTCTGGGTGCCTCCCAACAGAATATTAAAAACACGGCAAAACATCAAACATTAAAAACTTCCCTAAACAGGGCTGCCTTCAGATGTTTTCTAAAAGTCAGATAATTGTTTATTTCCTTGATATCTGATGGGAGGGCATTCCACAGGACGGGCGCCACTACTGAGAATGCCCTCTGCCTGGTTCCCTGTAACCTCACTTCTCGCAGTGAGGGAACCCCTAGCAGCCCCTTGGAGGTGGATCTCAGCTGAATGATGGGGGTGGAGACGCTCCTTCGGGTATACTGGGCTGAGACCATTTAGAGCTTTAAAGGTCAGCACCAACACTTTGATTTGTCCTTGGAAACGTATTGGGAGCCAATTTATGTCTTTCAGGACCAGTGTTATGTGGTCTCGGTGGCCACTCCCAGTCACCAGTCTAGCTGCCACATTCTAGATTAGTTGTAGTTTCCGGGTCCCCTTCAAAGGCAGCCCCACGCAGAGCGCATTGCAATAGTCCAAGCGGGTTATAACAAGAGCATGCACCACTCTGGCAAGACAGTCTGCGGGCAGGTAGGGTCTCGGCCTGCGTACCAAGTAGGGCTGGTAGACAGCTACTCAAAGTATAAACCCTGGGCCTGAAACCCCAGAAATCTTGCACTGCTTAGAGATCGGGATGGTAGGCAATAATATGAATTCTACACCTCTATGAGACTAAAGATTCATAGAGAATATGCTCTCTAGACTCTTGCTGAATGGTCTGCAGGTGAGCAAAGTGTAAGACTAGTGGATTTGTAGCCAATTACATTGCATGATTTTAAATTTATTTTCTAATTGCTTTATACCCTCCAACATTTCTCTGATGAAAATAGGGATGTTCTTAATAATAATAATAATAATAATGGTGGTTGTTGTTGTTATTGTTGTTAATTTATACCCCACCCATCTGACTGGGTTGTCCCAGCCACCCTGGGTGGCTTGCAACATATGTAAAATAATAATAAAACATTAACCTTTTTTTTTTTTAACTTCCCTATACCTTCAGATGTCTTCTAAAGGTTGTATAGTTAGTTATCTCCTTGGCTTGAGGGTTGCATAACTCCATACCCTCCAGCATTTCTCTGCTGAAAATAGGGACATACTAATTCTAGGATCAAATCAGAAACTGGGATGGCTTCTGTAAATCCAGGACTGTACCTGGAAAATAGGGACACTTGGATGCTGTTTTGCAGATAAAGAGGTTTCAGTCAGAATAACCCCCCTTTCCCCTAGTTGCAGGCACAGCACTTTTGTCTCTCTGTTATATTCACTCCAACTTCCTGATGATGTCACTCTTGTGTGAATGTGTCTTAAAAACAATGCAAGAATTTAGTCTTACTTCCTGGTGCAGCATTTCCTGACTAAATGAAAACACGTAACCGCACGTAAAAGGAAGAGAGAGAAACTTAGAAGTAGTGCACCACAAAGGACACAGGACAGACAAGCATCACGTAAGAATGAAAGGCAAGAGAAAATATTCTTCATTGTTTAGTCTTGTCTGAGGCTAGAAAAGGTTGAGGTTTGCCTACCATTAACTAATCAGAAGTATATGCAACAACAGAGATGTTCTGTATAACTCAACTGCTTGTGTACTGTTACCTATTTTTCTATGTCTTACGTGCACACACGCACAAATGTTATTTTATGACAATAGCTACATTCAGTGTTTGAACAAAGTTTCTGCCATTGAAAACAAAATGGTTGGGGAGGATAAAATATGCAAGTCTGCAATATATTCAAGACTGATTTCCGTATTTATTTATTCCCCATCTCTCTGCCTTATATCCAGAGGCAGTTCACAACAAAATGTACAAATCCATTCAAGAAATAAAATCAATAAAATCAAAGCAACATTAGAAACAAAAAGGGCGAGAAAAGATCAAAGGAAACCGCTGCAAAATAGCATTACATTGGAGCATTGGTAGGATAAATCAAATGCCTTCAAAATGTCAGATCTAGCACTTTATAGGTCAATGCAAGCACTCTGAATTATGGGTGAGAATATGGTATAAAATAGTACAGTGGTACCTTGGTTTATGAACTTAATTCATTCCAGAAGTCCGTTCTTAAACCGAAACCGTTCTTAAACTGAGGCGTGCTTTCCCTAACGAGGCCTTCCGCCGCCGGTGCCCTTCCACCGTTCAGCTTCTGTTCGTAGACCGAGGTAAAGTTCGCAAACACTACTTCCGGTTTTGCAGAGTTCGTAAACCGAATAGTTCATAAGCAGGGCTGTTCATAAACCGAGGTGAGGCGTTCCCAAAGTAAAGGAAGGATTGAACTCTGATTAATAAGAATACTGTACACACAGAGGCTTGAACCAGCAAGACTCTGGGAAGGGTGCGTATAATAATAATCTCTCTCCTCCACCTCTCAACCAGGTCGTTTTATTCACAAAAGAACTTTTACAGAGTGTTTGTAAGAACCAATAAGATTTCTTCTGAGCATTTCAACAAACCCACATTGGGACAAAGATAAACTACCAAAACTAATTAAGCATGGGGTAAACAAAACAGAACTACAAAGGAGTGCATTTGGCAACCCCGGGAGGTGATAAACAAGCATATACATGATGAGGATGGCCAGGAGGACAGCGATCATTATCACCTTCACGTCATGTGAGATCTGTTTCCTGGCCCTAAGATTAATATCCTAAGATTAACATACCAGAAAAGCTACATCAAAAGAAGCTGCCCACTATCTTTGATGACCCAGGATGCCTGCCTGCAGTATGTGACTTGTCAAGAAAGAGAAATGGAACAGGAATGCAGAGGTGTGGATTGATCAAGAATCATATCAAAATAGTTTAAACCCAGTCAACGCAATGCTTTCATTGCTGACACAGATGGCTTACTCTATATTTCTTATAATTCCTCATAGCAATCCCACCTGATCACTACACCGAGGAACCACTGTATTCTGAATGCTCCCCACAGTGACTACCTGAGTGAAATTTACAGGCAGTCCCTTTGTGACTCTCTCAGATTTACGTATCAGGTGCAAATCCTCCTTGCTGGCTGGTTCTTCCTTAGGAGAATATTTGGGAGAACCATGACCAACAGTAAACAGTGGCTCTGGCAATTCCAGTTCAGCCTCAGACGATGGCTTGGACATTGCTTGTGTACCTCTCTCAATAACTGTGTCATCTGTACTAGAACTGTCAGTGGTGCTTTCAGTGTCACTCTCAATGTCAGAATCTACATCTGTGTTGGGATTGATGGGGAAACTGTGGAGAACCTCTCTCTCCTGTCATGCAGTGCATTCTATATTCCTAGTAAGAATCACTGTGTCAGAATCAGGCAATAAAACTCTGTGTTGATCTTTCTCATAACCCGTGAAAATGCTCTGTGCACCTTTTGCACCTTGCCAGTGTGGTGTAGTGGTTAAGAGCGGTAGACTCGTAATCAGGGGAACCGGGTTCGCTTCCCCGCTCCTCCACATGCAGCTGCTGGGTGACCTTGGGCTAGTCACACTTCTTTGAAGTCTCTCAGCCCCACTCACCTCACAGAGTGTTTGTTGTGGGGGAGCAAGGGAAAGGAGAACGTTAGCCGCTTTGAGACTCCTTCGGGTAGTGATAAAGCGGGATATCAAATCCAAACTCTTCTTCTTGCAGTTTCTACCCACATGTGAGACCCGAAAAGCTTTAAGTGCTTGACAGAAGGTTTTCTCTGGAACAGTTTCTCAAAAGGTGAACTTTCCATACCAGCGGAAACCTTTCTTACCCACGTGTAAGAAAAAGCATTCAGCAATTCAGCCCAAAACTCCTGGGGCAAACCTGCACTTTCATGCCTTGTTCCAACTCTGTGTTCACCTTGACACATACTCTCTTCTTCCATGAAGCTTCCTTCATATGAAGCAACCTTATGCTCAATCTCCTGTTCACATCTGAAGGCTGCAAGAGTCAACACTGTTTCCTCAGACCAAAGTCGCTTATCACCGGTCTCTCTGGACTGATGGAGATTTATAGCCAGGGAGGACCATCGGAGATACGCCCCGAAGACTTGGGAAGTTGGCGGCCTTACCCGGCGTGTTTCCAACAAGATTTCCAGGTGGGAGTTGATCATGGTGAGGGTTTGCCAAGCATGCCTTCCTCTTGGCACGTTTCTCCCTTTCGTCCTGAGTTTGAGCGTTTTCAAAACCCATGACACCTTTGGTAAAGGCTATTCTCCAATTGGAGCGCTCACAGGCCAGTGTTTCCCAGTGGTTGGTGTTTATACTACATTTTTTTTAAAGATTTGCCTTGAGAGAGTATTTGAATCTCTTTTGTTGACCACTAGAATGAGACCACCAATATATCAACTAATATTGGAATTCTAAGGAAGAAAATAAGTTGAAACATTTTGGTCCCCCATCTTGTTTCAAAATGCTATCCAAACGTACAATCTCAGGAACTGTCACACCAAATTGGGTGACAGTACTTTGAGAGGTGTCCAAACTGGTGCAGTTTGGAATGGTGTGATTTGTCATCTTAAAGGTACCATGCGCCATATATTTAATTAAGAATGCATACCAGTACTTGGCAACAATATGGTCGCACAACTACTATCTTAATGAGGCAGATAGCTAACATTGTGGCTGCAGGCATGGATGTACTTTCTCCCTGTGTCTAATGGAGAAAGACTGCTGACCATTGGTTAGAGTGGTGGATGTGGGAGACCTCTGTAAAGACCTTGTGTAGCCATGGCACCATATACTCAAATAAATAATATTGTCTGATAGGTGATTTTCTATTGCAAACCACCTTGTGTATTTTTAATTAGATCATTCAATCAGCACAAGCTTTTCAGCATGCCAGTCAGAATGATTCCCTATCCCCCCTTGCACTGTTCTGGGGTTTCTCCTAACTCCCCCCCCCAAGCCCATTTTAGAGGGTGCGAGGGGGAGGAGAGGGAGAAAAGCCCCACTGCAAAAGTCCTTGCTCAGGCTTCCGCTAGCAGCACTAGTTAGTTGGATCCCCCCCCCCCCCCATGTTTAAAGCCTTGCTAATCCTTTTTATAGCAGCTAAGCAAATAATAGATCAGCTATTGGAGAATAGCTGCCAATCTATCACAGGAGGCATAACTAGAAAGAGTCTGGAACATTGCCCTCATGGAAAAAATGACAAAGCAACTTAAAGCTCTAAAAAACAAACAAACAAAACCCCCCAAATATTACTCTGAAGGAACTTGGTATGTTTAATACACCAGACAAGGCAGTATGATGACAAATCCACCAGCAACACAGAGATGAACTCCACCACCAACACATAACCTGTTATTTTATCTTATCTTATCCTCAATGACTGCAGTTACTCACAAAACAACAGGTGGAGTAGATCATCACTGATCTTCAACTGCTGGGTCACGGCCTGACTCAAGCTGGGCCATAACAGGAGCACTACCACCATGCCAATATATGGTAAAAGATTGAAAACTGGGTCCCCAAATGCATGTTTGGGTTAAAAGTGGATCCTAGGTTGAAGATACCTGACTTGTTTTTTATGGGTTCAGCATGTGCTGTTGTGAGGGGTGGGGGAAGCACCTGGGGATTTATCTTAGATGTATTTGTTCTTTTGTAACTATGACGAAAATTCAAAAATAAAGGCGTGTTGTTGATTTTTAAGTGCAGCCTTCGGCCCCTGAAACAAAAACCACCCCTAACTTAGCAGTATGCTGTTAGTATGATGAAACATTGACATCACTCCTTAGATGTAGTGTGTATGTACATAAGATTTCTATATGCTTAACAAACCTGTTGAACTTTATTGGTTACACATGAAAACAGGAGCTTTAAACAGTCCCCAATGTAAGGCTCTTACTAACAGCTGTGTGATGAGAGAAAACACATTATCGTCGAGCTTATTTAAATGCTGCTTTTCCAATCTGTGCTCAAAGTGGCTCACTAGAACAATCAACAAATTAATATTGAGATACAACAGAAATACGTTCTTGAATAGAAACACATTTCGTAAAAGACCGTATTATCTCCACGGTGGCAAACTAGCAAAAAAACATTCCCCCAAACGTGTCAGGAGGAGCCTTAGTAGCTGACGTCAGCCAGGGCACTGCCCTCCCAGGCCAGGTGGAAATGTGTCAGGCAGAGGACCAGTTATTGGGGGAGGACTCATAGCTAGATGGTCTTTCTGCGCCTTGATCTGCAGGATGCAGGATAAGATGCAAGAGCAGCATCTGCTACTGGAGTCAGCTAGAGCCTCACCTTCCCAGACCAGCAGGTTTATCTTTCTCCATCACTGCATCTCCAGGCTGATAGAAGTCCGCATGCCAGGCTGCTGCTAAATAAAGGCACATAAACCCTGCAAGAAAAAAAGGCAGAAACTCCCAAATCGCTCATGATTCTGCCAGAGGATAATTCTCTCTCTCTCTCTTTTTTACTCCCTTTGTTATGCAGTGCGCCAAGTGCTGTGTGAGTCAAGGCACCGGTGGTGGATCGTGCTTCTGAGCACTCGGTCTGGTTCTCAACAGAAATGGCATTGTGTTCGAAGGCTTCTAGCAGCTGTAATCTGCGTGGTGTTTAGCTGTTACGCCAGGAGCAGCCACAAGGGGGAAGGAGCAGATCAGAAATGGCAAAAGGGATCATCCAGAAGGGAGGCTTTTCAAAGCACAAGATGGGCCACCTTATGTAGGAATGATCTTTTCCAAACTGGGTTTCATGGCTGCCATATTGGGCCAGGAGATGTGATATGGGCCTATTTCCACCTTGTATCCTATAACAAACACGACTGATATATGCCTCCTCTTTGTTTATCTTGAATGATAGTGGCTGACATGCCCAAATAGAACAATATCCTCCTTGCATGATGGCGTTCAAGAAAGGTGGGTTGAGTGGTTCCTGGGCAAAATGCCCCTTTAGGCTTTCCTGGCACTTGTAACATCAGCAACAATTCAAAGGTGGCCAGGTGTGGCCATTTTAATTTCCCATAATGCCCAGAGCACCTGACATGGCACCCCTCCAAGGGAATTATGGGAAAGTTAAATGCAGGCTTAAGACACAATTGTCATAGAGGGGCTGGAACTGGACCCTGGAGTCTAAAAGCTGTCCTAGGATGCCAGATGTTGACAGCAGGCTGTGTGTGTGTGTTTTTTAATAGCTGGTTCTCTCGCGTTTCTTCTTTGGAGACCCTGAAACACACAGCAGCCCGTGTGCTTTTGTTCTACTATCTCTGCTGGGGGACCCGCCATGCTCCTTCTGGGGTAGTTTGTCTGTCTTTGGCCCCCACCATGCACTCAGCTCTCACCTGCGGCTCCTGGTCAACATGCAGCAGTGGCCGCACCCCGGAACTGGCTTTGACTGATCAGTTAAACAAGGTGAGAGTAGCCAATAGGTCTTTAAACCCCTGGTGAGTTAGGGACTTCCCCTGCCCATGAAGACAGGCTCCAGCGGATTGAGCAGGCGACACTAATAGTGGGTGCAATGGTCAAAGAAGCGGTTTCTGCGCGTGCTGTTGAGGGAAATGAGGGGCAGATGGGACTCTTCAACTTGGGAAGGTAGCCCATCCAGGAGAAGGAAAACTCTGATCCTAAAACTCCGCTACCTCGCGGGACATCTTTGAGAGAAGAAAAGGCTAAGGAGTAAACCCTACTCAAATCTGGAGTTCCTAAAATGATTGGATTGCACCTTGTATGTCTCCTTCCTGCAACCCCTGCAGCCAAGCTGGTGCTAAATGTATTGCTCTACTTTCCTTTGAAAGGGGCCGAAAAGGGGGGGGGGGGTCCTTGTCATCTGGGCAGCGCAGAATCTTCCAACACACTGCCCAGGCTTGGACCCCAGGGAGGTCACTTTTGCCACCAGCTTCTTGGGTCTGCTGTGTCTGCGACAAGTGGTTCCCTCCCCCCCCAGCTGTGTCATCTTTCTTTTGTTTTCATTATTCTGGTCGATGTTCACTCTCATTCCTTGGCTTAAGAGGCCCAATGTGAGGAAGTTTGACTTTTGCCATATTCACAACATACATTTAAAGCACCACGATACGACTTTAAACAGTCACGGCTTTCGCTAAAGAATTCTAGCTTTCGCTTGTTAAAGGTGCTGGGAGTTGTTAGGAGACCCCATTCCCCTCTCAGACCTGTAATTCCTAGAGTCCCCTGGGAAGAGAAATTGACATTAAACCTCTCCTATTATCTATTGTGACCCCACTCCCTGCACTACTGCATTTAGAAAGCTGCAGTCAGATGTGACTCAAGTTGGGCAGAGTCAATAGGTAGAGCTTGTTTCCTTTAAGGCTCCCTATTTTTTGAGAACTGTGGGAAAAGGATTGGAAATGATAATAGTAGTAATAATAAATACTAATTAGTTGCTTTCCTCACAAAAGCGGCCCAAAGTGACTTAAACACTGAAACAATTACAACAAGCACAACTGATCAAAACCTAAAAAACACATCTGTATAAATAAAAGACATGTCCTGCCCCACTAAAAGAGACTACAAGTTCCTGAAATCCTTCAAATTGAGGACCAAAAGCCTGGCACCTAAAAATAGATTAAGCTGGTGCCAGGCATGCCTCCCTGGGGACAGAATTCTACAAGTGAGGGACCACCACTGAAAAGGCCCTCTGACCCTTCCTATAGGGAACAGTAGTCCTTGAGGTATTGGGGTCTAGAAGCTTTATGTGAAAACTAGCCCTCTGAACTGAGTCCAGAAACTAAACTGGCTCTGGGCAGAACCTGTTAAATAGTCTGAGGGGAAAACAACCCGAAGAGGTCAAAGAGACTGGCAAACAGACTTTAATAGAATCTAAGGGCTCATCCAGACTTCTTTTTTGCACCATGCTTTCCAGTCACAGGTCTCCACTTTAATGCCGCATGTCCAAGTTGTGTTTTTATTTTATTTTAGCTCTGGCACTTTCCCTGAAAAAAACAAAACAATCCATTTTACCGCTGCACTGGAGCAAGCGGCAACCCACAGAAAACCCAATTTGCTCCGTTTGCTCCGATTCAAACAACTTGGATGAAGGAATTGAGGGGATGCTCATCAAATTTGCAGATGGCAACAAACTGGGAGGGGTAGCTTCACCTTCAAAGGTGCACTCCTCCATTGTCTCCCAAGGCAGACGGATGTCAAGAACGTACTGTACCCCCCTCTCTTTGTACTGTGCTGACTATATGTAACCAAGAAACATGGCATGAAGAATGAGTCTGGCTCCTAGATTCACTTCTGTGTGCTGAATCTTCCATCATTTAAAAATCAATAACCATCTCCAATACTCATCAGTTGGCTCTTCTGAGCCTCATTATGGCTGTAATGTGCCACAGCAAACTATAGTTTGTTTTTCCCTCTTCTGTAATCAACAGGACCTTTCTGTTAATGAGAAAAAAGGTCCTTATCTCTTCCTCAAGCACCTAACAAAGAAAGGAATGGATGCTTATGAGACTCCCTTGGGAAACCAGACTCCCAGGAGCCCTGCTACAGGACACTACTTCTCTCAATCTCCTTCGGAAAATGCAAAGCAGGAAGGATACTTTTCTCAGGTAATTCAAGGTGCTTAATAAGACAGCACTGAATAGTGGTGTTGAGTAGTTCCACATTTTCTCTGTCACCCAATAGCATTTCTCCGTGTTCCCCATGCAGAGGACCCATCACTTGCTTGTTCTTCTTACACTGGACGTAACCGAAGAAACCTTTTATTATTTCTAAGCTGTCTTGCAAGCCTGAGCTCATTCTGAGCTTTAGCCAGCCTGACTTTCCCCCTGCAACTGTTGGCTATTCATGTATACTCCTCCTTTGTGACTTCCTCTTTCTTCCATTTCTTATACATGCCCTTTTAAACTCTCAACTGTAAGCTCCTCATGTAGCCACACCGGTTTCCTTACATGCCTCCCACTTTTCTTTCTTGTTGGTATTGTCTGCATTAGAGCCTTCAAAATTTCTCTTTCTAGAAGTTCCCATCCTTCTTGGATTCCCTTCTCATTGAGTATTTCTGACCACGGGATCACACCCAGTAGTTCCTTCAGCTTTTTGAAATTGGCCTTCTTAAAATCCGGAGCGTGTGTCCGACTACACTCAGTTTTCCCTTGCCTCTGTATCCTGAAACCCAGGATAATATGATCACTTCCGCCCAAGTTTCCAGGCACTTCCACCTCATTAATCAGTTCCTCCCTATTGGTGAGGACCAGGTTCAAGATAGATGATCCCCTTGTCGGTTCTTCCACCTTCTGGGAAATGAAATTGGAGGAATTTCTCAGACAATAGAGGCAATGGAGGAATTTGTCAGACCTTACACTCTTGGCAGAGTTTGAGTCCCAACAGCCATCAGGGAAGTTGAAGTCCCCCATGATTACTATTTCTCTCCTTTTCAAATGTTTGGTAATAATGCTCTAATAAGGCATCATCCAAGGCTTCAGTCTGGCTAGGCGGTCTATAGCAGACACCCATAGTAAGGGCACTGTTGTTTCTCTCTCCTACAATTTTTTCCCGTATACTCTCAATCTGCTTTTCATGCTCCAGATCATGGATTTCTTCACAAGTATACACATCCTTTATATACAATGCTACTCGTCCTCCCTTCCTGTTTGGTCTATTCCCTTTGAACAGGCTATACCCCACAATTCCTACATTCCAGTCATGAGTCTCATCCCACCAGGTTTCAGTCATGCTTATAAGGTTGTATTTGCTGTATTAAAAGCTCCAATTCATCTTGTTTCTTTCCCATATTCTGTGCATTTATGTAGAGACAACTGAAACCATGAGTTGTTCTCTGCAACTACTTCCTTCCTGCAGTTTCTTGCCCTTTAGCAGGTTTCTGGAGCACCACCTCAGTTTCCTGTGTATCAATGAAGCTATTATCCCCAGTGACAGGTGCTCTTTCGTCATTCGTATAGTTTTCTACCTCCCCCTCAAGATCTAGTTTAAAGCTCTTCTGATCAGATTCTCAAGACTCTTGGCAAACACATTCTTGCCAGCTGCTGAGGTGCAGCCCATCTCTCGCCAGAGGTACTACCTCAAGGAAGTAGAGGTATCTCCAGATGCAATACTAGCAACAAATAGGAGACTGTACTATTAAAATGTTGGTTTTAAATAACCATGTATTTAATCAAGGAGTAGTAACAGAGTTTAGAACAAATGGCTGGCACATCTTAACTGCTATCAATTAGGATATGCTTATTAATGTATCCAAGGGAAAGTCCCCCCAACCCCAACACAATGGGATAATTATATTGACCTACAACCATTTTTCTGGGCTAGTAGTACAAAAGATTAATTGGGGATGGAGAAAAACATTTTTGTAAACCACTTAGAGGTTTTCTTACAATTAAATGGTATACAGGTAAAGGGACCCCTGAACATTACGTCAAGTCGCGAACGACTCTGGGGTTGTGGCGCTCATCTCGCTTTACTGGCTGAGGGAGTACAGCTTCCGGGTCGTGTGGCCAGCATGACTAAGCCGCTTCTGGCGAACCAGAGCAGCCATTTGCCTTCCCACCGGAGTGGTACCTATTTATCTACTTGCACTTTGACGTGCTTTCGAACTGCTAGGTTGGCAGGAGCAGGGACCGAGCAATGGGAGCGCACCCTGTCGTGGGGATTCGAACCGCCAACCTTCTGATCAGCAAGCCCTAGGCTCTGTGGTTTAGACCACAGTGCCACTCACGCGCGCGCTCTCTCTCTCTCTCTCTGTGTGTGTGTGTGTGTGTGTGTGTGTATATATATATATATATAGTTTGTTAAATAAAATGATAGGCAGCCACACTGAGCACAATTTAAAATGTCCTGGGATTAGCTGAACTGCACTAATTGACAGCAGCCAACCTCTCTTAAGGTAAACCTAAACACCCCCCTTCTTTCCACAACAAGCGGAAGCAGAAGTGGCCATCTCAGGTACATACTTTATATGGGAGATCTGTGAGCTACTGTACACATTATAGTTTTATACATATATACCCCAAACATTTCAACAGTGTAACCCTATGCATGCTTACTTAGAAGAAAGCTTAAGTATTCCCCTGGAAATGCTAAGAGTGAACACAACAAGCATGTCAGAGAGCCATGACTGCATGCAGCTCCCAGCTGCATTTGCTGGCAAATGTGTGCTGTTTCTGAGTCTCAATGTGAAAGAGAATTCAGTTCTTCCTTTGTGTACCCTCACATGTTATCTCAGGAAAACTAATTTATTAATATCATTCCATACTGAATGCCTGCGCAGAAAAGACTTTGAACCATTAATGAAATGCAAGCCTAACATCTGAAAACAGGTGCCAGTTGTTTTCTTTTGAAAATCCTGATGCACCACAGGAATGAATAGCCCAGAGAGAGATATGGAGGACTATACCAAACTCACACCATGGTTGAGCATTGCAAAGAAATGTCCAACTTCCTCAGAGTTTAGCCATGTAGAGGTGAACAGATACTCCTTGTTCTGCTGGGGGATATCAGGAACAGCAGAGCTAGACACAGCCTGAAGGAAAAGGTGAGAGTTGCTCAAGGCAGCATGAACAATACTGCAGCATGAACAAAATAACTAAGCAAAAAGGAGGAGGGGAGGAGGAAAGAGAGAGAAACAGCCCTCCAAGACAGATAGGGATCTTTAATTTAAAACAGAGTAAGCTTATTCATGGGAAAAGTGCGACAAAACACCCCTGGGACAGAGCGCTGCACTCTGGCAATTAAAATTGCATTAAAAACCAGATAGGGAAGTCGGAATCCTAAAACAGATGGGCACTGAATACTGTGTTGTCCTTATTTGTTTCAATATATTTACCTTTTGGGCAATAGAGATAGTCGCTGATTAATTTTCTTTCTGGGCGCTTCATCTACAACTTCATTGTTCCTGTTTGTAAAGTCATTCTCTTCTGCTTGCTCCTGAAGGAGGCAGACTGCAAAGATTGCATTATGCAGGCAGCCAAACGGCCTGACGCTGATGGAACAGGGCAGTTTTAGTATTCAGAGACAAGGGGAAGAAAAGGACATATTGAATAGAAAAATCACTACACAGTCCCTAATTATTTTCCTCCGAGAAAGGGAGGTTGTTTTAAATAAAAGCCTCATCCCACCCTCAAAATGAACCCTTGGTATCAGTCAGTGGGTAATAAGCACATTGCAAGGCATACAGCAGGTCTCTCTAGACAACTCAGGAGGACTTCAGGCTAGCAGTATGAAGGGATGTACATTGTGCTGCAAGCAAAGTGTCTTTGAATGGCCATTTCAGTCTGAACCAAAGTTAAAATTTGGTTTATTATTTATCTGTAACATTCCCTCCTCTGGGTTCCCCTTATGGCCTCCCGCCTAGGCAGGAAACAGACCCATACCTGCTTATTTTAGGCACGACCTAGGGTTGCAAAAATCTGAAACTTAACAGCTGCTCCTTTGGCTGGTGCCTCCCTCCAGTCCTAATACCTCACAGTAGTAGTAGTAGTAATAATAATAATAATTTATTTATACATACATACATTTATACATACATACATACCCTGCCCATCTGGCTGGGTTTCCCCAGCCACTCTGGGCAGCTTCCAACAAAACAAAAAAAATACAATAAAACATCAGATATTAAAAACTTCCCTAAACAGGGCTGCCTTCAGATGTCTTCTAAAAGATGTCACTTGTAACAGTGAGTAACAAGACAGCTATAAGTCAGGGAATGTATATTATATTCAGATGGTGTTAACCAAAGCACTGGAGTGACATTCTTTAGTTGTGTGACCTTGGGAGAAAACACAACACAAGTAGTATTTTGGTCTGAGCCATGTACTTTGCCCACAAAGTTCAAAACGTTTTGTTACACATCCACTTCGTATGTTGCTGCTCCATATGGCCAGGTTTCAGCTGCCCGAATCAGACTTATGCTTTTTTATTTCACTGTGCTCCTCATGATAAGAGCCTATGGAGGAAGCATCCAGGTCTCTCCCTGTCCTGGCTTCAGTTGGGAAGCTCTGACCTTCAGCAAGCACTTGCCTGACAGTCATGTTGACACGGGATGCTTGCAGATACTTGGCACAGACTTGCCAGTCCTCCTGAGAGCAGGGCTCCATAACAGAGTCTTCAGGAAGGTCAGCAGGGAGAGGCAGCTCCAGGCAAGAAGGCAAAGGCTTCCCCTCCAGGTTGGGAAGAATCCTGGGGACTGCGTGGTACAGCAGGCGGCTGAAGCCGGACATGATCATCATGTCCCCGCTGTGCATGAACATGGCCACAGGGGCTTCATCTCGTTTCAGCCCCCCTAACAAAAATATGGATGACTGTCCAAAACTAAACAGAGGAAAAAGAGGGAAGGCAGTTAGTAAAACTGTAGCTATGGGAAGATTTTACCAGCTATTCTCTTCTCAATAGGCAAGGTAGACCACGCGTGTTGTGCTATATTCATTCTTTTTATGTTATAATTTACATAATACATATGCACTTTCCAAAGTGTTATCTCATTCAACTCTAAAGCAAACAAACAGCTCCCCACACCCTTCCTCTTATGGTACTTTTAACACGTTTATTAGGGAAAGAGCTGTAGCTCAGTGGCAGAACGTCTGCTTTACATTCAGAAGGTCCCAGGTTTGATCCCTGGCATTTCCAGGTTGGTCTGGGAGACACCCCTGCCTGAAATCCTGGATAGCCGCTGCCAGTCAGCACACAATTCTGACCTAGATGGACCTGACTTAATAAATAATAATAATGTCACTAATTATACCCCACCCATCTGGCTTTGTTTCCCCAGCCGCTCTGGGCGGCTTACAGCATACAGTGGTACCTCGGGTTACATACGCTTCAGGTTACATACGCTTCAGGTTACAGACTCCGCTAACCCAGAAACAGTGCTTCAGGTTAAGAACTTTGCTTCAGGATGAGAACAGAAATCGCGCGGCGGCAGCGGGAGGCCCCATTAGCTAAAGTGGTGCTTCAGGTTAAGAACAGTTTCAGGTTAAGTACGGACCTCCAGAACGAATTAAGTACTTAACCTGAGGTACCACTGTATATTGAAACATAATAAAACATCGAACATTAAAGGCTTCCCAATATAGGGCAGCCTTCAGATGTCTTCTAAAAGTTACATAGCTCTTTATCTCCTTGACATCTGAAGGGAGGGTGTTTCACAGGTATGGGGCAACTTCCAAAACATACTAGCACCTGAGGCAAATTGCAAAATGGTGTCCTACTCCCTATCATTGAAGAAGGGTTAGTGAAGATCTACATCAGAAACAAGGGTGGGGAGAGACTAAATATCTACATTGGGATCTGCTGCCGCTGTGGATCCTGCCACCCAAGGCGGTGGCCTCACCTTGTCTCATGGGTGAGCTTGCCCTGTTCTTATGTAATGGTCAAAGTTATTCGCAGGGCCAAACCACACAGGACACCTGACAGCACGTAGCTTGTCCCAGGTGTTATTATTTTCTTTTACAAAACGCAGCCATGTGTTTCTCAACTATCTCCCAACTGGTGATTTTTCTGCTAAAACTCCCTCTCCATTCTAACCCCAATAATAGAAATTATATACTGGCACTTTCCCCAATGTAAACAGTAAAGAAAAAGAAGCATTAAGAAGTACTCCTTCCCTGCTTCTTCCACAGAATAGGTCTTCTATTTTGGGTTGTAGCCTTCACATGCAGTCTGACCTCAAATTTACAGAGAAGAAACTCGGGAACAGTGCAGAATGTTGGGATGGACAAAGGTCAATTGACAGGCTAGCCTACAGGGCTGTTATTGGGGGGGGGGGAATACGGAATCAATGTTTATAAATGAAATAAACAATGGCTCCCATAGACTTCAGCAATCCTACTAATCTGGATCAGTAGTCGGTTGCTGCCCATGATCTTGATCTGCCCTATTTCCCTACACTTCATACTTCCAGAGGCAGGAAGTTTGTGCTTGCCACATGAAACCTGTCATTTGTACACTTTAATCAAGATGCATTAGCTAGAAGATGAAAGGTGTATGCTGCCTTTTACAAAATGTTTGGGTAGCCTACCAGAAAGATAGAAGCGGTTGAGAATAGTCCAATTCGGACTCATCCACGTGAATTCCCAAAGATGAATCAAAGTGATAGTAGTTGAGGATTCCTGCTTCCGCTTGGAAACGTGGAAAACCACAAGCTTTAGCCACTTGCTCCGAGAGGAAAGCCAAGTCAGATGGAAAAGGCGTGTAGTGGTTGGCTGAATATTTCTGGTGAAGGAGCAAAAGAACAACAACAAATACGCAAACAGAATTCCAGAGGAACAAAGCCATCCTATGAACAAATCCAGTCGTGACTTAAAGTGAGTTTTAGGTCAATGCCTGGTTGTGTTGGAGCCCACTATCTCCTTTCCAAAGTTGAAGTGGGGAGCAGATTAGGCAGCTTTCCCTACTGGAGTTCCAAGTGTAACATCCATTCAAAATGGGCTTTAGAGCCTCAACTGTCACTTCCTCTGCTATTGCCAACAAGAAGCTCAGTTAGTGCTAGCGGTTGCAACAGTGATTTTGTAGTTCAGACCCAGGAACAAAAATCAAGACACTCAGTATATCAGACATGATGATTAATATTTTTCACACAGGGGTGACATAGTCCAGAATCTTTCCCACAAATTCCTAAATACAAACTTCCCTGAACTAGAAACCTCAATATGATTTGCTAAATGTTTCTGATGAGAAGACTGGGAATAGGTGGATTTCTTATTAAGGCCAGGCAATAAGCAGATAAGGCTGCAGGCTCATTTGGTTAAGCATGTCTGCAGCATGCTGATAGACAATTCTTTCTCACTCTACCTCAAGTTTTCAATCTGATTAGCATGTTTTGGCTTCAAATATCTTTAAGAAGCCATGGTGTCTTTAGCAGAAAGCTTGCACAGTGACTTTATGCTTACATTTTCTAACCACTGCAAAAATAAAATCAACAAATATTTGCTATCATATTATCTTCCTGTTATACATTGCCAAGAGGCTCTGTTGTCCTTGAATACCTTTGTATTCCAGTTATAATGGTAACCCAAAGTCACCCAGCGAAGCTTTTCCAGTAAAGTTTTTGAGGCCCGTTTGCTGGAACTTTTGTTTCTGGAAAGATACAAAAGAAAATTACAAAAAAAAAATCAATTTCAATTATGAATCTTTGCAAGAGTTTTATACAGAAAGCCAAGTTTCTGATGCAGCTTAATACAATTCTTAACTTTAAAAAAGCCTGCCCATAAAGCTTGATTCTCATTACTACTTGTACAAATGTGAGTCAGTTTTGATCTGTGCTACATTTTCAACAATAGGTTCAATGATAAAAATATAAAGCGAAAAAAAATGGGCTGTGAGCTGAAGGGTCGATTAAGGCAATTCACAGAAAGTATTTTGGAAAAGTGAAATGGAACTATGGAAGGGTGAAGAAAAGCTGGATAAGATGAGTATTTCCAAGACTGGGAAAGATGTCAATTTGTGTAAGAGGCTTAATGGAAAGCTGAGCTGGTCTGACTGGAGGAATTAAAGTTCCATCTTGAAATATCTTTGAATCTAAAGTAACTGAAACCCATTCCATTTTTCTCTTGCAACAATATGGCAGATTGCCTATCAGAATTCATGTAGGATTGCATGTGATAATGATAAAAAGATCATGTTTCCCAATCCACAGATAATTGCATGTTCCTGTAACTTGTCATTTCAAATCAATGAAATACTAAGACACGCAACTTGGGGGCCTCTTTTCAGAGCATTTTGATATATGATAGTGCCAAGTGGTTCAAATTCTTTATTATTATTTATCACTTGTGAAGAACCTAAAATTTTCTAAGCAGTGTACAGATATATTTTTAAAGGGTAGTAGCTGCTGGCAGGCTTAATATCCAATAGATACAATACAAAAGGAAAACAAGACGGATAGGGTAGAAAAAAGCACACAAATTCAGGCCACCAAGCCTTGAAGTTACATAATCTCAATAGCAGTATCTGATCTGGAAAGCTGGGCCTCCCTATCTTTAAGTGCACAGGAAGAAATCCAACTTGCACCCACTACTACTATCCTTTTTTAACAGAATAAATTATTCTATTTTCTTCCTTAATCTCACCAAAAAGAAATCCAGTTACTTTTGTGCAATAACTTTTAGCACTGCCTGTGACACTGAGATCCACAAGCAGCCCCAAGCTTCCAAGACACAGACAAATTGCACTGAATTTGGCACTTGCAAATTAATTTTCTAAGTGCCTAGAGAAACTATGTTGTAGTTGACCGAGAGACACAAAGTTCATGACATATTTTTAGTAAGCTGCTCGGGTCTTCATATTTTCACGTAGCTTCACAAGCAATTGCTGTCGTGCCTAATATGATATTCCATGCTGCTGAGAACAAAGCAGCAGGGAGAACTGCAGGTCAGGATTAAAGAGCACTGGAAGAGCCGGGTGAGTGGGAGGAGAAACAGCAAGTGAGTTTGGAGAGCTGGTTGAAGAACACTGACACATCTTGGCAGGGTGCCCCTAATTAAGATGGCAGACAGTGCTGCACAGCAGAACTGAGATGCATCTGCAAAACTTTGAAAACTACAGAAGCTCCAGAGTAGCAAAGAAATGGCTGTAGGTCACAGATCTATGCGTGGAAAGGTGCAGGGAAGCCTCCAGGTCTCCCGAGTCCACCTACATTGAGTATTGTGTTGTTGTTTTTGTGTGTGTATGCAATTCAATTTGGTATAATCAAGTTTATAATGCTTTCTTTCTTTTTTTCTTTCCCTCTGTATTTTTTTGGAAAGCTGTCCAGCATGGCTGGGGCAGCCCAGTCGGTTGGGCAGGGTTTAAGAAATATATTATTGTTGTTATTACTATTTTTATTATTATTATTATTATTATTATTATCATGGCATCACTGTCTTCGGTCACTATGAAATTAGCTCTAAAACGAAAGAGAAAGGATATTAAAAGTTTGTCAGTGGGATCTGCTTGCAACAACCAGGTCAAGGCAGACACCCAACATCTCTGACCATGGAAAGAGGTCTACACCACATTACCTTAAAAGCAGAAATACACTACAGTGGTACCTCTGGTTGCAAACGGGATCCGTTCCGGCGCTCCGTTCGCAACCTGAAAGGAACGCAACCCGCGTCTGCGCAAGCGCGGGTCGCCGCTTCTGCGCATGACACCATTTTGCGCATCTGTGCATGTGGCGAAACCCTGAAGTAACCCTTTCTGGTACTTCCAGGTCGCCACGGGACGCAACCTGAAAAGACATAACCTGAACCGAACGTAACAAGAGGTATGACTGTAGTTCCAAATATTTACTTATTGGGGTATTTCTAAACCATCAACTTGTTATAAGTCAGTTCAGACATCAAAATCAGAGAACACACCCAAAAGCCCATATTTGGGCAATAAAAAAGACTTTTAAAATAACAACTGAAAAGAAGCGCAAATCACCTGACTTTACCATTTAAGACCTCCCAGGGCAATTACACAGTCACTGTTGAAATCCTTTATCCTGGTGCTGGAGGAAAGTTGTATAGAGGTAAAACTTCAGCATTTAAATTTCATTGCCGGGTCAAATAGAACCGGCAGCCTTTACAAATAACTGGCTCCATGTGCAGATAATGACAAGTTTTAATTACATTACTCTGCAAGTGCATTTCAGCCTCATTTAATCCTTTGGCCCCTTTGCTTGACTGGATGCCCAACTGTAATGTCAAAAACTCAGGTCAAACAACTACAAATAAGGTTAATTCACTGCCATGCTGCAAAAATTGTATCTCCAAAACTGCTTGAGCAGCGCAGCTTCCTCTACTGCTCACAGAAGAATCAAAGACAAAAAAATCCTCAGAGAAAGAAGTTGAGGTAGAAGAAATCCTCAAGGGAAAAGGGGAGAAAGCCTTTCACTTTCTTGGCTAAGTCCAAGCTTTCAACTGCTTACATGATTGTTCTTACCACTCTCCCCATCACTAGAAGTAGCTAAAGGTAAAAGGTAAAGGACCCCTGGCTTGTTAAGTTCAGTCAAAGACGACTATGGGGTGTAGCGCTCATCTTGCTTTTCAGGCCGAGGGAGCTGGCATTTGTCCCCTGCTCTGACTTACAGCAGGAATTGTTCTAAAGTTGTCTGGTAATAGGGAAGCATATTATTATTATTATTATTATTATTATTATTATTATAATATCCTTATACAACCCTAATTTTGACACAGTCACATGTAATAGGGTGAATGAACAGCACAGAGCAGCACAGAGGGCCTCTAAGTTCATGAATCCAGCACTGAGAATAGTTAGCAACCAAGACAAAGCTGTATCTTGAAATTAGTACACTATGGATAAACATCAATGGGTTATTTTCCGTGTATTATTTTTTTTAAAAAAATAGTAAATACCTAGTTTGTTTCAAAGAACAAGTTGGTTACTGTTAAATAATCTGAATAGAAATACGTTAGCTCCTTGGTTATTCTTAAATAGAACCAAAGACAATACCAGACACTTAGAACACAGTTAAGAGACTTTATTACTTATAAACATATTTATATATAACTATTCATAAAAAAATCAGAGCAGTTAAAACAATACAAAATACAATAAAAAAATAAAAAAGTTGAAATCAGAAATTATTGTGGATATGCTCTCAACTGTCTGAATAACCCTGACAAAATAGAAGCTTTCAGCAGGCATTTGAAAGCTGAAACAGCAGGTGCCTGCAGTATCTACTGGCAGAGTATTCCACAATACTGGGCTGATGACACTAAAGGCTTGAATTCATGATGTTGTTGAATGAGCCAACTCTGGGAGTGACCAATGGCACTCATACAGATGGGGTCAGTGATTATTGAACTGGGATATAAAGGAGATACAGTGGTACCTTGGGTTAAGTACTTAATTCATTCTGGAGGTCCGTACTTAACCTGAAACTGTTCTTAACCTGAAGAACCACTTTAGCTAATGGGGCCTCCTGCTGCTGCCGCACCGCTGGAGCACGATTTCTGTTCTTATTCTGAAGCAAAGTTCTTAACCTGAAGCACTATTTCTGGGTTAGCGGAGTCCGTAACCTGAAGCATATGTAACCCGAGGTACCACTGTATATAAATGACCTTTTATCAAATTGCCTTGGGATTATTTGGAACCAGGACATACCGCAACTGATGCTGACTCTTCCCCCACAGATCAGTGGTTTCAGTAGAAGACATGTGCATATCCAAATTGCACACATTAGGTTTCTGGGTGTATGTCTTCAGGCACTGCTTCACCCAGTGACGCTGGCAGCCAGGAAGGAAGGGATCTGGGATAAATATAAACCCTAGACAAAAATGAAGGTGGATGGGGAAGAGATTGTTAGGGCCTCTATACATGTGAGCACTGAAAAGAACATTGAGAAACAGCAGGAACACAGAGCTTACAAGTTTACAACCTATGTCCTTCAGAAACAATACAGGTTGCTACAAACTGTTCTCCCAACTAAATTTGGATCATATAACATTTATATCATAAATAATGAGAGAAGCAAACACCACATCAAAAAAGTCCTCCCCTGCCCCTCGCTTGTCATACAAACACACTCACCTGGATAGTTTTTGAGGCCATAGGCTTTCCATTGATTAACTGGACGCAGTCCTGCTCTGTAAGCATCGTGATCACTTACTGAGGAAAAACTCAGGGCAGAGCTGACAATCTGGTGGTGGAAAATTGAATATGAGACACCTGAAATGTGACCCACAAACCTGGCTGAATTTTATTAGCCAGTAGGAGCTGTGCCCATCACCAACCCTAATCTGCCCCTTGAAAGGAACTGAGTCTTAAATGTGATGTCAATACGTTTCAGAGAGGCTAAATTCATCTACAAAAATAAGCCCCAAACTTCCTCCTTAGCTCAGAGTTGAGGGTGCCTTGTCCCTTACTAAGCTGCCTGATGGATCTCTCCAGGGCCTTTTCCCAACAAGAGCAGAGAAACCAGCTAGATCTTGTGCTGAGTTTGGACATGCTCAGAAAACACCTTGATATTTCCCAAAGTCAGCCTTCAAAAAGAGCAGCTGAGGGGAGGAAGAACCTTGCCAGTTTAAATATTCTGTGGAGAAGGCAAGTTTATACTAAAAGTTCACTAAAATATGTTAATTACCAGCAGAGTTCATTGGATAGTGTTACCTTTAAATTCAATGGGTTATCAAAGTAAGTCAGTGGGGACAATGAGGCAAAAGTTAATAGTATTTTTCTGAAATAAGTGGGCCTGATGTTAGTTGTACTGGGGCTGTTTGCTGGACTGTGCCTACTATCTTTTAGAGTCAGTTACTATAGCTTTAAAATGGAAATAATAGTAAACCCAGGAAATTGAACTTACACTCAAATTTTCCCATTGATGCACACCTATCGCACTGATTCGCGATGCTTCCTGAAATCTACCAGGTTGTAAAATACCTGAGTCAGAGGCATGTGCTATATTTAGAATTTCAGCTCTTCAAAGCAATATAGTATTTGTTTTCATTACAGGGGAACTGTCAGATAGACAATAAAGCAGCAGTTGCTTCTCTGGACCTGTGATGGTTTTTGTGGCACATTTTATTTCTTGATTCAGTAGGTTGTGAAACCTGAAGTCACAGAGTTCTGACAAATAGCTCACTTTTCTGTCTGCACCATAATCCCAACATTATGTACGATTATGGCTATTAACACAGGGATTGCTAGTGCTAGAAAGCCACAACATTTTATAGCCTGTGGCAGAGTAGAATCCCAATTTCAATTGGGATAATGCATTAGTTTCCAACTCTGGTGGATATGTGATTTTAATTGAAATTACAAACGATGCTGAAGAAATAAGAGGGTAATCATAATTATGCAATCTTGAGGTCTGAAGAGCTTCTTTCTGTGACAGAAATTCTCCTTGGGAGGGCTGTAATTATACAGCACTCATTACAGTATTAACTGAGGACCAGTAAACCTGTCTAAGCACTGGTGCTAGTCGGAAATTGTTAATACCTAGTAGTCACTTTTAATATGTTATTCTTAATGAAATAAAAAGGGATCTTTTGTTACTGAAGACAGTGTTAATCCTCTGTCACCCTGAAAATGTCACCTTTATTGTTAATTTTCTCTTCAGTGGTTAATTTCCTGCAACAGTCAGAAGATAATGGGATGAGGTGGGTAAGAAGCAATAGGCAAGACAGAATCTTCCTTTCTGAAACATGTCTGATAATAATGCAAAGAGGATTTAAAAAAAAGACAGGGAAGAGACAGAACACACAGTGGAGAACTAACTAGTAAAATGCATAACACAGTGAGCACTCCTATGCAGTTTCCTTACAAGGTTACACTGAACTTTTGTGACTTGTCACCAGTGTTTAAAGCCCATTGATTAAAAAAAATCAAGCACAGAGAAGAACAAATGTAATTTGTATATTTGCCACAGACAAGGATGATGATAATCAGAGGCACTGTGGATGTACCAAACAAGTGCGTGGGCCATGATACAGGTCTCTCCTTTCAGCTTTAAAGAGCAATCAAAGGGATAAGAAATCTACATTAAAAACGTTCAACAGCAATATTCCAAAATTAGGACAATTGTCTATGCATTCTTACACAGTCTATTAGGGTGACCTCCAAATACAGTGGTGCCCCGCAAGACGAATGCCTCGCAAGACGGAAAAACCGCTAGACGAAAGGGTTTTCCGTTTTGAAGTTGCTTCGCAGGACGAATTCCCCTATGGGCTTGCTTCGCAAGACGAAAATATCTTGCGAGTCTTGAGATTTTTTTTTCGCTTCCCCCCCCCTTTATCTAATCTGCTAAGCCTTTAATAGCCTTTAATAGCCTTTTAGCAGCTAATCCCCTAAGCCTTTAAGCCTTTAATAGCCGCTGAACCGCTAATAGCGCTAATAGCGCTAATCCGTCAATGGGCTTGCTTCGCAAGACGAAAAAACCGCTAGACGAAGACTCTCGCGGAACGGATTAATTTCGTCTTGCGAGGCACCACTGTATTTGCAAAAGCTAATTCAACAACAGGAGACATTAACAGAGAACAACAATCACAACATCTAGGCTTCTGGCAACTGAGTCTGCTCTAGGACACCAAAGAGGATGATGGGGGCAATGAGTTCCAAAGAAATTTTTGTCTATATCAGAGGTTGTCAACCTGGTCCCTATCGAGTGGGCGTTTCAGGATTCTAGGTGGGTGGTAGGGGGGTTCTATGGCACAAGTCGAATCCTCCTTCCATCGAGCACTGGTGGGCGGTCAGAAAATTTTACCATCAAGCAAGATGCATTAGTGGGCGGTAGGTATAAAAAGGTTGACTACCCCTGGTCTATATAAAGAGTTTTTAATATGTTTCATGTTGTTTTCAATAAGCACTGTATAAATCTAGCATTAAAAAAAGTGTTAATCGTTTCAGATTCCTCTTTTTATGCAGTTTCATACAATTTATATCACATTCCCCTTAACCATTTTTATCAAACTTTAGCTCCATTGCCCTGATCCAATGAGGAAAGTCCTTGTGAAAAAGCAAGCTTCCATTCATAAACCAGCTGATATGGATGCAGAAATGTTTTTGGATGTGCACTCTATTTGCAGGGTAATGCTCATCAGGGCACCACTAAATTTGGCTGAATCTTTTAGTGTGCACAGAAATTTGCATATTCATCTAGATTTCCAACTCTTACAGCCAACTAGTTGCCCATAATTATCACCGGGTCATCTTTTTAAACTACTTCTCCATTGTCATGTGTATAGACTGCCAATTATTTTTCAAGACAATGGCTAAGGCACCATGACCAGTAAAAAGATTACCCTATTATTTATTTCATAAAATATATATGCCACTTGATTGTTAAAAAATATGAAGCGGCCCCTTAAGTACCAAGTAGGTGATTGTAACTTTAGTTTTCAGAGGCAAGAACCTAAGCTCAGATAAGATGCATATTAAAATTGCCTTGAGGCTCATACAAAAGACAAATCACATATTTAAACAAATAAAGAGTCTTTAAAGGATTTAGACTTAAGAACCCAAAGCAGAACTAGCTAAAGGGAGAGATATTCAGAGAAAAACCAGAATGCCCTCCCCACCCCACTAGTTTTCTACCTAATTGCAGCAACAGTCATATAAAAAAAAATCTCGACATCGTACTGTATGTAACATATAGTTTTGACCCAGATGATTAACAAGTAGAAAAATGTTCAAACATGGATATGATTTCATTTATTATGTGGTGCCATAGTGGTAGAACATTTGTTACACATCTTCAGGCGGCTTCTCAAATGAGGCGTTCACAAAGTAAAGGAAGGATTGAACTCTGATTAATAAGAATACACACAGAGGCTTGAACCGGCAAGACTCTGGGAAGGGTGCGTATAATAATCTCTCTCTGTCTGCCTCCAGCCCCTGGCCCAGGTCATTTTATTCACAAAAGAACTTTTACAGAGTGTTTGTAAGAACCAATCAGATTTCTTCTGAGCATTTCAACAAACCCACATGGGGACAAAGTTAAACTACCGAAACTAATTAGGCATGGGGTAAACAAAGAACAGAACTACAAAGGAGAGCATTTGGCAACCCCAGGAGGTGATAAACAAGCAATATACATGATAAGGAGGATGGCCAGGAGGACAGCTATCATTATCCCCTTCAAGTGAGATCTGTTTCCTGGCCCTAAGATTAACATCCTAAGATTAACATATCAGAAAGCTACATCAAAGAAACTTGCCCACTATCTTTGATGACCCAGGATGCCTGCCTGGTGAAGCAACTGGCAGTGTACGTGACTTGTCAGGCAAGAGAGATGGACAGTAGAGGAAATGGCCAGAGATGCAGAGGGTTGTGGGATTTGGTCAGAAATTATTGTCAATGTATCAAACCCAGTCAACACAATGCATTCATCGTGGACACAATGGCTTCATGTATATTTTATAATTCCTCATAGTAATCCCACCTGCCCCCACACTCTGGATATTTGCACTCCTACATCTCACCGTTTTTTATTTATTTACATTTTATTTTTTAAATTTTTTATTTGTTTTGGTTTTTTTGTAAGAAAAGTTTAAGATAGTAGAGGTTAAGGTAGGAGGAGTACTGTGTTATCTTCATGTTCATGTATGTGTTCTTATATCACAGAAAGATGTCTAGCGCATTCCTAAAGGAGAGCTCAAGAACCTTTACCTATTCTTTTCTAAAACTGAACAACTAGGCAGGACCCATGTCAGTCTGTTGAGGCAGCATTGAGCATCAGATAAATTTGCGGGAATGTAATTATAACTTCTTTGATTACACATGAAAAACCAGCTATCTGGTAAGCGCACATGAGCATAATTAAAAGTAATCTGCTGAACACGTGAACAATTCTAAGTTGGCCTTCCTGTGTCCAGACAGCGAGTTGCTTCCTTACTGCAATTCACAATCTGAGCACAAGAGGTGTCCAGCGGTGCTGCAACTCTAGGTGTGTATAATGATATTGTATCCATAGGTAATTTTCTCAAAGAGCTTTATGAAATTAACAGGCTGAAAGTCTAACCCCATTTACCTGGGAGTAAGCCTCACTGAACTCAATGGGACATACTGCGGTACCTCGGGTTAAGAACTTAATTCATTACGGAGGTCTGTTCTTAACCTGAAACTGTTCTTAACCTGAGTCACCACTTTAGCTAATGGGGCCTCCCACTGCTGCCGCGCTGCCACCGCACAATTTCTGTTCTCATCCTGAAGCAAAGTTCTTAACCCGAGGTACTATTTCTGGATTAGCAGAGTCTGTAACCTGAAGTGTCTGTAACCTGAGGTACCACTGTACTTCTGACAGTAACCATTTCCCTTCAGTGGAAAAGATTAGAATGCTGGTGACAGATCAGTAAACTGTAGCAGCTGTAAGATGCTAATCTTTTGAAAATGCCATGAATATCAATAAATGTATCTTTGCTTGTGCAGCAAAAAAAAGATATCCTAAAGACAACTAGCCTACACTTAGGCCCAGGTTATCCAAAGAACCATTTTCTCTCAAATGAACCTGGCTGGGCTCCAAGATTTTCATGAGATGCCCTTCTTTCAATTCTGCCACCCTCACAGGCATATATGGTGGGGACATGGGGGAGGCCTTCTTGGTGACTGTTCCCAGGCTGGAACTCCCTTACTAGAGAGGCTAGACTGGCTCCCTCATTATCCTTCTGCCAAGAAGTGAAGACTGTAATCTTCTGGTGGGTTTGGGGAAGCTAACTGTTCTTAAGGAAAGGGCTTTTAGTAGTGCTGCACTGTTTTTTTCTTTACTAGATTTGTTTTCATATGATTCTAATTCTCTTATAGTTAAAGCAAACATGGATAAAAAACTGAAAGCTAAAAGCATATGAAAGATAATAGTTGAAAAGTAATTGAACTATTATCTTTTATATGCTTTTATCCACGTTTGCTTCAATTTTTATGACCTACTTTTCTGGGAGAAAAGTTGGGATATAAACGAACAAACAAATCATCAGTATTTGTAAACTATTATAATAAAAGACATTCATTTCTCTAGCTGCCCACAACCGTTCATGAGGATTCAGTTTACCACTCTCCTTCACCCCTTTCACCAACAATCCCAAAAGCACACACCAATCAGAAACGCAGGGTCATTTTGTGGAAAAGCCACACTTTGGTAATACTGCGCACTGCCTTGAAGACTAAACGTTCCAGATTTAACCGCTGGCATCTCTCTTATGGCTGGTTAAAAGGCTAACAGTTTAGATTTTTCATATATGTTAATTCATGCGCCTTATACCCAAAAAAAAGCAGAATCCTGTATTGCTTCAGACTGCATGTGTGTGAATTATATTTTTGAATGCTTGTGGCTGCTTGCATGCAGCGATATGATGTACTAGTCTCTTTTTAAAATTAAAATTAAAAATCGACACTCTCCCTTCCTGAGGAATTCCACACCTGAGTGCACATGTTGTGGGTAGCTGGCCTAAACCCGCCGCCCCCAATAACTTCAGTTCTGCCAGAAGAGGAGCCTTCCCACCTCCATCCGGCATTCCTGCTCAGCTGCAAATACAGAGGCAAAATCTGTACGGGGGATGGAGGAGAGAAGGTTCCCCCCCTGGGGGGGGGCGGCGGCACGTGCAAGAACCCGGAAGGGGCAGCTGTCACCATGGAGACAAGAGCGTGCGTTGGCGGTGCGGTTAGGGCACTACCGTCCGGTTTACCTGCCGCGCCGCTGGCTTCGAGAAATCAATGGCCCCAGAAGGGTCCGAGCCCTCCCACCGCCGGTAGAAGCGAAAGAGCCGGCGGAAGGCGTCCTCGCCACCCTCCCGCGCCGAGACGGCGCCCGCCGCCATCTTAATGCCGGGAATGACCTTGCTCGCGCTCAGCGGAAAGGGCACGAGCGCGCCTCCCCATTGGCTGGCCGGCGAGAGCCCGCCTTACTTCCTCCTGGCTTTCAAGATGGCGGCGGCAGGTCCTTCCCGGCGGCTCTTCGAGGTCTTCGTCGCCCGCGTGCCTTGGACGGCGGGGCCAAGTGAGTGGGGTGCGGGGTTAGCGGAGGGAAGGGGGTTTAGAGAGTCCCAAGGGGTGCTGTAAGTCGGCCCCTTTGGCGTCTTAAAAGGCGGCTAGCCGGGGTTATAGCGTGGGTGCCTGGCGCTTCCCGCTCCCGAGGTTTTAAGCCCTTTTCTCCATCCCTGCATCAGATGCTTGGGAGGCCCGAGACGTGAGTCGAACCCACCTTCTTTCTTGTGCTGAGGGCTTTGTACCCCGGCTAAAGGGCTACAGAGGAAGGGATTTCGGCTGACGCCATGCAAGCAGCACCTACAGAAACCGCCTTTCCTCTGCAATAGTGCAGCGCTCTGAATTCTTTTGCAGCGGTCCATCTTCCATGTGTACAGCCCTAAGAGGATCTCCACTATTCTCGCCCTAATTTAAAAACCACGTCGTCGTCATGCACAGAAACGCCCCAAGACAACCTGGTTTGATAAATAACTCTCTCTCTTTTGCAGATGAAGTAAAACAATATTTTGCTCAGTTTGGCTCTGTGAGAAAATGCTTGGTGCCATTTGTGAGTATCATCGCCGTTAACTGAACCTAAACTCAACAAAATATTTCTTCTCCACCACGTTTTAGTTTTATACAATTGCAATTTACATAAAACAGTAAAATTCAGGTCTGGCACAAAGCCACCTAACAAATATTAATATCCAGTTGGTATCATCACCTGCATTTGGATTTTAAAATGCATCTGAAAATTATAAAAGAAAAATTCAAATGATTGAGACAATGCAGTATTCCCTGCTGGCACCTTTAGAACTGTATTTGAACACACTTAGCAGAGGCCACCAATGGTTCTTTTTCTTCCCATGCATTTTACAAACTTTATTTTCAGATGGACTTTCAGCTAGTTTCTGCCCTCTGTGATATCTGCATCTAAGGGCTGCTTGTGCTCAGACGCTGATATCTCAGGGTTAAAGAAAAGCATGCACTATCCACTTAATATGAAGGGCATACAGTTCCCACTTTACGATAGATTGCTTCCTATCTTGTGCCGTTCAGTGCTTGTGTATTTAAATCAGGGATACAGGGACGGACACACACACACAGCTTTTGCTGTGCTAACATGACAGGACATCAAAAAATGAGCACTTTGCGTTTCATGGGAATGCATTACTTTTGTACTGAAATCTTAATGATTTCAGTGGAAGGGTTAATTATGCAACTATGGCTAGATCATGTTCCAAGTTGAGTATTTTGTGTTTGGATACTGGCAATCAAGTACAAAATGTTACTTGTAGAGTAACTGCTTTCCTTTAAATTTTATATTTACAGTGCAATCACATATGTCTACTCACAAGTAAGTCCTCTTTTAATGAGGATTTACTCCCAGCTTATAGGATTTCAGCTATAACTCCACTCATTCCCAGTGGCCTATCCAAAATTAGTTTCCCCCAGAAAATTCTCAACCCCCCAGTGAGGCGTTCACAAAGTAAAGGAAGGATTGAACTCTGATTAATAAGAATAGACACAGAGACTTGAACCAGCAAGACTCTGGGAAGGGTGCATATAATATTCTGTCTGTCTGCAGCCCCTGGCCCAGGTAGTTTTATTTACAAAAGAGCTTTTTACAGAGTGTTCGTAAGAACCAATCAGATTTCCTCTGAGCATTTCAACAAACCCTTGTGGGAACAAGTTAAACCACCAAAACTAATTAACAGAACTACAAAGGAGTCCACACACATGATAAGGAGGATGGCCAGGAGGACAGCAATCATTATCACCTTCATGTGAGATCTGTTTCCTGGCCCTAAGATTAACATCCTAAGATTACCATATCAGAAAGCTACATCAAAGAAGCTTGCCCACTACCTTTATGGCCCAAGAGCCTGCCTGGCGAAGCAACTGGGCTGTGTACGTGACTTTGGAAGCAAGAGAGATGGAACAGGGATGCAGAGGTGTGGATTGATCAAGAATCCTATCAAAATAGTTTAAACCCAGTCAATGCAATGCTTTCATTGCTGACACAGATGGCTTACTCTATATTTGTTATAATTCCTCATAGCAATCCCACCTGATCACCACCCCAGTAACTATGGGCCGCCTTTGTGCATGATGCCTGGTGTTGATGGAAGTTTGAATTAAACAACATGTGGAGGGTACCACATTGGCTACTCCTGAGGCAACTAGTTAGCTTCCAGCAAATTCATTCTTGTCATCCCACATAAACCAGTGAAATAAGTGGCTAGGAAACTTCCTAGTCTGCTGGGAAGAGAATATAATTTGCCAGTTGTTTAACATTTATGATTGGTAATGGCTTTCTGCATGACGCTGTTGTTCACCAGGTTTCTGTTGAAGGTGAAAAGGGCACATGTAGTCCATACTGAAGTAGCATTTAAGCAGTAGTTGATTAAGTACATAGGATCCATCAAATCTAAATCAATTCAACGTACTTGTTTTGGATGATTAGGATAAAGAAACGGGATTCCACAAAGGTTTTGGCTGGGTTGGATTTTCTACAGAAGAAGGTCTTAAAAATACTTTGCAGAAAGACACTCATATTCTAGAAGGAGCTAAGGTAAGAGGCTATGGTACTGTGCATACTGAATTTCTTATCCTAGAAGAGAATTGCTATTTTATATTTAAAGGTGAACATGGAGAATGGCCTGGTTAGCTTGTTTGTTGCACATTTCAGACCTTTCACAAGTTCAGACCTAATAAGTGACTTGAGACTTGCATAAATACAACAGATTTATAAGCAGGGGAGTGAATAGTTTTCAGTCCAAGGGGCATAATCCCTTGTGGACAACCTTCTAGGCCTACACCCCAGTGGTGGATGGGGTCCAGAAAGTGGGCAGAGCAATGGATGTGACTTACAGTAGGCTACCTAAGAGCCTTGCAAAACCAGAGGCTTTATCCATCCACCTGTCCATATAGAAAAGCAAGAGGCGGCACCACAGTTAAAGAACATGTTCCAGATTGGTAAAAGAGAAAGGTGTGGACTGAGGAGTCTTGAGAGCCAGCATTTGGTGGCATGTCTTTGTTTTACCCACTCCTGATCTACAGGGTGTAATATATCATCATGGTCTGAGCAAGGAGAGGGTAAGTTTGCGCTCTCCTAACACGGTCTCATTGCTTGATTGCGTGGAGGAGGAAGAGAATTGTTTCCTACTGTGTTATAGTAATCCCCCCCCCCCTTTACAGGCAGCACTGAGTAGGGGGCAATGCTAGTGTTAAGCTTCAACCCACCACTTTCCCAAGCCGAGCTGACCACAGAGAACAGGGCAAGGAGAAAACAACTGACACAGCTGATTTGTACATACAGTGGTACCTCTGGTTACGTACTTAATTTGTTCCGGAGGTCCGTTCTTAACCTGAAACAGCTCTTAACCTGAAGCACCACTTTAGCTAATGGGGTCTTCTGCTGCTGCTGCACTGCCACCACGACGCAATTCCTGTTCTCATCCTGAAGCAAAGTTCTTAACCTGAAGTACTATTTCTGGGTTAGCAGAGTCTGTAACCCGAGGCGTATGTAACCCGAGGTACCACTGTACTCTGTTGTGGTACTTGAGAGGCACCTTAGTTAGCATTGTCATCCACAAACATTTATTCACAACGGATAGCTACATTTTATCTCTACCGCTTCCAGCTGCAGCAGAGGTGGTGGGCTGGAGTTGAAATACTCAGGGGCATGTTCTTAAGTGTGCTTCTTGGGTCTTTGCAGCTCAGGTGCAACGCAAGCCAGGCTGTAAAGATATGCTTTGCAAACCTAACTTTCAGCAGGGATCAGTTGTACTAGGGAACTTCCGTAAAGAGCTCCTGAGTGCAACCAGTTCCAGTGGGTTTTGCATTTGGTGCCAGTTAAAAGGAACCCAATGCAAAGCGTGCTTGCCAAGGAACATTTCAGAGACCTTGTACCACTTATTCTTTTCTCAGCTAACCCTCCTCATAGGATTGTTACAAGGATGAAGGAGAGGAAAATTATGCACCCCACTTTCAGGTCCTTACAGGAAAGAAGAGAAATAAATAAAATGGCTCTCATGTTCTATCCTTCATAGTTCAATTCATACCTGAAATAAGTTCAGTCTAACAGTCTTTTCACAGACATTTACTTCACAAATGAAAATGAGTCTTGAAAATTTCGTGGAGTGTGAGGTTATGGAAATCTATAATGTTTAAAGTTCTAAATGTGAAATGGGGTATATTGAATAAAGGAAAGTTGGTTGATCATTAGTCAGTGATTTACAGTTGAAAGTTGGCATAATTAAATGTTGAAAGCCATTTATGAAGCTGTATCTGAAACACACATTGTTGTAATCCTAGGTAATTTTAATTAATAAGCTGATCTGGTATTTCTTTCAGCCAAAAACGTATTTCATTAGGGGTTCAAAACAGGCCTTGATTCATAGAAATTTACACAAATGTTTTATGAAGAGTGGTTTCAACTTATGTGGAACATCACCTAAAAAATGAATATATTAAGTATATCAACATTGATATGGATATTAAGATTGTTTCTTCTACTGCCTTACTAGCAATTGTGTTTGTTCAATCTTTCAGCTTGATGTGAAACGTCAGAAAAGCAAAGGCCACTTTTCAAACAGAAGAACTGCTGACATCAGTTAAAGGAAGGAGACTTTATTTCACTGCTGTATAAAGAAACTAAAATAAACTTGGATATGTATTCATCTCAGTTAAATGAATCCAGCTGTTTCTCATAAGCTTAAGATGAATGAACTATACAATCACAGCAGAGCAAATGAACCACAATACACTTTCTTCCCCCTCTCACATACGTTACAGCAGAAGCAGGGCAAACTATGTACAAGGGGGTATTATCAGATGGAATAAGCAGCTTTAACTAAGAACTCCATATACACCAGGCAGCTTATTCTGACCTTAAGAGAACAGAGCTCCACCTGTGTAAAAACAAAGGGGCAGCACAAAGCTAGAGCCCCAAACACAAAACCTATAATTCAGTGGTCCAGTTTTTCCTTACTTCCTCTGTTCCTTGGGCAAAAGTGTCCCTTTAGCTGGGTGCCTATATCCACTATACAGGAACTGTCAGGTGGTTTAGACAATCCCCTGCAGTCTTGTTTAAAATGCTTGAAACCAATTCCTTACTCTTTCCTTCTCTTCTTGCCTTCATGCTCATGTTCTTTAGGACGGCTACTATCAGAAGGCCTTTTTGAGCCCCCATGCTGTTTGGCTTCCTCCAAGAATTTGTCTAGACCGAAAGGATCCTCCTCAAACTGAACTGGTCCTTCTCGACCTCTTTGCCTGCGGTCTGAGCCAGAAAATTCCTTATCAGGAACAAACCTGCAAGACCAAAAGAAAGTAGTAAATCGAGTGTTCTAGTAGTAAAAATACAATTGGAAATACTTGAAATTTCCATACCTGTTAGTAGTTTTTATTCGTGCCTCCAAATCATCACCATACACGTCCTTATCCACATTTTTACTAGGTCTGTAGATGTTCTGGGCCATGTCTTTACCACTTCTCCAGGGCTGGTCATAGACATTGTAAATTTCATCTTCTCCTCCAGCAAAGCCACTGTCCATACCCTAGCAGAACACCAAAACCATCTATATTAGTTGGATACTAACAAGCACAATGTCCAAAAACAGGTTCCCTTAGAAGTCATCAATACTACTCTGAAAACCTACCTCACTGCATTAGGTAGATTGCTATTCAGAGTCAGAATACAGCATTCTCTGGGAGAACAGAAATTACCCAAAAAACCAACAAGTCCCAACTTTGTTGCATACTAGTGTAAGAGAAAAGGATAGAACTATTCAGATGAAAGGAGAAACTTGGTTCTCAATGGCTTGGGATACCAGGTTCAGGTTTAGCCTCCAACCACAGTGGTGTCAGAGGGCACTCTTCTCCACTAAACAGAAGTGCTGCATGCTTTGAAACACTATTATAGTGAATGCTAGATTTACCCATAAAGAAGGCGATATTGCAGGACAGTGCAATGCATTTTACTATTAACCTACCCATAGTTTTCTAACCACTGCTCATTGAGGGGCTTTGGTATTATATTAAGTTCTATTTAGAGGTGTCTTCTTTTGTATTACATTATACTGGAGTGGGCACCCATTTTTCCTGTTGAGGGCCACATTACCTACTTTAGGGGTAATTTGGTAGGAGGCACATGATGAAGAGTCAAAGGCGGGGACTCTTCATCTCTTTCTGCTGCCGCCTCCTCATCCTAGCAGGTTGTGGGGGTGGGCAGATTATTGTATGCCAGAGGTTTGAACTGATCACTTGCAGATGGTTTTTAAAATCAGTACTGCATAAAATTTTCCTGAGGGCCAAAAGTTACCCACCCCTAATTTACATGTTGAATTCCTAACAACTGAAAGGCACAGGTTGGTGTTAGAATCTAGTGCTGTTGAGAAAATGAAGCTGTTTAATTGTATTGTCTGGAGGAAGTACTGAGTTTGCTTTCCTTCACTCAATGTGTTCTAGGATAGGGCTATCCCATTCTGGGACGTGGTGCTTGCTTTAATAGGCCCTTTCCTGTGGCCTCTCTTGGTCTGGAACTCAACAGTACAGAGTGCTTGGTAGCTGCTCCTTCATTACAAAAATAATCTTGAGGACATGTGTCTTCAGAGTCCAATTCCTTTCCTACCCACTCCCCACCAGCCTAATATTTTCTACAACAAATGTATAACCTGCAACACACACTAGTTACAGGTTCCTAGTTGTTGTCATCTGAGTACTTAAAATTAGAATTGCTGAAAATTAGGAACATAGGCTCAAATAACTGTTTTCAGATCTACTACACAGTGAGCTATTTGGAAAACAAGCAGATAAAATATGGCTTGTTCAATCTATTGGCTGACATGTCATAGCTTAGGGCAGGCATCCCCAACCTTTGGCCCTCCAGATGTTTTAGACTACAATTCCCTTCATCCCTGACCACTGGTCCTGTTAGCTAGAGATCATGGGAGTTGTAGGCCAAAACATGTGGAGGGCCACAGTTTGGGGATGCCTGGCAGCTTAGGGTATTTTTATTTTATGACGTATATATCTTTTTAATGCTGTACATCTGGCCATACACATGGCAATTGTCTCCTTCAAACGTGATAACTTTCCACAGCAATGGAAGGCATTACTTACCTTACTCTGGTTGAAGAGCCTTTGGTCATACTGGATCTCACTGGATGTCCGAGGGTTAGGAACACCCAAGGCAATGACTTCACTAATATCTCTGTTCTCATTCCTTTGCAACTTCGACCTGAGTTAACAACATTGTATACTGGTTATGTTGCAAAAATATCAACAATTAAAACTTCCATGTGAGGAGTTTGCCTATTCAGAATAAAGATGTTGGAAGTCAGACTTAAGAGTTTTGCGGGGGGCGCTAGACATACTTTGAGGAAGCAGTGCTGATTTGCTTGAACACAGGAATAACTTAGTCATGAATGACATTTGAACTACCCAGTGGTTCCTTTGCATTTTTCCATCTTCATAAAGCTAACTTCACACCATGACAAACTGTTTTTGAAACTCTCAACTTCAAAAAATAGCCTGCCATACAAGCCTGGGCAACAGCAAGGGGAGTGCTCTTTCAGAACCTCTTAGGTCGTTAGTAACATGTTTTAAGCATCTTTGGATTCTGGTATTCAACTTCAAGGAAGTTATCTTTCTTGTAATACAGAATACAGAAAGGTAATACAGGTAATACTGAAAGGGCCAAAAAGAAACAAACTGTAAAATTAAACTGTTCCCCTTGTCTCCAAAGCAGGTATAATTCTGTTGCGCAAAAGAACTGGGCTGCATAGAAGTTGTGGAATATATTGTATAAAGGTTCTTATTAATTGCTACTTAACACAATTAATTGTGTGTTAATTATTCTAGCAGCTAGTTCACATGTATGCTTGCTCAGGAAGTGCATAAATTAAAACAAGGGAGATGATTTGAAACAATTTAAATCTTCAGATGCAAATTTAATCCATTAATTTTTTTTCTGGGTGATTTAAAAATCAATCCACCCTGCAAAGAGATGGCTCTCAAAATACAATAGACAGCTAGTCCGGCTGGCACAAAGTGTGCAGCCTAAGAGTAAACTAGGTGGGGGGAAATCTACATGATGGCCACAGGAGGACCTGCCACATTCAAGCCTTTATCCAAGCATCATTCTTGCCTAAGGGTAAATATGGCATTCTACAGTGTCTGACCATCAAAAGCAAGATCATGGTGGTATTATTATTTATTAAATTTATATACCTCTCTTCCTCCAAGGATTACTGTGTGGTTTACAGTATAAAAGCAACAATAAATATGTTAATAATAAACAAAACCATAACCCCTCCCCACATTTTAAAAAGCCATAGATTGTCTGTTTAATATTCTCCATGCTAATCCTCAAAGTTAACTTGTTCCCATCAAAATATATTTTAAAAAAAATAAAAATTGTTCAGTAGCATCTTAGAGACCAACTAAGTTTGTTCTTGGTCTCTAAGGTGCTACTGGACAATTTTTTAATTTTAAAAAAATATATTTCAAGTGCATCAGACCAACACGGCTACCTACCTGAATCTCGTTCCCATCAGATGCAGATCCCATCATAATACATCCTTGGTCCCTCCTTTGGGACTGATAGAGAGAAACTAAGGAACTAGTCCTATACAGAGCCTCAACTAATGCTATGCAGAAGAATACACAAGAACTTAATACATAGAAGCACAAAAATCAACACATACTACTCCTTTTAACATAATAGTGTACCATAGCACACCAGAAATCACTTCACTACAGGTATGTACATTTCCAAATCTTGTAAATTGCTTTGAGGTTTTTTCCAATGAAGTGGTATATAAATTTTATATAAACAGTAACTTAATACAAAAGAACAACCAAACGAATACTAATTTGTTAGGTTAGAATCAAACGTTTTACATTTACCTTGATCAAGTAGTATACTGCCCAGTTATTATTAGCTGAACAACTTTACCTTTTGTCAGGGGCTGCTCTGGAAAGATTCCGGTCGTGCTGTCTCTCTTTTCGTCTGTCATGTCTGATTTCATCGCGTTCTCTAGCTTCTCCATCCTCTGCACAGATACATTTGAAATTCAAAATTACATGCAGCCATCTCTTATGTGAGTTAACAGCAACATAGTGGAAGCTGAACTTGCAGCTATGAAGAACACAGTGGATGGTGGACTAAGTACTCAGAAGTTGAAGGGTCTCCTAACATTTCTACACTTGTTCACGAAATACTTTTTTTTTTTCCTGGCCCAACAACTTTAGTGCTTTCCCCAGTTTTCATCTAAAAGTTACATGCCATTAACAAGAAGCCACTTAAACTACAATTCTATGCACACCTACTTGGAAGTGAACGCCACTTAACAAAGGAGAACTTACTTCCACATAAACATGCATAGAAATGAGCTGCATTCTTTTTGCATGAGAAACACTATGCATGTAGAGGCCTCCAGAATGAAGCCACCCTTCTGTAACTGCATATAGTGCAGTCTTCCTGTTAAGGTCAGTACACTTGTCATGTGCAGAACCCTCTTTGGAATATTTTGTGAAAACCGCAGGAGGATGGGATATACCTTTCTCCACATGGGTTTTGATCCCTGCCCTTCGCTCCCTGGCCTTCTGGGCCATTTCCCGGAGTTTCTCCTCATGCTTCTCTTTTTCCTTCTGGGCCATCTTCCGCTCCACCTGGGCTCGCATCTCCACAGCCTCACGAGCCTGCACAAGATTCAGAGCACAGCCAGATGGTAAGGAGAGAACAAGAAGACCTAGTTTTTATGCTTTTGAGTGGTAATATAAAACAGGATGTACAGTCCAGAACTGGAAACAGCCAGCTGCTTTGGGCTGATCAAGAAACTAGACGAGGGCTAGAAGAACAGTGTAGAAGCCATGCCACACTAATGACCCAAAGCCATTTCCAAGCAACCGGCTAAAAGTTGCAATGCTGCTCAAATCTATTCTGTGGAAAGAAATTACTCAGAAAGATGCACTGCAGAGAAGCAACTATAGCCTGACCTTCCTGTCAGCAATGTAGAGAGCCTCAGCCAACTTGGCAAAGTTTTCATTAATGTGGACAGTCTGCAGTCCTCTGCCATCCGCAGCCAGACGCTTGTCTAATGGAATGGTGTAACCCTGGAGGAAAAACAGACAAGACAGTTGATCATGAAGGAAAAGACATGGCATGCCAAGAAGCTGCCCTAAATCCTTACTTGTAATTCAATATTAATCAATTAATTAATTAATTTCTATACCGCCCTATACCCGAAGGTCTGAGGGCAGTTCATTTGCTCTAGGTGCAAGTAGTTGCATTGTTTGGTTTTTACTTTTGTAATCCTCCATACACCAAGCCCCTGTTTATGGCATTAGTTGAAGTAATACAATTCCCTCAGTTTCAAGATTTAAAATGGTCTTTAAAACTTCCTTGATTCTATCTATGCAACACATTTTCCCTTTTCACTATTTGTTGTATACTGAAGAATCCCAACAAAAGCAGAAGTGATTCGTACCACCACCACCAAGTATCTGACTGAAGCTGCAATCCTGAGCACGTTTATTTAACAATGGGAATAACATTCCAAATAAAAGTAGCACCAAAGTAGCACCAACCATGTTTAAGTTGCTGGGAAAATAAATCATGTTTCTAGAAACTAAAGTTTTATTAAAAGAATCAAAGAAACCCCTGCACCAATGGCATATTCAGTGGCCTCAATGTGATATTCTCTTAGTAAGACCTGCCACAGAAGTTTTAATAACAAGGAGGATTATCCTAAACACCACAGGAATTCATCACTACTCCCTCTTCCTGCAAGCACTGAACTGTCAATGTCATTGTTCTCTGAATAGGACAACAAAGGGCCTTTGCAAAAGAGAAAAATAGCTCAGCGTATAGGAGAGACACAAAGGCAGCTGAGGCAATTGAAGAATAACCAATTTATTGTGGCACAAGCTTTCTCTAGCAACATCATAGACCTTAGTTGGTAGACAGAGAAGGTGGTACATATACACACTGACTGCAACAGAAGCTAGTTACCATAAATACCATAAATGTGAACCAGTAAATAATTTTATATACGTAATTCCTCCCATTTGTATCCTGCTGCTTCTCCACTGTGTATATATGATTACCCCAGTCTATAGCAACAGTCCTGTGAAGTATGTTAGCTTGAGTGTACACAACTGGCCCACGGTAATCATATAGGGTTAATGACTAAGTGGGAATTTGAATCTAATTCTTTCTGATTCAAGTCCAACACTTCCAATGACTTGGATAAATAGATGCTGCTGCAAGAATATATCTTTTTTTGGTAAAGGCTTGAGAGCATCAGGGCAAATTGGTTTCATACCCTGCAAACAGCAGTATGAGGGAATTTTAAATACTTTCCTTTGCCTAACCACAGTTGATCACTGCAAAACAGCAATTTACTATCTAGCATGTTCTTTGCCCTTGTCATCTTGGCAGTTTTAAGATAAAAGGCAGAGAAGAGTCAAGCCATATCACTGCAACCTCCTTTCTGAACACAGCTGGTTTACTCAGCTCTGGATGCTTTAAAGTATCATTCAGACTGCAGATCATTTTTTGAGGAGTTTCCCCAGCAGGATGCAACATTACAGTTTGACGTTATGACAAGTTAATTACCTTAGCATTTTTCCAGTTTGAAATGCAAGGAGGAATTTTCCATTCTTGTTGCTCCTTCACGGTCATCTGAACAGAGAAGAGGTAAAGAGATTTTAGATTTTTCCCCCTTTTTACCAATGAGAGGCGGGGATTCATTCCCATTCTGAAACACAGTAGCTGAGTAGCCATGAACCGTCAAATAGGAAGTGTCAACAAAACACAGTGAAATGTTTTCCCCCCAGCAATTGTCATGTTCATTCAAGCTGCATCTCCTGGAAAGCTAAAACTAAAAGAGAAGCTATCAGCAATTCTGGCAACAGTAGCTGAATGTTTAAACCTCAGATACCAAACTTTTTGGGAAGACCTAGGTCAGTTTATCCAGTCCAATTCCCCAAAATGGGAACTTACATCTATATCCAATGAGTTTAATTCACATAATCCTCATTGGTAGCAGTGAAAGTTTCTTCAACAAATAGTAGCCCAAAGAACATTCATGGCTTTTACAAACATTGCCACATTGCTCAAGTAGCTATCAGGAATGAATGAACAAGGTTTACCATGCCAAAGTGCCTATGGAATAGATGGCTCCAGACTTCTCAAGCAAGCAAGTCTAGCCACAAGCTATAGGGAAAAGAAAAACAAAAAATCTGGAACGTCACTAGACAATCTAACCAGGAGGAACATAGCTCACTTGGTAGAACATGACTCTTTAATCTCAGGGTTGTGGATTCGCACCCCACATTGGGCAAAAGATCCCTGCACTGCAGGGGTTAGACTAGATGACCCTTGTGGTCCCTTCCAACTCTACAATTCCATGATTCTAGCTCAGGTCAAAGATCCATCTAGCCCAACAACCTGTTTCTCAGAGTGACTAGCTTTATTGAATGACCCTGGCTTCTAGCATTATGAGACAAGGAGACAAAAAAACTTTCATGCTGTGCATAATTTTATGGCCCTGAAACTTATTTCCCCTTGCTTACATTTTTTATAAACTATGAATCCCCAGACACTGTACTCTTCCTTGCAGGGGAGCTGCTGCAGCCTCTGATCCTTTCAGTTGTCCCTTTATGCACCTATTTTCAGGATTTCAATATCATTTTTCTGATATGACAAACATAACTACACACAATATTCCAATTGTGGTTGCAGGCATTACAGTAACAGCAATTATATTTTTGACTGAGATGTCCTAAGGTTTCCTAAAATGGAATTTATCTTTTTCACAGCTGCTGCGGAGCAAGTAGCTGTTTCACTGAGCTCTCCACCACAAACCTGATATTTCTTTTCTGGTTAGTCACTGCTCTCAGATCTCCTTGGCGTAATATGTGAAATTAGGATCTTTCCCCTCAATTTCCATTAAACCACTTTTGCTATTCTTTTGTATATTCACCTAGTTTGTAGAGATTCTTTTGGAGCTCTTCACAATCTTGGCTTTCACCAAACTGAATAATTTGGTGTCAATCTCAACTTGGCCACCACACTGCTTGCTCCCAACTCGAGTCCATTTATCAACAAGTTAAAAAGCAGTGGTACCAATACAGATACTTAGAAGAACTTACATCCATCCATTTTTTAAACTGTCTAAACTGACACCTCAAAATTACATTTTATTGTAATCCATGTCCTTTCCACTCTCCATCATGTCTAATGCTGGGATAGCTTGTTAACTTCCCTGAGGCTGGAGAAAAACAGTTCCTGCCCAATGGCCCCCAACGGATTGTCTGTTGATACGCACACTTGAATCCTCCATACTTTATGCATCAGATGTTTAAAAATGTTACATAAGAGTTGTCACGGTTGTCCATTACCTTTCTGCTGGGAGAGTGCATTACAGGAGCTGGAGGTGATGGTGGTCCACGAGGAATTTTCTTGTTAATCCTAATGAGTTGAAAAATAATAGTAACCTTAGTATGCCAATCTCCGTCCCTGGACCCTCTATGGCACAATAGCTGTACATTTCTGATTCTTACTTGAATCTTGGTGGCTCCATGGGGTCTTTTTGCATCTCCACCATTCTAATAACTCTCTGTTTTGCACCAGAGTTGAAGGCCACACCTTGCTGTGATGGTGTGTATCTGAAAAAACAAGGAAGAAATTCAGTTATCAGTACAGAGCCTCTAATGAGCTTCTTATTTACTTTGCCAGAATTTTAGTTTTGCTCACAGACATTGGATTGCCAAGCATACACACTTGAGTAGAAGTGCAGAAGTAAATGATGTGTCACTGTTCTTTCAAACTGAGCACACACTGAACTACAGAGCTCTGTTTCAATCACACAGCAGAGCCCGATGTTCTAATTCCTATCCAATTTTACTGGTAGGATAGTAAAAATCTTTCCAACTGGATACCCTGTATTTCAGACCTATATATTTGAAGGTAGCTTCACAGCCCTCATTGTGCTATTCACCATTTATGGGCCACAAAAACCATCATATATTTATTGCAAGAAAGTTCATTATCAGAAACAAACCAAGAAGAGAACACATAGCCACACAGTTTCCTATGCATAGCTAAATACATCACGTTCTCTGTAACAGGACTAATATCACATTTCATTAAACAGCAATAATTTCTTAACACTCATGTAACTGCTTGTGGCCTGAGATAATGGTTATGTTTCACACTCACAAAAAAGGCCTTACATTAAACTTTGCATGCAAAGAAATTTCAACAATCCAAAAATTGTCCAGTACCGAATGTATTGAGCTGGAGCTAGTTTATCAGCTGCTCGGACTGGCATGGCTGCTGCAATTTTCTGGGAGACAGACTTTTCCAGTGCTGCTCGAGTCTTTTCTGTAAGCTGCAATCAGAAATGTTACATTAAACACTTGGACGAGATGCAAGTGGCTTCAATAGTTAGGTGCATCACTGACCACAATACCTCTCTGACAGCTTCTTCATCAGGTCTTTGCAGATCAGGGTCATCCACATTCATAACTTCCTTTGGAACCAGGTCTGTGTATTTGCTGTAAATGACCTGAAACATTGAAAACAGCATTATGAAAAGGGAATACTGTAAATGAACAAAAAATCTTGCATACTCATGGAGCTTCGTTTCCCTCCTCATTTATGGAGCTTTTTTAAATTAAAAAAACAACAACAAAAAACTAGATTAGCTTTCCAAAATAGAATTGTCCAGATAAGGGCCAAACACTAAGAATATATTTAGAATTCCAAATCGGAAGCCTTTTTATCATGACCATAGAATCAAAGTTGAGTTGATTAAAAACCTGGAATTCTTTCATACCCTGTTTGGAGCTACTGGGATATTTTGCTTATGTCCTTTCCAACAAATGGTACTCAAGGTGGCTAACGTTAAAATACAAAACATAAAAACAGAAGGTAAAAGATAAATAAAATAATTGCAAGGAAATAGCTCATCCTCTGGTGCAATGGCTGTCTGAAACTTTAAAAGTCGCACAAATTGCAAGCATTATGGAGTTTGATTGGTTAAGAAAAAGCAGACAGAGTGCTTTGCAAAGCTGTCACATTTATTAATTTTTGAGACCAGAACAAGTGAAACACATTTGTGTCAATAAGCTTGAATTATTGAGGGCTTATTTGTGAGAAGTTGATTTTATAGGCAACTCCCTGTTTGTGAGGGGGTTGCATGAAATTGCATATAATTTGAACACCCATTGAAAAAGCCTGCAAACACCCTGTTCCACCCCACCCCGCCCACTTTTGAGAGATTTTCAGGTCACATCCGGGTTTGGCACAATGCACGTGTGTGAGGTTGCACACATACCAGACACGCCTAAAATGGTTGCTGCGTGTACTGCATTTGCTATTAACATCACTGCATTTTTGTGGCAGCTTTCTTCTTTAAAGAATAAGGTAACGTTTTAAGAGTTTCTGGGCAATGTTCTTCAGGTTCAAGAACTAGTGCCCCTTTGCCATCTAGAAATGGGATAAGGCAATTATGTTGCAGCAGGATGCATGTATAAAGGTGTCTACTAAACTAAACCTATATACCATTTACTATAGACTATGCCAGGAGCCAAGAGAAATGGTAACACGTGTTCTTTTTTGTGGTGCTACCAGGTAATTTCTCTCAAGCTACTGTGACATACTTTTGTGATTGCTTAATCTTTTGCCTATGGGGGAGGCAGTAATACCACACAGTTTTCTCAAAGCATGTGTACAATTACACAACTGTGAAAGCTAGAAAATGTATTAAACTCTAATATCCAAAACACAACATATACAAGAAAAGATGATGGTAAAAAATAAAGAAATAGAGAACTAAGTCCTAGCAAACCAGGAATTAAGTTGTTCTATATATCCATAAATTGAGCCTAATTGCTCAACATTACTCAAGGAGGCAAGTATTCACCCCAAAAGAGATTGCTCTAAGCAGCACCTCTCCATCTTTTATGGTATTTGCCTAACTATAAAAACAGACCTGTAGCTCAACTAATAATTTAGCACAGGAACGATTTTCCAATTCTCATCCAAGTATTCCAGAATTAACAACCCTTTAAATGAGTATCAATGGAAACACATCTCACAAAGCCAAATGAAGGACATTTGAAGAGCAATATTTCTTCATGGTAATTAACTATAAAACCCCCAAGCTCACTTTAAGAGCTCAAAATATCCCAGAGAATGAAAGAAGATGATGTTCTATCCACATTAAAATGAGTAAGCTCTGAATATGATAAAGCCATGATTCATTATCCACTGTTTATGAGAAAATGATAGTAAACCGAGTACAATGTGGTAGCCTTACTGGTAATAACAGGCTTGCAATTACCATTCATGTATGGAGAACAAACGTTTCCTCAAAGCAGTAAGGTGAGTCCTGCCTACTGGGAGGACAGACCCACATGACTCTGGTTCTTTCCCAACTCAAGGCTACATGATGGAGGTTATTCAAAATGCTCTTCACCCTCTCTTTTCCACATCTTTAGCATTTATATGCATGGAGGCTGAGCATTGGGTACACAGTCTCTTCCCTTAATCCTGGAGAAATAGCCCACACTACTGAAGGAAAAACAGAATATGTCTGTGTGGGGACGATCACACTCTGAGGAACTATTAGGAACACTAGGTAGAAACACATTTCCACTTCACATGCCACAAACATCATTTACTTCAAAATAATTAACACAGATTCATCATAGTCTCACACTCACTTCTAAAGCTCACAGTAATTAAGACAGGCTCAATTCCCTATTTGGTTAATAAGAATGCACTGAGAAGAGGCTTTGCCATTCACCTTGGCTGGGTAAAGAGTGAGCCAGGTAAGTATCCATGTAGAGTATGCATGGTGTGTTCTAGCCTCAAAAGGCAATTTGCTCTTTAAAGGAGAAGCCGAGCTGCATAACCGAAGAGACAGTGCTGGTGTGGTCACTTTCATATTTAGCTGTATGTGCAGTTTTGTCTCCCTTTCACTTTAAAGGCTACTGGATCTTTAAGGCAGAACAATTGGTGTGTTCATAGACTAATATGGTGACAATATAACTATCTCCACCTTCGCCGTCCTTCAGTTCCTGCAACCAAGGAAAGTAGTGCTCAAGCATCTATCCCATTGTTTGGCTTCCCATTCTTGCGTGAAGCTAAGTAGATTCCCCAATCTCTACTTTCCTTGGTCCCAGAAACATGACATATAGACTGGGTAGGCAACCATAGTAGTGGAGTGAGCACCAACACCCTCAGCAACTAACTGTGAGAATAGCCAAATCACCTACTCCATAGTCACTTAAGGGCAGGCACCCCCAAACTCGGCCCTCCAGCTGACTACAACTCCCATCATCCGTAGCTAATAGGACCAGTGGTCAGGGATAATGGGAATTGTAGTCCCAAAACAGCTGGAGAGCCGAGTTTGGGGATGCCTGCTTAAGGACAATACTCTAGGTCCTGGATGTATATATGTAGCAGAATGAGGTGGAAATATTCGAAGATGGTAGAACTGGCTGTAGTACTTCAAACTGAGGATGGAAGGTTGTGCTTTTGAATGCTGCCCTGCAGCCTGAAGTGGTACAGTCCATTCTATTACATAATTTTGCTGCATATGGAGACTAGGCCTCAGTGATGTTGACTATGTGACCACATAAAGACTCACATCCTTATAATAGGCAGATGCTATGAAATGTGTTCCTGTATTATTTCTTAAGAGTGTAGCAATTCAGAAAAGTGTCTTCACATGTTATACTTTTAAGATATAAATCTCATGTTCTGCCACTGTACTGTTGGACTTGTGGGAAGCTCATCTAGAATTCATAACAAAACTTTTCCAGGTTGCTTTAGAATTAGTAAGCCAAGTAAAATAAAACAATATCCATAAACAATAAAACTATATCTATATACAAGCATCTGGGAAGTCTATTACCTTGTCTTTTGACTGTCCCTGCCGAGCTATAGCATCGTATTTTATTTTTCCTTCTGCATCCACTTGAACAGCTAATGCATTGGACATTTTCTTTTTTCGGCCCATATCCAGTGGATATTGGGCAACATGAATTTCTGGGAAAGCACCTCCATCTCCAAAATCCTATACAGTAAAATAAATTGGAAATGATTACAAAATGTGCAAAAGAAACAAAAAGGTATTGTTAGTACTAGACTAGTCAATCAAAAACTAACAGCAAAGGCTAGGATTTTCATTTCATTTCACTTTTAATTTGTATACTGCCTTTTTATATTACTATACACAAGGCGGTTTACAAGCTGAAGAAACAACAAAATATACAACAAAGTTCAGGAACAGTAAACCTTTGGCTCTGCAGATGTTGTCACACTCCAAATCCCATCAGCCTCAGGCAGCATAAGCAATGGTCAGAAGTGATGTAATTCAACATCTGGCAGGCCCCAAGTTTCTCACCACTGAACTAGATATTAGGATGGGTATCTATGTAAGCAGCAGAGTTACAGAACTAGACATATTATAGGCCCTTACATTCAAAAGCCAAGATCTCACTTCTCTAAAGTAACTAAAATAATTATTCATGTCAACAACTGTGCACACCACTCTTTACCTCCAACATTCGTGGTATCCATCCTTTCCGATAACCGTAAGGGGGTGGCTCCCTTCGTGATGACACCAATGCAGTCTGTCTCACCCTTTGAGATCTTGCCCTCTCTTCTAATTCCAGCTGGTCTTGAGATAGCTGAGTTGGTGCTGGCAAAAAACTAAGCAAACAGAAAGAAGGAACTTAATATTTGGACTATATCTGTACACATTAGACAACACATGAAATATTGTTCTTATTTCATTAAACTGTTTTACAAAGAAACTGCAGTTCTGCGCTTTTGATTGATTTCCTCTAATTTGCCTCTAAAAAACTCTTTTCCTTCCTAAATTTCAGGTTCCTGCTGCTACAGTTCTGATACAAAATCCAAAGTGGTTTAGGTAGAGTCCATACTGAGCTCTTGTGACAAAGTCATTCTTCCTTTCCACTGGTTTGCAATGCTGATGTTACAATAAACATTTGGTTTAAAGCATAGTATATCTGAGCATTACTCCAACTAGACAGAAAAGACGGTGGGCTGTATCCAACATTGCAGCTCCACTGGCACAACAGATTTTCATGTGTGCAAAATAACTTTATTTCCCTTGCCTGTCCCCTCCAGCCTCTAAAGGTAAAGGTAAAGGGACCCCAGACCATTACATCCAGTCGCGAACGACTCTGGAGTTGTGGTGCTCATCTCGCTTTACTGGCCGAGGGAGCCGGCATACAGCTTCCGGGTCATGTGGCCAGCATGACTAAGCTGCTTCTGGCGAACCAGAGCAGCACACAGAAACGCCATTTACCTTCCCGCCGGAGCAGTACCTATTTATTTACAGTAGAACCTCAGGTTGCGAACGTGATCTGTGCAGGAGGCACGTTCGCAAGTGCCGTGTCTGCGCGCAAGCGTGACGCGATTCAGCGCTTCTGCGCACAGCACGATTTAGAGCTTCTGTGCATGTGTGAGCGCCTAAGCCTGGAAGTAACCCGTTCCAGGTTTCAGAGCATCCGTAACCTGAAAATGCATAACCCGAAGTGTCTGTAACCCGAGGTACCACTGTACTTGCACTTTGACGTGCTTTCGAACTGCTAGGTTGGCAGGAGCGGGGACCGAGCCCATGCCCTCAAAATCAGCTCTTGAGGATTAGGGGAGAGTTCAAAGCAGATGGGTGGGGTGCTGGGGAGGAAGAGGAAACTTAACAAGTCCCATTGTGCCAGAATGACATGTGTGGAGTATTGGATACAACCCACTATCATCAATAAAATACCATGTTAGAAACAGTGGTACCTCAGGTTAAGTACTTAATTCGTTCCGGAGATCCGTACTTAACCTCAAACTGTTCTTAACCTGAAGCACCACTTTGGCTAATGGGGCCTCCTGCTGCTGCTGCGCCGCCGGAGCACGATTTCTGTTCTCATCCTGAAGCAAAGTTCTTAACCTGAAGCACTATTTCTGGGTGAGTGGAGTCTGTAACCTGAAGCGTATGTAACCTGAAGCGCATGTAACCTGAGGTACCACTGTATATAAGCTAACCCCCAAATGGCACCTTAAACTTAGGTTATGGTTGCCAAAACAGAATGTCTAGGTGCAATTTCCCCCTCAATGAAATTTATTATTATTAGGCGGAGACCCACAGAAATCACAGGCGGGAGAAGCCTGTGAACCTGGGATTCGGCTGGCACCATTTGCGCCCCCCCCTACTTGCGGGGAAACCCTGTTTTGGGGATCCGGAGCGACGTGGGGTGAGCGGCGCGGTGCTTTGAATCGACCGCTTCTTTCACGGAGTGAAGCCGCATTGCTGTTGTCGGAGAGCGCAGACTTTTTCCTGTGGACAATTGGATTTTAAACGACTACCCGTGAGTAGAACGGAAAATTGGACTATGAAATTTCTTAATTAGGAACCGAAAGCGGGAAGGTTCTAAACAGGAAGTCCGCCTCCCGTTTTGTAAATAGATTGAAGCAAAGACGTTACAAGCTAAAGTCTTTGAAAGCTTTTGATAAAGGATTAAATTTCTACAGGACAAGAATATATAACCCCTCTTGGAAGCAGGAGAAGAGAGGGGAAGTTTTGGATTTAGTGTGCCTGCAGAAGAGAGTCAAAATTAAATTGCCACTGCTCTGAACCTGGAAAAGGGCTGCCAGATGATGTTCGGGGAATGTTTATTGACAGAACGGATTTGACAGCTAGCTAAAATAAGAAAGGTACTGTCTCCATTGTCCTTTTCTGCGTTTAAAAATGGAGGAAAAAGTAACCGAAAATTGAAACTATTGTTACTTGCTTGAGTTGTGTTTGAAAGAATTGATACAAACGGAGACTGTTTCCCTCTAGAGGGAGCATGTGAAACTGTTACAGGAGTGCATTAGGGAGAGCTCCAGCTGCAAGATAAGATTCTGAAAAATAGAGTCTGACCTTGGATCATTCAAAATGTTGATAGGAGAAGCCATTGTGACTGTATTATACAAGATAAATCACGTGCTGGAACAGCTTCATAAAAAGACAGATGACACGATCTCTAAAATTGACAACTTGGAACAGAACGTGATTAATTTGAATCAAAAAGTGAGTGCTAATACAGAAACAACTCAGGATTGGGTACAGGAACATATCTTGGTTGGACAAATGGTGGAGGAAAAGGAGAAAGCTGATGATGAAAAACTAAAAGTAGTACAAGCGGGATCCTTAATTTCTCAGAAGCAGATTGAGGATTATAAATTGAGGTCTTTCATGACTGAATCTAGCAAAAGTCAAATTTCGAGGACAGGATCCTGGCTTGGATTGAAGAAGGAAAGTTGGAAAGAACCCTCTATCCAGGGATTGACTGACTTTTGGGACATGGACTTGGGCTTGGAGGAGTTTGAAGTTTTGGGGGTCGCTAGAATTGGAGGAATCCTGAAATACGTTCTGAAACACTTTATGGACTTTACTTTTAACTTTGGAAATTTGGCTGAACTGTCCAGAAGGAACAAAAATATTGCTAGGCTGGAGTTTTCCCGAGACTTGCTCCTGAGCATCAAAGAACATGAAGAAGACCTGCAGAAGGGACTTGGAAGAGATTTAAGAGCCTCGGATATTAGGACACCAGGTTGATGGATTATATGGAACTGACGGAAAGGACTGGCAGAATCCGAAGCCAGGGCGAGGAGATAGTGGAAGATTAATGGAAAATTTAAAGTGTTTATTTAGAAACTTTGTTAAAGTAATGACTGTCAGAAAAACGGTGGAATGATATTTTATGGACTTAGCAGAAATACTATAAGAAGTTGGGTCCATATAAGTAATCAACCGTTAATGGGAAATAAGGTTAAAGAATATGTTATTCTTAATATGACAGAAAATAGAAAAGATGGAAAGGATTTGCTGAAACAAGTACTAGAAGCGGGATACAAGAAGGGAGGTGTGAGGAAGTCGAGGAAACAAGGGAATGAAGGATAGAGTATGGAAAAGGAGAGATGCTTTTAAATTGTTTTTGTCTTGCTTTGTTCATGTGTTTAGTTTAATGGGCTTAGGGTGGGTTTGTATTGTTTATACATTGTATTGTTTTTCTCTTTCCTTTTTTCCTTTTTTGTGTTTTTTCTCTCTTTTTTCTACTTTTTTGTAACTTCTAAAAGCAATAAATATTATTTTTTTAAAAAAGAAATTTATTATTATTATTAATTTAATTTCTATACCGATTTATATTTTAAAGAAAAAAAATCTCCAAGTAGTTAGCAACACATTAAAACATCAAATAATACAATCCAGAATAAAACAAATTCAAGCTTCAAGGAAAATATTTCAGATCTTTCTCTAAGAAACACTTTGCCTTCCCCATATTTATTTACCTACTTAATCTGTGACCCTTGGGCGGCAAGGTTCTAGCCTTTCAATATCAAAACACTTAACACCACGTTCACACTTATGGTCCTTCAGTTTGCTGTTGCAGCATGATGAGGCAAAGCCTTCCCCAAAGTCTTCATTGGATGCCCATGAGTTCTAGTATTTCATAGAATCTTAGAATTGTAGAATTGGAAGGGATCCTAACGATCATCTAGTCCAACCCCCTGCAATGCAGGAATATGCAGCTGTCCCATATGGGGATCAAAGTTGCAACCTTGGCATTATAGGCAGCATGCTAAGTCTAAGCAACTGAGCTGGTATGCATAAATAGGAAAACAAATAAATTTGGGAATGTATAACTCAGGATTAATCAAATCACATCCAAGATAACTCCACATATGATCTTCTGATGTCAGAAAAAATCCTGAAGCCTGCACATGGTTTGACAAAGCTGAATACAGTGGTACCTTGGGTTAAGAACTTAATTTGTTCTCGAGGTCCGTTCTTAACCTGAAATTGTTCTTAACCTGAAGCACCACTTTAGCTAATGGGGCCTCCTGCTGCCGCCGCGTGATTTTTGTTCTCATCCTGAAGCAAAGTTCTTAACCCGAGGTACTATTTCTGGGTTAGCGGAGTCTGTAACCTGAAGTGTATGTAACCTGAAGCGTCTGTAACCTGAGGTACCACTGTATGTTAAGTATTTTCACCGTGCATACATGTGATTAACATGTAACAACGGCACATGAAAATGTAAACATGGCTTTCACACTGTCTTGCTTATTTCATACATGCACTGCATCAATTGACTACTCCTGATAAGCTGCAACTGAAGATGTAAACAGAACATGCTGAGAAACATTTTGTTTGAGGCAACACAAACTGCAATGGTCCATCTAGCTCAGTATTGCATATGTTAACTGGCAGAAGATTTTAGGTGTAAGTATTTCCCAGCCCTACCTGGAGCAGCCAATGACTCAATCTAGAACCTTCTCCATGCGAAGCAAGTGTTCTACTACGGAGCTACAGCCCACTTCATGCCACAGTCCCCAAAGCCTTGTTCACACGTTACACTGAATAGAGGTACAAACAGTCTCTACAAATGAGCACGTGCGTTCTGTAGAGCTCAACTGTCGTAGCGTGTGAATAACGCTACAAGTGCACAGCTCAAATTCTGCGTATAGATTGTACGCTAATTGAACGTAACGTGTGAAAATCCCGCTTGGACATAAAACATGCGAAGAAGCCCTTTCCCAACACAACAGGACATCCCGTATGAAAACCGAGCGGGGTACAAAAACAGCTTCCAGGCTGAGGTTAAATCCTTGCCCAGGTGCGGCCGACAGCGAGAGCACGTCTGAATCAGTGTACCCGTATCCGTCAACCCGGATCATCGCCCCGCCCCCATCGCGGTCTATTCGCACCAGCAGTGGATGGGAACCCACCACCACCACCGGCGAAACCGAAATTCCGTTGCCGTTACTAGACATGCCGGAGGGAGAGAGGCCTCCCCACCACCACGAAAACAGCGAGGCCTTCGGATCAACCTCTCAGGAAAATGCCCGGATCGGTCCAGGCCTCACTGGCGAAACTGCGCCGCCATCGTAACCTCCTCACAACCGACTACCATAAACAAAAACCTGGGACTCCGGTTCAAAAGAAAACGAGCTCCGGAAAAGAGAGGGGAATCTGTTCCCACCGCCTCGCAGGGTACCGCTTCAGGCCCTCAACCAACCTGGTCAGCGCCATCTTGCCGTTCTTCCTCTTCTCTGGGCCTCGCCAGCGGTTCCTGACAGCGTCGATAAAGCAAGGCTCGCTTGGGAGCCAAAGGCATTCTGGGAATTGTAGTGCCCGCGCTTCCTTCGTTTGCCGACGCGAGGTCGCGCGGCTGCTTTCGGCGCATGCGCGTCAGTGGCCTCTCCTGAGATGGATGCGTGGGAATAGTATGCCGTGGGGATGGCGGCTCCCCCACCCCCGCCGCCCCGCGGTATTCCCTACCACTCCTTCCACTACGGGGAGAAAAGGAGAAACTTGAAAACGAGACAGGTCAAGGAAAATGCTGTTTCGGCTTTGGACTACATGGAACTCAAGGGGAGCATATAGGAACTAATTCTGCAGTCTCTTGGTAGAAAATCCACATTCCCTTCAAGTTGGGTGCAAACTCCATTCGAGGAGAACGGGGTTGCATCCTCTGAACAAAATAAAAAAAAAATCCTTCCAGTAGCACCTTGGAGACCAACTAAGTTATTTATATTTGCTTTCGTGTGCATGCACACTTCTTCAGATAGACAGTGTGCATGCACACAAAAGCTTATACCAATAACTAATTTAGTTGGTCTCTAAGGTGCTACTGGAAGGAATTTTTTAATTTTGTTTTGACTACGGCAGACCAACACGGCTACCTACCTGTAACTATCCTCTTAACAGTCTGTGCAATAAAGGAGCCCTGATGATAGCACACACACACACAAAATAGGGCTGTGGTAGATAAGCAGTGCAATCCTATGAGACCCTTCAGACATCCTTTTTATTGTGCCTTCCTTATGGAATTTTAATACTGTGTCATGTCCATTCAGGGCTTGTCCTGTAATTTTCTCCAAAAATCCTGTAGCTTCTATACCACCAGTGTTTGGGGCTTGGTTGGTTTGTTGCACACTAGTACAACAGTTCCCATTACACAGACAGCAATAATACGAACAACAGGGAGTCATCACAGAATGATTAATAAAATGGACCAATGTGTGGACGGTCTAGTATCAATCCACCACTAACGCACTACAGCAGACATAGGCATCATCCCTAGCCAACAGGGCCAGTGGTCAAGGATGATGGGAATTGTAGTCCCAAAACAGCTGGAGGGCCGAGTTTGCCTATGGCTGCACTACAGTATTATTGCATCAATGACATGTTGCAGAATACACCTACAAGAAAATAACACCAGGCTGGAGGGGCTCTATTCCAAAGTAAATTTAGTTATGTAACCTGAATCTTGATTTTTTTAATTGTTTTTATACGTTGGAATGAACCATTGAATAATTCAGTTAAGCCCCACTCTGCTGTCCCATAAAATACCGAAAAGCAAAGGGAGTTTTAATATTTATATATCAGTAAAGGGCGCAACTTTCATATACATTAATATTCACGTAGCACTACTTGGGCTGTAATTACAGTTGGTTTCTTTTATGCCATGTTTGCCTGGTGTGTACTTTTCACACTAATCTTGTTTAGCACTTTCCTGGTTAGCTGGCAGTTGTACAAAGTGCACTACACCTCAAAAAAGGCTTGATGTAGGATTCCACACACCCCTTTTGCTGCACCTACTGTACTGCATTCAGCCAAAACCTGTGTGTATTTACATGGAAGCCTCACTGAGGCTGCCTGCATTCCTGCAAAGTTTGTATTATAAAGTGTAGTTTGCACTCTGACATTTTTATTGCCAATTTTATTTATTCCTTGTAAGCCACCGTGCATGGTAAAAAGTGAAAAAGGGATATGAGTAAGTAATATGTGCATTTGCGTGGAAGCCTTATTGAATCTAGTGGCATTTACTTCTCAGTAAATATGTTTATGAGAGAGCTAAATGTTCCGTATTAAAGATGCAATTGTAGGTAGTGGGCTGACTCAGCAATTTAAGAATTGAATTATGCCTTTTAAGCCTTGCTTTCGACTATTTATTATTTTCAATATAGAATATCACTTTCCTATTTGCAGAAAATGCTGTGATCCTAATGGCAAGTGTGATATCAATTTTGATGTTCATGCTGTCTTTGATTTGCCTCCTGTGAATATTTAATGGCATCACATGTCTGGAAAAATATAAATATCAGGAAGAACTTTCTGACCGTAAGAACTGTTCGACAGTGGAACGGTCTCCCTCAGGAGGTTGTAGACTCTCCTTCCTTGGAGGTTTTTAAGTAGAGGTTGGATGGCCACCTGTCATGGATGCTTTAGCTAAGATTCCTGCATTGCAGGGGGTTGGACTAGATGACCCTTGGGGTCCATTTCAGCACTACAATTCTGCAATTCTATGATTATATACAGTGCAAAAAGTTACTTCCAACCAACCAATCATTTTATTTGTATGTCGCCTTTCGAAAGTCAAAACTGTGCTCAAAGCAGCTTACAAATATATTAAAAATTACATAACTACAAGCACAACAAAAGTAGTCATAAACAGCAGGCAACACACCTGGTAGTAAAAGTTTCCCTGGACTGCACTCCTTGAGGCTGCCAGTGGGATTGTATGGTTGAAAACTTCCCCTTGTATAGGTGATTTTTGCATTAAAAATGAGCAAAAAGAGAAGACATGAGGAGTGGCTTTTTTTGTATGCAGGGAGTATTCAGACATGTAGTCCTTTACTTACATCATGAAGTGATAGATAATCGTTTATCATTTTCTTTTTCAGGACAATCTTTCTCCATTTTCTTCTGTTCACTGAATCAACTGGTCTTTAGTGTTTTGTGGGTAATGCGTGAGCAAGCTGTGAGCTTATGCAGGATATTTGAAATTGGTTATTTGTTTATCAAGAAGATAAAAGCATTCTTCCTTGGCAGTTTTGGATAATCTCTGAATATTTTTGTACTTAAAAAAAAACCCCTGAGCTAGTTCTTCAGGCACCGTCACACAAAGAGGAAATCCAATCACTCTAAGTAGGTGCACATTCTAATAATAGAATAGTTTGGCTTTGATTATAGAATTACCTCGTGTTATGGGGCACATGGTATTATACAATTGGGGTATTCTTCCTTTGTCGCAGCCTCAGATTTTGATTATTTAGTTAAGAGCCACAAGAAGCAGATTATTTTGCATCAAGAGAACAAATGCAGATAGAAGGCAGATATAGACACATATTTCCCTTTTGGACAAGACTTGTGATCCAGTGATTAAAAGAAAAAGTAGGTTGGAAGTCAAGGCAAATCATGTTCAACATCTGTTTCGACAGATAGCGGAGCACTGGAATTAAAAGTGATTACATCAGTGAAACAAATCCTAAGCAACAGAGTAAGCCATTAAAACCATCAAATGCTCAGTGTAACATTGTAACATTGTGTATGGGTGGGAAGAACAATGAAAAATGAAAAGTAAATGGGACTTCTAGAGAACTTCATTCAGAATTAGTTTTGATAGACTCAGTATGGTTAAATGTGCAAAAGTACGACAGACCCTTGCCCAGGTTGCATGAGTTATATATTCTAACATTCCAACATTAGTGCTCCTGTTCTGATTATCCTAGCTTAGTGGGAAATGATGTTTTAGGCTGCTGTAGCACCACAATATGGTAAAATGTCACATTTACACAACTGCTATGCATACAAACGTCCTAATATTGAACAATTGGCCAATTAATGTACTTATAGTTGTAGCAACACCCTAGAGGTCCCAGGCCCTAAGGAAGTCAGATTAGCCTTAACCAGAGCCAGGGCCTTTTCAACATTGGCTCCAGCCTGGTGGAAAGCTCTATCTCATGAGGCCAGGGCCCCGCAGGATCTGATTTCTTTATGCAGGGCCTGTAGGACAGAGTTTGCTTGGAATCAATTTGATCCCCTCCCCCTCTTTCCTTTTTCCTTTCTCCTTCTGTGATGGAATTCCTATTTGGGGACTTCCCGGGCTTTTTTCTGGCCCACATAGGAATAGTCTGGATAGTTGGCCTTGATGAAGATTTGACGTTTTCATCCCCAAAAAAGTTTTTGATTTGAGTTTCTACTGAAATGAGGCTGCATTTTAATGTTGTATTTTAATCTTGTTTTTAAGTTATATTTTAATCAATTGTTTTTATACCTGGTGTTAGCCGCCCTGAGCCCGGTCTTGGCTTGGGAGGGCAGTGTATAAATAATATTTATTATTATTATTATTATTAAAATATATTGTGGGAACAATTTAAGGATTTACATTAATCTTGTAATCTCACTGTATACAAGTTGTACATGTGACAATAAAGTATTTCAAATTAAATTGGAATGCCACAGGGTTCAGCAGCCTGCAAGGCACATGAACATTAGTGGGTACTATTTACTGGACATTCTTCCCTATCTGCTTGGCTGGAGGCTTAAAGGAGCAGTTGGACAGGTCTCTTGCATGACCTCTCCTGATTTGGATGTTTCAGAGAAACAGAGCTGGGCATCAGCCCGTCTCCACTGAACCACTGATGGCACTGCCTCTGTGGCTGGTAACAAGGGGTGCTGAAGGGATCCTAGTGGCTACATTCTCCCCCCAAATTTGAAAATCTCCTAGGAAACTGGCCCTGAAACTTCCTACCAAGTGAGGGAAGTGCAAAACAAGCTTATTGGTGTCCCAGAAAGAGCATCTCTATATTGACAATGCTATGGCTCAGTAAAAGATGCTCTGTTCTCTTTCTTGATTCTCCTAGAAAATGTATTTTAAACTTTTTTTTTTAAAAAAAAATCTGTTTAGCATCATCATAATTATTCTAGCACAGCTTTAGAAAAGAAATCAGCGCCATCTTCATGGAAATGGTGATGTTCGTCATTATTCTCCTTTCTGGTGGTAGGGAGGCCCGAGTTAAAAGCCAGCTGTACAGGAAGCTTCATCCCTCACACCTGCAAATGTTTTCCCTTGTCATCAACACTTCCATTGTTCCTAATGAGCACATTTATCCTTGATTATTGTCAGTGGTGGCAGTGGAGAGATGTTTGGGGGGGGGGATCCATTTTATGGAGGATTTTGATTCTTGATAAAGATATTGAATGTGAGCTGGGGTATGGGAGGAACTACTGGAGGTTTTGCCTATTATACAGGAAAGGGAAGCAAACGTCGTAAGACAGCATTTTTGCCAAAGTGAGCTGATGGGCAGAGTGCTGCAGCTTGGAGGTCTAAGTCCTACGTCTGCCACTGTGTAAAGTGTT